AAACTTTGAACAGGAACAGATTGGCAACCTTCTTATCCCATGAAGCCTGTGGTTAGTTACTTGCACTTCCGCGGCCAACATCCTGAAACCGGCATGTCTAAGGGATATCCAAAGTAGGCTTTCAAAGCCATGAAATAAAGACGAACGAAACACAATCTTAGTAACTCATACTGGGGGTACGCGGACACCATCCAGAATCAGCGGTGGTCTTCTGTGGGCGACGACACGGAACATCTAGATGATCTGACAACCGGAGGCTCAAGTGCATATAATAGGAGGCGTAGAGCCAGGAACAAAGAATAAATGATATTCGTGGGCGAGTAAAGGTAAACGATTTCGCAGGAACCTCGTCCAGCAAAGTCGGGATTGCTGATGCTAGATCTAATAGCTCGCATCAGACGTGGCAAACAGCCTTACTTAATTCGAAAGTATTGACTGAACTCTGACAATCTCTGCCAAGTGATCTTAGAGTTAGCCGAGGTTGGGCTTCAAATTTGGCTCATCACCTCAACATGTAGATATGGAAGCCTGGTGAAATACCCACGCCGCCACGCAACTGTACCTGCCCACGATAAAGAACGAGGTGAACTTCGCCGTGAACGGTTTAAATTTGCAAATAACATGGGGAAAATACATCTCAAAGTTACTCCTCTTGACCAAGATGTTGTGAGTTGCGGTGAGCCCGAAATATCGGGCTAAGTCAGCGAGTCATTTCCCGTAGTGTATGATCTCAGCCTCTTGGATTGCCCACCCTCAGGGTCGGTGCCTCGGTTAACGGTTTCATTTCCAGGCCATCAGCTTGCTTAGCCGAAGTCAATCGATGTGATGCCCACGGTTATGGGAGGTCGGTTATGATGAGACCGGACTTATGGCGGCTTCGATAGGATATGGCGGTTTCGGGATCAGCGGCGTATATCGTGTACTCTACGCCGTATTTCCATATTTCTGGGGTAAAGTTTCAGCTCATTTTCGGGGCCCATCTTGCTACCCTATTGCTTGATCAGGTTGCATTAGTCGTCAAATGGCGGCCTGGAATGTTGAGGCCACTCGAAGAGAGTGGCAGTGGGGAGACAAGAATCGATAGTCTAGCTGACATCACATCGCTGCGGAATTGGTTGCCGTGTGATCATACGTTGTCTTATGTTTAGATATCAATAACCTGATAGATGTCGTGATTTATCTTGAAGCCAAACATTTGTATGGATGGGGTCTCGGCAGGCCTTCTTGGGTGGCAATATGCGGCATCACATGAATTCCCATAAGAAGGAAAAGAAAAGGATGGGAAACTCGTCAATACTATACTAGACACCATTTCCATTATTACGAAAGTGGAAACAGACAATAAGAGTCATCAAATCGAACCACTTCTGCAGGGCTATCGAACGACGAACGAGTGGCAAGCCTCGTTCGAACGAGAGAAGAGGGCACAGAGCTTGCAACGGTTACGCTCCTACGGCTGGAAGGGAGTCCGGCTAACGGACGACAGGGAAATCAGACCAGATTGCCGTGAAATGGGGGCAAAGAGGGCATACGACTACCCGATTAAAGGATGCGAGGGGGCATTCTCTGAATCATTACGGTAGGGATTTCTGTGGACTTGGCTGCGTATACCAGAAACGAGCGGGATGGTTGGAGTACATACGTTGGGGTTCGGGAGTGCGACACCCTCCTCTCTTACTTCTGTTACTGCCCGCGCCCAGCAATTCATGGAACAGGGGGCCTAGTCAGTTGGGGTGCTGGTTAGCCAAATTCATGCCGGTCCATGGAGCACTCTATCTTTTTTTGCATTTCGTCCTACTGCTCACTAATGGCGAGGAGGCGGCCCAAACACGCACGTGGAACCAACTTATTTGCTAGACTATACCGGAATGCTCGTAGCTGAAAAGCTGTGCGACAAAATAAAGCCGGGCTAGACATTATTCCCCTTTGACGGTGGGGAAATCAAGAGGCGTTCAGAGCAGCTCGCCATCTAGCCCCCACAAGTTCCCTGACGGCGCCTTGTATCCTGGGTAAACAATTCCTTCTTTCTTGCTTCTTTTTGGAGAAGCTGTTGCTTCTGTAGCTCCTCACGAGGTGCCTGGCTTCTCTTCTGGGGTTCCCCATGTCTTCCGCGACCAACATACATACCCTTGAGGTGCGCACTAAGCATATGATGGGATCACAGACATTCAAACTTTATGCAGGTACACGAGGGACATGTCGAGAAGGGCCAAGAAAGGATGGCAGTCGGTAGAGACATGTCTTGCCCTCCATCGGCCACAAAGGCCTGCCTTGCCTGAGCTCGCCTTGCGCAACACCCCGAGGGCGGTCTGTACGCTGAAGTGCTTTCAGGCAGGTCTGAGGGCTTGCGTTAGGAAACTCGTGATTGGCTGGGGGCTACCCACATACCTATTTTTCGTCTGTGCTCTCACTCTTACACGCCCCTCCTCTACCTCGACCACCCCGGCCTCAAGTGCAAGGGGGGAAAGAGGAGCGGGGAGGGGGCAGGAAAGGATCCTGGCTCACCTCCAGTCAACAGACTGATCAACGGCAATTCTTTCCGTGTGGGAGCAAGCGCGTGCGCATGTGTGACGCTAGTATCTCAGGATGATCAAGAAGATCAATGCGGACAACGAGCTGTAAGGGGACTGGATAAACTAAGAAGGAAGGGGCCCTGCACACAAGTTCCAATCTCTGAGAATAGCAGATGGCAAAGGCGCTAGATTTCGGGAACGAGCTGAGAACATTCTCTGCGCTCTGCCAAGTGAAACCCCGGGGTCTCATAGTTCGGGTCGGATCTCTCAGTGGCTCCCTTCTCATCTCACGCAAGCGACCCGAGGCAAGATTCCTCTGTATCTCCTATTTCCCCAGAAAAGAGATGAGATGGTAGATTGGATCCACGTGGCCCATCTTGTCAGGCCAAGATTAGGCAAAATGGCATGATTTTCGTGTGGTGCTCAGATGGGGCGGAAACGCTGGGACAGGCAGAGAGATTTGTGGTGCCTACCCTCTTGCCCTCATCCCATATTTTTGCCATGTTGTATCCCTTTTGGGAATCGGGTAGTACGGCCATAGAGGTACATTACGATTGTGCATGCTTACATTATACATATTGCGATAGTGTTTGCCCGCATGTAGCCAGAGATAGGCACCATCGAAGGAGGGTGAGAATCGGTCGTCGTGGCGAAAAAGGAAGGGCCACGGAAGATGTGAGGGAATGATTCTAGCCAACATGAATTTTTTTTTTCGCGCTAGGCTGAACGGCATCGGTAATGCAAAAAGCCAAATTTGTTGCTGCCGAGGGAAGTGAGGAGAAGGGTAATATCCAGACACCCCAAAAGTTGGGGGAACGACGTGTGGGAGCAGGAGAGGGCGAATGCGAGAATGTGTGAGGGAGCAACAGAGTCAGACGGCAAGGGAGGGGACACCCATCTCCAACGACTTCTGACTCCTGAGATCGGCCCCTGTTCATTTCAGTACTAGGGCCGACAGCGGAGGGAGGAGAATGTGGTAGGTGGTTTGCGGTGTACGCGCACCAAGATGCTGCATCATGTCCTCCAGGGTGGCGGGTTGGACCAGGGACCCAACCTGCCTGTCTGGTGCGCCGTTTGCTGGCTACTGAGACTTGGTCGAGTTTCCCCTCTCCTACTACCCTCACTAGCCCCATGCCGGCGCCCTGGTCCCCACACAGGGTCCCATGTGATTCTTGGGGCAAAACATGTGAGGCCTGGGTGCCGTCATGTGACGATGGGGACCAGAGTGAGGGGAAGGCCTCGCCAGACAGTTGAGTCGAGTCAGGGAGGCAAACGACGGGGGCAAGGAAGCGATTTTGCGCAGTCACAGGCCTCGCCGTGGTGGATTCAGTGGAGTGCTGGGGAAGCTTATACAGCGCAAGCTTATCTGCATCCTTATCCCTAAAAATTGGGGGGAGAAGGCGAGAGCGCCGGCTAATTCCAGCATGAAAACGCGGAGAGCAGCTAGATCCGACCCCGCGTTTTCCCCAGCCCAGGAGCAGCAGGACCCTCTGGAGCTTGAGATTGTGCTGGAGCAAATCTCGACACGGCGCATACGCAAGTCCCCGTTTTTCTTGGGGGGGGGAAGGGGCGCGCTCCTCCTCCCATCTCCACCTGCAATGGCGATGTAGGTTTTTCGCTCTCGCATGTTGCGCTCGCTGTGCGGAATGATCTAGTTCAGCCCGTCCATGGCAACATGCCACGCGAAGCGCGCAAATTGCTCCGCCAGGCACATGGGCGGAATGTAATGCCACAAGACCGCGAGTCTTGGTTCTGCAGGTGCTCGCATGGACTGGACGGCGCCCCTACCAGAAGGGAAATGCATTAGACCTAGAAAACAGAACACGCCGAGCGGCCTATCCCCATGTGGCTGTGATGGGCGAGTCGCAGCACCTTTGGTGCCAAATCGTAAGATCGATGAAACCCACCAACAGCACGAAGGGTCCGGTCATCAACACAGCGCACACAATCCAGCACACAGCCCATTGCTGTGGTGCTCGTTGTGCGTCGCGTATGAGAAGCACGTATGACGGCAGTTATGCAGTCAGAGAGGCCTGGAGCCCAACGCCCAGAGCCTGAAGGAGGGGCTGAGAGACACTGGACTGGCCTGGACGGACAGCAGCGTCTGGCTCGGATCCGTTGAATGCGTTAGTAGTGGGTTTCAGCGCGCTCTCCACAGCATTTGATACAGCGCCTTGGCACAAGGCTTAGGGCGCGCGCTCGCCACAAGCTCTTCGCTAACTGACTCCCTATTTTGCCGTCGCCTCTCGGCCAAAGATGCTGTCCGCCGCCGGTCTGATCTCGAAGCGATCAGAGCTACTTGGGCTTGTGCGTGAGCAGGGATGTGGCAAGGATCCGACGAGACCAGGGTGTGCCATCACCCAAAGTGCCAGAGGAAAGGCAGCCAGTGGCAGCGCGTCCAATTAGCAAGCCCCGGTGGAGAGGCATCCAGTTGCATCCAGATTGAAGAGTAGCATTGCAGCAGACTCCACACGTCCCACGTCTAGTTCAGTTGTGGTTGCCTCCTTTCCTTTCCTTTCTCACGTCCACCTCGTCCTGCTTACCTGCTGCATCCTTTGTGCTTGCGTACCTGACTCTGGCTGACTCGCTGTTGGCCCGTCTCCAACGCCATTTTTAATGTGCCTTAGCTTCCAGTAGCCCGAGCTGGGCGATACGAGCGCGCGCAGGCCAAGATGTGTCAACTCAAATGGGAAGGATTCGCCCTGGCTTGGCTTCGGGGCCAATGGCGGAATGGGGATTTCCGAGCCACCAGCCATGGCATGGATCATTTAATGGTCGGTCGACTCCGCTAGCCTCCTCCTCACCAAGCCAACAAAGAGGGGGGACTGACCGGGGGAGCAAGCGTTGAGACGTGGCAGCTCATCAACATTTTCCATCATCGCACGTCATGACTCTTGGTCTTATCTCGCATCTGCAAACAGTCAGAGTTCGGGCTAATACACGCTCATCATGACATAAGAATTAGACTAGCTGCCTTGTGATGCCGCTCCATCACATCGACCTAGTATTAGCCGGCCCTGTAATTAATATCCGTACCGCATCACGAAAAAGAAAAACAGAGCTGACTATTGTCTCACCTGATGGCCCGAATTCCTATTGTGAGTGGCTTGACGCTTGGGGGAAAATCTCACAAAACCAAATGAGATGTCTTATCGTGCGACCTGTGGCTGCAGCAGGTTGCATGCCGGCCTTTCCGATGAGAAAAAGCACAGTCAGTCACACACGGGAAAAGATCCTAGGTGGGTAGTATCTAGGTCAGCTCTCGCCCTGCCCTGTTTGACCTTACTGGTCATTGTCAGGGTATCACATATGTTGGCCGGGGGTGGACATGGAAGGACACAGGCTACTCTGGATTCCGCTCCCATTTCCGTGACCAATTTGACCCGCCGGTTGAGCTGAATCGAATATTATCCATTAATTCATTACTGGGCCGACCCATTTAAAAAATCCTGCGTAGATGCGATACAGTACATGCTGGGGCCCCGACTTCTTTCATGTCGCTTCCCCAGGCAGGCAGCCAACAGGCCCCAGTCTCCTCCCCATCTCATCCCCCACATCCATCTGCATCCATTATCCGTATTCTCTCACTCGCCCGTACCCAGCATGGGATGAGCAAGGGATTGTCAGACAGACGCATGTAGATTCGGAGATACGGAGCGGAGATGCACACAGAAACTGGCGGAGGTTGCTGCAGGCCTGCCTTGTACGTAACACAACTTACTTGATGCGCACGTTTCTTTTCCTTTGCTTTGACTTGGCCCAACGTAACACCATCTACTTACTTTAGAGTGTCTCTCCTCACTGTGCTTCAACCTAGGAGGCGCCGGTGAGGCCCCTCACATGCAGGACTAGCTGGTATTAGTCCGACTCTGCTGTGAGAGGTTCTAGAATTGCTTGCTCGCTGGTTGGTGGAAGTGATGGAATGCAGCACAACTCTGGCGGTATTCTCAGGACAGTCTCCAACGGGACCCATGCCCCTAATCCCAATCTAATACTTGCAGGGGTCTGGTTGTTCGTATCTCCATCCAGCTGGGCTCTCTCCCCATCTTCTCTCATTACTCTTTCAGCCTGCGGGGAAGATGCCGCTCCCTGTCTTTCGCCTCCATTCATTAGTTTCACACAATTCCTAATACATGGCGTCTTCTCTTAGTTTGCACTGTCCCAATCTGTTTACTCTCCACACGCCCACCCCCCTCCATCTCCCACCGCTATACACACACTGACCCTCAACATTCGCTCCCCCATCTTCAGCCACCACTTCTTCCCTTCCCCCTGGAGGCGCTTGTTGACATGGTCTCCGTGGTCTTAGTCTCTACCGGCGAATATATGATTGGCTTTCTTAACCGGTTTTTGGGGAATCCGGACCAAGGGAGGCCGAAAATCCATCCATGGCTGCACATCAGCCGTCAATATTGTAGGAGCCACAGAGATAGGACGGCAGGCCAAAGTCGCGAGCCCAGTGCGGTTGTAATGCATCTACCTCCCAGCAGCCTTTGCGCAGACGCCATGCCAGATCCACAGTGATTCCCGTTCGTTCTGGACAGAGTTGGAACTGATATTCGCTGCCCCCTCCTAGCTGTTGTCAGACTCTTTAATAAAGTTATAAAACATTCCTCATGCCCCCCTGATAACGACCTCCCCCTCTTCTTGTTCCTCCCTTCATCATCACACAGACGCCGATCAGCACGCGCACATACGCTCAGCCAGGTGTTTGTTGCGACTGTACATTCCCACCATCCAATTTCACTCGGAGTGACATAGTCGTCCTCGCCCCATCTCACGATGCTCAGCTCCCTCGACAAGCAAGAGGTGGCGAAGGCCTCCCAGCTGGAGACTTCGTCCACGGAGAAGCACAACAACGACACCGATGCCTCCTACGGTGAGGTCGAGAACGCCGGCTTCAGCCTCGGCGACACCAAGAAGCTCATTCGCAAATGCGACAAGTATCTCTTGCCGTTCCTTTCCGTCCTCTACCTCCTGTCCTTCCTTGACCGCACCAACATTGGCAATGCGAAGCTCGCCAACATGGAGCCAGCCCTCGGCATGAGTGGTCTGGATTACAATGTAAGAATTAACAATTTCTCGTCAATGGGGAGTTGATTCTAACGCTTCAATTAGATCGCCGTCGCTGTCTTCTTCCCCTTCTATGTCGCAGCCGAGATCCCCTCCAACATGGCCATGAAGCGCTGGCGCCCATCCATCTGGATTCCCAGCATCATGGTCGCATGGGGAATTGTCACCACCCTCCTCGGTATCGTCCATAACTTCCCTGGCCTGCTCGCTGCTCGTTGCGCTCTTGGTATCGCTGAGGGTGGTCTCTTCCCTGGTATCACCTACTAGTGAGTCTCATACAACATGACGTCGATTGACGCGTTATTCTTTTTGTCCTTGGTATTTTTTGCTAACACGATGTGAAGCATCTCTTTGTGGTACAGGCGCCATGAGTGCGGTCTGCGCATGGCCATCTTCTTCTCCGCCGCCACCGCCGCCGGTGCCTTCGGTGGTCTCTTGGCCTTTGGTATTATGAAGATGGAGGGTATGGCCAATCTCCACGGCTGGCAATGGATTTTCATCATCGAGGGTCTCCTGACCTTTATTGTTGGTAATGTTCCCCGCCTCGAAACTTTTTGTGATGGTGGCTAACCCTTCGACCCCTATACAGCCATCATTGCCTACTTCGCCATGTACGATTATGCCGACACTGCCAAGTTCCTCAACGATGACGAGAAGCGCGAGATCGTCCGCCGCCTCGAGGAAGACCGCTCCGTCCTCTCCGACAGGTTCGACATGAAGTTCATGTGGCAGGCCTTCACCGACTGGAAGATCTACGTCCACATGCTCATCACCATCGGAATCTATACTCCCCTGTACTCAATCTCCGTCTTCATGCCCACTGTCGTGAAGAGTTTGGGTTACACCGCCGAGACTGCCCAGCTGATGACCGTTCCTCCCTATATCGCCGCCTGCCTCTGCACCATCGCCGGCGGATATCTCGCCGACAGGCATGGACAGCGTGGTATCTACATGATTTTCTTCTGCCTTGTCGCGTAAGCATTCTTTCCGTCCTCAATAGGCGTTTTCTAGGCCCCACTTAAACTGACTGGCCCTCATAGTATCCTTGGATTCGCCCTCCTGGCCGGAGTTCAGAACAACGGCGTAAAATACTTAGGATGCTTCCTAATTACATGCGGAATCTACCCAAATGTGCCCGGCGGAGTGGCCTGGAATGGAAACAACATCGGTACGATCAATTTAAGCCAATTTTCATGAGTTTTGGATGAGTTTTGGCTGAGTTATGCTAACTTTTGTATAGGTGGTTCTCTGAAGCGAGGTGTTGGAATCGCTGTAAGTGACGCCAATTTGATGACAAATACTAGTACGCCATGCTAACTTGAGTTCAGATGCACGTTGGATTCGGCAATCTAGGCGGTACAATCTCTGCCTTCGCCTACCTCCCCAAGGATGCTCCTCACTACCGCCCCGGCCATCTGCTCCTCATGTCCACCACCACCATGAGCTGCCTCCTGTGCATCTTCATGACCCTCTACCTCCGCCGCGAGAACAAGCGCCGAGACGCCGCTAACAAGGCTCCTGAGAGCTACACCCGCCAGGAGAAGGAGGTCGAGGCGGACAATGGTGACAACGCCACCTTCTTCCGATACACGGTCTAGATTGAGAATTTTAAAACAGAGCAGAGTACTCTAGAGATCTATTGCATATTAACGTATATTTTTCTGTCTATCAACGGTTATCTACGTCACGTATTCTATCATGATATGAGTTGGAGGTAAAAATAAAATAATAGAAACAATGTCTAATAGAAGAGACTGGTTTGACTGTAGATGAAAGTACCACAAAAAGCGAGCAACTTATCAGTCATGTGAAAGTGTTAATACGTGAGACGCTACCCGATCTTACCTGCTTTGTATGCCAGGTCGATGGCTGGAAGCAGACTGCTCACTAGCAGGGGTGGGAATATGGTACTGATAGCCGGAGGGGAAAGTTGGAGAACATAAACATAGTTATGACCCTAGTCAAAATAGCTGGATCTTGCTGATTCAAGATCTAGTAAGGGCGAGAGGGTGCTTTTATGGTGGGTGTGGTTTATTTCTGGCAACCCTCACCCCGAAGACACCAACGCAGGAGGAAGAGGCAACATTCGCACTCGTTAACTTCTTCTACCCAAGACCAGCAAGAGCAAAGTCCACTAATTCAGAACTTCAAAAGTTGATTTTTGAATTTAGGTTATGGCCCGTTTCTATCAGCCCTTGAGGGGTGAGGAGATTGCTTCGCGGCGGATTGTTATTGCACCACAGGGCGCGAGTGAAATTTAATGCTCAGGTTTGGCTACTGGTGAAAATAGGCCTGTGGATTTTTTTTCCTGGAGTGCATATTGGTAAGGACACATTCAACATAGTTAAACACTCATTGCCTAATATTGCTCACCAAGTCATCGCCACTATGTGCACGAGTAGCTAAATCGCCATGCCTCTCTCGAAGATCGTGGCTAAAAAAAAACCCTGGTGTTTGCTCTCGTTCAAATTCTGAAGTTCGTAAACTAATATGTCAGCTCCCCTCTTATCAAACATACTGTCGCTACCCAGTTGGTTTAATCAACTACATTTTAGTTGGATGAGTTGCAGGGACATTAGTACTTAGTGAAAGCAATGGAATGCACCACACGCCTTTGGCGGAATTCTCAGGACAGCCACGACTCAGCATTACCATTACCATTTTATATGTGAATAGCACGAGTTTGAAGATGCTTAAGCATCGACCAATCCGAATCATACTATGATTATTGAGTGACGGTCTTCTCCATATATCACGCCATGTTTTATTTCAGCTATTTGCCAGTCTATATGCACTCGCCAGGCACCAGTGAAGACAGTTGGTCTGCCATCAATTGAAAGTTTGCAATTATCACTTACAGCGATTCCAGCACCTCGCTTCAGAGAGCCACCTATACAAAAGTTAGCATAACTCGGCCAAAACTCATCCAAAACTATACCAACCACCCATCGCAGCCTTGTCTACAATCCTAAATACGATGCAACCAAAAATGCGAATATTGTATTGAATTGAAGAGAGCTGTGTAAGACGATGTTCCGTCCCGTCGAACTGATAACAAAGCCACGAAGTGACACCCTGACGATAAACTCAGTATACTTCATGCCCTATTGCTCCATTATATATTGCCGCACATGACCTAATGAGGCGACAAGAATTTGCCAGATATCGGAAGATTGGCTTGCGAAACACTGCGAGTAGTTCAATACGAAGCCTCACTCGATTTAACAGAAATTAAGAGCCACAGCTGCAGCACAATATCTCACTATGGGGTCAGGATATTCCTTTTTGATACTATGGTCATCTGCGATAGATGCAGCTCGAACCCATTTTGGCTTCGAAACAGTTGGTGTTCTATTTCAATATACTGCCGATGGATTACAGCTGTTCAGAATTTCTTTGTTATGGGAAAATTCGCTACAGCTGATGCATCCGGCTGAAGAAAGGCGTCTAAGTCAGACCTATGTGTGTTTAATATGTCAGGATCGAATCCTTGTCAGCTCCCAACCAAGACCCCCCGCATCAACTGGGGTCAATACAACAGGCCATTAGAAAGATCAACATCATTAACGTCTATGGCAATGCATACTAAATCAGAATTTAGCTGTGGTGGTTTCTTTGAGCTAATCACGTGACCCGGAATTAATCACAACTCTTCCGTCCCCGCTTATCTTGTCCGCTTTGCTTAGGCCGGAGCCAAAACACTCCGTCATCTCCGTCCTCCCAACGCTCACAATTCTTCTCATTTCATCCCTGGTAGCTATGGAGCCATCCGGAGACCGATATTCTGGAGAACGGAAGTTGAGACAGGCTTGTGAGCGATGTCGGTATGGAGGTCCTAGTTGACAGCAGGAGGAACATGCGCTAACAGCCAGAACACTCACCTCAGCCAGAAGAAGACCCGGTGCCCTGGAGAGCGACCCGAGTGTTCATTTTGCAAACGATTAGGTCAAGTTTGCTTTTACCGCGAGCGTGAAACAAGGACAAGATTTTCTTACCGGAAATTCTCTCAGGGGTAAGTAAGCTAGTAGCCCAGATGCACTCACCAGAATGTTCTGAAGGTGGTGTTTTTGCTAACATTTCATCAGGACATCCTCTGAAGAGAGGGTTCGTAATCTTGAATCGCAGGTTGCGAGTCTATATAAGCTGCTTCAGTCAAACCCAAGCCGGAGTGACGTTTCCCCCGACGATCTTGCGGAGCAAGGTCAAATGCTTGACGCCCCCCAGTTGCAACGAGCAGCACAAGGAAACATATCTCTCGATAGCCCTACCTCCGATGGTAATGAGACCTCATTTAACCCACAAGAAACTATTGAATGGTTAGATTTTCGCATCTCTAAAATTTTGTATTGTTCCCATACCAGATACTAAACGAATCAGGTCGAATGAATCCCCGATCCTTACATCAGATGTTATCAACCATTTTGTTGCCGTGTACAAAGCCAAAATATATTTCCAACCACTCCCTTTATTCTGTCTACAGACTCTACAAAATGAGCTAGACGAATCCCCTGAATATCTTCTATGGAGCTTCGTAGCTTTGTGTCTACATTACACAAGTCATGACTATTTCACACGACCAAAGGAAGCAATCGAGTACTACCGCCAGCTCTCCCAGAAAGCCGTCAACGAAGAAGTTGACAAAGGAGTCACTTCTACACAAGTTTTGCAAACACTGTGTTGCCTTTCTCTATGTGATATCATTGGTAACCACCCATGCAGATAACAAGAACCTTGTGTACAAGGTTACAAAAAGAAATCAAGGGCTAATTGATACTAGCCAAGCAGCCAAGGGCTTGGATCAATATCTCTTCTTTGACTAGACTCGAGACTTTTCGGAGATTAAGCCTGCAGAACTCATATGGACGGATTCAAGAGGACAAAAATAGCCTTAGATGCTACTGGGGTGCGTTCATTCTGGAAAAGACGTTCAGTGCTCAGTACACCATATTAAACCAGACGATACGCACACCGGAGTATCCCCCCAGCGCTCCACAACCAGCGCCTGTTGATTGTAGCAGAAACTACTCACAAGATCTCACCTATAGCGACGCAGCCAGTAAGAAAGATGCCGGTATCAATGCGTATTGCCTCAGAGCGTTGTCTCTGTGGGGCGATGTGTCTCAATATCTGCACGGAATTCGATCGGGCAAAAAGGAAGACCCTTGGGTGCCAGAGTCAGCTTTCCACAAAGCCATGGCAGACTTGTTTGAGTTCGAAGCTCGCCTTGACCCGAGGTATTTCTTTCGAAATGTGAGCTTTTGCGATAGATCTCTTGCTGAGCTTGAGAGGGATCGCGAGTTTTGGACCCCATGGTTACTAATGCAGTTCCTGTCGCATGCCTCGCTGGCAGTGCTGAACCATCCACTTATCCATTTGATGGGGTTTAAAACCAATATCCGGCCTCGCCTATTTCTTCAACATACAGTTGAGCAAGCCTTGTATCATACTGGATGGGTGGTTCGTCTCGTATCTTCATGCCAAGCATTGGGTTTTGTAATTCACGATCCCTTCATCGGCCAGATCCTTGTCAGCATGGCTACTATCATTTGGTTTTTCCAATTTGCTCGAGATGACAGCGTGTCTAAAACCGCAGTTGAAAACATGAACGTATTGGAAAGCCATTTGAGTCAACTGTCCATGACGTGGCCGCACTTACTTTGCGCGGTAAGTTTATTCACTTTTTCTCTCACTCTGTAGACTCAAAGCTTCAATACTCTAACTTCTTATACAAAACCTAGCTAGAACAACTCAGAGAACTTCAAGTCATCGCCGAGAATAAGAAACATGATAACCCAAACGACCGGGCACAGGTCATCTTTCAGCCTCTAAAGATCTGGAGAATTCTTGATCCAACCATCATGTGTCAAATTCAAAGCGGTGCACCCATGTCTGTCGCAGATCAAGATGACTCACAATCTTCCAGCGATATGATAAGGGTGGCGACGACATTTGTGCACCCCGTTGTTGAGGATCAAGATGAGCCAGGGCAAGTCTTTGCACTGGAAACCCCCTCTTACAACTATCCACAAGAACACCACCCAGGTGAACTTTCGCTAGAGGAATTCCTTGGTGACTTCTTCGATCCCAGCCCTTCCTGGAACTTGTTGTGATCAGAATGAAAGATTTCTTTCTGAAGACATTCAGAATTCTTTTGAATACTGGCACAAATTATTCATAATTGCACGAATAAAAAGTATTCTTTACCATCCATCTATAACCTGAACTAAACGTGAGACTTAGTCTGATTGGTGCACAAAGAAAAGCACCAAAATAAAAATCAGGGGATCGCAATTTGGGCTTTCCCATTTCATAGTTTTGCAAACTAATGTCATCAATCTATTCCAATCGAATATACAAACCTAAAGATCTCAGGAGGAGGATTACCTCTTGGCTTGATCAAGCTTTAGCAGGTGGTTGAATTGTGTTGGGACTAACTTGCTTTGCCGAATCGGTGCCGATATCATCTTGTGTTGCTAGATTCCACCATGATAAGCCCTCGTTATTGGCCGTTCATAACTAACATTTCAGATCAGCACCTAAAATCCGTCCGTTTGCTGCTGTTTTAATTCCGTCTTGGTACCTAAGCCATGACGTACGCAAAATTTTACAGATATTTTAACCTGTAGTTCCCCCTCTGACAAGACATCTCCAACCTAGAGCAAAACATCTCTTTTATTCTCTTTACCTCTCTACTACATCGAAAATGGCTAGCAAGGCATGTTGCGAGCTTGCCCCGGTGACTGCCGACTACATTGGCAAGGGCAGGTGGGAGACGGTTGCTGGGATAAACACTTGTTCGTTGCCGCATGTCTAGTCGCCCAATCTTGACATGTGCTTACCAAATCACAGACATCGTTGGATCTGATGATGCAGACAAAGCCATTATTGACATCTATGACATCTTTGGGGTTGCATCCCAGACGATCCAGGGCGCAGATCGCTTGGCCGCACACGCCTCAGCACTTGTCTTTGTCCCGGATCTATTCGAAGGGAAATCGCTTGACAAAGGGGCAATCCCCCCTGATACACCCGAAAAGCAAGCCCTTCTCCAGGAATTCATGTCTGGCTCCGCCAATATTGCTTCCAACATTGATAAGGTGGCCAAAATTCGTAAGGAAATTGGCGACAAGTGGCCCTCCATTGAGGATCACATTGGAATCTTTGGCCTTTGCTGGGGTGTAAGTTCAGTAATAATCGGTATACTTGAGATTTCCAACTCAATCATTCTCACATTTTTTGATAGGGCAAGATTGCTATTCTGGCATGTGGGGAGGCCAATGAGGGCAAGGGCCGCAAATTCAAAGTGAGCGGAACAGCTCATCCAGGGTACGACTGTTGCTCTCTCGCTATCCGTTATCCAAGCCGATCGGTGACTTCAAATTGAACCAGTAACTAATTATTGAATGTAGCGGTTTGGAAACCAAAGACGCGGAGGCTACAAACGTGCCTCACATTCTCCTTGCCTCTCCAGGCGAGCCTGCTGATATCGTAGCAGAGGTTAAAGAGGTATTTTCTCGGCCTGGCAAAACCGGCGTCGTAGAGACCTACCCGACCATGTTTCATGGGTGGATGGGCGCACGAGCAAATCTCGAAAATGAGGACAATCTAAACGAGTACAAGCGAGGGTATAGCCAAATTGGCGACTTCTTTGGTAAGCACCTATAAGTGCCCAGGGTAAAAGATCAAATACTACCGTGGACGGCCAGATAAAGATGACTCCTCTTCTTTGTGTCTCTCAGAAAGACCTATGTGATATAGTGACATAGTGCTCTCGGCTTAGCTCCACCTACTCAGCTGCAGTTCTGATGGCTGCCTTCTAGAGAATTTTGTTTAGCAAATGCTATTTATATGGCCTCTAGCTTTTTAGGAGCGTGTTACGTTGTCGTTCTCATGCGAAAGCTACATAAATTCAAATGAGCCTTCATAAGTGTTCAGTACTGGAAAGATTGGTAGAATGTAGGATTTAGAAAAGCACCGTGATGAGCATTGACAGTACCTAAACAATGTTTCTTCCTCAGCTCTTGTTTACTGCAGTGGTGCCCAAAACAAGTCGAAGAATTAGCATCTTCCTGATGGAAAGTGGCGACGAGGGACTTTCCATACATATCAAAGCTCTTTTCACATAAGGCAGGGACCTCGCTTTTTAGTAAACACAATAATGAGAGAATAAAAAACTGTTCTAGGATATTTATCTTGATATTGTATTTATTACTAAGTTAATTGTTTTGCTATTGTGTTAAAAATGTTATGTCGATATCCTTATCGGATGAATCTGACGACTCGCCTACTAATCCAACCTTCCTTCACAAAAGTAAGATAGTTAGCTTTTCCTTCAACCATCATCACATTCGTTGCTTTGCAATTGCTTGCTTTTGCTTTGTGTAAATCCACACAGTCGCTTGACTGGGCAGGTACGCCATGGTCACACCGGCCTAATCAGAAGATACCTACCAGGCAGATACCTGAGGCAGATATCGGTACGTACCTATAGGCGTGAGTCCTTACGGTGCCCCAACGTTTTTGGAATTTCTTCTTTCATCTTTCTTCCTTCTTCCTCACAACCCTCTCCCTCTCTACCCTCCCACAAAGGGGCCCACGAGGCCCGCGGCTCCCTTTCTATCCTCCGATAGACGGGCTCACGACAATTTCTCTCTACACCCGCAGAGGCGGGCAAACGACAATCTCTCTCTATATGGTAAGTAGGATCAAGACTTCTTATTATCAGGTACATATATTCTGACTACATTACAGATGAATAATTATTCTGGTCGGGGTGGCCGCGGTACAGTATGTTCTTACCTTAATTTCCAGTTCAAACTTTCCAACGCTACCTTGGAGAAAAAGCTAACCTTGGCACTAGAATCGTACCGCAACCTGGTCGAAAGCTTCGGCCAGATGACGACGCTCAATGCGCTGCTCGAACGTATGTACCTACTTACTCACCAAGCTCTTGGCAACCAATTTTCTCACCAAATATAGTGTTCGAAGAAGGGCCACTGGGCCCGGGGGTGCTGGGCTCCCCGGGCCAACGCTCAGTAGCCTCAGCTATACACACAGCAGCCTCAGAGACGCCCAACAACCTCAGTTTAATGCATAAGAGCCTTAGTTCCACGCCCAGGTGCCTGAGTTCAAAGCCCAGCAGCCCATCCATACGCCCGGCAGCCGCAGCCATACGTGCAGAAGCCGCAGCCATACGTGCAGAAGCCGTAGAGACGCGCAGAAGCCGCAGAGACGCGCAGCAGCCTCAGAGACGACCAGCATCCCCAGTTCCACGATCAGGGACCTCAGGTCCAAGCCCAGCAGCTCAATGTCCAGCATCCCCAATTCCACGATCAGAAGCCTCGGTTCAACGACCAGCAAGCTGGCACCTGGGTCGCGTGGAGGCCCAGGGGGGTTGATGACCCCTGGGCCGATGAGGTAGAGGAGATGGGGAGGAGAATCGAAGAGTTATAGTTGATAATAATAATAGGGGTCCACTCGACGCCTACTACAAATCTCTTTGCTACCCACCACTTGCGGCTTGATATGAGGTATAAGACTAATACTGTTGGACGAATAAGGCTAATAATGTGTGCTTATTTCGGTTAATAATGTGTGCATTTTCAATCCCTGGTTGTTGTGTGTTGTGTTGTTGTTATGCAATAAGCCCCCCTTCTCTCGGCTGACTGCTCAATCCGAGTGCAAAAGATGTCGAAAGCAGGTAAAAATCTCGGACGATAGGCAAGTATTAACAATGCAGTCGATTAACAACAATGAGAGGAAGTGCTTTTGAGACGTTCAGGGGACTGGGATTCATTGGTCACCGTATACATTCCAAGGGACTGAAAATAAAGCAGTAGACACTGTACACACAACATATCATTTTCGAGGGAGGGGTAGTATATAGGAGAATAGATAGGTAAACCATGACTATGCTGTACTTTTCATCTCGATGACACTAGACGAGCATCGTTACCTAAGACATCTCTCCCGTTTCTGATTGAGTAAAAAGGCTACAGTGGCTACATTTATTGAGAGAGATACAGTACAATAAATCACAACATACGTACTTATCGGGGTTGAGAAAACGTCCTAGACTGTTTGTCTGGCCTTTATTTCCAATACAAGGCCAAGAAATACAAAAAGTTTGAATCTGGTGGACCAAAACCATTTATTGGCGCTCATGCATTGGAAGTTCCCCATTGTATATCTATATCCCTCATTCAGCCTGGGCGTGTATCTCAAAAGTTCTGACTACCTAAGTTAATATGCACCGCTTGTGATATTGTTGGGCAATTTAATCCCATCCCAAACATCTCCCAGCCAATCCAAAGATACTTGAGCCAATTGAGCCTCAGCGCCAATCTGGCAGTGCTCTCCGGCACCCAAGTCCTGCTTGAACTGATTATAAGTGGCCAGGCTACCCAGAGCTGCGGCCAGCTCCTGCGGCTGGCCTGATCCTGCCAAAGTATCATGTTGACCATCCCCGACGAAGGTAGGGCAGGTGATGTTTGCCACTATTTCTTCGTCAAGCGCGATTTTGCTTAAACGGGTGAACCACTCAAATGGACTTGTAGTGTTGAAGGACCACAGCCCTTGCGCAATGACCCATCTAAACTGTGTTGGCACGGTTGCATTGTTCATTAGGCCAAGCATGGTCTCGTCAAACACCTCCGAGTTTCCGCTGGCAAAGAGGTTGTTCAGAGCGTCTGGAAGTTGAGAAGTCAGAGCCTTGAACAGGCTCATTAGGCCGTCGATGGCCAATACAGCCGAGATGCGGTGCTCCTTCGATGCTGCCATTGGCGCAAGAGTTCCGCCGAATGACTCGCCGATGAGAGCAATCTTTTGAGCATCGACATCTGGGCGACTTTCCAAGTAATCAACGATCGGTGTGACGACGTCCCACCAATTCGGAATGAAGCCAATCTTTTGCTGCCGCCGCACGGTGGGTTGACCTGGTCCTTCGTAGCTCACATAATTCCAACCACGCTCAGTGATGGCGCGCCCGATTGAATGGTAGAGAGCCTCCTGCGAGCCATCATACCCGCTACCGACAATAACGGTAGGGATCCTCTCCTGGGGCCGAGATGCATTGTGATTCCCATGGCCAACGGTTGCGGCAGGGAAAAACATGATCGGGATATCGAAACCGTCGCCAGTTAAATTCTTCCTAAAAGGAGGGTTTGGTAGGAGGCTGGTGGCCGTGTCGAAGTCGGCCAGTGCCGAGTCCCAGAGGCTGAAAATACGAGGGTCACTCTGGTTGCTGTGGAGGAAAAAATCGGCTCCCCGATAGTAGCTGGCAGAGCGGAAATAGGTATCACGGGCAGAAACAGGGAAACGCTTCTTGTCGATGGCGTCTGCCTTTTCATGTAGAGAATCGGCCATGTATTTGAACTCAGAGTACCAACTTTCGAAGTCGCCAGGGGTAATTTGGCTGGCAAGTCGGAGAACTGGAGACTCAATCAAATCCAAAGTCAGATCATTTATGCTGCTAAGAAGGAATATTTATTCTAGGAGTTCGAGTTGGGCAAAGACATACCTTCTCCGGTATTTGCCCCTCCACCGTTGGAAAGGCTCATGTATTCTTCTAAAAGGAATGCGAATTCTGGGTCGCTGCTTAGTTGGTAGATGATGCTTGATGAGTTCTCTTGCTGCTGCCCAAGCTACACCATTATTAGATACATGTGCTCATCAATAAGGATAAAATCATGCGTGGGGAAGAAGTAGGACTCACCACGTAAGCAGCACCGAGGACGAAGAAGGTGTTGGTGATGCGCATCGTGACTGATATTAAAATGGTAGGTTTGAGGGTTTGGAGAGACTGATGGTCTGATGGTGAAGCTTGAAGAACTGATTTACACACTGTTGAAAGGAGAACGAACCCTACTATTTATACTTATTTTAATCGTTCTCGTTCGCGAGGGTGCCCTTTCTCCGACTTATTCTCTGCACTAGTGGCTTCACAGCCGAGTCTGTCTTCCATGGCTGATGGATTACCTTTTCTGGACAATGCAGAGCGGGAACCATGTGTAGCTGATGGATCATTAATCTAAAGATGGCTATAAGAGACGAATCTGGTGGAGGCCTACGTATGGCTGACATGTCTGGAAGCCAACGTGCACCATCATCTCCGGCCCGCGCGGCACTTCAGCCCAGCATTAAACTACGGACAAATTAGAACACAGCCTTCGTCTAGCCCGGTTGTAAAAGATCCTGGCGTACGTAAATGATCAATCAATATCAAACGAATTAACAACTTCTATCGCGGCTAGAAGCATGTTTAACTTGTTCCCAAGTTCCTTCGCTATGCAGCATGGTTGTACTTGCACTATAATAAAGAGGTAATTAATAGTGGTTCGATGAAGGATGTCGAGCCACTTCCATCATACTTCGTGAGGGATGGATATTACAGGGTGGCGAGTGTAACCAGGATAGGGTTGTCGTTTACGTAGTGGGTTCTCGACTGGGAACGAGAACGAGCTCGAATGGATTTGTCGTTTGTAGAATAGCGCCGCCAGCATATCATCGGCGAAGTCGGCATCCAAACGCCGCCTGTAGATCGCGTAGGTTGGGCTGACAACCGACCATACCCGGAGGAACGGCATTAACGTCAGCCCCTTGCGTCAGCCCTTTCTTAACCAACACAGGGAGAACCAAATATTGACAAAAGGGAAGATACCAGCGCGGTTTAAATTCGGGCGTAAGGAAGCCTATGACTTTGTCCAGAAGCCTTTGACAGGCTATCTCGCGTTGCAAACAAACGTCACCTCTTCAACGCCTGTGAATCGGATATTTCAAGGGCAAACTTACTATTGACAGCCTCCTACGAGATATGCATATACCTACTTCAATAGCACAATGGTGAGCCTCATGGCCATTGAAAAGCGCCCAGTTGTTGAATTTTTCCTTTGCATACCTAGTATCACAGATAAAAACTACGACAATCAACCTCCTCCGTGCCGGGTTTCATAAACTGCAAGCTCAACAGGTTTTACTGAAATAATTTCATTTATCTGTATGGGTGAAGGAGATGAATAGCCTCAGCGATTTAACGTATTCCAACATAAAGCATCACTCCCTATTCAATTCCTCATGTAGTACCCTCTAGTCCATTGTAGCTATAAAGCTAACATAGAGTCTCAAGCACGTTGAACAAACGTAGATAATGCCAAACCACTTCCAAATCTAAATGGTGAAGAATGTTTCCAAGTTTTGGCGGACCCAATTCACTTCATGGCTTCGAAGAGGGAGTTGTGGTTTGCCGGTCCCATTGATGCAAGGCCCTTTAGTTGCATTTGAAGCCAGCAGTGTACCCACAGTGGCGAGAGCAACATTCGAAGTTGAACTTGCAATCTGTTGAAATCATTAGTTTGGCCCTATGAAGGAGCACAGACTTTGCACATACGGTCGCCGTTGTCCCTGCAGCCGTTGGCCGCGTTGCGCTGGTCTAGAACGTTGTCCACACCAGCTGGCGTCTGATCGCTGGCAACCTGACCAGCCTCAGTGGCGGGTGCGGCAAGGACACTCGCAACGCACGCGAGAAGAATGATGGGGTATTTGGCGAACATGTTGGCGGAGTAAAATGTTATTTAGAAAGATGTAGAATCCGAATGAATTGATAAACTGATGAGTGAGGTTGATGAGGTTTTGGTATTCCCAGGCTGGGAGGCAGAGAGCGTTTATATAGCTTGAATATTGACGCTTCCATAGCAACTCGACAGCCGCCGGTTAGGTAATTGCGTCGAATGCATACGTAAGAAAGTACATCATTGACGATCTACAAGAAGAGTGCAGATACCCGGCTACCGACATGACGCGGAGTCCACGGCAAGTCTTGACTCGTTTCATACCCTCTGTGGAATCTTGGCCCTTGGGTGATTATTGGCAGGCAGTATTTCAAATTGGCAATAATTACTGGAGAAAAAGCCTGGCACGGCAGCATGTTTCACATCTTATGACAATGCAGGGATGAATGTTCTTCAATACGTATTATCTCAACGGCATACCTGTCCCTTGAAAGGTCCGAACTACATGACCTGTAACAATGTCGCAGCTTCTTCTTTGTAGTTCGTCCGAAGTTCGGTTTCATTCCTCGGGAACTAACATGACACTAGTGGGCAAGTATCACGGCTCAAGGGCGACAGATTCCTGCCGATGCTGTGAGCTTCGACTCTCGGTCTTGAGGATGTGTCGCCGTAGCTTTGGACGTTATAATGACCCCGACTGTCCTTCTATCGTAATGTTCATCAAGGAGCACAATATAAAGATACTTATATACGGCCGTCAATCCATATCAATCGACTCCAATCCAGAACCGCACGCCGACCTTCAACGTTTCTAATGACGAATGTGTTTTCGCCACTAACCCCATAGACCCCAGCTTGATTTCAGGAGTACAAGCAACGTCATCTGAGACTTGGTTCATAATTGCACCGGTGGCGAAGGGGTATATGGGGGAAGTGACGTGGATGATTCAGGATGGAGAAATGGCATGTTTGACAAGATTCCAAGACAATAGCAATTTGTTCTCATTGTCCAATTGATTGAGATATCATTATATCCCGATGACCGCGGCTGTGCCATTGAGTCTCGCTCTTCTAACACTGCTAAGAAATATTATTCAACTTTAGGGGCATCCATTGAGGATTCAATTACCCCCAAAAATATGAACATGAAAGCCACTGTTAGATGAATTACCAGAGTGGCAGCAGGAGGCAGGCCCAGACGCGTACAAAGGTGCGTTTGCCCTTCATAGCAAACAAGCATATAATATTTAACCGTACATCCGCCTTATGGCCCGCAATATATTCTCATTTATTGTAAGCCAGGAGAGTACTGTAGGACCGTAAAACGGCGATTCCTGTCAAAGTGCCTTGATGGAGCGTGGAGGGCCTAGCTACAGATAACTAGGATAAAACACTATATGCTGAACTTAATAGTACCTATTAGCCAGGTATGATTGGTAGAATAAAAAAGAGGAATAATATTCAGCTCTACACTTTGCTTTGCTCTCTGCAATGGCAAAATGAAGTTTGCGATTAGCGTTAGAGCATCAGAAGCTGGGTTGACTCTGTCACCTGCAAAGAAGGCTCTTGATACAATTCAAAGTTTCATTCTTTTCAACTGAAGACTTCCATAAAAATTCCCAGATAACAAAACTGCGGGCGTAATAAGCCCGAAATCTGTGGCGATAGTACATACATTTTAATCCGATGATAAATCAAACCGTTCAGCCCCGTGAACACTTTCCTCCTGTCGAGATACACGAGCTCAATGTGATTGCTTGCAATCAACTGTTTCTGCATTCGGTTTCCCCCATTTTTCCTGTTTTAGAGAATGCGATTGCCGAACAGCGGATAGCAGCCATCATCTAAGACCCGGCTCGCCTTTCTTGTAGGCGATATCATAAATCCTTTCCGCCAGATTAATTCCAAAAAGGCTAGGAAAGCCCTAGAGACCTCGAAAATCTTTGTTCTTTTTCGAACCTAGCCATGTCCTTTCGTTCTTTCTCTTGCAGCTTTCTCAGCTGCTGCCTTCCTACCCTCTGATCAGGGAAGAAGGCGAGAAATATATCCGGGTCAACCTGAAAGGTGGGGTCTTCCTCAATGGCCTCGTTGTGAGGCTTGATCATCATGATCCTCTGGGCCGTGCTGAGGATGTACGCCCGGAGAAGCGACGGCGTATAGTCCTTTCCGGATATCATGAGATACGACTCCAACTCCTCCATGCTTGAACTGGAATGTCCTCTTCTGTGGGCCGAGAGGTTTTCGAGCCTCCTCCTCAGTGTATCCTCCCCCACAATCCTGAATGTGATCTCTAGATAACGGAATTAATATCGAGCGCACTCAAATACAGCCTATGCATTCTCACCTCTCATGTTGTCGGAATTCTAAACCTTTTTGCTCGTGTGTATGACAGCACCTAGCGCAAATGCGTCCGTATGTATTAATGCGATTAATTAGGAACGCAAATACATCAAGAAAAATTGTAAGAGAAGCGATTGAAATTCTTTACCCAACGAAGCACAAGATGAGGAGCATGCGATTACACAATAATATACCTGCGCGCGCCTGTGCAACTAATAGCCAAATCTTTTAGGCTTTCAATGCATTGCTGTCTTACGTGAAGGCCCGGTCACGGGGCAATCGAGCCATCCGGGAGCAAACACGAGATTAATAATTGTACGTTTTCTCCCACTTCTTTCTTTTCTTTTCTCAATCTAGTCTCCTCTGCGCCCCCCCTGAGTTGAGTTGGCAAACATGTGGCAGCGTCCACCGGGGATGACAATTATCGGGACAATTGCGCGCAATACCGCTTCAACACGTGGCAATCGAGAATTGAGACCTGACGAGTCTCGGTTGCGACCCCCGTGGACCTGCGTCAGAGAATGCACGAAATTGGGCTCCCGGGTATGTCCCGTCAGGCACATACTCACGTCGACTTGGGCTGTGGTCAATTAAACACGTATAAGGTTGGGTAATTGGGATATAGGGTGTCATCAACCCAGGGTATATTTAGGCTATGATGTGCTAGATGAGCTGGAAAATTATCATTAAGATACTTGCGCCAATTTTGTAGACATATCATATCCTACTGGACCACCTTGTTAGGGACCTCGGTAATAGTCTCGGGCTCAGCCTTGGACTCCTCCGACTCGTATCCAAGCTGGGCGGTATCCCAGCCCTTGCTCTCGAGGAAAGCGCGGAAGCGGGCATTCTCCTCGGCGATGGTGTCCTGCCCAACGTAGGGGACGAGGAACAGGCAGATGGCGGCGGAGAGAACGCACAGGCTGGAGGCGACCCAGAAGGGGTACTGGGCCGAGGTGACCTCGTTGTCGCCTCCGGCCTTGACGATGTAAGGGAAGACCCAGGTTCCGACGAAGGCGCCGATCTTGCCAGTGGCAGCTGCGATACCGTAGTAGCGGCCTCGGACGCCGGTGGCGCAGGTTTTGGAGGCAAGGAGACCAATATTGTTGCCAGGACCGAACTCGCCGAGGGACTGGAAGATTCCAAAGACGACGGCGAAAGCAGCGATGGATTTGGTGATGTGAACATAGACACCGGCCATGATGAAGCCGATAATAGCCTGTGCAAAAACACCAGTGGCGAGAGTGTGCTTGGGACCGAGCCAGTCACTGACGAAAGCACCAATCAAAGTACCGGGAATGTAGAACAAGTTGATGACGGTGTTCCAGCCAAAAATAGTTGTCAGGGGGGCATCGTCGCCGTAGATACCGCTCAGGATAGAGGAAGAGTAGATACCGAAAGCATAGGATGAGAACTGGCTGTGGATTAGTATCTAGGCACTCGGGATAAGCACATGAGAACCTACGTTATAGAGGAACCAGATCAAGCTGATGCAAAAGAGACGGAACCCGTAGAACTGGAAGACAAGGCGGTAAGGAGTCTCCTTCTTCATGGACTCCTTCTTGTACTCCTCGGGCTCCTTGAGTCTGAAACGAAGAACAAGAAGCACGATAGGAAAAACCGCACCAATGCCTAAGCTGGTTCTCCAGATTGTCCCGTAGTGCGTGTTGTGAGCAGCAGCGGCAACAACGTCTACCCACGCGAATTAGTCACAGAAATCTACGACAATATCACCACATCAGTATTCACTCACAAGGGACGAAAGCGCCAATGACGAAGCCCCAATCGATCATGGAGTTGGTAAACAGAATGAACCATCTGTTGCGGGAACCCTTCTTCAGATCACCAGTGGACTCGGCAGCACCGACACTACCAGCTGGATATTCACCTCCAATACCAATACCGACGAAGAATCGCCAAGCAGTAAGCATGGCGAACATGCCGTCAGGCTCTCCCTTGTAGTATGATCCAGTGGCCAGAATGGTGAAGACAATCAAGATGATGGTGGAGAGAACAAGGGCATTGTTGCGGGACCAGGCATCTGACAGATAACCGAAGGCAAGCTGGCCCACGACAGTGCCCGCAAACGCGATGGAAGAGACATTCTGCGAGGCAGAGTTGTTCTTGTAGAGCGCGCCATACTGCAGGGCGAGAACAGTGTTGACGGAACCAATGACCTGTAGGCGCAGTATTAGCTACGACATTCCCCGGCGTATCATATTTCACGTCCACAACGACGCGACTGGTGGGTTTCCAATGTGGGACTTGCGTTGTTGATGTAGCCGTCAGAGAACAGACCAGCACCGCAGGCGAAGACGGGCAAAATAGCCTCCCGGAAGGGTTTGGGCGCACGCTCAGGGACGACGGGGGCCTCGATGTCGTTCGAGTTCCCATCCTGAGAGCGCTTCTTGAATGACAGGTCAAACATGATGAATCAGTCGCGTGGCTTCGAAACGTCGCCGAAGATGCAATTGTACAGTCACGGAGTACTTATGTTGGCCTGTGCTCAAATTTGCCGACTTATGGTTCACACGAGCGAGTAAGGTTTCACAAGGGGAGAAGGGTGCCTGAAGGCGACTTTATAGATCCAAACTTAGCCCCAGAGATAGCCAAGAGAAGGGAGGGACGGGGCAAAGCAACAGCACGTGGGAATTTCAACGACAGAGTTCAGCCATGTAACATGGAGCACGTGCGGAGAGATAAAGCCAAGATATGCAGATTGGTTCGGAGGAGGGCATAACGAACGGGGGAGGGTCGTTTGTCGTCCGCTGAGAATCCTACTAATTTAGTGGAACTAACAAGGACGGGGAGGTGGCAATGGAGGCAACCAGTCGCTGGCAAACCTCACGCGGTGTCGCCGTCGACTGGGAGATGGTCGGGTAAGCATCAAGGGATCGTCGCTCACAGTTGCCGCGTCAGCTGCCGTTCAACGGGATGGAGGAGGCACATGGTAACGCGAGCTGGCAGCGTCCACCTCTCCATCTCTCCCTCCCAGGCTTCAACATCCCATCTACCATCGAGCAAACCATCCACAGCAAGAATCACAAGCCAAAGACTGGCATAACCAAGGGAAATTGGCTAATCCTGTCCTCTTGGCTGAACGCTGCAGGCAAAGTGCAGGTATCACATTTGCCAGCTTCGGAATAGTGTCGTGTGAGAAAGCTGCAAAAGGACGGGGGCCAAGCTCCACTCCCGCTTGGCCAAGGTCGGAATTCGGCACAGGGAAGAGCCTCTTGCTTCTGCTGTGTCCAGGCGTGTGAAGCCCAATCCGGCCCTGGGTTGAGGTCACCGTGCTACCATTCACCAATCCTCATAGGCCCAAACATATCCGCGATATCAGCGGCCGCCATGCTTAGAGATGGATTTGTGATGTCTCTTCGCGATGGCCAAACCACAGGGTTGCGTCTGCAGCGCGCACCAGCGGCAATTGCTCGAGCGTCTCATCCACTCAGGCCAAGGGTGTTGGTTGGATCAGCGATGATTTTTCTCCTGCATTTCTCGGCAAGGGCGACAATTTTTTGGCCTGAGGATCAGCCGTGCCCACAGGCAATTTCAGCTCGGCCCGACACTGGCCGAGTCCCTCTGCAAGACACTATGAAACTCTCCTTCTGTCACTCTTGATCCAATTGTATGTATGCGATCATCATCTACAGAATCTCCACCATGCGAGACCTCAGGCACTCGTCCAATCACCCATGGGCTTTCGTTCAGTGCCGATTGCTAAGTGCCCAATTGGTTGCTGGTCAATCATGCTCAATGTTGGACCCTTGGACGTTGCTCGGAAGATTTCATAAAAAGCGATGCCGGGAATAGTCTGGTAGGATCGTGTTTATTTTTAATTTTCTTTCATTATTACTTGTGCTTGGCTTGGCCTGTGCCTGGGACTAGTTGAGAGACAGCCAATTACCCCAACTCCAACCCTTCTCTGACCTCCTTGCTGTCTGGGGCTTCAGCTCCAGCTCAGGCTGAAGCCAGTCGTAGGATTTCTCTCAAGATGAGGGAGCTCTTAGTCATAGAATTGTACGGCCCCGTACTTCTGCACGATTGCTGACCCTCATCCCATCACGACCAGCCGTTTTGATGGGTTCAAGTCCCACCAGGCTGCTTCACTAACCAGCTTCCTTTGGGACGTCACATTGACTTTGTAGCAGAAGCGTTCAGTCATCCTGACCAACATCAGTCTCAAGCCTGTCTTTCCAACCTCGCCACGCTGAGCTGCGATAACAATGAACGGCTGTAATTCTCCGTGGCCATTGACGTCTTCCTTGTTCAGATAGAGGCTTGTGAGTCTCTCATCGGTTGTTGGGCTAAGGACAAGGTATTCCTGAACCGACGATGCAGCGTTCTTATACAAAGGCCGTAGCTTCAGGAAGCTCAAGCTAGTGTAGAAGCAAATTAGTCCCGGGGGTATTTGCTCAAGGTTGGAGGCTAGGATAGCATATTGCGAGTGTATATGCGATAAATCAGGGGTGAAATGTTCGCGTAGTCTAGGCTGAATACTTTCCAAGACTGGTGCTTCCAGAACCGGTTCTGGAAGCATCTCAGCGCCATCAGCAAGTTTGAAGAAAGCAAGTAATCCTGCCGTTTCTCCAGGCCAAGATGTGGGCTCAATGCCCGTACCCGCCTGTTCCTTGGTGTAGATCCATCCCATCCAAGACCAACTCGGAAATGCAGGTCGCCGAGCACAGCACATCCCCCAGAACCAACAGCCAGATATTATCTGAGCAAAGTATCTTTCTGGGATTCCATGGTATATTGGCCCAATGAGGCCTTCCATCATCCTTGAAATTCCAGCAAATGCATTCCCCATGTCATCCTGTCGAGTGAGAGTCCGCTGGGTGTACTGCTTCACAATTCTTCGGAACATAGATATCAGCTCCTCTTCTGAACTCGTACCGCTGTTCTCCAAAGTTCTCGGTAACGAATGTAGAATAGAGTCCCCCCGAGGATCTTGGACATTTTCCAGTTGGAGATCCTCCCTCCAAACCGCCGTTGGGCATGAAAACAAGACCACAGATGGTAGAAATATGATTGCTCTTGTAGAGCAGACTTCTTCTTGAAGTGTCCAGCCTCTTGTCCTCCATTTAGACGCTTGAAGCGCCTGTCGTGGATCCCGAAGAACTCTCGCCATGGGTGTGTTTTGAATAAGAAAGGGTTTGTCGATGAATTCTCTCTCTTCAAATCTGCTGACACCCGAAAGGCCCAAGTCACAGCTTGGTCCGTCAGCTGCCACGATTGTGGCCTCCGCTTGGTGGTATATAAGAAACATCTGGTCGATCTGCTCTTGTCGTTGGGAATCATCATCCTGGACGATGCACAACGCATCAACCCACAGGAACCGCAAACCTGTCTGTTTAGTGATAACCATTGCATCACGAACCTTTTTGGTAATTTTTACTTCCTCTGTGAGACTCCCAGGCTCATGCCACTTATCCAGTGTCAATCTGATCAGTTCTGCCTGTGGGACGCCACCCCACACGTAACTCAAGGCAAGATACGGCGGTGTGTGTCCATCCGTCGTAGTAACCAGACAGTTCTTTTCCGTGTCGACCAGGATAAGGTTCTGAGGTTTACGCTCGGATGTTTCAGTAATGCATCGGCTTCCATGATCAGAATGACATCTGTTTAACCACTTGTTGATAAGACTGACATCAAATTTTGGATGCACAATGCGGGCGAAGCAGGGTTTGTCGGATGAAATGGGAACGTAGAGCGCCTCATCCTTTGATAGCTGGCGGTGAATCGCGCGGAATCCTTCCTCAGTTGGGTTTCTGATAGTCCTTTGATATTCATCACCAGACCTGAGTGCAGCGTGATTTCCCGCAGGCTTTGACAGGTCTAGTTCATATTCCTGAAATTTTAAGCCTTTCCAGGTTTCCTCTGTTTGTAATCGAATCTGAACTCTGTCTATCAGACTCCGATTGTAGGACCCTTTGCACCATGGAATAGGATGGTCCTTTAAAGCTTGATTTAGGCCTGCTGGATGAACTTGATACAGTTGCTTGGCTAGGCCATCGAGACTCTCTGGGGAGCGGCCTTCGTGATTACACCATGCACAAAACTCGGATCCTTGGTGCCGAGACAATGGCTGTTCCATGACGCGCAGTATATTTTCGCACAATGGGATGAATGCATTGAAAGCAACAGTTAGCACTTGGTCGGGGTAAAGCATCCTGGCCTCTTGCAATGCCTGGTTCAGCTGGCTACCGCAATCGAAAGCTTGCGGAGGCGTATCCACAGACTCCGGCCGATCCAGTACTGAAATCTTAGCTTTAAACATATCTTTACAGCTCTGTAGCTTTTGTTCCAGTTTGGTGTTTGTTTCCACGGCTGATTGCGAGATCGGCTGGCTGGCCTTAACCTCTTGGATCCATTGCTTGAGATCGGAGCAGATCCCAAAATATTTCCTATCCAGATGTAAGCTTCATGCCTCAGTTCAATTTAGGTGCAATTAAGATGTTTCATTTCAAATACATCATATTTTCCCGTCGGTCATGACATCCGCCTACAATGCCAATCTCATCTTGGATCGTGGTGCACATCTCGCAAGGCGGCATTTGTTCTTCAGGGGGTAGCCTATGGATAGGCTCGAATTTCCAAGAGTAGAGAACAGCATTGTTTTCGAAATCATCGCTCGTATCCCAATCATTGAGGCAGCGCTTAAGAGAACTCAAGGATGAACAGGCCGTGCACCCATCATCTCGCCTTGGAACCATGGGCAGAGGTAGGGGCAACGGGTCGTCTTGGTCCCGCTCAACGGCGCTCGGCACTGGCGATTCACGTTCCTCTCTTTTGCTTGAATCATGAGGCCACCGCCGTATCAAAGACTTCACAAATCGCTTTGCCATTGGGGAGACTGTTTTGATGGTGTATTTTTTATTAGAGCGGATAGACACAATAGATCAATTGATTCGGTTCTTATTGGGGTAGCATAGGAGGCTGGGCTGACTTGACTGCTTGGTCATACCAACCCGATTATGCCTTACATTTTCGGCTAATATGACATGGCAAGAGGTGGAGTTTCGTGTCCAGACAAGTGGGCATCAGAATGACAGGGACTGCATAGGCGTTTCCATCGATCTCAACTTTCCGACAAGCCATGATATCGATAGAGAATAATACATGATTAACAATTCTTTGAGTAATCATTAGGAGGCATTATAATGTAGTATTACACAAGAGGAAGCATTATCATGTGGCTAACTGCCACGATAATTCTGGCGAGGTGGTTTTGCAACGACAAATTAATAAGTCCATATCTGTAGAAACTCCACAGCCCAATCTTTCAATTCCGATGCTGCTACTCGTTTGAAACTAGACGGAAAAAACCATTAGCTATCATGATGGTCACCATTTAAGAAGTGCTAAAGCAAAAGAGACCAAAGAAGGCTATCATCAACCACGAAAATATCAAATTATTCAAACCTATAATTGTAAGTCTACATCGAGGATTGAATACAGTATCGGTGATCATTATGACTCATTCAGAATGGCGACCAATGGTCATCAAACGAAGGGTGCTCAATTGACATAAATCGAAGTATGTTGCGATGATTACTGAATTCGGCTGGTGATCTACATATTTATGCTTATTGATGCAAGACATAAGTCCAATTCCCCCCATCTCTCTCTAACACCATTACCTTTCCCCCTCTCTACTTCACCTAATTCAAGACCCTTATCCCTTCTAAAGCCATGTCAGCACGAATTTCTTTCATATCGAGGTTCTCTCCAAGGCCTCAATCCTCGCAAGCTAGCCCACCCGCCATCTGGTCAAGAAGTTTCTCTCGCTTTGCCCGCACAGCACCGGCAGCGGAGGTCGTCAAGGCCTTGAAAGAGGATGGATGCATTGTCATTGAATCCATGCTGCCATCCTCACAGGTTGCCCGGCTGAATAAAGATATGGATCTAGCTTTGGCCAATATAAAACCCGGGAGACCGGCCAACGCCAACACAGCACCGCTCCCAGAAGGTGCCGACCCAGCCGTGTTTGGAGCCAAAACGAAGCGCCTAGGGAACATGTTGAACTCCAGCGCGGCATTTCGCGAGGACATTGTCAACAACGATAGCCTCCACAATATTTCAGCCGAAATATTCAAGGAGACCGGCGACTACTGGCTCAGCACCGCACAAATGATTGAGATTGGGCCGGGGACGAAAGCCCAGCCACTCCATCCCGATGCCGTGGGCTGGTGGCCGTTCTGGAGCATGGGCGACAAATGGATGCCGGAGTTCGCGGTCAACTTTTTGATTGCTGCAACTGACACGACAAAGGAGAACGGAGCGACGGGAGTTGTTCGCGGCAGCCACAAGATGAGCTATGCAAATGCTCTGGACAATCCTTCGGAGCTGTGGAAGTACTCTGATGATGAGGTCGAGCAGGTCGAGCTGAAGGCTGGAGATTGTCTCCTCTTGGGTGGCAGGATTGTGCATAGGGGAGAGGAAAACAAGACTGATGATGAGTATCGCAGAATACTGAGCTGCACTATCATCAGCTCCGCACTCACACCGGAAGAGGCTCACCCTTTGCTCCTGGAGAGGGACAAGGCAAAGGAGCTGTCGGAGAGAGCCAAGAAGTTTCTTGGCTTCCGCGAGCTCTCGACTACTATAGGCCCTGATGTCTGGCAGGATCACCGAAAAGGTGGATTAAAGAAAGCCCTGGGCTTCTAAGCAGGGAGCCGTCATGTCGAGAAGCCTAAAGGCCGGGTTTGGCTCAATGACAACTTTCAAGATCGCTGAGCTACCCTATGTCGCAACTAGCAATTCTTACCTGCTGTGGGAAGCTGGCTAGGCACATAAAACTTGGCAACTATGAGTGAACTACATGTGTTGGAAAGAAGAGATTATTATGTATATTAACAATAAGATACTGGAGCGGCCGTGTAATATTAAGTTTGGGGATCAAAGTTCTGTATCAAATGCAGGTGTACCAGTACCCCTGTGATAGGACCTTCAATCGATTCTAATCAAGGTGGCAGCTTACACGACCTTCCTCCACCCAATTACCGACAGGTATGGGCACTGGACCAGCCAGTCTGGTGTGCTCACCGTCCTGCAGCGTGCACCTGGCCAACAAGTGTTTGAGTCCTGCAGAAGTGTGGCGGGTTCAATTTGCACAGCCACCAGTGCTGTTGGTGACACAGCCACCGTCCTGCTTGAAGGGCTCCACTGTGATGGTGAGCCTTCTCAATTGCTCTGCTTATTGGCGGGTTGTAGAAGTGCGGCCCCCAAGCGAAATGCGTGCAGACACCGAATCTGGCTCGTCGAGGAAACGCGTCATAGCTGGTGAGAGCCCTGACGAAGGGTTCCGCCTGCTGCTCTGCCTGGCGCTACTTTGGTTTTGTATGTTAGCAACTGTATAGAGTGAGGGGAGAGCTTGCATAAAATTTATGAATCTATGTACCTTGCATAATATGAATTTAGGGAGACTGTTGATCTGGCTGACCCTTGGTTGCCAGTCATTGACGATGTCGTCGAATAAGAAGGCATCTTGATATAGGTCCGTGAGAGGATGTCAATTGAGCAAGTGAAGGGAGATTTTTCATCAATCGTTGTATGATTTTATTTGATCTGATCAAGTGTGTTTAATCCATATCATCAGCGTCTTCTGGCCTCCATTTAAATAGTTGGCCTGGGCCAGACTCGTCCGCGTTGCGCAAAACTCACGAGTCCTAGACAACGAGTTGAACTTCCACATACGGGAACTTTCAAAGTCAGTTAAACTCGTAGGGCGGAGCCACGCGTTATCCGCATCGGACGCCTGCGTCTTAATAGCAAGTTCAGCTGTCTGATTCCGCGTCCAGTTATGCGCAGGCTGCTTCACTTGCGCAAAACCCCTGTCACTTGGCCAAGGGGCCCTGTTCACGGGCTGACACCTCAAACCAATGGCATGACGCACACAAGGTCAGCATGCAGGCTCCGCCGCCTTGGAATAAGCGTTGGTCACTGGTTGTATTGGTGGTTCGCGACCTGCGACTTCTCGCTGGATTCTTCCTCTTTGAACTTCAATTGAGGTGCTGGGACCTTTGTGCCCAACTCCTCCCTTCCCTCCACTTCAACTTCGTACTATTGCATTCTTTGGCGAAAAAGCACCACTTATACCTGGCGAGTGACTACCGGCCATCGGTACAGTATCGGAGCGTACTGACCGCCCCATCAGCCATCGGGCAGGCTCACCATGGATCTGCCTACTCGCATCCGGCGTGGCGCCCAAGGCGTTTCATCGAGAATCGGGACACGGAACATCGCAGGGCGCACGAATTCAGAACAACAGGCCAAAAAGCCTACACAGCGGTTCACCGAACGTTTTCGGGCCTACAAACGTTCGTTGTCGGACTTAATATTGGGGCCACCCAAATCAGCAGACTCGTTTGTCACTTGTGATGGCCCTGGCCAACAGAATAATGGGAGAGCTGCATTGCCCGTGGGCCTGGACTCTACCTGTTCGTACGAAAGCCCAGAAGTATCAGAAAAGTCGCCGCCTGAGTCTGCTTCCCTTCTACACATTACGGAATGCAACATGGAATCAGCCCATGACCAAGTGAATGCGCAACACGCCTCAACGCTTCGTGACCTCACTGGAGTGGGAAGCCATCTCCCAACAGACGATCGTGGGATTGACCAGGACAGAAGGCGAAGAGGTAAGATAGATACATCATTAATAGACCTCAAATACTAACGTTTTTTATCAGACTCGTATCGCGATTCGATCGTTGGGCATGGGTCTTCTGATGAGTACAACGTCAACCTTCGTTTTGTAAGTGGGAAACATCGAACAAGACTAGAAATCAGTAGTCTCCTAACACATTCATTGGCTTTACAGTCGAGCCCAAGGAGTACGTTTGGTTATCCCACAAGAACATCGAGCTGCACAACCAACTCATCGAGATCTGAGCTTCCGGACGGGCTACAGCGGCATAAACGATATTCATCCCTCTGGGCACATGAATCATTTGCCGAAGGGTCGACTACTGAATCGGTTTTCAGCGGAAGGGCGCAGTCGACTATTTCTATTTCCTCAGTCGGCACCGTTGAGGCCCCCATCACAGATGAAGCCCGCCCTGCTGCGTCGAAGCGACAAAGACTATCGTCGTCCTCGACAGGCACATTGTCAAGTTACTATGATGTCAATCTGGACGAGAATCCCTTGCCAACGCCGCCAAGTTCGGCTGGCTTGCGAAACTTTAGAAAGTCTATTGATCGGTCTTCTGCTGAGAGTTTGAATATCACCAACCAACTACAAAATTTTGAGAAACCAACAAAGAAGACAAATGGAGATCGACCAGAACGGCCTGTTCTGAAGATAGAACCTGTAACCGGCTGGCTCAATATAGGCGAAATGGACGAGGAAACATCTGCGAAGCCGCTCAGCGTTATCTCGGAAGGGAACTCTGACGCGGCAAACTCGTTTATGGACACAAGCCCTATCCAGCCATCCGGTCCGTTTGACAGATTGCCTATCCCCTCGAACCCGACTAGATCTGGTCGAAGGTCATTCTCAGATTCTACATCTGAGATTCCCAATTCTCTCACATCCCCAATGCCGATGGTCTCAACACGCGCCACATCTATCAATGAACAGTCAGAGCTCGACGACGTTAGTGAAGACGACAGCCTTGTTTCTGATGACATGGATGAAACGGACGATCCATTTCTCGAAGCATTCGCAGCCTCCTCCTTGGACCCAAATCTTCTCCCATTTGTACTGAACCTCAAAGATCATTTGGTGGACCAAGTCGCATCAAGAGTGGCCGAATGGGTGAGATCCCACGCTATTGGGCCTGGAGAATCAGGATCGGGAGGACCCTCTAGTGCAAACTTTAGCCCCAATAACTCGAGTGGTTCTGGGTCAAGGAAATCTGGCCGGAAGAGGAGCTTTTTCGGCGAGGGTGGTGATAACTCCGAGAGAGAAGATGGAGATGACGAGCAAGGCAAGAGGCGAAGGACTGAGCCCGACCTCCTCGACAAGGCAGGTCATGGACTTTTTGCTTGCCCGTTTACGAAACGATACCCCGAGAAGAAGTGGCCAAAATGCCACAAGAAAGCCTTCAAAGAAGTTCACCGTATCAAGTAAGCAGACTTACATGACCCTGTTCCCTTCTGTAACGAACTAACATGATAGCAGAGAGCATATCTATAGGACACATATGCTTGCTCCACACTGTGAGAGATGTTTTGCTGAATTCGAAACGGAGGCGGAGCGGGCAGCGCACAGCCGGCAACAGGTTCCGTGTGATGTTATTGAGCCTCCAGCTGCCATGATCGGCGTAACGGCCGACATTAAGGATAGATTGAAGTCTAGAAAGGGGAAACAGAACTGGGATGAAGACTCGAAATGGAGAGCGATGTACACCATTCTTTTTGAAGACCAAACCGAAATACCGAGTCCTTGTGAGTTGTCACATTTTCAATTTTAACAGCCAGCATACTGATAGAATAAATAGATTACGAATTCGATATGTCTATTGGGCCAATGAGCCAAGACCAATGTACGCAGTTTATCCGACAGCAATCCAGTCACTGCGAGCGGGAGATTAGGGGTCTCTTGGAGGAGAGACTACAGGATGAGCCCGGATTCGATATTCTGCGAGTTCGTGTCTTGGAGACGATCAGGGAGGCTTTTGACACATACTTCCCAGCAACGACAGCTGCAACTCCCAGTTCTGCCTCCAAATCAGAAGGACCTCAAGTATCACGGAAATCAAAGTCTCCTGCTTCGATGTTGTCAACCATCGAACTGAATTCTTTCGACAAGAAGAATGTACCTTCACACCAATCTACGCCTATCGATGGAGATCATGGAGCGACCAGCTTGGGAGATAGATTGCAGCCAAGAAACGACCTTTCGAATCGTTTTGCCACAGGACTTACGGTGCATTCGACACCAGAACCTGGCAGTGAGAGGGACCTGCTTGTACCATCAAAAGCGGATGGCAACAATGAAACACCAGAACCTTCATGCCCTGGCGGCCATGAGAGGGGCATGCTAGCCGGGCTGTATGATACCCAGTTCAACTTTTCTGATGAGATCTGTGACTCTTTTTACTTCTACGAGGACCGCCCCTTGGAATTCCTTGGGGAGCACCCTTGGCTTACCGAGCATACAGAGCCTGCAGTTGAGAATCCCCAATGACGTATCTTGGAGGCTGAAAGTGTAAGATTAGTTAGGCAGAGCGTTTATGGCATCGGAGCCCAAAAGTGCTTTCCCTGTATTTTTATATAATTTGATATGTATCTCCCACGTAGGCGGGAATGGACGGGTTTCACATCTAGGATTGTGCAAGAGGTAGCGTTTGGAAGGCATATGCTGTTAGGATGTCAATTAATGATGTGATATGATGGCGAACATGAAGCAATAATATTATAATCGATTTGATTTTATGCATTATATCACTGCCTGTCAAGTTTGCTTTGGAGGGGTGTGCGTTGAATCGGCTAGCACTCCTGAGGTAGGTAGTTATCTATTCGGCAACGGATTGTCTCCAGATACTGGAACTATTCATAGGGGTTTCCTTGTAGCTTATGTTACAATGAACGCCAATTCTTAGCATATACTGTAGTTAGTATCTGTTAATTTGCAATATAGCTGAATAGCTAAGCCCTTTCGCTGGAGGAGGTGGCTGTGTTATTCCTTCACACAATTCCGGTGTAATCGCTGAAAAACATTTTCCTCCACAAAGCTGGCAACCGAAAAAGGTAGATGCACAAGTAACAAGGGACTGAGGAATGACTATTTGGCAAGATCTCAGCAAAAAGTTTGCCTCTCTTGTCAATGGAGGCCTCCCTGTAGATGAGTTCTAGCCCTGTGGGGACGAACCGTCTCACTGGTGTCGAGGTCTCGATTAACGATGCAGACGGACACGTGCCTTGCTAGAAGTCTTTGCTAAACTTTGCGGAACTTCAGTGACCAATCGAGAAATTGCCTGGAGAATCCGCTAACACGATTGCAGAGAGGTTTCTGCTGGTAGTAAGAGAAAAGGGTAAAACTCCGCTGTGTAACATTGAGACGCCTTTGCATACCAGGCGATCCCCATGCTCTGGGACCTGATTCATCTCTTTTGTCTAAAGCGTACAATTATACAATTAGCCTCCGAGATGCATTTAGTTGAGAATGGCACCAATAACGGTCTTCTGAGACATGCCCGCATCAGTAGATTTCCATATCAAGCATTTCACGACAATGGAATCCCGACAGTTGAAGAAGCCCTCGCTCATAAAACAGGAGGCATTGACTGAAAGGCAGATTTAAATACCCAGGTCCAGCTGACGTTCCACATCTCTCTATAAAGGTTCGTCGGCGTGAACTTAGGGTCAGCGACATGGCGTAGATCGAGATCTAGCATTCCTGACTGCTAGCTTGTGGGCTGCGGATCGAACTATGCCGTTTCTATGGGTTTTATCCCTTGACATCTAAAAGGACTGGCTCCTCCAGTTCAATACGGCAACTTCTGTTGTTAGTAATTGCCATAGAGCAAGGCCTCTGCTGCACGTATGGACTCATGGTGACACAGTCCAGTTTCTTTCTTTTAGTGGAGGAAAATGCTTAAACTCACAGGGAAAGGGCTGATGGTAATGAATTGGTTCTTTTATGTGTGCATGCTGTCGGCTAATTCTGGTTTAGGCTATTGAGTGGTCCTTAATTGGCATCGCTCTTATTCTTGGCCTCGCACGACTTGATCTACGATTCAAGCATCACCAACAAGGATTCATTCTTAGAGACTTGTTCTATTTATTTGCGCTGGCGACCGCACTTACCAATACCGCTATTGACACGGCTTTATGGCACCGCGGGATAGGAGTCTTTGAGGAAGATGTTGATTTCGGGGTGGTACAGTGGCAGGCACCCAGGGATAATATCATTGCTGCTTTCAGAGTAAGTCTAATAGACGACTCAAAGAATTTGAGGGGACAATTACGAGGCTGATTGTTATTGTATCAAAAGACAATTTATATATCACTCTTTACGTTTTACCTCGAGCAGTACCTAACTAAAGGCATCCTCATCACGCAATATTTCGAGCTTTTCGGACGGCGCTCGCGGCGAACCCGAACTGTTTTATATCTCCTCATTGGATATTGTGCTGTTGGTTTCATCACTACGATTTTCATGCTACTTTTTATTTGTAGATTAGGCTGTTTCTGGTATGCCTAATCTTATCCTTCTTGATGAAAGGCTGCTGCTAACTTTTTATAGGTCGATAGAGGCTGAATGCCGCCACCAACAATGTCAGCTGATAAAAGACAATGTAGCCTGGGCTTTTCATTTTACGTCAGATGTTATGAGTACGTATAACTGATGAGCAAAAAACTTGGAACTGAAGAGGGAGGATTGAAAAAGCTAAGAGACATAACAGTTTTTATTCTTCCGTTAGCCTGCATTAGCCGGTTACCGATGTCCAGAGCGCAAAAGATCAGCGCAGGCCTTACTTTTGGCCTCGGATTTATTAACATTGGCATTACCGTTATGAGATGGTTCATCGTCCACTCACCGTTTGCGCCGTCGACCACTTTTGCCGTGGATGGTACGTCGCTGGCCACTTTCAGGTTGCAAGATCGGAGCTGATATATAATATAGAGGCTCTCTTCATTACCGATGCCCACACCTCCCTCATAATTTCTATATTGCCATCACTCCGACTGTATCTGCGAATATTCCGAAGAAAAGATGGCAAATACCGCCAATCACGTGTTGCAAGCGCCCTTTCTCAGGCAAATGAATCCCAGGCAGGAACTGCAAGATACAAAGAGATATGTCACCCCACTGCAGCTGGTTCGGTGTCCCAGGGATAGGGGGCGCTCAAACTATGAATAGAAAATCCTCAAACGAAGATCGGCCGCGGATCGAGATTTACTGAAGCTCAAACCGGTGCTGAGTGGCTCAAGTTCCACTGCGATTAAGCGACGGCATCGAAACAAAGACCGATCTTGTAATGAACATAATGCTAGAGCAGGAAAAAGACGAATTAACGCCTAGGATTCTCTCCCTTCACCGCAAGGGTTCACTTGATATTATGCAAACAGAGCCCGGCGCAACACATCGATACGCACCGAAAACCGACGCATAATAGTTATGACAGCTTCCTTCGCTCTTCCCACCTACAGAGACCGTTTATCTATGGAGAAGGCCAACGCCCAGTATCGCACCGATTCCAATTCTAATTTATACCGCACATTGCTCAGAAATACCCGTCTGGAAACTTTTATGGACGGTTACTAATGTTTAAGATGGCCATTCAAGGGGTCATCATGACATTTGGACGGATCGCGTTTTGTGTTTCGAACTAATAAGTCAGCTCGAACTAAGATCATGCTCACTATTTACTCTGCAATACGAACCTATATATCGACACTGAATCTGTACTTCAGCAAGTGTAATAATTACATTTTTGTCGCAGTTCACTAACCTGTTGACACTTTGGGCTTTTGTTACATACATGCATTGCTACATACATGCATAATCTCTGATCACAATGACTGGCATCCTCTATATAAGAAGAAAATTCAAATTTGCAAATTGAAACATGCTATCTTTCTCGGGCACGTCCTAGAAGATTTAAGCTGGTATCCGGCATTTCATAAAGAGATGACACCTTGGCTGCTGGGGCAAACCCCTTAATGGCACTTGGGGCGGGACGGTCCATTGCCGCGATATGGTGAACGTCCGCGTCGCTTTTGCTCAGGTTCAAATTCTGTGGCGTCGCATCCAACTCTTGTAGTGGTGTCCTGCGTCCGATCGAGTTTGCTGGCAACTCAATCTTTTCCGTGAAATCTTCCCCTTTAGATGAGACAACCGTCGTAGAGTAAAGAGTGTCGCCCGGGTCAACCTGAAGCCCCTCGCTTGCATCTGGAGACGCACGCCGAGGGTGGTCGATTTCCTGAATATCCCTTGAACCTCTTCTACGCATGAAGAAAAAGATAGCCACCGCCAATATTAAAAGTGCTGCTAGGACACAGCCAACGATGACCCCTATCAAAGCGCCGCCTGACAATGCTGCTTGTTGTTCACCTTGATCGGATCCTTCGGAAACTGCGCCAGTGCCGGTACCAGCCTCTGCATTGGTGCGCGTGTCTGTTCCCGTTTGAGAAGCGGATTTTGAGCCCGAAGACGAGATAATTGTCGTGCGAGACGTCACCGTACCAATATCGATTCCGCTTATAGAGGTAGGGGGAATGACATCTCCAGGGATTGCCCAACTCGACGCTGAATTGAATGTAGGACACGCGGGCGCAGTCTCAGTCGCAGTATAAGACAACACGGGTGTCACAGGAAGACTGATGGTCGAGAATACGGTCGAAAGCGCGCTGTAATCGTCAAGCATCGAAGGAGTTCCCGTTTGGGCGCTGTCCGAGTATTCCACAAGCCCGAAATCGCTCGACTGCTGGGCCCATTCATACACGATGGCACCAGAGAACTTGTTCTGGAAAAGAGGCGACATCATCGTCTGGATCTCTTTGAAATCGCGTTTGTTGCTCCCATTTGCGACACAGCCCGTCTCTGTGAATACTATCGGGATATTGTAATGCTCAAAGGTCTCGTATAATCGGTCGAAGGGAGTTGGTATGGAAAACGAATCGCCACACAAGCTGTAAGAGTCAATTCCGAACATCTCGATTCTATTCTTGGTATCGCCACACGCCAAGAACTGTCCTGATAGAGATAAATGTGGCCCGGCGGAGGCTGAAGAATAAGTAACGGGTATCTGGCGGTAGCCTCTGGCATCTCTAAATGCTCGAATGTCCCTGGCAGCTGCTTTGACGGCTATAGCACCCAGGCTGCCTTTGTCTTTGAGAATGTTAGACGTTGGAACTATATCACTCGATTGTGTCATCCGACGTACTTGTATTATCTAGGACCTCGGCACCAAGCGTAAAGGCGAGAAGATTTTCATATCCGGCAAAATGGTCGACGGTGGAAGTGAAGTTGTTGTACAAGTCGGCTGTCCATCCTAGTTTTGTCTAATGCAAATTAGATTCACGTGTATTGTTTGGATGTATAACTCCCATTTACTCACCGCCGGGATTCTTCTGGAGGAAGTTGCCAAGTCCATCCAAACGTAGATGCCCTGACTTGAAAAAGCTTCCATACAGTCTTTGTGGTCTTTGGTAGAATCGGCCCCATAAACTCGTATAGTATTAACACCAAGGCTCTTCATTAGTCCGGCGTCGATCTGGCATTGTTTACCGTCAAGCAAGACATCCTGCTCTCCATTTCCCGCGTAAATAACTCCTGGTGTAAAAGCCTTTGATCAGTATAGCCGAAGGGCAGGAGGGAAAGCAAGCTGGGGAGCCAACCTTTGACGAAGAACTGCTTTCCGTCTCCATCGTAGAGCTTTGCGCCGTTTACGGAGATGGGGGAAAGTGAAGCTGCGAGATTAGTAAACAGAAGAACTGCACACACCGCCGAAACTCGAAGCCCCGTACGCATTGCGTAGGTGTTCATGTTGGGCGTATACAGGAGCGGAAACAGTCCAACAAGCGACTTCTCGATGTCGATTAGGTATCGATCCGTGCCTCACCGGTAGAAATGCCACGATCCGACGTTTCCTCCACGGGTAAGGTGAAAGTCGAGTCTCTGGAGGGGTGATCGGAGTGATAAAGAGAAGGACCTACGTTTGAGCCGGCACTTGTTGCTTACTTTGTGTGTTTCAGGACCTATTTTGGGAAGCGGTAGCAAAGGATGTAATTAAGCTGACAGCATATGCCGGGGTGAAGGCCTGGCCGCTAGGATCATTATTCTCAAAAAGGATAATTGTTTCCAAGCTCAAACACTGGTATCCTTGGCAGTCTATTCAAGCGAGGCTCGCTATGAGGACACAAATCAGCGGCTTATTCTACCTAGATTTTCCGAATCTTCCGAGGTCGTTTCTCTGAAGTCATCGTGCCATCCCGTTCGGAAGGTGAATCTCAAACACTGACTCTACAGGATTAGAAAGGAAGTGAAGAGATAACTCCACCATTTAGGGCCTTGATGAGCTGATATCACCTACAAGAAGATTGGTAATTTATCCTCAACTGGTCTAGTGTCCCCCAATCTTGAGGGGGACGGGACCGAAGACCAGCCATGCGAATAATAAACTCCGCTGAGATAATCAACATGGTTCTCACTGCTCAGCTTCTTGATCCGGACAACCCTGCTCCCAGGCACTAAAAAATGAAGTAAATTTCAGCGCGATCCCTGACCCTTACCAGGACAATATGAATCTGGCATCTGTTCAAAGCATGCAGCCAGCTGCTGTCTTTCAGCTAGGTGGATAGAGGCAGGGAAGTGGGCGGCATGGGAGATAATGTCCCGTGATTATTTGTCTTACGATATGTTAAGTCTAATAACCAGCAAATATGATGAATTATTCATCGCTGTCAGATTGTTGATTCTTGTGTCCTTACGAAAAACCCTTTGGATGGTTACTTCTTCCTGATGGAATCTATCTAGTTAGATTAGAGTGAGCACATGATAAATCACATCAGATGAAAAGCGGCAATAGCCTTTGAACACGTTGATTCTAGGCAATAAATTAGGAGGAAGCACCGGGCAATAAAATCTGTATAGGCCCCACGGGCGATACAGGAACCTATTTAATGAACTTTGTTGCTGATTGAGATACGAACGTTTATTACCTATTAAGGAGTGACTTGATATCGGCCGCAGACGGTCAATGCCAAAGGAACAAAGTAAAGAACACATGGGGAAAAAAAGCGACAATGACCAAGAAGGAATCCCACAACTAGAGAAACTAACTCATCCAGGAGCCATACACTTCCAGTGTTGAGGGTAACCAGAAGCTTTCGGTGTGAGTTTTGAATCAACTCGTAGTGATCTCCATCTAAGTACTAGCTCTGCTATCGGCATATTCGAGGAGTTTAGTAACGTCTCTCTCCATGAAAAGCCATCTCAGAGAGTGCGAGGCGAGATCGCATTTCCGCTCCATAGGATCTCTCTCTCCCCGCAGCTGGAATTTCTTGACGATACTCTTCTGGGTCATAGATCCGCCGTGGTAGCAGGCATCGCAAATCCGCATCTTGTCCCATCCCCACCAGCGTTGATTCGCGCCCCGTCCCGTCTTGGCACCACGGCAACCCTGACGCTTCGGGTGCTCGTTGATAAATTCATATAGTCGGCTTGGGTCGCCGAATATCAGAGCCTCAGAAAGCATCTCACCGTGTCGGACGGAGGCTGGGTGGTAGTAGTTGCGCCAGCACACCATACTTTCCCCTTTCCGAACGTCGGTTTTAGGGATGAAGTAGTCACCCATCCCCTGAGGCTTGAGGTTCCCATGATAACAGCGGCCGCAGATAGCATATGACCTATGAACATTTCCGGGCAAGGTAAACCACATGGTGTTGGACACTCCCTTTGGTTCACATTTAGGCCACTCGGCACCTTCATTGAGGGCGTTGTAAAGCAAGTGGTAGTCATCCTTTTCTTCGGCGGCGGTAATGACAGCCCTGAATCTTGAGGTGGCCATGCATCTGCCGCCCTTGGGGAGTTCCTCAACTCGTGTGAAATCGGTTTCGGCCTTGGTGCCAACAAAAAAGGTGTGGTAGCATGCTCCGCAAAAGAAATATGGCTGGGAGACAACAAAACACTGATACCATGTAGCCTTCTTTGCCAACTTTCCAGGCTTGAGCTCGTGAAGCGGGCAAGCTGGGAGATCGAGGCGTTCTTTTGTCTTCGTGACAAACTCATCCCAGCTTGATGGGAGCGTTGAATCCATCTTGAGTAAGCGCGTAACGTATCGGCAATGAGCCTTGCAATACGTTTTCGACTGCCTCACTTGCCGCTTGAAATGGGTCGCAAAGCCGGTCGATGCTATGCGGTCCTCGTAACACTCCTCACACACCGTAAATTCAGGAAAATCGACGGAAGCATACCATATGTCGCCTGGTGCGCGAGACGAGCTCTTTGGGCAATCTCTCACTGTACGAGCCCAGATGATATGGTTGATAAACTTCCCCATTGAGCCTTCGGACACAGTTTGAGTCCATACTCTCAATGTCATGTCAAGTCGTTTGAACTGGCAAAATCGTCGTTTTCGATCGACTGGCCGGAACAAGACAAACTCCTTATTTAGACTCGTATTGGCGATATGGTCGACATAACAGCGACCACATATGAGAAAGCTCGGTTCGGAAGGGTGTTGAATCCACGCTACGGGTGCAGAGGTTGCTTCCTTGATGCATAAGTTTGTTGGCTCGACAGAGGAGGTGGTAGCTAGTTCCGGGGTGGGCGCTGAGCGCAGAGCATTCTGTTCTTGCTCTTGGTATGGCGGCAGGTCATTAACGGGCTCCCATTCCGATGGATCGAACTTGCCAGCCTCTAAAGTCTTTGCATTTTTCTCGGATGGGTTATTTGTCACCTCTTGGGTTTCTGTTGTCGGGTTGTTGCGCTTGGTCTTATTACCCGTGAGGAAGCCTCCAATCGTGATAAAGAGACGGCTCAGACGATCCATGATGGACGGCAACTAGAATGACCAAGGTGAAGGTTAAGGTTGGCTATAACGGCACAAGTTGTTGTTTTGGTATTTTTGCTGTCAGTCTATAATAGTCGGGACGGCCGGTAAGCATAAAGCAAGGAAGCGACTTATAGATGGACCATCAAGCCAGGCGCTCCAGCTGCCTGCAATTAGTCCTTTGTCCACTTCACACGACACTAATGAAACGGGCGAACCAGGCGGGGAAAGGCGACAGTCTTATTATTCTCGCTGGTGTATGCGGTGCCCCCCTCAAGGCAGATTCTCACATGAATCGGGCGTTCTGGTGGAGCCAGTGGTGCTGTCAGCATTCGGATTTGGCTCACTTGAAGCAGGAGGCCAGGCATATGTGCACGTATTGCGTTATCTTGTGCTTTCGGTCGCACCGCTGGGCTCCGTTGATTGGAGGGACGACTGAGGGGCGTTGCCCGACGTGACGTATCAATGCAATATGCATCATTGCAAAACATGCAAAGGCGCGTGACTCTTTTGGGCGCACGATCCAAAATTTATAAGTACTGGCCAAGTACTATTTATTAGTGATTTCCCCCGGAAAAAAGGTTTTTACAGGAAGCATTTAACCTAACTAGATAATAAACACCGAGGTAGGTAGACTTGCCTTGGGTGTGCTCTGTGACCATGTTAAGCCCCTTTATGATTGCTGAAGTCTTTATTTTCTATCGATTTTCAATCCTTCAATACAGTATCAACCTGGATTTTGTCCTTGGGTGCCGATATCGACGATGCCATAAGTACCATGAGGAAGTGTCTGCGTGTCAAAACGGCATAAAGCAGCAGCAAGGCTATATTGAGTTGTTAGCTTCGCTGACGTTGAGGCTGCATGTATTGATTCACACTTAGTTTTATTAATCCATACCCATTCTGGAGTGAGGCTGGTAATACCATACCTTGTATGTTCAAATTTCGAGCTACTGCAAGCATGATGGTAAAGTGCAGCTAAAGGCATCACCTAAAAACAAGCGACGGGGAGAATATACGTTGTTATATGCTAAATGGCGGTGAAGTCCAACTATCGCGTTCCTTTATTATGAATCCTTAGTTCTTCTGCTATCATTTGTAGTTTCTCCTGTGCCTCTCTGAGAAGCTCGCGTGCCAATCTTTGGCACTCTTGAGCGTTCTCCTTCTCTATTCCAAAGAAGTCCTCATCCACACTATTCTCCCAACAATCCTCATTTTCCTGTGACTCTGACCACTCTGAAGCCGTATCATCAGAATCACGGTAATTCATTTGAGCCTCGCAATCATGGATCTCCTGCAATCTGCTGGACGCCTCTTTCCATGGGCTAGCGGTTTCGTGGGATTCAGAGCCCAAAAGGCGATATTCGTCTGCTTCAAATTTCGGCATGCTAACGATCTTGATACTGCGGACCAGTATTGAAAGTATACGTGAAGGCCTGCAGACACGAGGCTCGGCGTATCGATTGATGAGAGCCAGTCTAATGGGCTTGGAGGCGTTTAAATTTGAGTCATAATAGATCGAGTGATATAGCAACTCTCTGATCCCTTTTCATGCACAGATCTTCAGCTTGGAGAAATATGTGATGAAGTTTAGCCTGTTAACATCGGCGCATTAGGAAGAGATAGAAGCAATAGTCTGGAGGTTTTGATGGTGATGATGGATAGAAATCTGCTTCCATGAGTTCCTTTTACAAATTTATAGAATTTCAACTCACTCAGTCAACCATCGGAATTCTTGACACTTGCGAAATATTGTTTCAAAATTGGTGGTGCATTAACAGGCAGCGTGATGCATTGGGATGGGTCAACTACCACATTCGGAGGGCCCCTGTATCAGAAACGTCTCGCATCACTTCTGCGATTGAATGCGGTTGGCATTAACCAATAAGCTTCTTTCATTGAGTTAATCAATCTTCTCAGTATTCAATCACAAATTATAACTGGTCAATCTTGGGTACGTAAGTTACTGCAAATCGTTCGCCAATTTGATGCAGGGCGAGCAGATTGGGGATAACGTGATAGAAAACGACCCAATTTGTCTCGTCTTGTACTATGCGCTTGAACCCCCTGTTTCATTGGGAAGCATTTCAATCAATCTTTGCAGATCAGGACACCATCGTCAATTCGCCAGGTTCACTGATCTGAGGAAATGATCACCAGCTAATCTCCTCCATTGATGCATTATCGATCACCCCATCCATTGCGTCCCCTGCCAAGCCTCGGATCCGTAAATTATATACGAAGAATTTCGCTTAATTGATAATCATCACAATAATCAGAAATAGGTAGTTCGTTTGATTCTATTGCGACATTTCATTGTGTTTTCGATTGGTATTGCGAGCGATGTGTCAGGATATAGTATTGAGGATATCAAAGCACCACGTTGTTTTGCGCACTCACGCACATAACTCACGTCGGTAACTACTCATTCATTGTTATGCAAATCCTAATTAATGGCTAACAAAAGTGTCGTACTTCTTGGCAGTACTTTCATTCACTCCGAGTGCCTTTTCCTCTCTACCCACCCGAATAAGAGGGATAATGAAACAGACCATCTCACAGCAGAAAACTTGCCCTCACGGTAAGGGAAATATCGGCTGGATACTTATTATCTGTCTCGCGGAATTATCTAGTTCTTGATCATGAATTTAGATCTGGTAGCATTTGAGGGGAAGGATGACTCTCAAAGCATTGGCATTATTTCGTCCGTTCAATGCTGGTTGTCTCCATCCCTCAACCCTAAAGTAGATGAGGGCTTGGCAGCTTTGGCATTCGTTCCTGCAGCAAGTGGCCTCTAGCCAATTAATCAGAGTATCAGCTTCCCGTCGAAGTACCTAGTCCTAGCAGGACTGCGGATATTCCGAGAGGAAAAGCCTTGTCTGCTTTACCCCGGCCGGTTCTGCAAAGTGGAATGCCTAGGTAGTATCAAGGGCCAAATTAGCAATGGGCCCAACACATTCACCTCGTAAAGTTTGCGGCTGACGTCGTCTGATCCAATACAAGCGAGCAGGCCAATCAGCCCATCTCCGCGTTCGCCCCTCCACTGATCTGATGAGCTCCGCTTCCCGCAAGACCAAAGTCCGCTAACACGAGCCATAAATACAAGAGAGGCTGCACGCGGCCGAGTCAACGAAACTCGTTTTAGCACTATGTAGCAATCGACTACATTTGAAAATGGCCAATGTTCCCAAGACAATGCGATCCCTCGTGGCCCCTAAAAAGGGGCCGCCGAGCACCTTCGAAATCGCCTCGATGCCAACGCCATCGATCAAGGAGCCAACCGATGTCCTGATCCATGTTCGTGCAGCCAGCCTTGGCACGGGGGACGTGCAGGTTGCGGGGGGTAAACTCGAGGTTTTCCACAAGGCCACGTTCGTTTAAACTTGGTCCAAGTCAGTTGAGGGAGGAAGGGTCCGCTGACGAATAATTACAGGTTTCCCTTGAAAATCGGAATATCGGGTGCCGGTGTCGTTGCCGCGGTTGGTGATGGCGTTAAGCACCTCAAAGTCGGCGACGAGGTTTATGGTGCCAACGTGTCTAAGCCCATGTTTCGCGGGCCACCACCAGGGTTCGTCTCTGAATACACCATCTGCCCTGAGAATCTCCTCATTCGAAAACCGCCAAGTCTCTCTTTCGAGGAGGCCGCTTCGTTCACTCCCATGGTAGTTGCGGCCTACCAGGTAATCAAGCGCGGGCTGCAAGTCCGCGGGGAAGAGAGCCTCGAGGGCAAGACAGTGTTCGTGCCGGGTGCTTTGAGCGGTACAGGATCGATCATTATTCAAGTAGCAAAGAACTTCTTTGGTGCCGCCAAGATCATCTCTACTGTATCCACAGCCAAGGTGCCCCTGGTGGAGGAATATCTCCCTGGCATGGTCGACCAGGTTATCGACTACAAGACGCAGAAGGTTAGAGATCTTGTGCCCCAGGGCACTGTAGACTTCGCTGTCAATACTCAGATGTCTTCAATGGACGACTGCATCGCAGCGCTAGACAAGAAGACCGGCACGTTGATGTCTATCACCAGCATTCCTACCAAGAAGGTGGCGACGGAGATTATTGGCGCAGACCGCTTTCCTTGGTGGTTTGGAGTCATACTCGACTTGGCTCAATACTACTACACGTGGAAATTTTGGGGAACAAACATCTACCACGAAATGGTTTCAGGAAGCCCTGACATTCGCGAGGATCTGGAGGTGTCCGGCGAGATCGTGGCTTTGGGTAAGGTGAAGCCGGTCATGAGGGTTGTAGAACTGGAGGATATCGAGGCGGTACGAAAGAATTGTGAGGAAGTATATGCGGTCAAAGGTGGCATTGGGAAACTGGTCGTCGTCATTTCTAAATAACATAATCCTGTGCAACCCTTCAGTACTTTCCGAGCTTACTTTATTAATTAGTCCTCTAATCTATCTCTACTTGCTACATTCAACAACAACAACTCGACCATCCTTTACCAGTCCTGAACACACATTGCTCAACATTCCATTTTTGCTTGGTGAGTTTTGCCCATTTACCTCAAATTTTCCATTACTGTCATCAACGAGAGCTCCGGTAACATTGATATCGCCGACAATCACGAGCGCACTTCGGTGACGAGACAGTAGAACATTCAACCGGTTCTCACATCTCATAAACCCTGGCCCAGACTTCTCGGTAGAGACCATGATAGCCACGACGACATCGCCTTCCCGGCCTTGGAACGAGTCTACGGTAGCAGCAGGTGGCATACCGGCAAGGAGGTCATAGTCGCTGCTCTTTCGCATCTTTTCAATCGCATGGACGTTCGCTTTGTAGGGAGTTATAATGCAGATGCGCGCTGGGTCTGTCTGGCTCGCTTTCACGAACCCAGCCAGGAATTGAAGGGCGGCTGTATTCTGATCGGTATTCTGACTCGACATGGAGTATCGCCCCTTGGGTCTCTCGCGCTTTGAACCGCGACAGTGAATGAAAATAGGCGATAGCGTTCCTTGAGGAGGTAGCCTCAGCTCCGGGAACCTACGAGTAGTGTAGTCCTCCATCTGGTTCCCGACTCGATGGGCAGGCGTACTTATGCGACAGCACAGGGCATATTCAAAAGGAAGATCCGAATATAGCTCGCGGTGGCAGATATCAAATTGGCCTCTGGCCATCCGGAACTGTACGCGTAGACGGAGGACAGGCCATCCATTCATCTTGGAAAATTCAAGAGGCGAAACGATTCCATCGGCATGGTGTCGATTAATGTATTTTCCACTTCTGTCCCTTTCCTGCTCCGTCTTAACCGTAGGTCGGAGCTGATGCTCGTCACCAGCTAGAAAGCACGGAAGCAAGACGTTCCCCCATATACAATCGAGATCAGGCCTCGTCATGTTTGCGGCCTCGTCGATCGCTACGCCACTAGCTGTCTTTTTCCACGCCAGGTAGCTCGAGTGTTGGGATTTGGCTGGAGTGGTCAGGAGAATATCTGCCTTGTCGATGAGGAGCTGTAGCATCTCCCCAATCAACCCAGTCTCAAATTCACCGGTATCAAGATCCTCCCAGCGTTTCTTGCCTTCCATGATATCCCGGAGCGGATCAAGACTCGTTTGGCCATCGTAGAATTTCTGCATATCGTCCAAGACTAAGCTGTCGTTACTGTCAAGTTGGCGGACGGCAGGAGATCTTAAAACCATCAACAGCCAATACGCTGCAGATAGATCAAGTTTCCATTTTGACTTGGGCTTCCACTCTCTCTTTGGCGCGGCGTCATCACCCTCCTTTGGACTCTCCAGCAGCTTTCGGAATGCAGCGATCTCGTCAGGAATGGCATAGCCTCGTATAATAAGGATGCGGCGTATTCTTTGTGTGGCATTCAAAGCTCCGCCTTTATTGGCCTGCTTGATAGCCTCATCTTCGATCCTTGAAAGGCGCTCGGCGAAGTTGTCTACGGCAACGTTGGATGGTGCGCTTCCATATATTTTACCCTGCGATGCTCTCATCACAAGCGTGATAACTGCCAGCGCGGTTGTTTTCCCAAACCCAGGGCCCTTTGGATAGTGAGTATCACAATCTTTAAATAGAGGTTCCAAAGTGCCAACATACCGCAGTGATTACTCCAAGCCCCAATGGACGGTTTCTTAAATACTCCCTGATGCGTCCTCGATCTTTTTCGAGGAACTTCTGCAACAGAGCTTCCAAATACTTCGGTTTAACTCCATTCAGAAGATTCACCACGGGAATGAGTGGCCCTGTAGCTTGATTCTCATCGATGTGAAGGTTATCCATGGACGCAATCACATCACCAGCTAACGGTGTACAACTGTTAAATAGGACCTAGGGTATTAGCTTGGGAGTGAATACGTACCGCTTATACTTTGGTGGCTTCCTGAGGAGGGATGAAATCCCCTCCCTCGCTGAAGAGCCCTGTGGAGCTCCATCCGTCTTTCCAGGCTGATAGCCGATGTGTCAATAGCAGCGAGGTCATGGCTTGGTTTGGCACCCTGAGTAAATTGGCAAACAGCATTGACCTTTCGCTCACACTCTTTCAACTGTGTATCAAACAACAGTGAGACTGTAGACCAGCTCCGGGGATCCTTGCCCTTGAAGTCGATGGCCGTATTCCAATCGGGGAAAGTAGGTAGCTGCATAACTGACTTGCCTCGGCGTATCTCCAACATTAAGACGGGCTCCTGCTGATGATGTGGGAGCAAGGCTGGCCGGCCTTTGGTATTCTGCACAAGTCTGGTATCCCAGCATTCCAAGGCCAGTTTATACCACGACCCTTCTCTTGAAAGCCGTGGGGCCCCAAATGTGTCGCTTGGCTTCAGGAAAGCCAATTTGAAAGACTCACAATCTGTCAGTTGATCCCATTCTTTCTTGTATTGGTAACGGAATTCTCTTTCAAGCTGTATCACAGCATAATAAGTGTCATAAGTGGTGTCGGTCTCACTTCGCTTCTTCACTGGCACGAAATAGGCCGATAATTTGGTTGCGAAGATTTTGGCTGCGGCAAGGGCCAGCCATAAGGTGTCCTGGACAACAGACTGGGTGAGAACAGCAAGGCGGCTGTTATCGTCTTCAAAGCTAAGTGCTCTTGCGAATGGGAGACTTCTTTTGATGCCATATGAGGCGTGCTTGTATGTGTTTGGTTGCCATGAATGGTTGTTGCCGTATGGATACGAAAATGCCATGGGGAGTTGCCCACCGAAACACTTCTTTGCGTCAACGCGATCGGAGAGAACGACAACGTGAAACTGGCGCAACTTAAAAAGCTCGGAGAGGGATATTCCTTGTTCGATAGGCAAATCTCGGTTAAGCCATCCGTCGCACGGATGTCCAGGATTAGAAAAGGGGTTGCCGTAGCCGTCAACAGTGACACTGTGCCCCTCATGAAGAGTTATCTGGGCAGCGGTCATGTTCTGCTGACGAAAGCGGTTTCTGAGGCCGGGTATAGAATTCATATCCTTGAAAGAGATTCGATAATGCCCTCTGGGCATTTTCACTTTCAACTTCAGTGAGGTCGCGGGTACCGACCTTCCAGTACTGCTATCATCTGGAATGTCATCGTTAGTTTGGACCTCAGGATCCTTCTCAGGCTATAAAGCGAGACCGGCAGCTTACATTCGTGGCAGACTCCAAATCCTCGGTCCTCATTGCTCTGGTCGAAAGGGAACACAAGCTCAAACCCAATGTGAGCCGAAGCGTCGTCTGGTGTGCAGAAGAACAGTTCTGAATCGATCTCAGTCGATACATCGAGAGACTTGCCCCCAATCATCTGCCCATTCTATGAACCGATGATTATGGCACAAGGTTTCGAGAACCCAGACATCTTGAAGATGATTCGTGACTTGGGTTTTCATTGAATGGGGAGACCAGTTGTGGAAAAAGTGTGCACGACAACAGGCCAATGTGTGAGGAGACTCGTGGCTATTTTTGCCGTCGCCGCATTTCAAAAATGAGGTAAATTTGAGAAAAAGAGGGAAAGAGGCAGAGGAAAAGTGAAGGTGGTGTTATGATGTGTAAACTGGCGGCGCGAAAACACGCGCCTGGCACGCGTTATGCCACGTACCGGAGCTGGGTTTTGACCTATTGACTGCTTGTCCACAGGTGCGTCCGGCCGTTACGGAATCTTTCCCACACGGTAGAGGTATTAATCGAGAATAGCAAAATGGTTCAAAGCATGAACAATAGCGTAACACAGAGCAGTAAATGCTTTCAGTTAGTATATTGACTGTCTCATTCAGGCGATAAGGACACAGCCGTGCAGAGCATAACAGTATCGACGCAATAGGTTGACTTCACAGGTGCGTTTAATTTTGATATATTCTGCTGATGTCTTCACAAGCATTGGGGCCGTATGTAACGTGTTAGGATGTAAAGTTTGAAATTACGCAAATCATTCACAAGCACATACAAAACAGTTGAGATATTGACTAGCCCCCTCCTTGAACGCGCCACCATCATACATGCAACAAAATATAAGTTGTGGCACAAATAAGAGAAATATCGAGCATTGCAAATGACACGAAGTTGTAACGCTCTCACTTCAATGAAATATAACACTTCTTAAGCGATATTTCTGCAACTCATTCGAGACTTGGGTTACATGGCAACCACGATATCTGTTGTTCCAACGGCCTGGTACATTCTGCCGATCTCACGTATACTCGGCTTCTTATCATTCAGACAACTAGCGTAACTGTATCATATCCTTGTTCGCCGCTATCAGTACACTGCGGACCAATCAGATTAACTCGTCGACCTTATCAACGATCTTGACTTGGATTTACTCCCAATGACAGACGGGGTCGGGAATAGGTATCCAGGGGCAATCCCCGCCTCCCTCATGAACCTCTCATCATTGTCGGTGTAACATGATAGGACACCTTTAACCTAAATAGGTGCGCTAGAACGCTATCAAGACTAGCAGAGTTGCGACATGGGGGTTGACAGCTTCGTCTCTTGGCACTGATAGCTGGCAGGGTTCCCCAGGTATTTTGGCAAATGATATGGAAGAGAGCGGCAGACCGGGACAAATCCGAGTCATGCGATTTGATGCGGGGACAAAAGACACTATCCTAGCATTGATAACGAGTGACAATCTTGATTCCTCCACGACAAGCGAGGGAGAGTCTAAACCTTGTAAGTTACCTCCCTTATCTATCTTAAAGGAATTATAGTGGCGGCCGTCAGTATAAAGCTCACTGACCAGCGCCGCTGCATGCTCTCCAGGCAGCCATCGGGATCCAAACAGCCAAAATTATCCTTTTCTCATCATTCATCTTCATTTTCACTATGGCCTCGGAGACAAAGCCGGGGATAGAGTCCACAGTCGTGGCGACGAGTGAAAAGGAGGAAGACAATGAGCACGGCCTCGTAGCTAGCAAAACACTTCTCGATTTGCTCAACAAATGGCAATTGGTTCTCGCCTGGATTGGACTTCTCCTCGTGTCCTTTACAAACTATCTCGACAGTGTCACTGTCAGTACATACTTCGTCTACGCGCTTAGCGAATTTGAACGGCTGTCGGTAGAAGGCGCCTTGTCTGCTATCTTCGGCGTCATTGCACTAGGTGAGTCGATAACTCACGCTGTCCCAAAAGCTCACTTACCAATCATAAAATAAGGGATCCAGGGTGTTCTTGCTACTCTAGCATGTGAAATTCAGTACGCATGGCTAGGTCATTTCCCCACTCCAATGATGAAAGTCTAACATTTGTTCTTCAGCTCCTTTACTATCGTTGCCGCCTCTGTATGCCTCATCACCCTTGCATTTATCCTAGAGGCTTCTGCACCAGGCATAGTCGCTCTGATTGCGGGCTTCAGTATTTACGCTGTAGGACTGATGAGTAAGACACCTTGCAAAGTGTACCTCGCTCATCAATAACTTACGGCTGGTAGCGTCTAAATTTATGATATATATCTTAACTGCTGGTGAGTCTTTCATGATCAATATATTTCTACTATCGCATTCTCCGTCTTGCAGTCAGAGGCTGACTTTAGTCCGTAGAATTGAGCAACATGAGACACCGCGCATTGTCCTTAGGCGCAGCGAATTTGCCTGCCATGATATCCCAACTGGTAAGCGACTCTGCCTCCTAGGGCGCAATAGCGTATCAGAAATTAAGAACCAAGACTAAATTCTTTTGAAAAGGGCGGTGCAAAGATGGCCGAATCAGTGCTCAAAAGGTTAAGTTGGAGATGGGGTATCGCACTCTGGTGTATCATGGTAACCAAGCCCTGCCCAGGCAAAAGAAAGTGATTCCTCGACAATTAACTAACGATATCCTTCCACAAAAAGATTCCTGTCGCTTCGATCCCACTTTTGGTTGCGCTTTTCCTTGGAAGGAGAAAGGTTCACCAGAAAAGAACGCTAGAAATGCCAGCATCTCGGAAGCAAAGAGTTCTGGGAATATGGGCTAAATTGCTAGAACAGGACCTGATCGGCTGTGTTTTGCTCGCTGCCGGATGTGCCCTACTTTTCCTCCCCATCCCTCTGGAGCATGGTGGAGTGGAAAGGTATGCTTCGGCCCATTGTGTCGCTCCCACCGTGATAGGCTTCTGCGTCCTCATTGCTTTTGGTGTTTGGGAGGCCAAGTTTGCTCTCAACCCACTCTTCCCAAAAAGGCTGATTCGCAATAGGAATGTGCTGGGCCCATTGCTCGGTAAGTTCTGGACACTTCACCCTATGCCGAGTTTCTGGTGCTTACAAACATGACCTAGCGAGCCTCTGTGGTGGATTTTCCTTGAGCTTCCTGCTGCCATACTTTTACGTCTATATAATGGTGACGAGTCAGCTCAGCATCTCGAGTGCCACGTACGTCACGCTGGCACTGACATTGACCAATGCCTTCGCACAGCTCTGTTACGGCGCTCTTGTTTCATGGATGCAGCGCCCAAAGTGGCTGTTTGTTGCGAACATGGGCCTGCTGGTTCTTGGTGGCGGCTTGCAGCTCGCCTTTCCCGATCCGCATTCTCAGTTGGCTGGCCTGGTGGCAGCCCAAATTGTCTCAGGATTTGGCTTTGGAGGTCTCATGAGCGTTCTTGTCCTTGCTCAAGCCTCAGCACTACCGCAAGGTGAGTATGGGGAGGAAACACGCCTCATGATATTCTTACTGATAATACTTCAGATGTCCCAGTATTATCCGCTGCGTACATTATACTTGCGAATTTTGCTACGTCAGTTGCTGGAGCAGTAGCTGGAGGGATGTGGACCAGTAAGTCACCTTAGATCCCGGGGGGGGGTAATCATTTGTTAACAACAGGTAGCTATCCTCGTTAAAAACCTCGAGCAATACCTTCCCTTGGAAATCAAAGATCAGGCAAGAGCAATAATGGGCTCGCTCACTGTGGCACAAAGCTACGAATGGGGCTCTCCGGAGAGGGAGGCTATCATCTTGGCGCACAAGAAGACTTTCCGGCATTTCTTCATAGGCTTCATCGTCACTGCTGCAATGGCTTTCCTGTTCTCTTTCATCTGTGACGATGTACACGTTGGCAAAGTTGACGAGGAACGGAATGCAGCGAAGCGCAGGGCTGAAGAAAAGGAAAACCCGCAAGCACCATGATACTTTATTATGGTCGATAATAATGCAGCTAGCGGTCGTCATAGTTTTCGTATGCTTAGCTTATCATGGCCAGAAACCTTGGTGAGCATGACTTAGTTTCCACCTGTTTGAAATGGACTTTGCTTCGAGCCAAGGCATGTCTCGCACAAATCCAGATGATTATGTAACGAAATATCTTTCCTGTGTATTTACAAGTGGCCTTGACTAAAGAGCTTCAAATTCTAATACCATCTATTCTGTGTTTATATCGACTTGCCCGATCTTGGATCAGGAATCCAACAAAGAACCCTACTCCTTCTTATTTTCACTCAAAACCTGTTGCCCTACTCTCCTGGAGCCATAGATTGAACAGCCGTGTGCATGGAATATTCCACACCACGGCAGCATAAGCCCCGGAGGTTGATACGAGTAATCCTTTGTGTGCTCTGGAATGTTTCCAGACCTGACGCAAATTGCCTGGTTCTCAGTTTAGATTTTGGGCCGCGAGATGATACTCGCCATCGAACCTTTCGTACCATCAGAACTTGACTCCGAGCTTGAAGTTCGTTTTAATCAATCTTGCTCCAAATGCAGCCATAGTTCCGGCCAAGTACATCGTGCCTGCAAATACCTTGAGACCACGAAACGAGCCATGCTCGAGCTGAATGATTGCCCCGGCGATAGGGTTCGTAACAAGCCCTCCGATTGACGCACATCCAAAGAGAAGACCAGTGCGGTATCCAAATTCTTCACGAGGCGACAGCTCGGCAACTAACGCAGGCAACAGAGAGACGTAGGCGCCAGAGAAGAAGCCGAAAAACGCAGCGAAGCATATTATGGCTGGGTTGCTGCTCGCAGGGATCCATAGACCCAAAATAAGGATACTCGTTGTCGCGCAGACAGTCGTGAAGACGTTGAAATGGCCAACTTTATCGGCGACGAGGCCGCAAGAGGTTCGCCCAAAGAAGCTACAGTCGTTATAGTTAGTTTTTCGGTGTCGTAAGTTATCAGTGTAGACTTATGTACCTTGCGGCGTTGAGGATCGGTACTACGTATTGCCTGATATTTGTTCCCATGCCGAAAGCGTTGGCTTCAACGACAATGTAGTCTATGGGCACAAATACTCCAAAAGGAATTAGAAAGAACCCGATCATGAGAAACAGCATGGGGAGTTCTTTGAAAGGGGCTGTGTAGTTGGCCGTGTGCCCTGGCTTGGCTGGTCGGTGCTTAACTCGTTGCCGGACCGTAAGATTGGCAATGATGAGGAGACCCAAAATAAGGAAGGCTGAGATTCGCATAGTCCATCCGTATCCGACCTGGCGGATCAACCGGTTGAGCATGATGGGGAAGATCACGCCCCCTAGACTCGATCCTGTTGAGCAGATTCCGAATGCGGCGGCTCGCTTCTTACTGAACCAATCGCGCACAGAAGAGATTGCTTCATGTTAAGGTTAATTTATATGATCTTCTACTTCATGCTGGTCCATTTTTTGTGCCATACCTGGTTGAAATATGGCTGATGCGCCGATGGCGCTGCAGACGCCTTGAGAAAGAAGAATCTGGTAGTACTCTTTGGAAATCGAAGCCATCATCAAGCCAAACACATGCAGGAGAGTGCCACCAAATATTAGATAATGCGGCCCGTATCGGTCATATAGCTTGCCGATCAGAGGCCCCGAGGCGAACATGAAGAATATTTGGAGAGAAGGGATCCATGCAATCGTACTTGAGGAGTATGAACTCAGGAGCTCGTGCTGGTAATAGTCTTGGAAGATCCCGACGCCTAGGAGGGAAAGAAGCCGGCTGTTAGACATAAAAGGAGCCATCAGGGGACAGGGAGTGACTCTTACTGTTGATCCAGCCAAAGCTACAGAACGATGTGCACCAGGTCCCAAAAACGACAAGCCACGCTGCTGCTCCTCCATCTGGAATATCGTCGTCAGGTTCCTTTCGCTCAGTTGATGAAGACTCAATGTCCTGAACCTGTTTTTCATGGACCGAGCCAGCCTTAGCAGTAGTAATGTCCGCTGCCATTTTGTAAAAGAGTGGCTTCCAAGCAGTTTTGACTTCTTTTTCTGGCTTCTACTTGCCAAATTTCTCTACTGGGTGTATACGGGCATCATAAATGTGACGCTTCCGGTCTTTAATACTCAGACCAACTGATGCTATTTTGGAAAATACACTTGACTCACCTTTCCCACCTGTCCCGGCCGGCAATTACGGCACGGCCCTGCAAGAGTTACGCAGACACTACGAAACCGCAGTCAGTGAGTTGCAGATGCTCGCTCCAGCCGCTCCTTGCTCAAACCCGAGAGCGGGACAGGGCCGAAGACGGTTCCAATTAGCCCGTCTCCAGCAAGTCTCCACGTTGATCCGCAGGGCTGTAATATCCGCCGTACGCCCTTCGCTCTACTCCTCCCCTTAGATGACATGTCTTTCCTAACTTTGAAGATGATCATAACAGTAGAACGTTGTCTTTCCTGTTTTCTATTGCCTCGTTGGCGCAAACGCCAAATAGACCAGTGTTCCAATATCGTCGATGTTCGAGGCAATAAACAGCAACTCCGTACCGGCATATAGGCTACCCAGGTGACTCATCACGAATTACTGCCTCCACAGTAGGGAAATAGGTGGGGAGAATACATGAATGCAATGCAGTCCCAAGCGCAAGCTCAATGGGGTCCTCATTTTACCATGTAATGAAAATGTGGGCAGCCTTTTGCTAAGTTGTCGAATGTCTGGTTTGAGAAATACCATTTCGGCTGCCCCACCAGTTATGCGGAAAAGATCCGCGACTAATCACTTGTTTCTACTCATGAATACATGTAAGCTGCCCTATACAACGGTGAAAATCGGGGTTGGTTGTGTTGCACCTCTGCCCATGTCTGAAGAGGCTGGAATCCTGGCCGCGGATGCGGGGTTAAGATCAATTTATCTCAGACATCGCATTGTTGCTTTGAACAACGAAACAAAATCAGGTTCTCAGGAAAGCTGAACATTATTCGAACATGGGGAACCCAAACATACCGATCCTCACGATCCCTGCCAGAACAGAAACGCACACCCACACGGTGGTGTTTCTCCATGGCCGTGGTGACAATACGAAGAATTTCACATTCTCCCTCTCTCTGTGGCGCGATACACAAGGCCACACAATATTCGATCGATTCCCTTCGTTCCGCTGGGTTTTTCCCCAGGCGCCCACCCGCGAAGCTACCAGCTGTTCCGGAGCATGGCCTCCGCAGTGGTTCGACGTCTGGAACGTGCGCGACTTTGCTGACAGGGAAGACGTCCAGACTGAGGGGCTCAAGCAAGTCGTCCCTGTCATCCGCAATATCATTAGGGACGAGGCTGCAGCACTGGGAGGTGACTGGACGCGTGTGATACTGGCAGGAATCAGCATGGGCGCTGCGACGGGCGTGCACACCCTTTTCAACTTGAAAATACCAGCCGAAGGAGGAGGTAGGCTCGGCGCTTTCTTGGGATTCTCTTGCCGTTGTCCGTTTGCTGGAAGAGACCTGGCTGGCATGCGCAATGTTCTGGATCTGGACGATGTGCCCGAGAATGACACGGCGGTAGCGAATACGCCAGTCTTGCTCGAGCACTGCGCCAATGATCCCTTGGTACTGGTGCAGAACGGCCAGCTCATGCGGGACATTCTGAGAGGGTTTGGGGCTCAAGTTGAGTGGAAAGAATACTCCGCTGGTGGACATTGGTTCCAATCACCAAATGGCGTGGAAGACATGGCTGCATTTCTACACCAACATGTCTTGGGTACCAAGTCGCCGAACCATTCCGGTCCAATGGATTTATCTTGAGGTATCTTCGCTTGTTGGTAAGGCACAATTATTCAGTTGATGACCACAGCCTCGCGGGCATTCTTCATATTCAGTAGGGCTTTGGGTCGAGGGCTATGTCAGTCGTGCTTTCATCACACTGTGGCTGTTGTCGAGACTGATGGACGGCTTATGCCAAATAATGCTGATAAATTACTTTTACTGCCTGTTCTAACATATCTTTTTAACATTACATTCACTGGCGCTCATACATGCTTCGGTAACCTCGATCATGACGGAAGCAAGGCGGCTGACATGAGCTCAAGAGAGAATAACCCCTCATAGAAACTCTGAACAATCCGAGTTATACAAGTTACGAGAAGGAAACTTTTTGTGAACCAATTTATATTATCAAAGTTCGATGAAGAAGAAAACTAATCAACAAAAGAAACCCGTTGCATGTACTAAGTATCCGAGTTGCCAATCCCCCAACGCCGCTAATGCGGAAATTTCATATGCCCATTATCTAGCAAGAAACCCTCTGGTCGCGTTTTCAATCCAGCTCATATACCATCTAGTTGATGGTGATGTGGCGAGGCTCGGGCTTGGCCTTGGGCACGACGATGCTCAGGAGACCGTCCTTGAGGTCAGCGGTGACAAAGTCAGCGTCGACATGGGCGGGGAAGGTGAATGTGCGAGTGAACTCGCGCACACCTCGTCTGCATCGCTGCTGAGGCTCCTCGGCGGAGTGTCCCTGCTGCTGGTGCTGCTGCTCAGCCTCAGTCTCCAACTGACGCCGTGCTCCGTCCTGGGCACTCTTCTCGGATGCTTTGTCAACGACCTCGAAGTCATCAGTCTCGTCGTCGTCCTCGACAGTAGCCTGGTATGAGTGTGTGCTTGCACTGTCCTCGGAAGCAGCCTGTGTGGGAGCAGCCGTAGAAGATGATGAAGATGCGCTGGGCTCCCCTTGCTCTTCCTGAGTAGTAGGCTGGGAGGCTGCGTCTTGGTCACGCTCGACTTTGCCGCGGATCACAATCTTCTGCGGCTCGGGGAATTCGACAGTGACGTGGTCCTTGTTCAAGCCCGGCAGTTCGCCGGTGAGGGTATAGGCATCCTCAGTCTCCCTGACGTTGAATCTGGGGTTCCAGGGACGGGGTGCAGGACGGTAGAAGTGGTAGGCGCCTCCGCAGCGAGGGTATCTCTCATTGTTGACCACGCGGAAGACAGGCGTAAAAGAGGCCTGTGGGTGGTACGCAGAGTGGGACATGAAGAAGGCCATTTTGGTCTAATAATTGTGATTTAAGATGCTTTTGGTTTGGTTTTTGGTTTTGGGGGGGATGGATTGTTGTTTGAACTGGTGTGAGTAATGAGAAGATCAAATCGGCCATATCGGTTCAAATTGGCAGCTTTATACCTGGGAAACATTGCGACAGTAGGGCCAGGCAACCTCTGGCATCGTAATTTGCCTCTGTATCGAAGGCTCAAGAGGTCAGAAGAATCTGTCCGTATTTGCTGGAAGTGGTGGGCAGGTTGGTGCTTGCACCAGGCCTGGATTTGTCATTCTCATCTCGGTGTACGTTGCTCTGTAAATCCGTCCGCTAGGCGTCAGTGCGTGCGTGTTGAGTTGAGCGCTGTATTTGGTGGTGTGGCGCCTAAGTGTGGCGCTTAGTAACCGGACAGGGCTGGCGACTGGAAGGTTCTCTCCACTGTTATTAGCGCTACCGGCTCTCACTAAACTCCGCCCATAGAAAATCCGAAGGGCGTGCTTGTCTTGTCCCGTCCACTGAGTGTGGGCAGGCACGATGGTACATGGTACATCAAACCTCCAGACCCCAAACGGCGAGATGAGAGAAGCAGCCCTCCGCACCGTCCGCCGTCCCAACTGCGGGAGCATGAACCAGACTCTACAGACATCTTAGAGCACCACCATCAAGAGAAGCAAGCATGGCCACTCTCATGCGCGACCCCGGCGAGACGTCGCTCGACACCCTCCTCGCCACCCTCACCACCGTCCTCGACCCCACCACCTACGTCTTCACCACCGTCCCGGGCGACAAGGACCTCCCGCCCCTCCGGGACGTCCAGCTCCTGTTCCGCGAGGACGAGGGCGTCACCGTTGTCACCAGCCTCGAGATTGCCGCCGCCCGGAGGATGGAGTACTTCTTCCCCTGCAAGCGCATCACCCTCAACGTCACCTCCAGCCTCGAGGCCGTGGGCTTCATGGCCGTCATCGCGACGAGGCTTGCCACCAAATCTATGGGCGTCAACCCCGTGAGCGGCTTCTACCACGATCACCTGTTTGTTCCGCTGGGGCGGGAGAACGAGGCCTTGGCGGAGCTCAAGGCCCTGGCGGACGAGAAGAAGGCTCAAGTTGGGAAGGCTTAGTTCATCAAGGAAATGAAATGAAATGTCTTGAGTGTTTTCAAAGTTCAAAAATTAATTTGGGAAAAATAAGGAAATGTAATTACCAATCTGCGTGATTGAAGAGCCAGACATGCTACAATGAAAATCCACCAAAATGAGTGACATCAACCTATACATTCTCCCGTCCCATCCATGAATCAACTAGACTATGCTGCTTTTCCTCCACATACATCTCAATGCACCAGCCACCACTGCGTTGTCTCCTTCGCCAGGTCATCCTCGACCTTGTTCCGCCTATAAGGCCACTTCTTCGCCCTGATGTACTTGGTCGTATCCTTCCCAATGGCCCAGTCAAGCAGGGACATGTAGTTCGCGTTCTGCACCGTCTTGTTGCTGTTGCCAATCTCGATCCACTTCTCGAACGCCGGCAGCTCCAGCTTCAGGTTCTGGTTGAGGCGGTCGTACAGGTCCTTGAGCTCCGCCACGGGTCGCGCCTTGCCGCCCGTGCGGACGTGCGCCTCCCTCAGCCGCTCGAGCTGGAGCTTCGTGTCGGCGATGATGGCGGCGCGGCGCTCGCTCGAGTAGTGCTCCAGGGAGACGAACGAGACCTCGCGGAGGACGGTCTCATGCACGTCCATGGCGCTGGCGACCCTTCCACTAGAGACATAAAGGCTGGCGAGGAGCATCGAGACGGCCAAGGTGTCCGGGTCCAGTCGTCCACGTCCACGTCTGATGTTGTAGTATAGAAGCTCGGCCGTGTTGATGGCGGCGGCCGTCTTCTTGCTGTTCTGCTGGGCGTGGACGAGCAAGTTGCCGACGCGCAGGACCATGATTGGGGACCAGTTCCTCGACCTCTGCAGCTCCTCGCGTCTGTCCCAGAGCTTGGAGAGCAGCTCCTCGAGGGTTGTGAAGTTACCCTGGGCGCCGAGCAGGCGGATCAGACCAGACAAGTCCTCGAACTTGAGATCGGCAAAGTCCACGCCCTCCTTGTACGCTGTAGCCAGGACGTCTCTCATGATATCGCTTGAGGTCTGCTTCATCGCCTTGCTAAGCTCCGGCTCCTTGGGGTGTGCTACATCGATGCCCGCCAGCAGCTCGGCAAGCTTGTAGCCGATGTGGAAGTAGCGCGTGTAGTGGAAGATGCGGTGCTTGATAGCCAGCTGGAATACGGCGCGGCCGACCTGGTGTCCCTGTCGGAACTCACCAGCCTCGAGGAGCGCTCTCACCTTATTGTTGCCGGCCTTGCATGCCAGAGCAGGGAAGTCAATCTCGGAGGCGCGCTGGTCCTTTCCAAGCTCCAGCAGGATGGCGAGGTAGAAAGTGCGGACGTATTCCTCTCCAACTGTCTTGAACTCGGCGGCGTACTGAGCTCTGAACAGTTGCAGAAGCTTCTTGTCAAGTATTTCCAGAAGCTGGGTGCGCTTGTGCTCTTCCCAGAAGATACGGAGCTTGGCTCCAGCTTCAAGAATGACCTCGAGCTTGGTCTCCTTCTCGATGACTCGGGAGTATTCGACAAACAAGAGAGACTCGAAGAGAATATCAGCCATCATCTCAGAGTGCGAGATGGTCTTGCCCTTTCCTAGGAGCCCCTGCTCGAAAGCGATCAGAAAGGCGAACACAACCTTGCTCAGCTGCGCATCAATCTTCAGCGTGATCTCCGTGGTGGTCCAGCCGCCTCGGAAGATGATCAGGTGGCGCAACTGCTGGAGCAGCTCTTGACCCTTGTTCACCAAGCCAACACTGGTGTAGATGCCTGCCAGGGTGGTGGCAGCGGCAAAGAGAGTCGTAGTGACCGTCAGCGTAGTGATGATCTCAACAACAGACTGCTGCAACAGCTCAATGATTCTGATATGCTGAGAATTGACCTTTTGGTACAAGATGACCAGATCCTTGAGCTTGAGGAGGGTAACCTCATGCCAGACGCCATACTCCACCTTGAGCTGGACGTACGCCTCAAAGCAGACAGCGATGGCACGCTCAACCGTGGCCGGGGTTGCTGGGCCTCCCTTACCCGACGTGATAATGGTGACATACATCTTGGACAGGCGCTTCTTGATTGTGTGCACCGTCGTCTCAGTAATGATCGTCTCAGTGGTCTTGGTAGTTGTTGTCTTCGTAAGCACTTCCTCGTAAATCTTGACAGACTCGTGGTAGTGGCTCTCATGCTTCTCACAGATCTTGGCAAGGGTAATCAGCGCCAGCAGAACAGCCTTGGAGTTGGAGTCGCCTCCTGAGATCACCGTCACAACCTCCTTGTACTGGACGGTCACCTGGTAGAGGACTGAGAATTCAACCTTGGCATGGAACTCGAGCACATATGCGTACTTTTCATAGATCTCGGAGATGACCTCAATCTCCAGGTGGCTGCACTTCTCGCGATGGTGCAAGATTGTCTCCCAAACCACGCCGCAAATCTCCCGCAGACCAGTCCACATCTTGCGCGTGTGGTAGTGGCGGCAGAGGAAGAGGGCCGCCTTGACAGCGTCTTGGTGGCAGTACTTGATCCCCTTGTTCAAGATCGTCACGATCTCGAGATATTGCTTGTAGGCTTCTGTGTGGTGTCCAAGCATCTCGTGCTGGGCGGCAAGCTTGTACATCAGCTGGATTACCAAGTGGCTGTTATGCCCATACTGCTTACGATACACCTCCAAGACCTCGACATAAATTTGTGTCACTCTCTCATGTCGATGGAGTCCTTCGTAGAAATCGATGAGGGCTTGGATAGCCTCTGTGGTGTATACCTGATCAATCTTGCCGATCGACTGGAGGCAAGCGTAGTAGATTCGGAGATAGGTCTGCTCAGCTTGCTCCAAAAGGCCCTGGCGGTGGTAGCAGAGTGCAAGGCGGCGAGCCACAGCGATAGACTCCTTGGTCGAGCTCTGACCGAGACTGATCTTGATGTCGGCGCTCAGCATCGCCTTCCAGGAAATCTCGAGGGTCCTCTTGATGATGACCTCAGCCTCGGACCAATTCTCATTCTGGATGTAAAGCCCAATAATCGCCAGACATGCCGAGAAGAACTCGCGATCTACAGTCGTGGTCTTGCATCGTGTGTATTGGAGCTCAAAAATCTCCCTCACAACTGTCTCAGTCACCTCAGTGGTCGTAATCTTAGTCGTCTTCTTCGTTATTGTGGTTTCAGTGATTTCTTCAACGACTTGGGTGATGAGGACAGTTGTGCGCTGGGCCTCCTCGCTCTTAGTCTTGCCCTTGCTCTTGAACCACCCCCAAACTTTGGTCAGAATCGAGGCAGAGATGGTCAGAAGTCCAAAGGACCTACAAACAGTTCCGATCTCGCGAAGCCAGATAATCAGGATCTCGGACTCAAAGGTGTGATGCTCATATTCAGCCCAGAGGCATATCAAAATATTGCTGGCCTCTACAGAGCGGTCGACCTTGCGTAAGAACTTGACATACTCGAGGGCAATCTGGATCTTGGCAATGTGAACCTCAATACGTGCACCGGCAATGCACATAGCCGACACGCGGCGCCAGAGGCTGACGTAGAGACGCTCGGCGAGGAAGAGCTTCCCGCATGAGATGTATGACTGAGCAAGGCGGATCATCATGGAGATGCAGAGCTGGTCAGTCACCTCCATGTCATCATTCGTCTCGAAAATGAGCACCTCGAGCTCCTTCGTGTCCTTGGCGGCATCCTCGCCCTTGAGAACAACGTCCAGAGTACCAAAGACATTACCAATCTGCCGAGCCTTGGTAGACTTCTTGCCATGGCGAATGATGACAATCTCATACAGTTCTCGGTAGACAATCGTGGCATTCTGCACTTCTTTGATCTCGACGTAGAGCTTGGCGAGAGCCTCGTACCAGAAAATCACCTGATCACTACTCTGGCCGTGCTTCTGCTTGCAGATCTTGATCATAACACGGATCATCTCCTCGCGGTAAGTCACAATCTCCGTTCGCTGTGTAATAACCAAAGTCTCCGTCCAGGACAGGAAGAGGCTTGTGCAGGCTGCAACAATAGCGCTGTACTCGGATAGCACGACCTGGCCAAGCCTGACAGCTCGCACCAAGTATGTGGCGCCGCCATGAGTGGAAGTGGCGGAGATTCTGCGGTGGGCATGACCCAGGGTGATGAGGCCCTGGAGCACGGTGAGGTGCTTCTCGCCAAATGTCGTCTCTCTAATCTTGAGGGCAAGCTCGTGGACGCCAACTACATCCTGGTGCGTATAGAGTCGGTCCCAGCAGGTCCTCTCCAGGAGCGAGAAGGTGACGGTATGGGGGAACAGGTCTGCAAAGCCCTTAGGAAGAGTAATCTCGCCGCCAGTGCCAACCAGACCTGCTGCTTTGAAGTGCACAGTCCAGTTCTGTACCACATATAGAAGTAGATGGTGGGAGCCAAGCAGCTTTTCCACAACCGACTCATCTAGATCGTCAATCAAAGGTTCTCGGTCACTCTCCAGGTGGAGCCTGGCATAGAGAAGAAGTTTCGAAGCAAGCTGCAAGTGAGCTTCCCGAACCGACAGCAATGTATGGCCCATCTGCTCCTGGAGGAAGGAGAGGACCAAGGAGCTGCGGAAGTGCAGGCGGCCGCCGTGAAGGACGACCACGTCGCCGCACTTCTCGGGGATGAACTTGATGAGGTCCAGTGTCTGCTTCTCTATCTCCCTCTTGGTCGTGTTAGTCGCCAGAAGTTCGGCAGCCTCTTGGATCGTCAGAGGACGGCTGGCAACAACCATGAAGGACAAGAGGTGGCGTAGAGTATCATCCTTGAGGCGGGTATGGCCGACGAGAGCTGGCAGCAACTTCTTCACATCCGAGCTGATGTTGTGCTTGACCGTTGTGTAGTTCTCAAGCGTGGCGCCCTGGAGGAGGCGCCCGGCGAAGAAGGCCCAAAGGAAATTACCCTTTGACTTCTCTGCGAGCTCGTCGACGAGGGCCTCCCTGGCACCAACATCAAGCTTGCTGTGGAAGTACTCTACCTTGGAGAGGTTTTCCCAGAGATGAGCTTTGATATCCTCCTTGACCTCTTGCTGGGTAATGACGATGTGCTTGCAACCATCACTGAGGTGAGAGACAGGCCGTGAGAAAGTAATCACACGGACGTGGGGAAGCTTGGAGGCGCTGGTGCGCAGAGTAGTGTGGAATGCGATCTCATCGCAGCCATCGACAATAATGACAATGGTTGCCCCCCCACGCTCCGCGGCTTGGAGACCACTTCGGAATGCCTTCCATAGAGCGGCTTCGAGCTGTTGGGTAGACTGGTGGGCAGCGAATTCTTCAAAAGCATGCACCAATTGGGCAAATAGAGCAACATCGCCCACACTGCGATCCAAGAGTTGGTTGATCAGACTCTTGATACAAGCAAGAGAGTTGGCATCCACTGGCGAGTCGAATGCTGAAGAATGAAAATCTGATTAGTATTGCAATCAACAGAGTGATAGGGTGGAATGTAAATCTTACGGAAGGTGTAGTCAAGAACAATATAATGCTTCTGGTCAAGGGGTCGAGTGAGACGCTCTTGAACCCACTCAGCCAGTATCGACTTGCCCGAACCAGCGGGGCCAGTGACACTGAGAACCTGTTCATTGCTGTTGAAGAACTGCACGATTTCATGTTTGATCCAGTAGCACGTGTCCTCGGAGCGTTCAAGACTCTCGAGAACCTCGTCGTAGAGGGTACCTCGAACGGATGACACCTCAGTGGGCGACTGGAGCTTGGCCCTGAGAGCTGGGACGGTGAAGGAGAAGCGCTTGCGTCCCAACTTGGATGTCCAGATGTGATCTTGGAGCTGCTCCTTGCCGTCCCAAATGGCGGTGATCTGCTTCCCGAAAGTGGTGTCAAAGTTGATCTTGACCTTGGCACCGGAGCGGTAGGCAGTGATCTTCTCGCGGTAGTGAATGGCGATGCTGCCAGTCAGACCGACCAGGTCACAGAACAGGGAGGCGGCGTCCTCCTTGATGACGGGAGGCATGTGCTCCAAACCCCGGATCTGTCCGACGGTGCACAGAAGCATTGCAAGCTCGTACAGAGCAATGAATGTGGGCAGCAGAGCTTGAGCTTGACCATGGCCGAGCTATCACGATACATATGTCAGTCCAATTGAAATGATTAACTTAGCGTCATTGATGGAAAGCAGTACTGACCTCCAGAAGGATCTGGCAACTGGCCAGCGCCGCTGCCGCAGAATCCTTTGCGCCAGGGACAAAGGCGTTGATCTTGTCTCCAAAGGACCAGATCTGCAGGCCGAAGAACTGGGCAGCTCCCAGAACACGGTCCCAATCACTGCCCCGACGGGGCATATGGATGAGTCGTTCATCAGAGATGTATTGAAGGTAGACATGCAAGTCAGTCTCCCTGACAAAGGACTCATCGTATTCATCAATGCGGACAATCTTCTTCGTCACGCTTTTGAACACGTCTTTGACCCGGTGGAAGTAGTCCAGAGATTTGATTTTGTTGTTTGCCCCTAAGGAGCCGTTCGTGTCTCCGTCGGCCAAGGAGGGCGCCGTGATGTCAGTCGCAAAGGTCTGGTCCGCCTCAGCATCATCGTCTGAGATGGAGGGACTGGCCTCATTGACGCTGACTACGGCACGCTCATGAGTCTTGTTATGGCTTTTTCCGGTGAGGGAGTCGGACAAGCCGCGGATGGCCTCCATTGCGCTGCTGCGGGGAGGCGTTCGGGGTGGTGGTTGGGGATGTTCTTCGACGGTGTCTGACTTGACAGAAGGGTTGGAGTTATTACGTCTGCGTCTTCCTATGGAATAATATGTTAGCGTATATTCAGGTTTTTGGAAGTCTGTTGAGTAAAGAAAGTAGTCGAGAGACGTACTGTTAATGCTGTTGCGTATACCTATCATGCTCGCTCCAAGGCGCCGCAGCTTGGTGCCTCATGAGTTTGTCTGAAAGAAAGTTAAAGGGCAAGGTACTAGGTAGAAACAGAAAGATTGTTGATAATGAGAAGATCCATTGAGAGGATCGAGGGCTTTATAGCTCAAATATCCGGCATAACGCGGCATATCAGCACCAGCCGCCAATGTAGCCAGGCAGAGATGTGCTGTTGCCGTTGGATGGAACATCGGATTAAGCGAAGCTGATGAGCCTAACGACGCTCTCATCCATCAGATAACCCTGCTATGCGGTTCCGCTCTATCCAGTCTCAGATGTTGATATGTCGTTGAAGCATGGTTCTAGGTAGTACTCGGATATTGGTCGAGACCAAAACCGCAAGCCACGGCGCCTCGAGTGAGCTGGACTGAGCCCAAATAGGTAATGATTCTAGGCAGTAGAGAGCTCAATCTGCAAGTCAATGCGACGTACACAGTCTCAGGCCACCAATAGCAAGCGTGCGGTACGATCTACGCCGGCCCGCCCGACCCTGAATCTCCCAGCTTGCAAGCCATGGTTGCACTATCGGTTCCCATATTTGGCACGAAGGGTGTCATGCAGAGCAGCTGGGGCTAACCTTGTCCAGCTCCCGGTCAACAATTGGGCTCTCTGCACGAGAGCAAATTGAGACCTCTCGAATGCGGGGGTGATGGAGGCGGGCCGTATGTGATATTGGACAAGGGTTGCTTTCTTGCATCTGGTGGCTGCTCAGCTAATGCCATGAAGCTCCATTTTCCAATAAAGGGCAGACCGGGTCCAGGCCTCCTGCTGCCAAGCCTCCTGGCAATACTCTTTTCTTTTCGTAAGGGCGCAGGTTCAGCTCGAAGTGATATGAGACAGTTAGGATAGTCTCGCCATTTTAAGCCTACTTCCCCCTCAGAATGCAAGGCCAGGCCCCAAAGCGGCTTCACCGGCAGCAGTCTTGGGCGGGGAACGATGATCTTAGCTATATATTGCCAGGCAGTGCGCGCGTCAAAATGAAGTTGTATCAGCCACACCAATAGCTCAGCCAGAATACGAGCACTTACAGCCTCGACCAATCTTTCATCTGATGAGTCTTTCCAGAGGACGCTCCAGTCCAAGCTTCATTACTGGCGCGTATGTGCCTCTGACATGCGTTGACAGCTATCGCCGACTCCAGCGTCGCATTATGCCCGGTGCTTTGGCCTCTATGCATCTAACATAGCTCACCCGCGCGATAACCCCATTGAAATTGACAGGCAAAGCCAGATCTCATGCGATTGCCTTTATCCCCACAGAATAGATGGGCCCTCGCCTGATCTCTGGCTCATGCGCAGAACCCTTTCCGCATATACTTCAACCCAAGTTCCCAGCCAACAAGCCAGCTCACCTATTATGTGCGCAGAAAATGAGAGTTGCAGCATCGTTGTTTCCCGACTGTCGCCGGGGGGGGATTAAGAGGCATTATCATTTAGAGATGCCGAACTGGAGCCTCCGCGATTGCATTGCATTGACGCAGTCGGCATAGTGAAATTCATAAAAAGCTCCTTGAATTTGGAGGTCTTTTGTCAAACCAAGCTCAGCCGCAGACCTAGCCTGGCAAAAAAAGTGAGTAAAAGAAAAGAAAGCTAAAATCAATAGCGGAAAAATATGCCAGAACCAGGTAGAGAGGTGGAGGATGAGTAGATCTAACCCTTTATTCAGCCCTCACCGCGGACTACTAGCCTGACGGAGTCACTCACCTCTTTACGCATTCCTCGATACAGCCTCTTCGTTACAGTCGCCCTTGATCGACAGATGGAAAGCATTACCATCGTATCCGTTTAGCCCATCATGAGAAATGCAGTCGTTGTGGATCGCCACGCTATCGCCCCCATCGTGCAATGCCTCATGATCCTGTGGGTACCGGATGGCCACTTCGGCTCCATGGGACGTGGTCATGGCGATGGCTTGCATGTTGCGTTGCTCATTTGTCTCTCCCCTGTCCTGGCAGACTGGGTCATTCTACAAGGATATCGTCAGTAGCCCTATGTGCGCGATTACAAACGAATCGGGAGCTTCTCGTGTGACCCAAATGCCACTGAGTCTTTGATATGATAACACCTCCTTTGAGACGGCAGATGCGTTCCGAGAGCTGGAAGTCGTCGAGTTACTGATCGGAGCTTTGGAGTCGTCTTCGGCAATGATAGTTTACAATGAAGAAGTCGTTCAAGAAAGACAATGTGCCGTAACCAGCCATCTCACAACTCACCGCCACATCTACTCTATCTTCACGAGCCAACAGTGAGTAAAGCTGTATGCTGTTGTCGCATTGAAGCATTTAGAAGCCTGCATCTCTGTTGCTTTAGCTGCGTACGCCACGGACGATCCTCAAAGCGAAAAGACTGTGAGCTGGCCATTTCTGAACGCCACCAGGCCAGGAATATGAAGCTGTCTATGCAGTGGAACAGTCCGACTCGAAGAAAAATCAATGGCCGATATCGTTGATACTTTATAGCCGGCCATGCAACTCAACCGAGCGGGCCGGATCTTCGAGCAGAAGAGAAAATATTCTTAAAACTAGGGTTTCATGTCAGGGTCGTCAGATCGGCTCAGATCTCCGAGTAAGTAGCTTAGTAATTCTGTCCTCAAGTATATCGCGGGAGATCTACAATTAGCAGTCACGGAAGTCAGTTGAAACATAGAGACCGGCTGCGGCCATGATTCTGCCTTCAACAAGATGATTGTCGATTCTCGCCGGAATGCGGTTTGCGCTCCAGCGAATAACATCATGACAGACTACAAACGAGAGTAATTCCGTCTGATAATATCACTCGCCTCTGTCCTCAATTCGGTGACAATCTCGCCAGCGTCCTTTACCGAATGGATCAATCCGATGGACGCACCCGCATACGTGGCCAGCCTACCCTCGGGGCCCCATCCAGCATCGCCCTCCTTCGTCGCCTGGGCATACAGCCTCTTCAGCTCCTCAAAGCCCACGCCGGCCTGGTGATCATGCCAGCTCCGGTTGAGAATACCCCGCGGGCTGTAACCCTCCGGCCAGCCCGTCGTGCCCCGTAGCTGATTGTACAGCATGGTGCGAGTCGTCGACTTCGCGCCGTCCGTAGCCCGCACCACCTCCTGCTGATACCCCTTGCTGATCCGGGCCTCGGTCGACGCCAAAAACCGTGTGCCGAGGACGACCCCGTCCGCCCCCAGGGCCAGCGCTGCGGCAACACCTCTCCCATCTGCAATACCTCCGGCGGCGACAAGATCAATTCCGCTGTTGTCCCCGAGCGCGTCGGCGATCTCGGGGAATAGAGTTATGATGCCCAGTCCGTCGTGCGCTCTCCCATGGCCACCCGCCTCGGCCCCCTGCACGACGATGACGTCGGGACGAGTCTTGCCCTGGAGAATATCCAAAGCTTCTTGGAGGGTTCCGATCTGGATCCAAATCTGTGTGTCGGGCGAGGCTTCCCGAAGGCGGTTGGCCCATGTATCCAAATCTGCCTGACCGTCCCTTGGGGCAAAGAGCCACGCCGCGCATGGACGATACTCCTTGACAGCCTGGGCGGCAGAGTCCATATCGCCGTCCCAGAGTTGAAAGCCGATCCCCACGGGAAGCAGAGACTTGGGAGTCACGAAGCTCAGCGGGAGGCTAGACGGCGGGGCGTCTTTTACCAAGCCGCGGAGAGTAGCGAGGTCAGTATGAATATCTGCTGGCTTAGCACCAGGTCCGATAAAGCCGAGTCCTCCAGATTTGGAGATGGCCAGGGCGAGATTGGGCCCGCTCATCACCCTCATCGGAGCACCGATGATGAAGGGCGTGGACGCCCATGGGAATTTGGAGATAAGACTCCTAGCGCGTGTGCTGCTCATCTAATGAGAGACGTTTTGTCAGGGATGGACGAAATCTTTAATGTGCCCAAATTTTACCTACCCTATATCTTGATTCTCTCTTCGTTGCGGTGTACTAGGCACATGTGATAGGTATTGTTCCTACTTCAACTAGCAGCAAAAAGGAAAGCATAATCATTTTATAGTTTCCTCGATCAAGAGGAATTTATGATCATCATCACGTCACTGATTCGATTTTAGATCAGAGCTGTACGGCTATGACGGGAACGGCGGAAAGGAGGGACGGCGGGGTCATGCCGCCACAGATCAGGTCTTTGCTGGGCTCAACTTAAGGCGCAGCGGCCGTTCAAGCCCCGAAAACACCGCCGTGTTGGAAGCATCCAGCCATTTTCACCCCGCCATGTGTTGTGTTGACAGGAGCTATCAGAACACTGCGAATTGTGCTCGCTATGTGCCAATAGCAATGCCAACAGCGTAGAAATGCTATCATTGAACACTTTCAGATTGATATCTCGACACGTGATGTAAGCACTTGCTATTCATCAAAAGGCATGTAATTCGCGGTTCCCCACCACCAACAGGAGACAGATAACATATAAATCACCACCAACCTCACCATCATCAAGAAAATCATTACTAGAAATCATTACTCTTCATCGCCATTTATTCCATCCATCACATCATGTCTCACCCGTACTTCTCACACGCCTCTCTCGGGCTCTCCCTGATCCCCACCTTCTTTGGCCTCAACATGATCTTCCGACCAGGCCCAACCCTCGAGTCCGTCAAGTTCCCAGTGCCAGCGGACCCCGAGGGCAAGAAGACGGTGTACTCAGTCATGCACTTCTTCGGCGTCCGAAACATCGCCGTCAGCTACCTCCTCGTCCTCATCTGGTCCAGGGGGGACAACAGGCTCACTGCCAAGTCCCTCGTCGCCTGCCTCTGGGTTGCAGGCATGGACGGCTTCATCCAGCGCGCGCAGACCGGGGAGGGCCAATGGACGCACTGGGGCTTCGTCCCCGTCGTGGCCGGTGTGGCAGCAGGTCTGATGGGCTGGTTAAACTAGACTTAGATTAAAAAAACCGCCCAGATCTGCGACCCTAGGCCAACTGACGCGACCCATGTTCTGTCCCACCGGTGGTACGCGGGGAAGAGAAAAGGAGTTTGCATTGATGGTGAGACCATCGGATCGGATTGGGGGCCCGTGATGGGGGAGGACCGGCCCAAGCCTTATTCATACATGAGTCTGTTGATGGGTGACATGACACACAACCCCGCGGTAATTTTCGTGCCGTTTCAGCCAGCCTAAAAGATGAAATGTCAATGGCCAGCGCATGTTGGGTGTCTATGCGCGCAAAAGCACCTTGCATCTAAAGTTCCTATCTCCTCTTGTGCCCGTCTTACGTGAACGAGTAAGACAGAGACAAATATTGCATGCCTCTGGAACCTTGTCAAGATTCATGGCTTCTGGACGCCAGGGAATGGAACCCACAAGCTCATCGTAGAGTACTAGAAGTGCACCATTGATTCTCCACAAACCAGTAGCTCTTTGAGAACGATGCCGGTGGAGAAGATAGAGTGAATAAATTCCTCTCAATGACTCGAAGGAGGTAATTGGTGCTGGATCACTAAGCACCTTCCAGAAGGGTTCCTCAAAAATCGAAACTCCTCTGACGGGGGAATGACTAGAGACTAGTCGTTGTTTCTCAACGGCCAGCTTTTGCTCGGAAATAGCAAACATGTCCGGTTTCCGGAATGACTCGATGAGGTCGGCTCGAGGCACCGAGCTTGACCGGTTAGACTAGACAAGCATTCCAGCAAGCCATCTTGGTCCTTTCCCTCCGGCTCCCCGCGTCCGCCAAGAAGATATCCGCTGTGCTAAGCAGTGTTTCCCCAGTCGATCAATCCAGATTCGATCCGATTCGACTTGACGCGACCCTCATGATTAAATTGCAACCACACGGGAGATTGCTGGCAGGTTGTGGGTGTGTCTAATACTACATCCAGACCGGTGATATGCAGCCAAAAGCCAAAGGATCGGGCAGCTGTCTGTCTCACAGCCAAAACAGCATGAAATGCAAGCACCCGAGATATGAGGCTTTTTTTTTTGCTTCTGTACCCTCCCCTTTGCTTTGTCAGGAACAAGGTTTTTTTCATTCCGACGTATTGTGTGAAATAGAGTTCAAGCCACGCTGCCACCCACCATCTCTTGCCATCAATGCCATCAATCGCGGCGGTGCATCGGAGCCGCGTCCGAGGCAGGTTAAAGAAGCAGAATGCGTTTTTTTTTCCATTATCCCTCCCTCCCTCAACAAACACTTGTCATGAGCTGTGGAAAGTAAAGTGGGCGCCGCCTTGGTCGGTGGGCTAATGCCAGGGCCGAAGCTGCCAAAGAGCAACAACCATCCCAACCTTGACGCCGTCTCCACTTGTCCTACTGCACGGGCAAACTCTGAACCGGGGTAAGTCTGGGTTGGAGGTCAAGAGTGTGTGTGCGCCTCTGCGCCGCGAGTGTGCGTGCCCCGTTCTGCCCCGTCTGCCGCGTGTTGCCCGTGTCCCGGCACGCAGCAGGAAGAAGCTGCAGGCAGGTCTGAGACGGGGGACCGATCCCCTGGTCGATGCTGTGCGCATGGCCTCAGTGGACAGGGAACGATCGAGGGCTTCGTGGAGTATGCAATGTATGTTTCAACGCAGGTCCAGACCATCCATCCTGCGTTTCCAGAACCCTCCAGTCAGAGCAGACAACGTTGCAAGCTGGGACAAAGAAGAAAAAACTGAATAAGAGTTTTGCGAACCGAGCTCCTGTGCTATTGCCAAATCAAGCAATGTATTTTGGGCCTGAGCACGTTTCCACCAATGGACATACACATGCTCCATCTGACAAACCGGAACTCCAACGCCGATCGATTCAAGAGTTGCTTTGATCGACCTCCAGAATCAAAAGGGGAAAGGTGCTCTCTGCTACGGCAAAGCGCACCATTGGCTGCTTCCCAGGAGAAAACGCCTCATCGGGACACTCACCCTTGGTAGCGGTAACGTAACGCACTACGCAACGAATCAGGGAAAACCATGTCGTAGTCAAGGGACGCTGTGGCCTACGGAGGATTTGTAAGTTGGTTGTCTGCTTGAAACTACAGCTTCTGCTTCCGCATGAGTAAGATATCTCGCGGCTGAAGAAATCTTCTGACCTGATGTGAGCTCACGGCTTCCCTTCCCGCACTCTATGCCAGTCATAACCATGTATCCCAAACCCATCCAGCATCTGTACCTTGCCCACAAGATCCGGACGATCGTCGCCTGGGCCAATGCAAGAACATGTGGCCGGCCCGCACGCGGCAACACCTGAATGTGCCCGCCCTCCTTGAAACCAGGCACAACAATGTCCACACCACACCATGTTTCCGGACCATTCCAAAAAGGAGCATCTTTGGGCCCCCGAGGCGCTTCCTAGTCCCTGGTGGCTTTTATAGTTTTTCTCCCGAATATTCTCCCTTCCCCCTTCCCATTTTTTTTTCTCTTTTAGTACCTGGTATTGCCGGCAAGGACGCATCTGATTTGTCGGGCAAGGTTCCTGGCCCTCAGGTACCAGCAACCGCGTGGCCACCACACTCAAAAGATATCTTTGTCCGAATGTACCTGTGCTAGCCGTGTTAGGCTTTTCTTTTGCATTCTGTCCCTGCCAATCGAAACCTTGGCCGGGTCGTGCCGTGCAAAAAAAGGCACAGGAACCATGCAGCCGCACACACACACGGCCCAAACGCTCGCTCTATTCCCGATACACCACCCACACACCATCTGAGAAGCCCAACCACGGCCTTCATCCGAACTGCGGAACTGCGGACTTTACTACAGGATCACAGTCTGGTGGAGTACCATGGTACTTGCAGTTGGCAGCTGTGAATGTGAGATGAGTCTGTACGAGTGACAGCTCGCCCAGCATGTCCTCCCATCTCGGAATCCTGTATATAAACCCCTCGATGATCCCCCAGTAGATTCCCTTTCCTCCTCATCATCCAACGGTTCCAATCATTCCCTCTCCCAAACAAACCTTTCCAACAAGCCTCCGGCAGGTCTTACACATTCTCTTCTCGAAGAAGCCAACAGAACTCACTCTCACTACCCACAACTTCAAAAACCTTCTCTTTCACCCCAAAAACCTCTTTCAAGATGCTCTTCACCACCCTCATTGCCGCCCTCCCCCTGGCCCTCGCTGCCCCCGTTGAGCAGCTCGCCTCCCGCTCCTCCGGCACCGCGACCTACTACAACCCCGGTGTGGGCATGGCCGCCTGCGACGGCGTCGTCCACCCTGACGACACCCTCGTCGCCGCCGTCTCCATGAGCTACGACACCTCCGTCGTCTGCAACCAAAAGGTCACCGTCACTGGCCCCGCCGGCTCCGTCGTCGTCACCGTCGTCGACCGCTGCCAGGCCTGCGACGCCACCCACATCGACCTCTCCCCCGCCGCCTTCCAGGCCGCCGTGGGTGACCTCGGCGTCGGCAAGTCTACCGTCGACTGGGCCCTGTAAAGCCATCGAAGCCTTCTATCTTCTCTCGGCAAATAGATGAACAGTGTTCTCTGTTTTCCTATTCTTTCCTTTTTTTGAGCCTCTCTGCAACCTTTTTCCCTTTGCCCCTTCATTAGCATCAATACCCACTCTACTTCCACCAGGGGTGGAAGTGGAACAGAAGGGGAAAAGTGGCGGGGCTCTTTTGTCAAACAATCACTCAGAATTGTCAAGAACAATTCAACTGGATCGGAGCCGGGACTTCATCTCTCACGTGCCATGGACGCATGTGCCTTCCTTTGTTCCTTTCATGAATAATGAAGCATGTAAAGACCAAAGGAACTTGATTCTCTCCTTTTTTAAGACCTGTCAATTAGAAATACCAAAATAGCATGGAAAACAACTCCTGGTTGAGGAAATACAAACAAATCATTCTTGAAATACGCCGCTGCTCCTATCCTGTGAAGTGATTCTGCCAGTCGATCTATTCTTCAGCTTCCCAAACTCCCAAGTGCCAGTACAAACAAAAACCATCCAGATACCCAGTACCCCAAACACCACCTTGCACGCTTGGTCAAGTACCCAATAGCCTAACCCCCCAAGAACAGAGAAAATAAAAGTTTAGAGGGGGGGATGACACGCCCTTGCTTTTTTGTTCAAATGAGTGAAAGTAAAGATTATGAATAGGAAAAGTCAAAAGGCCACACACTAGTGTGTCTTTATCGTAGTAATCGCCGCCGATTCTCGGTGCGCGGTACGGAAGCAGAAAGCCTCTGCCATCATAGACTTTTCCTTATTAGTTTAGTAGTGTGAGGGCGAGCCGCCCAACTTGCACCAACGTCGGCAACGTGGTCCGTGTGGGTCAGTCCAAAACAATGACACTTCAGACGCCACTTCAGCCAGCTCTCCCTGTCTCAAGCCAGCAGTCACCTTTCGTTGGTCAGTTGAATGCATTGTGCTCTCTTTCTAGTTTCAAAGAGAAAACCATCGATCCCGACGCAGCCCCTAGCTGGTCCTCACTTTCAGGTTACCTGCACGACCGAACCCAGGTAGCCACTTTCTCCTAGCGCCAGTAGCTGAGCCCGAGGGCAGGTTGCCTGCCTCAGAATGCTGCGAGGAATCAAAAGCGCCTTGCGGGATAGGTTGGATTTCAGTCACAGTGGGTGACTGGATCTCGCCCTTTCCATTCTGATTCACACATCTGTACCCATCTCCTTCAAGCCCAAGACCCTGAACATGTCGGTCTTCACGGGCGATTGGTGGCGGTGTCGCTCCCGAACGGTCATCGTCCAGCAATGCAACATTCCGACTCACACTCGTTTGAGCCTGAGGCGCATTGGGCACATATCTGGCTTGCATTTCACTGTTGTCAGGAATGGGGCCATCAGCCGGTGGCAATGAAGCACCAGCGCCAAATGATCGCCTCCAAAGTCGAGTAAGCCCATTCCTAGCACCATGCTGGGCACCATGCTGTCCCGTAATGGGAGGATATTGAGTCTGCTGCCGTTTCTGGCTGCAATTGGGAGACTGCTTCGGTGGCTGGAAGAACTGAGCCTGGACTGGGGTCTTCATACCAGCCCTCATTTGGGCATCGTCGCTGTTTCTTCTCGCATGACGAGGGCGGCGACCAAAAAACTTCTGTACAGCTTCATGTTGACTTGGTTTCTGTTCTTGCTCCGCCTTGTTGTTGTTCTGGCCAGCGCGAGCCTGCAGGCTGGATCGTCTGTTGGGAGGTGAAGGTGGGCCTGTTCCAAAGAGCGCCTGCTGGACTGAGAACAATTCTTCCAACTGTTTCCCATTGACGGGATGCCCTTCCGGCTTTGGGTCATTGCCATGCCCCATGATGGCATTCATTCCCCAGCTACCCATTGAGGGGCCGCCTGGAAAACCAAACATGTCCGGGGAGCCTCTGTCATCTGCTTGGGCCTTGCCGCCACCTGCTCGTAGCCAGATGTCCAAGCTAGACTCAAAGGTGTTTTCGGTGTCTGCGCTATCCATCGACCACCTATGCTCCCGCCTATGGGATACAGTCGACTCATCTGCTGACCGGGGGCGTTGGATTTCGCGAGAAAGGTGACTCCATGGGTCATTAGTATGAACCACTGGTGACTTGTGGGACTGTTTATGAGTGTGGGCAGGCTTAACAACGACAGGGGAGCCGTTCATCGGCGTTACACCCTTGTTGTCTGCTGCTTCCATCGCATACCCGTTGCGTTCTGAGCCACCACTGAAGCTTCGATTGCCAAGCGTGTCATTGGAATGCTTCATACGATTGAGAGTTGCGCTCGATATGGTATCAGGAGTCGGCGGCATGCCAGACTCATGCAAGCTCACACCGCCAGGTGTATCAGTGATCACTCTGCGCAGAGCCTCCCTCTTCGTTTCCAGAGTAGCCCGACGATTCAGTGACGGCGCAACTTTAGTGCCGTCGGACGTCGGCGGCGGCTTCATTGCGCGGTTGGTGGGTTGGGGAGTTTTTCTCCTGGGGGAGTATGCTGGATCCATCATTTCGATCTTCTGCAACGGTGAGCCACCCATGATGCTTGCTATCGGCTGAAACTGGCTGGACCCGTGCATTCGCGAGGATGGGCTCTCTGTGCGGGAATCCACCGGCCGAGCCTCACCAGTGACTCTCAAACGGCCTAGGCTATCTTGCTTTCCCATATCATGCGACATACCATCAAGGGAAAGCGGCTCGTCGATCGTTGAAGGGAGGGTCAGATCCTGACCTTTCTGACCGTAGACACTGACGAAGGAGCTCTCGCTCAGCACACTCAGTGTCGGGCTAGACAAGCCATTGATTGGGTCGGTGTGCATGTCTAATGCACTTTCGCTCACACGAGGGAGGCTGATGAGGCTGCCTCTAGCACCGATATACACATTTCTGAGGTTTTCGGTGTTCTCACTCTGGTCCGAAAGAAAGCTCGGCATTCGGTTGATGCTTCTGCCGTCAAAGTCCATCCATCGAGGATCGATAATCTCGGGTGCGGGAGCGAGACCTTGGGAATTGTAGTCAACATCAGGAGGGCTGTAAAAGCCCTGGGATTCGGCCCGCCGTCCCAGGTGAGAGTTGCCCTTGGTCAACTCTTCGATCCTTGCCTCCAGTGTGACGATCATAGCCACGGCTTCTTCCACGGCCTTGTCACGCTTCTCAACCTCCTCCGCCAGTTTATTATTCAGCTCCTCGGCTGCGCATTTTTCGGATCGCAAGGTTTCCATGTTCTCTTCCAGCATGGTCTGCCTTTCTCTGCGGTGGTATAACTCTAACTTGAGGTCGAAGTTTTGCTTGTGTAGGCTCGATACAACATGCTCCATCTCCTTGATGCCGAGACCTTTTCTAGCTGCCGGCTCCCCACCAGCACCAGAATTGGGCCTAGAAATATCGAGACCAACACTCCTAGTAGGTGACTTCTGGACGCCCGACATCTTGTCAAGCGAGTTATTCGACTCATTGGTCATTCGAGACGAAGCCAGCTTCTGGCTCTCTGATTGCCGCTCCTTTTGGAGCCGCTCGTGAAGGAGGGACGACACTGGGGTCTGCCGGGCCGGTTCTTTAGGGCTATCTCGGGACAGCTGTCGGGAGGAGGGTCTCGGGGAGTTGGGGGATCTGGAGCACGAAGCATGGTAGTAGAGGTGTTGTGAATGGGCACTGCTCGACATCTTGGGGGAATTGGTGATGTGGGTGGTAGAGGAGTTGGCGCTTTGGGAGAGATGTCGGGAATTGCTTGTGCTGGTAGAGGAGCGGGATGCTGAACGAGGGTAGGGCGGACGAGATTTCTCTCGGGGAAGCGATGGAGCTCCGTCCATTGTGGAATGCTAGAGGTGTTTGTGTTATTCTCTTGTGACGAGCCGATCAAACGACTGGGCTGAGGGAGGGAGTGCCGAGCATGCACAGCATCTCGACAAAGTAGCCAGTCGTTGAATTGCCTGGGCGAAGGGGCTGTCTAGAGCTGATGCAATGATTGAGGCCGGCAAGCAAGCAAATACTTCCGGGCTGGGGGTGATGCAGGTTGGATTGAATTGATAGGAGAGCAGGAGCTGATCGAATTCCAGGAGTCGTAGGGATTGCGTACGTCGGTTGGCAGGACGGCAGAGGTGAACTAGTAGGTCAGGCGACGAAGGAACACAGACCTCGTAGGTAGAGGAGATCCATGCATGTTATGTTCGGGGACACATGGGTTTGGTGAGAAAGACAGGTCCTCGCTGGATGGGTTCCTTCTTGGTCGGACCGTGGTTCACTTGTGCCCTGAGCTGTGCTGAAGCTGGCGGGCTGCGGCAGGGGTTTAGTGCCAAAGAGGTAAGCACGGTACAAGGAAGGCAGTAAGCTCCTCCCTCTGCCTCTGCTGCGGTAGCGCACGGACAGCCCAAAAAATTGGCTGTGGGGCGGCCGTGATTGTTCGTGAGATCATGCAGCTTGGTTCATGTCCTCAGTCCACAGCTCTCAGGCAGCTTGACCCACGGTTGGGCGATCAACGAACGCCAGTAGTCAGGAACGGCCAGCATTCCTCCGACGCATGGCCTCCCGCCGGCTTGCTCGTCCATTCTGTTTTACGACCATCTCCATTCGCTCAGTCCCGACAGCCACAGAAGGCCTCGTGCGGCGGGGTTCGCTTTCGTTTCTTTTTCTCTGGCTTTGACGTCTCGCCACGGTTGATACCTTATTAGGTGCCTTGCCTAGAGCTAGAGAACATCTGGGACCTGAAACGACCGGCCAAACTGTACCTCGCTGCTAGGCCGTGGGGAAGGCTACATCACAATGGGTGGGCCACGGGGATCTGCCCCTGATCCGAGTGTCCAATGACCTGGGCTTCCGACCCAGCGGACTGCAAGGAAATCCTAGCAGCCGGATGTACTCCCGCCCGTCTGTCACAGGACTGAGCAAGAGACACACATGGAACAGTTCCCAGCGGTTACGCCGCTGTGATGGGCTTGCTGATTCGCCACGGCAGGCGAGGGTGAGATTGGTGTTGCCAGCGGCGACATATAACCCAATTCCTCATATCATGGCACCGGCGGCCAACCAACATCCAATCTGCGGCATCTGCCTGTGATTGCGAAGGGCTGCCTGCATATGCATCATTTCAACCCACCCTCTTTCCCCTTTTCCCGCCTGCGAACGAAGGAGCAAGCCAAAAGACTGTTTGCTTTTTGCCTGGTGGGGGTTGGCTGTGCACCCCTGCATTGATTGCACACTGCGTCCGTTGGTGGGGAGAGATCAACCAACTGGCTCCCTGGATTTGTTCCTGTCCACAGACTATCGCCATCAATAGTCAGGCAGACTCTTCTGCTTGTCCCTGTCGCAGCGTTTGCTCTAGATCCGGAACAGCCAAACGGTCCGTCGCGTACCGCACCCCGCCAATAGCAGCGCAATGCCGCCCGTCGCCGAGAGTTGAAGTCTGTTCACGAACGACTTACAGCCGATGCATTGGCTTCGTTCATGTTCCGCCAACGGCAGCCTCCCGTCTTCACCGTTCGGCCTTTTTTCCAGCTCTGTTCCAAAAGACACTTTTCTTTTTGTCTTTGTCTCAAAATCCCCTACCCGGTACTGAACAGCCACTGTAGACATAGAACATCGGACCGAGCGCCCTCCTCTATTGATCCTTGACCGCTACCCCCTCAATTACGTATTCCCACTTGCAGTAGTATATCCCTTCAATAAAGAAGAAAAAGAAAAGAGAAGAAAGAAAAAGCCATTGACGCGAAACGCGTTGGAAAAAAACGTTCGCGCGTCGCGCTAATTAAAACCCTTGTCAAGTGTGCTGCTAGTTGATAAGTGACAATCTCGTGGTCACCACCCTCGTTTAGATTGAAATTGCCTACTTTCTTTAAGTGCTTGCATCCTTCAGCGGCGTCTCTTGGCCGAATCTCGACCGTGGAAGAGACTACCATGACGCAGATTTCGAGTCTCATCTCGATTTCACACGCGGGTCGCACATTGATATCCCTGCAGACATTGTTCACCCTGCTTCCAACTGAGACTGGGAGACTGGGACCCTGAGACCTTCAATGATGAAGCTGTCTGATCGGCCACCAGCCTCATCTCGATCTTGCCGGTAGAAGTGCCACGGCTGTGTTACCTAACCATGCCGGGGGATCGGCTTCAAGGTTTAACTCACCCAGTCTGCTGTTTGACCGGTACGTCTGCACGGGGCGGCCTTCCAATCGCCGCAAATAGCCCATGAGGAGTGGCTCTCACAAGAACCCCTGTTTGCAAGCTCTTACAGACATCATCTGTGAATTAATTCTTTCGTTTGGCCGAATGATGATACATTGTGTTTGAAGGCAATGGTCTCCTCCCTGCTAGCGTTGTGTTTGTAATGTACTCCCTGCTTCAAACCACTTCATGTTGGACAAAACCCAGCAGTCACGCCTCGTGGCATCACACAAGGGTATCACAAAATGCTGACCTTTCTGCCCCTCCACTCACCTTATCAAAACCTCATCCATGGACTGATGATACTGGGATGGGGGAAAGCCTTCCGAAAGAGCGCAGAGCTGTATGCGTCCCGTAGAGAGTGCCGTTAAGCCATAGAACATGAGCCCAAGACTCACAGTGCGATAAACATGCTTTCGTAAAATGTCTTGCAATAATACAATTATTTTGCCAGGGCTATTGTTCCAGCTCTTCTCGGTGTCACCTTGGAATGTTGAACCGGGAAATCACCGAATTCACAACAAGAAAGCATTACGCTCACACGTAGCTCTGCCGATAGACTTGCCAGCAGAGAATTCAGAACATGTACCGCTGGTCATTTCATTTCTCTCGCTGATTACCGCACGAGAAGTGTGCAAGACGGCAAGCGGTAGCCCTCCATAGTCGCTTGTGAATGCGAAGTCAACCTTCCTCTCGTATCTTCTTCATTTGTCCCATCATTCAATCTCAATACGTGTCTTTCACATATCTACAAACTTTCAGTGAGAAAGGTTCCTACGGTTCATATTGGACAGTACGCGAAGCCGTGTAGTACGTATCCACCCAACTTATGGAACTGAAGTCATGGCCTTTTTGGATATTGTTATCCTATCCGGGGGGGGGTATTAGGTGGTGCAATCTCAGGTCCAAACCCGTCTTTACCACTCCTGTGTTCAAAAACAACCAGCTCGACTATCAGTGACGTCCCTTCTAGGAGGAGTCTATTTTCATATGATGTGATTTTTTAACACCTTGATATACAGAATCATGTCTGTTTTGAGTATCTCCATTCTGTTGCCCAGATGTCACCAACCCCATTGGCACAACATGTGGTCAGATATTATGAATTCGGTCAGTGAAATATGCGAGTCGAGTCGAAACGCATCTTTGGTGTCAAAGCCCGAAAACCCTCTGTATTAGAAATAAACGGTGCTTTTGAGGGAAGAGGTGCCTACAAAGTCCAGCTGCAACTCTCGTCGGCGAGGCTATGCCCCGTATCCGCGTGTCGAGACCAGACCTGGAATTCTAAACAGCGGGTGAACGAATTTTGCAAGTTCGATGTTTTGTACGGCAAAAGCAATGGTCATGATCTCCGACGGCTCATACGTTTTGTTGCGCGGGGAAGACCAAGTCTACCTCGAGCGTGCCCGAGTTAAGGCAGGTTTTACGATCTCTCTCAGTACCTTTGAGTTCATGGAGGCGCAAAACGTCAAAGCTAGGTAGATTTTTAGCCTGAGAGGTCGCGGACGCGATGTTGCTGGTAGATAACCAGTGCCAGGCTGAAAGCAACAAGGCCCAGAAACGCGAATCTGCATGAACTAGGGAGCAAAGCACCCTTCTAACCAAGTCTTCTAGCTATGGGCTAAGGAAACAAGAGTACGGAGAGAATCCTAAATAGAGGGGGCATTCCGGCTCTTCTTCCCCAGAGGGGCAAGTACATCACCATCAGCAGCTAAATGAAGCAGAGTTTGCAAAGCAATGACCATAGAGTAAGCAATGATAAACCTATATGTGGCTCCCTGTCCACCTCAAACGCCGTTCATGAATGCCAAGAAACCAATAATGAAAAGAGTCTCCTCACTACACTCTACAGCTCGTCCTTGAAGAACTTCTCCTTGCTACCCTCCTCCTTCTTGCGAGGCTTTTCCGCTCTATTGGGGGTGTTTCCCTTGGACTTGCCAGACTGATCAGAGTTCTGAGTCGTGGGCTTCCCGTCCTCGTCGTCGGACTCGTCTTCGGCTTCTTCAACACTGTCCACGTAGCCCCGTAACTCTCGGATATTTTCGTTTGGGAGCTCCACAATCTCCAGCCTCCAACCCAAATCTCCAGCGATCCTTTCCATCTCAGCCCGCATCTCTTCAACGTCCTTGAGATCCACCTCCATCCTCTCCAGGTCCTCCCGAGTCCTCATCTCAACTTTACCGCCGTTAGCCTTACTAGCAGCTTGGGCAATCAGGTCAATCAGGGCTTCGGTGTCTAACTCATCTCCTTTGAAGTAATTCTTAGGCGTGTTCAGCTTCATGGGCGGCTGACCAGCCTCGTCGGCTCCAGAGAGAAGGTTGCGTGCACCAACAACCACGCCACCAATAACCACACCTTGCTTGTTCGATGCACCAGGTTGCAAAGGTTGTTGGTTGGCTGGCGTCCGTTCCTCGTCAATGTCAGGAACAGTATTCTGCAAATTCTGCTTTGTCCCCTCGAGGAGTGGCGGGCTGGCACCCTCTGGTAGAACAAGTTGGCAGTTGATAGGATGAGCTTTTGCCTCCTGTGGTGGCAGGAACGCCACATCCTGGCAGAGCTGCGGGGTGTTAACTACCATCAGATAGGCACAAATCGTGACCTCCTTAATCCATGAAATCCTAGCTTGCTTGAGTCCGGGGACGCAATGATATTGGACCTCAATTGTTCGTGCTCTACCCGTCAGGTCGCAAATCGTGCCCCCCTCTAGCTTCTGCACCAGATATCGCTGATCGCCCTTCACCTGCACCTCGGCAGGTAGCGGGTTCGCGTCGGCGCTCTTCCGGCTCTTCTGTAATGATGTCGATGGGATCGCAGGAGTAGCTCCAAGGATGAATTCAGCAGTCTGCGGATCTCTCTGCGGTGGCTGGTTGGGGCCTGTGGCGGCGGCAGCATGAAACTGCACGATTTCCGTGTTCTGGCAGAACTTGTAGCTCCACCACCCCGACATGAAGTAGAGGCAGGAATCCCCCAAGTCACTCAGGAGCTCCCAGCCGTTAACTGTCGCCCGACTCAGTTCCTGCGCTTCCTCGGCCCTTGCTTTTTCCAATTCGTGTGCTGTCTGGTTTTCCGGGATCGCAGGTTGTAGGACGGGGATCGAGCACAAGTACTGGTGCGGGGGAATCTTCATTATCTGGTATGATCGTTCCGTAACATCCTGCTCATCAGCGCCTTGACCTTGGTGAGGGGTCGATTTGGCGAGATCGGTAGAGATGGTCGGCTGCGAAGCGGGATTATCATTTAGGAGGGCTTGCGCCTCCTTCTCTGATATCCATTTATCGTCGGTATACACAACTTCGTACTGCACACATATCCATCAGCTTCAAATGTGCTCGAAAAGGCGTTGGGGCAGCAATGTCATACCTGTGGGAAAGTCAAGAGGTCCTCGTGGACGTTGAACCCACGCGACCGAGCTGCGCATAGCTGCAAGCTAGCCAGCAAAACGATCTCGAGGCGACGCATGGTGCCACGGTATCGCTATTCCCGTCGTCGCATAGACTCCGCGGCTGGATCTTCGGCTGGATCTTGGGTTTAAAATAATAACTATACACGGGGTGGTTGAACATGCATTGGCATGACTTGTCCGGACCTTGTTTGTGGCCAACAACTTCATTGACCTGCCAAAGTGTCATGTACTCGCTGTAGGTACCGCGGCCGAGCTTTAGCCGACTTAAGGCCTGTCGCCGCAGGTCCCAAATAGGAAACACCATACAACGTCATTCTTTCCCAATTGCCGATATTAATAAGTCGAGGAGCTTCGTCTTATCGAGACATGACTGACACGTGATCTGGTTGAATAATATAAGGTTTGATGCGGTTTGTAAACTTTGTATAAACAGTTTTGGTTTAGGTCCACCTGCCAAGCCAACCATCTTTCTTGCATTGAGGAGAAGTTGAGCACTGCTTGGGCCCTTTCACTAGCACAATCAAATGCTAGGCCATGTTCACAATGCCTACCTAGGTAGGTATTGACAGCAAATCAGGTACATGAAACGCATATGCCATACCTCCCATCTCTACCCTACATACATGTTTCCAATTGATAGCTTCCCGTAATAGAGAGCGGACTGCATTATCAACCTCATTATCAACCTTCCTCTAAATAATCCAGAGTGTTTCACATGTCCCCTCAGCAGTCTTCAATAGTCATAGGTTGAAGATCAGGAATTGTGAGATCACAAGCTAAGAAATGCCAATAAACAGACCCCTTGTTCGGATATTCTGCACAAGACCTGCAGCACAATTCAATTTAATCCTGTTCTCCAAAAACTTCTGACACTACTGCTGCTCTGGTATGTTGCTTGACTACACCGGGCTAAGCTTAAAGGCGGAGCAGCCTAGCAGCCGCCACAGATACGGTGGCCGCGACCTACGTTGAAGGTGTTGGTTGGTTTACGGTCGTGTCGAGACCTGTGTCTTCGTCCATTCCATCTTGGCTGCAGGATCTCGGGCCAGACCACCATTTATTAGCCACGCAGATGCAGTCAATCGAACTCTAGCGAACAAACGCTATCACCTTCTTTTTGGGAGCTGGTATCTCCCGCATTGCTATTTTACAAGGTTGCTTGATTATTCAGTGTCTACCTAGCAACACTAAGGAGCCAACCCGCAGGACGAGAGAGTGTGTCGCGCGAGGCGTCAAGCTACCCCAGCTGAGCGTTCAAATCCCCAGCAAACATGGAAAGAATGACGCGCGGCCGGCTTTTACCTCTCCAAGACCATTTCAATACGGTTAATTTTGGCGATGTGCAGGAAGTAATGCGCCTGCAGGGCCATTGCGGCTAGACTCTACCGCGCTGGGGTGAACTCAGCCCAGCAACGGGTCCCGAACGGTCAAGAACGGTCGGGATTCCTGGGGCTGGAGAGAAACTATAGGTATGCTAGCTGAACCTTCGCCCAAGCAACGGTGAGCTCCTATTTGAATATAAGGAGGAGAGGTGCCCGTCTAGCACTACAGAGACAAATTTGTTTTCAATCGGCTATAATCCAGAAATTCAAAATTGTGCGTGGAAGCTCCTTGCAGAATTTATCACCTTCAAGATGCAATACAAGATTCTTGCCCTTGCTGCCATGGCAGCCACGGCTGCAGCCGGTGTTCCCCATCTCGCCGCTCGGCAGACGGACATCAACCCATCTGCCTGTGCCTCAGCTCTCGAGACCATCATCACGGACTTCCCTGTTGTTCCTGACAATATTGTCTCCGCCACCGACATCTCCGTCGGCACCGCCACAGACTCGTGCGCCATCAGCTACCCATCCAGTCTGAGCAGCGCGGTCTCCAGCTTCGCCTCCGAGGTCTCCTCCTGGTACTCCAAGAACAAGGACAAGGTGGCGTCCCTGACCTCGGCATGCCCCGCCCTCGGCGACAATGGAATCAGCATGGATTTACAATGCGCCAGCTCCTTCCTGGCCCAGCAGACCACGTCTGGGAGCAGCTCCGCCACGGCGACCAGTTCATCCGGTAGTTCTGCCAGCGCTGCTGCTACCACTTCAAGCAAGGGCGGCGCCGCGCGGGAGACGGGAGCGTTCATGGCCGCCGCAGCGGCCGTGGGTGTTGCCGTGATTGCATTGTAAATGCCAACAGGTCTGCCGTCTTTATACACGAAGGAGAGCTCGCAATGAATATGACGGAATAAGTACCACATCAAACGGAACTAAGGCCGGAGCAACGCCTCGGGATGGTTTCTTTCAACGGCGGCGTTATGATATGAAAATTGGCATGACGAAATTGAAAATTTATGGAAAATTAATTATATATACCTAGGTAGTGTGGCGCTCAGAAAGAGCTACATTAATACATACATCGAAGTCTTTCTCTATCCAAGATCACCGATGCCCAACTTCAAAAGGCGTGACAAATGTGATTTTGAAGTAACCGAAGCGGACAATGTGCCGGAGGCAAGTCAAGGCCAAATAAAATATAGTGAGCCATGTGTCTCTCACTCCGTGTTAGTACCAAGGTCAAAGCAATTGGGTATTCGATTTCGAGCGACAAGAAGCAACAACCAAAAGGGATGGCACTACGTAAAAGTCACTAAGCGTCGCCGCCTCACGGTAATCCCTATTTTTCATATAGCATCTGTCTTTTTCGTTCACATCAGCCCAAAGTGACTGTGTCATCTCTAAATATCATCTGCGTCCACACATGGTATCACGCCACTCAGGCAATAGATCGCTAGGGATAAATACATTGGGACACATTTACTTGCAATTGATCTCATTATTTACAACTCTAGAATCGTAACTTTGATTTTTTCAGTGAAGGGAGAATGTCAGAACTACAGCTTCAAGGTCATAGTTCTAATTCCCTCTGCTCTACCTACCCTATTGTTCGGCTAGATGCTGTCCCATCGATTATCCCAATAGTGGTTGTGAGTTTGTAGTCGTATGTTTTTACTCTCCTAATTAATTGACAGGTAATCTCTCCTTCACATCCTGCTAGGATCAATGGCCTCCATGAGCCCAACCACCTGCAGGATACTTTTTTCCTGTCATGTGTGCCAACGAGAGTTGCAGTGCCACGTCCGAGCCAGCCAACCTTCCATACTACCACCTACCCTGAACCGGAAAGTATCAATTGCCAACAAGCAGGACACCATCATCGACATATTGAAGAGCCGAAGGCGACCCAACCAAGTCCTAGATCCACGTCCGCTGACACCCTGCCAGGTGTTACCGAACGGGAAGTCATGCATGAAAGCACCGCTGCAAGAGGCTGAAAAGCATCCCGCTTACTTCGACCAACCATGGAGTAGTTTCGTGCATACGACATGTATGCCGGCCTAAGCGTCAGAGATCTCGTGAGCTTCACGGCCCAATCGTTCTCTTACTCCCAATACCGCGCCCCGGCCGGAATGGAAAAGGCTGCCGATGCCTTGCTCTGACCACCGAATGTTGGGCGTCGACGCGCACAGCGTCGCAGTGAGGTTTAGCGCCCATGCGACTTACATGCATACTTACATATGTACGTAGTTACGGTACTTACATGAGCCTGATATTATGATACACATCGACTGCGCCGGGGTAGAAACGCCAAAAGAAAAAGGAAAGAAGTGGTGAGATGACGTGGAGATGTGATAGGATGGAGGATGTGGGATGGAGCTTGGGGAAAGAGGAAAGTTGGTTCCCAAGATTGATGATGATATCTAGCTGTGCCTCATCTACCACGAACTGGTTCGAGATCAATATGGCACAGTTGGTCTTGACGCTGCATTGACATAGAGCATGAAAGCCAGAGATCTTCCTGATACTAGTTCGGAGTGCTCCGCCTGGGACGGGGAGGACATACTCCGGACAGCGAGCGCTGCTTGATCTCACGGCATGCTCCAGGGTCCCGCCATTGTGTTTGATATGAGTGGATGCTGTGCCTGCGATGCCATGCGGTGCTCTCAGGAGAATAGTCGATCATATCGGTGAGGATCGTCGACAGGACTGTACGCATGTGGGTTAGGGGGAAGGGCAGCAGGGGTTTGAGTGCTTGGGCCTTTGGTCCTTTGGTAGCCAAACTTGGAGGGATGGCCTGTGCTGTGCAGGAGATGATGATGACTCGACTGTTGCTTTCGTGTCCTTGCACAGAAAAGGGAATGGAGGGCAGCAGGGATTGTAGCTCACCGTCCGCCTCACTTTTTGAGGCGGTTTTATTGGCCACGACCCAGTTGGCCCCATGGTCAGAACAACCATTGCCTACTCTAATCTCGTGCATTGCATTGCAGGCCTGCAATGTGCAATAATAATGCATCATCCTTCTGTCTCGTCGCTTCTGGGCGGCAGACGACACACAAATGCGCCAGTGTGCCACCCGTCTCAGACGGCCGACCGACGGCCAATAGGAGCCATACAATTTTGCGCAGAAGGCTTGAGGACGCCTAGACCTGCACATTTCCAGACGGCTCGACTGGGTTTTGGCATGAGAGAAGAGAGATCGCGAGAAACTAAGTGCGCTGTTGCATTTCTTGATGGTCGCCCCCCACAACTACCGCAGAACCGGTGAGTTTGTGGGTGGGGAGTTTGTTTCTGGTGTCGTAGTTTGTCAATGCGAGCCGATAATTTTGAGGCCGAGGGCGGGCCCGTACTCGGAGATCAGCCAATATGCAAATTCCCAATCGTTCATGTAAGAGAAGCAGAAGCAAAATGGAACCAAGTACGTAATTTCTTTCTACTAGAAGCAGAGAAGGATAACACTGATGGCAACACTGCCAGTATATGAAAATGGCCGCAAGTTCGCCGTTTGTGGCGTTGGGATAGCAGGTGCGAGTGGTATGTGAGTCTGGGATGGGCGGCACGGTAAAAAGGCCAAAGAGGTACTGATAGTTCGAAAATAGGACTGAATGGTAAGATGGCACTTTCGGTATCCTCCTGTCTCGATTCGAGATCCAAGCCACGTTGGCTCAATATCACACGCAGCCAGTCTGCACACAAACCTGTCGGTCTCGACTGCAACACTCTTGTGTGTGTCAGCAGCGCTTGACCTGGAGCGGTCCGAGGGTGCCGCAGCCACTATAACACGTTTGTTATTTACCTACGCGCTAAATGTCTGGCCATGCGGTGTTGGGAGCCATTAGCACGAAGTAGGAGGCCCACGGAGACGTCATGTCAGCAGTTAGTCTCCAGACAGGTCAGATCAGTCGGGCGCTGATCACACCTAGACTTTGCCGTCTGGGATGTGGGCATGCACTTCTGGCCAGCGCGGCGTACATGGAGCGTCGGGCGTGTACTGTAGCATTTCGCTTCGCATGCAGGAGGCCGATGGCAGGCGAGCGGCCGGAGACAGCTCGCCTACCATGTAGAGACGGTAGCAGCAGGCTGCCGACTTGCAGCAATACCTGTAACATTGAACTGAAGACAATGGATGGATGCCGTCCCAGCGTGGGCTCTGCTAACGTCTAGTGGGTGTGTGGGGGCAACGGACGCTGCTGTGAATGGCGGCGGCGGCGGCGTCTGAGCCATTCAGAAGGTGGACCCGTCACACCCCCGGCGGCGGGATGTGTTGGGCTAGCTGGCTACCAATCATTTGGATCTTGAGGCGGAAGCGACCAGGGTGCCAGTGGGATGCCAGTGGCCCACACACCGGTATCTCGAGACTCCGGACGTAGAATACGCGCTAGCTGCAGTGGGAGCTGTTGCGCCAGCTCAGCTGAGGTTGGGTGCTGTCACAGGCGCGGGCGTGGGAGTGGTAGTGCTGGCAGTGGCTTCAAAGTGCACCGAAGCTGGGCACAGCCCCCCTCTCGGCCGTCCACTGTCCCACCCAATTCGAGGTGGCATTAGCTCTGACTGGCTGCTGCTGAGAACTGACATACTGACTGTCATGAGATGGCCGAGCGAGCCTCAGACAGCTCCCGCAGGTGAGACGGCCACAGAGACCCAGCATTCCAGTCAGCAGCCCATCTTTGTCCGTCCCCATTGGCAGGATGAGCTGATGGCCAAGAGACTCGGTATCGGGCTACCATAATCTTATCCAACTCGTATCGAATCTGGAGCTATGTCACCACTTCCATCGGTCGAGGTGCATGTTACGTACTAATCCAAGACGCTAGCCCACCCACCCATCGCCAGGCTTCATGCATGAGCAAGGTTCTCCCCGTTCATCGAGTGGGGATTGACAGCCTCGTGCAATGAGTGGTAGCCCGTGCTGAATATTGCTATTAATCTCCCTGTTCCGCCATCTTCGCGAGTCTCGACTGCGTTCACGATCCTTTCGCCTCTATCCGACTTTCTGTCCTCGTCCCATCAAATCATTGCCAGACAGGACTGGAACAGCAGGATCTCTCTTGTCCTCATTCGACAAAGATTCTCTAGACGGACCCGCTACACAGTTTCGAAAATCCAAGGCGCCTTCCATCCAAGTGCTCTCGTTCTTCGCCTCGACTTTTCTCTCCCACCCATCGTGTCTTTCAAACCCACATTCTTACTCGCTGTTTGCGACCTCACCACCACATCTACTACTGCCCGCACAGTACCTTCGCTGTAACACATACTCCATAATTTCTCCAGATCTGCCTGCCCAATCTTTGCCACGCAACGATGGGCGACGAAATTGCGCTGCTTAGAAAACAGCTTCAACAAAGTCAAGCAGAGAACCGTGCCCTCAAGCACCAGCATCTTCAGCTTCTGAGGACCCAGTCCCATGTGCCGGTCTCCTCACAGCTCACCAATGCAATCCACCAAAGCCAGAGGGTAAATCCCCTCGCCCGTAGCCAGTCGACGTTGGGCTATAGCACCGTTAGCGTACGTATTTGCTTCCCCTCCATCATCGCTCCTCCTCCTCCCTGCCACCGCCCTCCATTCTTATGCGATCGCCCTCTTACGCCGACAGCAGGACTATGCCCACCAAAGCCCAAAGGGCGTTGCGCGCCTAAATCGGGTATACTCGCATCAATCGCCGACCTCGATGAGCAGAACCGCATCTGCCCGCTTCGAGTCCATGCCCTTCCGCCCAACTGGCCCTATCTCACCGCTCGAAAGCCAGCCCTTGTACCGCTCTGCGTCTGACCAGTCCCGCATGAATCACCGTTCGCCCTCTCACCAGAGCCTCGCCAATATTCAGGAGAACGATGTGCTTCCCGGCGTGGGTGTAAACCCCGCGGAATTCATCGCCAACTACCCGGAAGATGAGGGCACCTATCTCGCAACCACAAGGCCTCTAGCACCCAACGATATCCAGTTCTTTCAGGGAGCCTCGGCATGCCCCTCCATGTACTCTGGTGTGACGGCTCACGATACGCCAAGCCCCATGTCAAGGCAGAACAGCGCCTTTGAAAACGGACAGAATTGGGGTGTTGATATGGTCAACACAGTCTCGTCACAGTCCATGTTCGCCACCGGCTCCGAGCACATGCTCTACCCCAATATGAGCTTCAATCAATCGTCAGACGGAAGCCCAAAGCATCACCCAGCAGCTAACCAAGATCTCCTGGGTCTTGGTGCGAGCTTGCAGGATGCAGCGCCATTGTCATCGTATGCACCCACGAGCTTTGACACTAGCTTGACTAGCGACCTGTCTGCTGACCTGTCCGCTGAGATGGAGCGCATCGGCTCCAACGAGAGCGCCTCCAGCACCCGCTCTAACGCATCCAATTTAGAGCGGCGTGCCAAGGAGCGTCATAGACAGGTTCTCGAGAACAGCAAGAGAGGCATCGTCCCCAAACCACAGGAGTCGGACGCCTCGCCACCTGCTATCAAGAAGAAGAACAAGGTTGCGCCTAACAAGCTCGGCTACCAGCGTCGCAAGCAACCCCGTGTCTTCTGTACCCAGTGTTCCGAGCACCCTGGTGGATTCAGAGGTGATCACGAGCTGCAGCGTCATATCAATGCTAAGCACTCTGTCGAAGTAATCAAATTCGTATGTCGTGACCCAGCCTCAGTTGGCCTAAAGTCCAAAGTGCAGCCCAAAGCACCACTCAAAGGCTGCAAGAGCTGTGAAAATGGCAAGCAATACGGAGCCTATTATAATGCCGCAGCGCATCTCCGCAGAGCTCACTTTGTTCCCAAGCTGTCTCGTGGGAAAACCAAGAGCGCCGATGAGAAACGAGGAGGCAAGGCCGGCGGAAACTGGCCCCCAATGGACGACCTGAAGCTCTGGTATGAAAAGATCACGGTCATCAGCGGGGGCGCAACCGCATCCCCTTCCGACGAGGCCGAAAGCCCCGAGGATGAGATTGACGACATGGACCTCGAAACAGAGGATCCTGAGCCTGTGTCTAGTCTCCAGAACCAGCCGAGTGGTCTCGATGGTGTCGCTGCTGCCATGAGCGGTGTCACTGCTGAGTGGACTGGCCTTGTTCAACCTGAGATCTCTCTGCCCGAATCTCAAGGCTATATGTCTTTTCCTGGACAAATCAGTTTGGAAAACTCGCCAGCCAACCTGTCTTTCACTGAGGACAACTCTCCCCCAATCTGGGAAACCACGGCTTCCAGCTCATTCGCTTCACCGGCCCCCGGCTTTCTGGGCCAGGAGTCACCTGCCGTAGCCTTCCCGGCCTTTTAACTCTCCAAGAGAGAAGCATGTGCCTGAATTTGATGGTGATGGCGACCTGGACTCTTTGAAGCTTCGATAACCCAATTTGTGCGCAAGATTACATCCTGCTATGGGTTGTTCTTATTTTGAACATCCGTACGGGTGATAACCGGCTGACTCCTGACGTGTGAGAAAACTCAGCGGCAAAAAAAAATATTTTCGTCCAACATTTTTTTGATCTTTTTTTTTTTTCCTCCATATTTATTTCAACCACATCAAGCAATCTTTATCAGGCAAGACAATGGTTTGAAGTACGGGCATCTTCAGCCTTGGCCTGTCATGCTCATTCGCTCGAGGCTGGAAAATGCACTCATCCGGATGGGCAAACATTCTTCCCTTTACTTGACTCTTTTTTTTTTTTGGCCATTTTTCCCTATCTTCTTTGCGACCTCGCGTTTCGCTTCAATCGGCTTGTTTGTTTCTCATGGCTTTTGTTTTTTTCAATGGTCTTTCATCATCATCATTTCACAACACAATTCTTTTTTTGGTCCGGGGGCGCATACGTTTTGCGGTCTCCTCAACCTGCTGCGCACGGTTGAAGGGAACGCTGTACAAAACCAACCCACGTTATATTCAACCTGCTTTCGGACTTGGGAAAGCCAACTCGTTTCTTTCTCAAGCCGGGATTTCGCGGGTACACATTTTTAATTATTCTTCCTCTCTCATTTTAATATGGGATCACCCAGCCTATTTCAATCAGAGAGGGGAAGGGAAGAGAGGGGAATGACTTTATCTACAATAGAGCGGAACGAGTTATGACATGAGATCTCCCCGGCAAAAGTGGGCGATCGTTAATGATTATTGATGTTCGGGGGCATACAGCAGGGTGTTTGGGGCGTCGCAACAGCATCATTGGAATCCTTTTGGGTCATGCGAGCATGGCCCTGAGGGCTGGCTGCAGAGATGTTGTCGTTTGTTTATTATTTGACTGGGCTGCTTTATTCTCTTATTGCTTGGATTGTTAATTATTCTGCGGACAAGGCATGTCTGTCCTGGGGCGGCCACGGTTAACAGGCGTTTCATGGCTAGAGCGAAATATCTGCTCTATGTTGAATTGGTGGTGGTATTTATGGGTGTCTACGCGATAGATAATGTTTCAATCTTGGTGAGGTGGGAAATATATGGCCACGGCAACTGCATGCCGCAGGGTGCTGATCTGATTTGATCTGATCTGTTTACATATCGATATCTCAGTTCAGTCTGTGATTGTGACCTGTGTCTAGACTCATGCCTGGTATCTAGCTAAGCAGGATATAGTTATCAATTTTAAGTCGGTGTCAAACTTGGATATTCAGTCGGGCCACATTGATGATTTAACCCCAAATCGGCTGTAGTGCCTTTTGACTCAGGTGGAAATCCTTGGATTGTCCTGTTCATTCGCGTCGCCATTGCGGCGCAGAAAGGCAGGATTCGCGAGCCTTCATCCTTCAACGAGATTGAGGCAGACGTGGGATTCATGGCTGGCACTCGCTGGACCCCAACAGCGGCTTCAACAGCACAAACGGCCCAACAATGGGTTGCTTTCTCGAAGGAAGCAGAGAGTCTCCCTGGCAATGCCGGAGAGCGGCTGTGTGGTGGGGTGGTCGATCCTCCTGCACACTGGACGGAATATGCTGCCCTGTTGGGCTGTCTCAGATGCATCGCTGACCAGTTCTGCCGGTTGGCCGCCTAAAGATCGAAATAAGGCCTAGCCCAGCATCGTCCCCGGTAGCGGCGAGCTTAATTGCCCCGTGGCTCGCATCTTTCTTACCCCGTTGAAATGGAGGGGTCTCACGGTGTATAAAGACCTCGATGGCCGTCTCTTTTCTTCCCTCCCATGTGATATTGTGAGACGTGGAACTTCTCTTCCAAATTACTTCTTGCCCCAATTGCACACAGGAAGGATTGCAGACACTCGAGCCTAGGCCAGCCACTATGGCCAGCAACCCAAGAATCCTCGTGCGACAGGCTACTATCTTGGTCGACGGGAAAAGCAGCAGCGAAACCCACAGCCGCCGCATCGCCGCCAAACACCACAGCGGAAATGGACCGTCCCTGAACCAGCTCCCGGAGGCGTGGGACACCTTCATAGCAGACATGACGGGGATGCACTCCGTCGCCGCCCTGCGCAGGTCCCTCGTCGCCCACGGCCGCAGCCACGGCGCCGTCTGCCTCGTCGTCGCCATCACCCTCAACCACATGCGCCGGCTGCTCTTCCCCGCGGCCACCCAGTTCTTCTGGCCCCACGCCCTCGCTGACATGAAGCTCGCGCGCTCTTCCCCCCACCGACTCCTCGAGCAGTCCGTCGTCTCCTTCGACTGGCTCCCCTTCGTCGCTTGGGCGGTCTTCACCTACCTCCTCGCCATGCTTCCCGCGCTGCTGGGCCAGCTCGTCACCGCCCACTGCGGGCGCGGGAGCAGCAGGGCCACGGCTGCCGCCTGTATTGTCGCCTACGTCGCCGCCAGCCTCGCGTGGGCCGAGCACGCCTACGTCCAGTCGTGCTGGACGCTGGCGCAGCTGTACGCCTGCTGGAGGCTCGTCTCCCGCGGGGGGGACGCCGAGCGGGCCTTTCTACAGAAGCTGCTGGAGGAGCAGTCCGCGCGGGCGACGGCCGTGCTGGGGCTCGTTGCGCTGGGCTTGCATTTCCGCGTGCTGCCCGTGGCGCAGCAGGCGGTGCGCGGGCATTGGCCGGGGGTGCTGGTGTATCTGGGGATGGGGGTCGGCACGGCCTACATGGTCAGGTACTCGAATAAGTTCTTTATTCTGCTGGAGTTGGCGGATATGTGGATTACGCTCGCGTGGTTTGGTGGTGCCTTCGTGCTGCATGGGATGGAGGTTCTACGGAGACGGGTGGAAGCTGATGATAGGGCTGGGAAGGGGCCTGGGAAGGGGGCGTCACATGTATCAAAGACTAGATGATTGCACTGGTTCTGTAAAATCTATCAATTTTTTCATTCTTGATTCTTGATTCTTGAATCGTCTAATTAAACCAGGTAAAGACAGAAACCCCTTGGGCCAGAAATGGCCCACGTCCAAATTACACCAAACTCTGATTCCTCGTCAAGTGTTGTTTAAGCAGCTGCCCCGACTATCTCAGGACCAACAGGCAGTTGGCTTCCTGCAATGTTGCACTGCCTAAACAGCCGGACCTCGTCCTCTGCAAAGGCGCCGACGACCGAGTGGATCAAACCTCGGTTGTGGAAGATGACGAGATCGCCTTCCTTCCAGTCGTGGGCGTATATCCTCTGGGGAGCAATGCCAGGTCGCTGCAGACGGTAGACAGTCTCGCGAACCTTGGCCAAGTCATCGATGACGGTGCCATCGGCCAGATGGAGCCGCCTGACAGCCGATGGATGGATCTGAAGGTGCAGCTTCCCCGTCACGGGGTTGCGCCAGCACATGGGGAGAACCTGGATGGCCTCGGAGTTGATGGGAGGGAGGTCGGACTCTGAGAGCTCCTTGCCCTGCGAGACGAGGCCGAGCCCGGTGGAGCGGGACTTGGCCGGCGACATCCAGATGTAAGGATGGGCGGCGTATTCGACCTTGGTGGTGCGGGCAAACTCCTTGTCCTCGTCGGAGAGGATATCGTACATGGTCTCACCGTTGGCGAAAGCAGTTGTTCCAAGGGGGACGGTCATCTCATCGCCCGTGCCGTCGTCATATCGCAGTGTCTGCGTGCGGCCAGAGGGGACGCGGACGGCAAGCAGCGTGGTTGCCACTGGAGGCGCGAGATCATAAAGGGCCGCATCAATGTGCCAGCGGTAGAACCTGGTGAAGTCGAGGTCCTCTGCGTCTGGGATTGTGGTGTCATGGAATGTCCGGTGGTGAGGGTGCCGGAGCTGGATGTTCTCCAGACCCTCGTAGGAAGGCACAAAGCCGTTTCCAATGACCTGGACCTGGGGCTGATGCGGAACCGTCTTCAAATCAGGGTGTAGGATAGAGCGCTTGGCATCCAGAGTCTTGCCGTGGCCATAGTTGGCAGTGGCTTCCGGGTCAAATCGCTGGGTGAGGCTGTACTGGGCCTTGGGGGAGACGTGCGACTGGTCCCTGATGACGAGAACCTGATGCCTGAACAGAGCATCACGAAGGACGTCAAAGTCGGCATCTGCAGGGCAGAAAGTGGTTAGCCTCAGTGTGTTCTGGGCCACAGTGAAGATGGTTGTTCCTTACCAGGAGGTTACCGATTGTACGGGTATTCTCCCATTTGAGATTTGAGTTCTTCACCTTCATCCGAAGCATTCCATTGGATGCCCCGAGTGAGGTATTATATCATATTGCTCCCAAAGAATGAGGCAGCGACTGCAAAACAATCATTACTCCTTACCAGTAAGATTCTCGACGTCAACATCAGTGACGGTGGCGCCAAAGTTGATAGCGGAGCCCTGTGGCGCAGCAATGGGCTCGACCTTTGCTTGAGAAGTTGCCATAGTTAAGATGTGATGGATGTGATTGTTTGAGATAATAACAAGTTCTGACTATATGGTGGAGATTGATCTGGATTCAGGTGGCAAATCTGGGCCAGTCCGTCGTGTTGTTGGAGAAGGGATTCTTAGATTTGCAAGGCATGACCAGGCTACATTTATACTCCAAATCTGAGATATGGGCGGGTCCGATTCCCGAGGGGCAAGATCTCTTATCTCTACCGCGCAAGTCCCCGTTAGTCAATGTCGACAGAGACACTGATAACGGTGGAACTGCGCCCGATTGATTAATAAAGGGTTATTCCCATGATAGGCCTGGGTTTATCAGCCGTCCGCGGAAGCTGACGATGGCCGTATGCCTTTGGAGCCGTGCGGCCGCAGCCGCCCGTAGGCACAGAGCGGTTGGCATGAAGCCGCCCCCCAGACCAAACTCACCCAATGATACGGTTCCCGTAGTCTATTTTGATAATCTTTTTATTCGAGGGTATCTAATCATATCAATTCGTGAATCTCGACGTGCAAGTCCGAGAGTGAAGCCCTCCCATCTGCCTTCGAGCACTGGCAAACCGGGTATCCCAAATCGTCCTCGCACCTCAACTTTTCTTCACCTTTTCCGTCCATTCCTTGGCGCTCTTGACGCCCTCATGGGCTCTGCGAAACAAGCTTCTTTCCCACTCCTCCAGCCCCCGCAGGAACTCCTCCCCTTGACCCCCCAAGCTTCCATCATCAGCCTTTCTCGCGTGCAGGCCCACCTCGCCGGCTCGGACCACAAACGTCTTCCTGAGCGTGTTGCCGATCTCGCGTTCGTCGAAGAGGTCCAGCATCCGCACCCCCACGCCGTACAGGTGCACGTTCTGTTCCCTGAGCGTGACCGAGCGCGGATCGGCCCGCAGCGCGGCGATGACCTGCTCGGAGAGACAGGGCGGCATGTTGAGTATCAGCGGCGCCTTGGAGTCTCCCGTCGACGCGAGGGCGAGCATCTCGGCTAGCCAGAGGGGCAGGGACAGGGCTGTTCCTGGTTTGAGACCTGTTGTCGAGTTGTCGAGGTGGCCTAGGTACGGGACGTCGAGTTCGAATGTACACGGCACTTTCTGCGAGCGATGGCTGTCAGTATCTGGTATCTTGCACTGAACAGGCAATGCAAAATGCCTCAAGGAACTGAGAAGAAACAAACCTCGCCGTCTGTGAGGATGGCATCAACATCGTAGTAAGACATGTTGCACGCCTTGGACCGACTGTGCAGCTTGGCCGCTCGTCAATCGATCACTGCTAGATGAGCCTGTCCAGCGCGTCTGGTTAAAGTGCCCCTCCAAGCCAAACAAGAGCGCGTTGGAAACTGATAAGCGATAAGCATCCAGGATGCCGTAATTCCGCACCCCTCCAATTACAGGGCGGTTGATGCTAATGTGACGAACCAACTCCACTGAACGCTACCGTTACAAGAGCGCTGGGGTAATCGCGCTGTGACGACACACTGATCTCAGATCCGAAGCTCCTTCCCGTAGATTACCTAAGCCCGAGCTCGCCCTCGGCTATCCGCTCTAGAGCTTTGCGTGAGTTGACATCATCTCCGTCCAGGTTGTTGTAATTTATCTCCGCCCTCGCCGTTACGACTTCTCCAAGTTGTTGGTAAGTCCATTCTTGTCTGCTGGTAGTCGCCAATTTATGCTCTTCATCCTCCTCGATATCCTGTCTCCCAATTGACTCTTGGGATCATTTGTTTCCTGCTAGCTGAACTTCGAGAGCTAACCCACCGCCCGCTTTTTGCTCTAGCTGTCGACATAAACCACCACAATGTCTGCCCTCTTCAGAACCGCTCCCTCCCTGCGCGCTGGCCTCCGTGCCTCCGCTGCTAAGCCTCTTGCTGCCATGGCCAGCACCACCTTTGTCCGTGGAAAGGCTACTCTTCCCGACCTTGCCTGTAAGCTACATCCCACCACGCCGATCTCCCTCCGAGGGGAGAGAGAATTGGCGACGCCCAGGTATGGCATATGGCACAGCCAGCTAACACTCAATCGCTTCTCTCGCGGCTGAACAGACGACTACGGCGCCCTTGAGCCCTACATCAACGGCACAATCATGGAGCTCCACCACTCCAAGCACCACCAGACCTACGTCAACGGCCTCAACTCGGCCGTCGAGGCCATCGAGGAGGCCAAGGCCAAGAACGACCTCACCACCGCCGCCGCCCAGGCTCCCCTCCTCAACTTCCACGGCGGCGGCCACATCAACCACACCCTCTTCTGGGAGAACCTCGCCCCCAACGGCAAGGGCGGCGGCGGCGAGCCCGAGGGCAAGCTCCTTGTACGTTGAACTCTTTCAACCCCCCGCTAGATCGCCTTGTTTTCTAACCTCTCCCCCCCACAGACCGCCATCAACGAGGACTTTGGCTCCTTCGAGGCCCTCAAGAAGCAGACCAACGCCGCCCTCGCCGGCATCCAGGGCTCCGGCTGGGCCTGGCTGGTCAAGGACAAGTCCTCGGGCACCCTCGGCGTCGTCACCCGTCTGAACCAGGACCCCGTCACCGGCAACCTCGAGCCCCTCCTCGGCATCGACGCCTGGGAGCACGCCTACTACCTCCAGTACCAGAACCGCAAGGCCGAGTACTTCTCCGCCATCTGGGAGGTCGTCAACTGGGGCACCGTCGCCAAGCGGTTCGAGAAATAGATTTCGTCCATTTTTTTTAGTTCTCTGATTTGTCGCTGTCTGAATCCCCGTGCGACGGAAAACGGTGTAATGATGTACATATTACCTACCTCGGGTTCTCAGACTGATGAGCAACATGTGAAAAGGACGATCTGTTTCACGTACGGACGAAATATGTAGCAAGTAGAGATTTTCTCAATAAATTAAAAAAAAAAAAAAAAAGTCTCAAAAGTATAATTTTTTCTATCTTTTAGGAGTTGGGAAATTTAACCAGAAACCACGCAGTCCTTCAAGGAAGCGACACTTAAAAATCATCATCTCATTATCGTCGCTCGTAAAGAAACCCTTGAAGTACGGAATCTAAAAAATCAAATTGCACAGCGAGAGTTACTGCGCGCTCTTCCAAGCTTTACTCGGCGGGCTTCTTCTGCGTGAAGGAGCGAGGCAGGCGGTTCTCGCCCTCGGTGTACGGCTGGCCGGCCTCCTCGCGGGCCAGGTCGTTCACCCACCTCTCGTTGCCGTCAAAGTGGTTCTTGCTAGCGCTGCCAGCCCACTTGGCGGCCAGGTAGAACCAGCCGAGGGCGTTGCCGACGGTGCCGACCTCGTCGCTGACGCCGGTGCGGGCCTCGTAGGCCATCTTGGCGTGGAGCTCGCTGTCGGTGCATAGGTCCTTTAGGTGGCCGGCGACGGCCTTCCAGTCGCCGGGGTCGACGAGGAAGCCGTTGACGTTCTCCTTGACCTGGAGGGGGATGCCGCCGGCACGGGTGGCGATGACGGGGACGCCGGCGTGAAGGGCTTCCGAGACCTTGACCTCGAAGCCTTCGCGGGTGGAAAGCTGGAGGATGACGTGGGCATTGGCGATGATCGTGTTGAGGAGCTGGTCGTTGGGGTCGAGGCGCATGACACTGACATCTTCGAGGAGATGGGGGTACTTGGTCTCGAGCTGCTTCATTGTCTCGTCATAGATGATGGTGCCATCGGGATCATCAACAGAGCCATTTCCGCACCTAATATGTGCATTAGTACAGGGGCTTCATACTACAATGCCAAGCATGAGTAAAACAGGCAAATTACTTACACGCAGAGCTGGGGTGGGTTCTCAATGCCCTCCTCCTCGCAGAGGCGGCGGAACTCAGCATAGCCGTCAATGACGGTGGGAATACCCTTAGCGGGGTCGAATCGGGCGACCTGGGCAATGTACTTGCGAGCTGGCCATTCAAGCTCAGTCCTACCGTCGTGGTTAGCTCAAACTTACTTCCGCCTTTGGGGGAGGGATTTCCTCAAAACTCACATCCTCTGAGAGTGGCACTGCATGTTGTAGATGTGGCCATAGTAACCAGTGTCCCAACGATTCAAGGGCTTGTTCAAGCCGTCAAGCCAATCAGTGGTGGCGGGGAAGTAAACAACCTTCTCGCTGGGCACATCATGGGGAACGAAAGACGGGATGGGGTGGCTGATGAACATATCGGCCAACTTGATGTTGTTCCAGAGATAGAGCCAGACGTCGCGCTGGGGGGATCCATCGATGGCAGTGAGGTCGTTTCGGATCTGAATGTGCGAGCGGTAGAGCACAGGGCGATCAGGGGTGAGCTTCTTGATGAGAGGGATGAGAGCGGGCATCTGCGGATCGTCGATCTATCGATTAAAAAGACCAGAAATCAGTACTCGTGTGACGCCCAGCGTATTGCATTCTTCGAAGAGAGACTCACCATGACAACGTCAGCACCACCTTCCTCAGGAGGTCGCAGTGGGCCACCCTCGGAGAGCCAGTAGCGGTTGGCATTCTCATCAATCCAGTCGACAATTGTGGCCTTCTCCTCCTCGGAGATGCGCTGGTCGGGATCGGCAACGCCTTGGAGGATGTTGTGGATGTTCTTGGTGATACGGAACACACCAGGCCTGGGCTTGGGTACTGTGCAAATGAAGTGAGAAAACGACAAACTACAACAGGGTCAAAGACTCTATAGAGCAATGGATGAACACTTACCATACCAGGTGAGATCAAGACCAAGGAGTCTGGCGAAACGGACAAGAGCGTGGCGCATGAGAGCCACACCACCTCCCTGAGGAGTACTGCTGAAGAAGGCAATCTTGATCTTGCGGGTACGGAGATCCTTAGCATAGTGATGCATAGCATCCCATGTTGGCTTCTGGCAAGTGCTGCGGAAGTTGTACAGCTCCAGAAGCTTAGCCTTGAAAGCACCATCAGTTTGGACAATACCGCGGTAACCGACGTGCAGCAGAGGAACTGAAGAAGGGCCAAAGTACCTATCATGAAGGTCAGCTTTTACTTTGGGCTCTATTCGACTGCAGGGGGCAGGAAAGATGTAGACTTCAAAACTTACATGATGCACTTGCGAGCCATGGAGTCGGCCTGCTCGTCTACCGACTTCTGTTCCCAGAAATGGCCGCTATCACTATCCGGGTTGAGAACAAGCGGGACGACATCAAGTTCGAGCCAGAGACGCGAGCAGAGAGTTCCACTGACTTTCTCGAGCTCGGGGCTGATGCCTGCGCCGATGAACTTGACAAAGTTCTCGTGCTCGTAAGCCTCGACTTGCTTGATGATGCGCTCAGCGATCAGGTCATGGCCGTGCTCGGTAGCATCATCAAGATTGATATGCTCAACGGAGAAATCAAGCAGATAGGTGGCGTCATGAATAGCAAGTGCAATGACAACCGTGTGGGCATCGGCCTTGACGGCAGACATACCCAGGTAGAGAGTCTAGGGAGCCAGGTTTGTTAGCGAGATCAATATCCGAATCGAAACAGGCGATGAGAGCATACAGTGAGCCCAGGACCAAAACCGCTGCCGGATTCGTAAACGGTGCTCATCTTCCTCTTGCGGTGAGAGGACTCGCTGGTCGAGAACCTCCGCGCTGCCTCTTGCTTTGGTGTAGCCATAATGATCAGCAGAAAAGAGTACCAGCCTCAAATGGAAAACAGGTATACGATAGAGTTGATTATTGGAGAAGTACAAAAGGAATACTTCAAAACACAATGTACGACAATGCTCTATAAAAGACCAAGGACGATGGAGAGAAGGGTTGAACAGTGAGACTCAGGCGAAGGACGACTCTCTTTTATATACCGAGAGTGGGAACCCCTCTTCGAAAGTACGGTGGAAGCCTCACTCTGGACAGCCCCCGGTCTGGACGAGTCAGTAGATTTTTGATGAAACAATGGGCATGTGACCACTTCAGCCAAATGAATCTTTCAGGGTAGCCTGGCGGTGTGGACGGGATACGGGTGGACAAAGGGTCGGGCTGGCGAAATGCTTGAGGATGGTGCGGCGTGATTGGGGAGCAACGGGAGAAAATAGCATGATGTGGTACTCGGCTGTACGACTGCCCAACCTCACGGAAGTACAGATGTACAGTTACTGGACCATGGAGGGAAGGGAGGGGTCAAGGGGGAGGGGTGGCATGGTACGGCTTGTTAGAACTGAGTCTATCGAAAGGTTGCCACCCAGACCTATCAATCAGGAGACTGACGTCCTGCACTGCGTCATCACGGGGGTGGGGGCATCAAATATATGTAAATATGCAAGTAACTCAATGCGTCAGTAGTTTACATGTGAGTACCTTGCTGCAAGGGAAATTAGGAGTGAGTCGGATGCATTGGGGGTAGACCAAATGGCTGAAGATGGGGATGGGGGAACCCTCCATTGATCATTCGACTGCAGGGCACGTTCTGGACGGCTTCAGGCGGTGATGCGAGATGGAGACAGCCCAGAGTCGCGGATCCCTCCCGGTAATACGGGCTGAGAAGGGTGTTTGGGGGCGCATGGGGGGCTTGCACCATCTGCATGACTTGGAGGACGCTGATTGAGCAGAGGGTTGCCAGAATCAGGAGCTTTTTCGAGATTCGACCAGAACGGCCAGGCCATGTGACCAGTGTCCGAAATGACAGCCTCCAATCCGTCTCGGTGCGTCTAGAGCGTGGGATGACCTGTCGGTTGGTTTTTAGAGTTTGGGGTCCAATGGCACTCCAATTTACCTCGTCCATCACGGCCAGCTCGGCTCTCCATGTAATGGGCCCACGACGGGCGCTACTGGAAGCGCTTGGCAAAGCTTCTCGGGTGTGAGAGCGCGGAGACTCTGAGAGCTCCAGCAAGAAAGTCTTCCGCCCGTTAGCCCTGGGACGAGCTGGGGGGAGGTGACGGGGGATTGCTTGCTCTGGCCGGGGTAAGCGGACCTGCAGATTGGTCGGCCGGTCAAAGTTTATGTTCCTGGTTCGAGTGGCACCGTCCCACGTACGATGATGGCACGCTACGACCTGGGCCAGCAACCCGGTCTACGCGCGCAGGTTTTAGAGCCTTTCCCTGCATGAGGCCATGCACGACAGATGCAGGAGCCGGAGGGAGAAGATGGAAACTGTAGCATGGCCTCCGGCTGAGGTTCAATCGGGTGTTTCTTTTCTCATGCAGGTAGATTTGCGAAGGGACCCGGCCATGTCCATATTCCCCTAGAGGCAACTGTTCATCCAGCCTTGCACGTAAAGTCGGTCGGTAAAGTCGGTCAGGCGAGCCAGATCTGTCCTGCCGCTGGTGCTGTTATGCAATGTAATGTAGATGAGCTGGCATCTAGATAGCCAGCCTGGCTCAATACCACCCACCCTCTTGGAGATGTAACGGGGACGGGAGCGTGTCAGACTCGGACGATGAATGTGCAGCAGTGACACACGCACAGCATTGGACGCAGCCCAAAGGACCTCGTCGACAATTGTATTCGTCTGGCTTTGTTTGTATTCAGAGAGGCAGGTTAATGTGCGATGTAACAGCCGCTGCCTCTGTCGAGACGTCGATACAAACCAAAATACTTGGCGAGGGGTAAGAGCACAGGATGGAAGGCACTGGAGGAGGAGCACCTTCCCAATGGCATGTGCAATTGTATCAGATCCTCAGGGTCGTACCTGACTAGTATTTTTTAGCAGCTCAGGGCGTGCCTGCCTTCATCCTCGCATTACGTACCGCAGTGAAACCGTTAATTACGGGCTCAGCAAGCGCCGAGCTCTCACCATCTCCACCACAATTGGCCTCGCCTGACTTGGAGCTTCAACGCAAAGCATCAAGCAAGCGTTGGCATGCCAAAAACAAGGGAGATGTCGGCATGCCATCTCTCCAAGCACACCGCTGTTGAGAATGGGCTTTCGAACAATCCCGGGATGACCTGATTCGGTCTCCGAAGCGCTAATGGTCCGCCCCAACTTGCGTCCGCCTCGTCAGCTCATTCTTACCCACCTCGCCCTGTGGTGCAGCGGCAAAGCCCAGCAGCAGTCAAATCCTCTGCTCCTTCTTGGCTGACCTGAGCTGGCTGGAAACGAGCATATCCCGACGCCGCAATCTGTCCACCACGACTCTGCTTTCCGCCAACCCAGCTAGCCCAACGCCCCCCAGACAGCGAGCTGTCCAATCCGCTCTGGCTGCCGATCCGGGGAGGGGAGTTCCCGTTTGCCACATCCGCCCGTCTTCCTGATGAGGCCCGCATCCCTGCTGGCTGGCCTCAGTGCCACGGCCGTCTCTGCTTCGTGGCCAGAGCACCCAGGAGCCGCTCACAGCCCTGGTTTCGCTACCAGCTACGCGGCGCGCATCCCCATCAAGCCCAGTAACGAGAGCGCAAGGGCCAACGCGTTCCGGATCTTCAATGCAATCCACTCTGCCGGCCGCCAATGGGGCACCGCCATATACCACAATGGCTTCAGCTTCATGCCGGCCATCATGCCCAAGGGCACCATCACGTATCACGGCGCACCATACAAGCATCCTCCGGCTGGCTTCGAGTGGCTCGCCTATGAGATAGAGCATGCTGAGAATTTTGCTCGTTCCGAGAAGCATCCGCATCGCCCACCTCCTCCCCCTTCCAAGGGGGAGGAGGCTCGGTTCCAGAAACCGCTTCAGCCACTGGGCCCCAGCTATACCAGTGCTCAAGAGGATTCTACAAGCAGTATATCTGAGGGCCGGTCCAGGAGGGGGTATCTCCAAACGTACCAGGCCAATCGTGATTTGCACTTGCTCCTTATTGATGGCATGTCTGCTGCAAAGACTTCCATGGGTACGCTAGATTCTCAGGATCTTCTTCTTCGCGAGAATAAGACTTTCGGTTCCGGAATATGGGACGAATGGCAACGGGCTGAGGATATTTGTAGCATGATTGCTGACTGGGGTTATGACGGGTTTATCCGTGATGAGATTGGCTTTGAAGTGGTGTATTGCGACTTTTCCCAGGGATTGGACCTTATTTCCTCCACCCGCTCCTTTTTTCAAGAGGATAAGATGGGCGACTGGAGCTTGGTTCTCTGGCAATGGGTAAGAGCCGCAGGGGAACGGTACGGCGGCATCTCGAATGATCGTGTCCGCATCGATTTCTCGTCCATGGTGTCAGGTTTCTTCTTCCCCATCAACATCTCCAGCACCATCCCTGAAAGACCTGATTTAGAAAGACTGGGTGCAGCGTCCGTCGAAGAACTGGTGGACATAAAACACTACCTGGCCCAAGTGGCTAAACAACCTCGTCGCTTCACTGTAGATTGGCAGGGTGCTGTGATTGACCTGATTGTGAATCGATATGCTGATCGCATCGCCCATATGGCCACGGAAGATATTCCCACTGACCACTTCATCCAAGAATTGGAGGGGATCGCTCTCGGCTACATCAATGCGCCGGAAGACAATGGCTCTGAGACTGGAGGTGCATACAACAAAGCTAACGAGACGATGGTCGCCGTTCACCGCTGCACCCAGCATTACTTGCACCGAAGCTATGCATCTCGCAGTGAATGGAGTGCGTCAGACGAGCTGATTCACACCGCAATTAGCAGTATCATGGAGGGCATATGCTCGACTGTGTTCATCATGCGTTCTATGCTTCTGCAAGCATCAGGAAGGACAGAGCGTACCGCGTTCCACATCGACAGAAAGTCTGACAATGATGAGATGCGACGAGCGGTTAAGTTGAGCAAAGCCATGACGCGCAATATGGTAGAGAAGCTCGGGTGGGCAGATTGGAAGAGGGCCCGCCCATGCCCAACCAACGAGGTCCTCTTCGTCGCCATGTGGCCATTCGGAAACAGCGACGACCACTGGAACCCAGGTTGCCGCACCATTGATGATCTAGCATCCGGAAGTCGGATGGGATATTGGTTCATGGATAGACCTCCTCCACCTCCGTAGCTGATGAGATCCGTCCCCTTGTCCTTCTCCTGTCATATGTTTTACATCGCATATACGCATATAGTTCAATCTATGAATATACCATCCTCACTTATCGACTCTTCCAGTCAACAGTCATGTGGCTTCCATCTTCCCATCGCAAATCCTAGATCTCACATCTCACAAAATAGCAAACATCATGGCCGAAGTATGCATCGAGACGATCACACGCTGTGCTACGACGACAATTTCAAGATTACTGATCCATTGATTGCCAGAAAAACCAGTATGGTCTCCTTTTCCACCAGAAAAGAGGCTCCTCCAAGACTCTCGCGAGATTTCAAAAAGGTCAAGATGAAGCGGTGAGCATGCATAACGCACCCGGCCCGTGTGTGTCAGCCGGTTCGACCCTTTGAACAACCTACCAGAATGTGAACCCCCTCAATAGACTGTGTAAACGCAAAAGGGCCCATCCAGGTACGCCTCACGGCGAAGGGAAATGCTAAATCATCCTTCGAGAAGGGCCGATACCGCTGGGCGCAGATCGCTCGCACAGAAGGGTGGGGAGCAGATCGCGAGCGCTCTGGCTGGGGTTTTTTTTTTTTTTTTTGGTTTCGCGAGCACAGAGCATGAGGTGATACTAAGAAGCCATTCCTCGACGGGTCAGCAGCTGGGGATAGGCAAGGCGGATTACTCTATGGGGGAATGTGAGGTGTTCGTCTGCGCTGCCGTGGCACGGCCTGGAGCGTGGAAGGAAAAGGAGGGGGAGCTTGCTGGGTCGTACGACGGCGATTCTTGGGTAGCCGCTTGATGGCTCATCATACACGCCAATCAGTTTGTAGAGATGCATGTCTCAAGTGAGATCTGATCTGCCTTTGAGATCGTGGAGGTAATGGCGGGTGATCTTGTTCGTAAAAGGAAATGAGTGTGATGTTACGGGACACATGCTCGATCATGTCTGAGGCTGAACAGAGACGGCAATCGAGCGGGCAGGGACAGGTAAGCTGCCATGGTCGAGCGCCTATGCTGCCTTGTGAGTGATGACATATTCTTAATTTGACCTATTGGCCACCGGAATCAAGTTGATCAGTGGGCTGCAGGGCCAGGGAAGAAAGTCGATGATACAGCCCTGCATGTACTCGTCACCTTGGGAAGCAGGATACGGAAGTCCAGCGTCATTAGCGACTTTCGGATGCACGTTGCCGCACGGCTGTACCCTCCAATCTGCTCCAGGATACTGGAAGTGAAGGGGGGTGTATGTTTGAGGACCCTCCACCTCCCAGGGATTACGAATGGCATGAGCCTTAGGAGGAGCCCTGTCCCGCCTCGTACGAGTACCACTCTGAGGTCAAATAATAAACAAACATCTCAGCCGAGAGAAGCTTGGTAGAAGGAGAAATAGAGATCTAAGGCGATACAGCATACGTGCATGTGCTAGGCTAGTCCCATGGTGACGGTAGTGAAGAGCCGGTGACAAGAAAGAGGCCGAGGGCGAGCTGTAAGGATCTTCACATGGTATCACCTGGCTTGGTTCGAGATCTGATCCCCCTGTGATTCCAGAACTATGGAAACCGGGGTTTTGGAGATCATGGAGCACGGTGTGCTTCTGGCGTTTAGGGCCAGGGGGGCAGAACCCGGCAGCATGGGAAAGTCCAGAATAAAACTGACCAACCAATTCTATAGAAAGAGGGTCTTCAATACACACATCTTGGATCTGTCGAATCTGTCTTGCCCGCCAAGTTTCTCCAGCCTTCTCTCAGATGCACTCGCATGTAGTCCATTGGATTCACCGAGTAAGGATTGCTTTTAAGCGACATGGCTGGATGGCGGCTCTCTTGGCCCTAAATCATGAGACCCAGAGCAGTGAGACATCACCACCTTGCAAGTTGAAGATCCCGACACCGCAATTTGAGTTCGAGTTCGGTTGATCTGGGGACAAACTCCCCACATGTTCGAGATCGAATCTTTATTCCTCAGGAGGATCCCAAACTGATACTAGGATGCGAAGTCTCGTGATATCATGGCTGCAGAAGGGGACGCCATTCAAGATGCTGGCGTCGCAGATCGGTAGCACCATAGATCAGCGGCTGTGCTTCCCTGTCAATCTTCCGCTCCAAGGTCAAATATACGAGAGCCTACTCCGTAATCTGGCCCCTCAAAATCAGAGTAGAGACGCTACAAAGGCAGGCCAATCGGGTGCTTGCTTTGCTGCTCTGAGAACAGACCATCTCCATCGGCTTGATATGGGCGTCTATTGGACCATAGCCGTGGGTTCAACTCGGAGGTGTCAGTAAGAGCTCCCGTCGGAATGTTGCGCTGTTGCCCTGCTGGTGAAGCGAAATGGTGACACGATCAGAACTCGGTCAGGGTTACACACCAAGCCTCAACTGTAACCACCCACTCTTGGCTTGCCCTGAAAATGTGCGGTCAGGGAATCGGCGGGCCAAAGCGCATGCTTATGAAATGATCGCAAAGGTCGCACAAGAGTATCCCCGGTCAGATTATAGTGCGACGTCCCTTACAGCAGGCAATGCGAATGCTACACCATCGACGCCATCCACCTTGGTGAGTAACAAATCTGAGGGGTTCGAATCGATTCTCGAGGGCAAGATCGCCAGTCGTAGCATGTTCATGCATCGATGGTTCACGCGTGATTATGTGCCCGAGAATCGTCGGAGAGGAGCCATGACGAGAACGACCGGAAGCATCCCATTTTGGAGCTCTGTAGCATACGCAAATCTTCCACGAAAGCCTCCGAACCCCATGGGCGGACTGCTGCAGGCATAAGGCGGCAGCCTAGGAGGAATCGATACGACATGTCACAAATCCACTTACCCGGGCCCGAACCAGTGGGCTGGGACACGATACCCCAACATAATGGGAAGGCATGTCTCAATCGAAAGCATCGGCAGCTTCGGAGGCGTTCTACTATCATGATGACTCGCGGGTCGCGCAAGGTTAGTGTAGGCGAATCAAAACCCCATGCTTGAAGCCGCAGCACTCTGAAGAAACCCTGCCACATGCAAGTCAATCTCTGAATCACTTACTCCTCTCTCGTGCATCCTTGTAGCTTTGGCGCCGTCGTATTCTCTTACCGCGCAGTAAAAGACGAAAAAAGGGTACACACGCACAACAAGCTGTGATCATGGAGAGAACAGGGCCAATCACGTTATGCCGGCGTACCGTCCACAACATGGACGCCATGAGGGCCATGCGCAAGCCAAGGTCAGGTCAAGGCCACTGTGCCTTTGCAGAAACTACCCCTCCTCCCCTCCTTTCACCAATCTAGAGAGCCGCGTGCGCCTTGTGGGATGTGCCTCTGGGCCACCCACCTCTCTCCCCACACACACAGGCACAAGTACATGGTTTGCGGATGTCTGTCCTGGCGTTTGATGATTCGAAACTTTTGTCTCGGCCAACAGGAGAGACGAAATGACTGAGCATGTCTAACCGAAGGCAGCTTCTAGGAAAAGGCGGGTTCTTGTTGTCTCTCACCGTTCGGCGGCGTCCTCTTAAAGCTTCGTCGAGTCTTCCACACCCCATTGCTTGTTGAAGAGATGGCCATGACCATGGCCGATAACTCAATCCGAAAAGCTTGCGATCGCTGTCATTCACAGAAGCTGAGCTGTAAACGCATCGGTGAAGAGCCCTGTGAACGTTGTACGCGGCTGAAAACCGAGTGCAATTTCAGCCCTTCGCTTCGCCATAAAAAGCAGAGCAGACAGCAGAAGCAACAACAGCAGCAGCAGCAACAGCAACAGCAACAAAAGCATATCCAACAACACCAACCGCAACCACAAGATCATCAACATCAACATCAACAACAGGCCCAGCGGTTATACGGGCACCAACAGCCTCCTCCTCCTCCTCCTCCACCGCCGCACCACCAAATCCATCACCAACACTTCCAACAAGTGCCCCATCAGGACGTCCTTGGTGCCGAGACAACTCCAGTAGTTGGCAGTCGGTCTCCGAAGAGGCGGAGGACCAGCAGCGATCCAATCCTTGTATTACCTGAGACCCGTAAGTCCTCTCACTATGCCCATTCCATGTCTTGATCAATAAACCACTGACTCATATGGCTGCCGAACGTAGTGCCAGCAGTCTCGCGGACAGAGGCGCTCACAGGAAAACCCCATAGCCTCGTGACATCTGAGACAGGGCTAGACATAAGCGAGTTCAACTTCAACTTTGACCAGCTGGGCTTCTTCGCACCGCCTCACTCGGAGCACTTATCTCACTCCGCCATCCTTTCCGATAACCTCCACGCTCAGCCAGTCCCACAACCGGGAGGCTTCATAAATTCGTGGGAACATCACCACCTCCCCACAACCTCGGAGGCATTTCCTGTGATAGACCATACTCAACCCCAGCCCCAGCCTCAAGCTCAGCATCCTCTCTCCCAGCCGCAGACTGAGCTTCACCACTCTCCACAGATCCAATCCTCCTCTCCTGTCGCCTTCAGAGGGAGAGCTTGCCAGCCCAAACCGGCTTCTAGCAACGGTATCAACAGCAACAAGCGCCCACGGTTCCGGTACGGACAGAGCCCTGGACATATTTCCTTTCTTGACACAACCAGCCTCAGACAGCTGCAAGAATCGAATTCCAGCCCAACAACAACCTGGGAAGCCTCACCGGTCGTCTGGATGGCGGAACTAAACGAGATCAACGTCCGCCTCCTGGAACTGTCGACTGCCCTCTCAGAGGCGCAGGAGGCGACCCAGCCGCTCGGCAGGCCCTCTAATGAGCGATTCAGAGACAACGGGTGGCCCATAGACGAGATGTTCAACCTCACGCAGCGCGTGGCCGAAATCCTTGACCAGCTCGCAGGCACGGCCACGGAGCGGCGGGCCAGCGCGGATCCTGGCAACTCCATGTTTGTGCTATCAACGTATGTGCGGCTCCTCGACATGTATCAGAAGGTTTTCGGCCTGGTGCAGACGGAACTTGCGCAGACCGATCCGGACGAGATGCTGGTTATTGCCTCGGAGGGGGTGTTTCAGTTCTGGAAGCTGCCAAACGTCAACATCGGCTCGATCCCGGTGAATTCGACGCCTTCGCTCGCCATGTTCCTGACGGCTCAGCTGGCTGATAATTTCCTCGGTCGGCTGCGCAAGGCGACGGCGGCTCTGGACGCGTCGCTGAGGAACCCCAAGGACGCGACGATCAATGGGCAGGCGGGCGCGGGGACCTCGGCGACGTCATTGTTTGTAGATGTGTCGTACGAGATGGTGAAGAACAGGGAGGAGACTCTGACCAAACACCTGGCGGAGCTCCGCAAGGAGCTTGCGTCGATAATACCTATGCTGGATTGTGATCAGGAAGAGTAGTAACGCCGAAGGTAGTCAGACGTTGGAGATGGATCTTCTGTGTGTGCTTGGAAAGACGGTCGCACGTGGTTCGCTGAAGAAGGAAAGATTAATGGCTTGGATCTTGTGTGAGACATTCTTTTGCCAGACGAAGGCTGGATTAGGTATTGATGATGGCAGTTACATGTGATGGGCTCCTTCCTCAGGGAAGCGGATGTGCGAGGTGGTACTAATAATTAAAGAACAGACTGGGACTCTCAGTGCAATTACACTCCAACCAGTTTGTTCTTTTAGTCAATTTGCATCCATAGACTTCGAAATATAACGTATTATCGTTCCTTGGATGCCAGTGATGGCTTATTCTGATCGACAGTGCTTGATTCAATGGCATGGCAATGGCGTTGGTTGTATAGGGTAGGGCAGGATCTAAGCGACAATGGAGGAGCTGCTGTTAGTGGAGCATCGCAGGGCCTTTGACACCTGCAATGTCCGTCATTTGGAGGGCGGCCACAGCTTCCCCAATCCATCGCGCCTATCGTGATCACCCTTGTTTTCCATGTCAATAGCATCGAGGAAGGATCATCGCCAGTATACCTGGGGCACTTGAACAAGTACAGCCCTTGTTACTGTATGTTCTCCCGTGATACGAAAGGGATCTTGTACGAACCCGTCCTGGGAGAGACTTGAATTCTGGTCCAGGTTAGCCGGGGGAGAATGTCTCAATTTCAACACCGACTGAATAGCATACAATTTGAATTCATTTATCTAAAGCAACAGGCAACAAGAGTAGTCTTAAATAACCGGCAAGCTCTGGAACGGCCCTCACTTGGCGCAGGAAATCGTGGGCCCCAACGCCATGATCCGTAATAGCCAGATCTCATCCCGGCGGCTTACAGTCTATTTTTAACCACAACCCGTCTCGAAAAGGAATTCATCCCATGACGGCAGGACAACATGCAGCTTATAAGAACAATCGGGGAGAACCACGAGGGAATGATGTAGTAATCGTCAAACGAACCACAGCCTCATCTTCAATTGAGACCGATTTTTTGTTTTCCGGTGGGAGTAATCAGCAGTCTCACCACCACAGGCAGCGCCTCTTCTCTTCTCTTTCATGTCCTTGTAAACATCTTCCGGCAAGATGCATTTCCTTAGTCTTCTTTCGGCAGGTATCGCCCTGGCCACACTCGGATCGGCCAAGGACACCAGATACCTATTCACATTGTAAGTCAACCATCGCGACAGCAGAGGGCAAAGTATTTAGCCTAACACGCCACCAGCGGCGACTCGTACTCCAGGACAGGCTTCGACATCAAGGGCGACAAGCCCACAACTAAGAACCCTCTGGGCAACCCCGCCATGCCTGGCAAGACCTCTTCCGGAGGCAAGAACTGGATCGGCTACGTTCTCGAGGAGAAGAATAAGGACCATGACACCCTGTCGTGGAACTTCGCCTCGGGCGGCGCGACAGTCGACAAGAGCATCATCGTCGGCAGCAAGTCCAACGTCCAGAGCTTCACCGAACAGGTCAAGAGCTTCCAGGACACCGTGGGCAAGAAGCCCGACTATGCCAAGTGGGATGGCGACAGCGCGGCCGTGGGAGTCTGGATGGGCCTCAACGACCTGGGAACATCGTACTATCGCAAGAACTCGACCAAGGTCATCGAGAAGTCCGTCGACAAGTACTTCGAGGAGCTCGAGAGCCTCTACAAGACCGGAATTCGCAAGTTCTTCCTGCTTCAGGTTCCTCGTAAGTATCAGCATCAAGGGGTTGTCCCCCTAGAAAGCCACAAGAGACTGACCTGGAGACCATTAGCTACCTACCGCACTCCCCTCATCCAGAAGAAGGGCCGGTCCAAGGCCAGGAAGCTCCAGAAGGCTACCAAGGCTTACAACAAGCGCCTAAACGACAAGCTGAACAAGTTCAAGAAGAGCCACAAGGACGTCAAGGCCGCCCTCGTCAAGACCGAGGCGTCTTTCAAGAAGGCCCTAGACACCCCCAAGAGTGTAGGCGCCAAGAACAACAAGTGCACAAACAAGGATGGCAAGTCATGTGTAAGTAGCAGTCCCATCCCATCTCTGCCTTGTAGGCCTTAGCTGATGATGGCTTCCTATTGCAGCTGTGGCGCGACACCTACCACCCCGGCACTGGCATCCACAAACTCGTCGCCGCCAAAGTCACCAAGGCGCTCAAGGATATCAAGTTTTGGTAAGAGGCAGCGGCCAAATCCAGTCCCAATGCGCCCAGAACGCCTCCTTGAAGCGTTCAGATCAGCTGTCAATCTCCGGCTGGACGATCAGCGTGTACTGGACCTACGACCAGAAGCCCCCAGCACGCCACATGGCTACTGGTGGCTTACGTCCCAGCGCGCAATCAATCAGAAACCCTCCGGCGATCATGGCTCATGAGCTTAAGCCGCCGGCTCTCGGTCTGTCGTGCTCGAGGTCATGCCCCGGGCTCTTTCATATTCTCTTCATCCGTACATATTTTGAAACATTTTGTTATTGGTTTATCTTCGTTATTATTTATTACATGTACACATAGGTTTGTACACATGAACCAAGGAACTACATCTGAGAAGGCGTTGGAATTTGAATGAATAGGAAAGCTTACATCTACATTGAATACCTTACTCTTACCATGTGCTTTGCCTATCAACTTCCACCCTCTCCCACACCTCTTATCATTTGACCGCCAATTGTGCTGCACATGCAGATCATTAATTCCAAGCCCCATTCTCCTACTTGATTCTGGATCCGCGTAGATCTCGGCACGTAGTCGAGACGGTACGCACACACACGCACACACACACACACACACACATAGCACCCACCATCTCGATAGCTGACCTGCTGAACCCCATCACGCGTGAATACGAATTCGAAAGCTCCTCTAGCCCACGGACGAGTCAGTGCGAGCACCATGTATGCGCGTATACGGCTTAAAGATTCGAGCCTCAGCCCTCCAGCCATATTTCCTTTTTTTTCCCCCATTCACCGCGCGTCTCAGCCCCCAGAAAAGCGAGACCGAAAAGGGGGACCCAGCAGCCTGGGACTGTATGCACAGCCCGGACAATTCGTGGTATAGCTCGAGCCCGGTGGCGTGGATTTGGGGTCTTGTTCATACGGTCCTTGTCCTTGATAGCGTCGCCTTACCCGAAAAGGAGATTTTACGAGGAAGATGTACTCTACCTTGCTCTCTTCTATCGGGGAGGTAGGTACCCCGGATAGGCCTCCCGCCATTAGCCTTCATCTCACCATCGAGGGATCCGTCTCCTTGGGACAGACCAGAGAAGAAGGGGGGGGAAGGTCATCCTTTCCGCGTTTCTTCTTATTCCGTCATGAGAGAATGCTTTAGGCGAGCCGCACCCCCCCCCCCNTTCATCCTGAGATAGCTCCTCTGGCTTGGGCCAGGCCCCTAGTAAATCGTTCATGCTGGTTTGGCCCTCCTCCCGTGATGATGCACGTACATACACGCGCGGCAGTAGTTCGATCAGCGCTGATTCGCGTGGTCTCATCTCCGGATTCCGAACCAGCCAAGCAGGTGGCATACAGGACACACGCTGGGTGGCACTAAGTGATGGTGTCCAATGCCAGGCATGTCACAGCCAGGGTCGTCTAGCCCGCCATGATATGCAGCTAAGCGATGGGCTGGTGTGTGCCTTTTTACTTTTCTTTTCTTGAACACCAAGCTGGCGCAATGCCCGAGCCGGCACCAGCCAGAAGGAGCATAAAGCCGCCGAAATGGCAGGATTCTTGTGGTAAGACACAGGCTCATGGCAATTACCGCGTCCATATTCGTGAGAAGCTGAGGTCTATGGAGGGTGTGAACAAACCACCAACCCCACATATGCTTCGATACCTATTTGCCTACATGCCAACTATCTAAATTAGATGTGCCACCAAATAGTCCGCGATACGCATTACTGCTCCTGTAGCTATTATTCGATGAGTACCGAACAAAGGTATTCCTGCAATTCTCCTCGTAGCAATGATGCGTTGGGAAGCTTCAGCTTCTTGCGGTTTGGGTATACGATCCAACCGCTAAAGTCTTACTTACATATCCATATGTGTATCTTCAACAAGCGCAACCAGCTGCTTGGCAAATTCCTCCCCAACTTACCTAGACAACACCTTAAATTAGCCGCGGCCTCTCAATAGACTTGGAGGAGGGATCCCACGTGCGAAGAGGGGGCGTGGAGTAATCTTCGGCCATGCACACTAAATGATATGAGGGCTTGTCTTCCTTGATTCAGCAATCTCGAGGTTTCACGATTACTAGAGAAAACCCCCCTCCATTTCCTTGAGATCTTTTCCAAAACCTGCCCTACCTCGATCCGACCCATACCTGTTAGTACAAACCCGGGCGTAGCATGTGATTAGCCAGAGGAAAAGAGAAGCCACGAGGGAACAAGTGGAGCGGCGCCTATTTGATGTTTGTTACTAGCACCTGCTACTATCAATATTCTCATCAAATCTTAACGCCGACGTCCGACTGCCCTATATGGGCGGTGGCTTGCCCGATCCGCTGGCACAGGCGCTCGGTTTGCCGGAATAGGTTTCGTTGATGGCGTCGGTTTTCGCAAACTCCTCCTCATCAAGCAGCCCGCCCCCTCGCCGGATCTGCGCGCCCTGAAGTCATGGATCGTGGTTAGAGGGGAGGGCGTGTGAGAATCTAGTTCTTGCTGGTCATTAATGGCATGGCGATGTTTCAGGGTAACCACGACCAGCGCGGCCATACTGCCGAAAAGGTGCTCTCAGAAAAAGAAAACATGAGCATGGTGAGGTCAAATCAAGCCCAGCACGCAGGGTGTTTGCCTTTTTGCTCCTTCCTATTCAATGCTTAGACCAGGCTCGCTGGCAAGTCTGCGGCATACGACGCAGATCTCTTTGGCTGCATGTGGCAAAGCTTGAAATCTCACAGGCCCACGGATAGGGACGAGAATAATCAGATGGATCGGCAATACGGGACATTCGTCAACTCGGTTGAGCTGATCCCAGGGGTGACGCCTGGACGAGATATCGTCGCCACGCTGCGGCCGAGCGCAACGTCCAGGTCGTGCGTCACAGCTCAACTGAACTGGAGTTGACGGTATCGCGTCGAGCCTGCAAGATACTCCCTGCCGGGTCTTTTCACAAGCGGTATAGCATACGCGCGCCGCCTCTGCTTGCGCGGTAAATTCCTGATACGCGGCATATTCCTGATGGAGGGACTTTCGGAAGCCGCTGCAGAGTGTATATAATTTGCTCTTCACATTTGTCATCATTAGATATCATAAGTATCTCGACCTCACGCTGTGCCTCCGTCTTACTCTTGAAATATTGGAAACCGGGACGGAACGTCCCGCAGCGCGGCAACGGGCTGAACGAGGCGTGGAGATAGACATTACGGACGCTGGAATGTCTCACGGCGAAAGTCGCGGCTTGCAAGGTCAGGCCATTGGTCGGCAGTCTTGTCTCATTCCACGTTCAGCCGTCAAAAGTGTCGTATAAGTCCGTGGCCGCTGTGATGAGGGAGGGCCATTAGCTCGGAGGCAGACATGCTTGTCTCAATCACCGCGTCTTCTCTTCCACTTGCACCCTCTCAGGCAGCTGGAGAATGCAGGTGCAGGCATTTTGGCGCAATCTAATGCATGACGAACACCGCACTATCCCGTAAGAAGATCGGCCACAGGGTGCCTCCAGTACAGTAAGAGCAAATAGGAAAATGAAGTTCCCCAAAGCCAGCAAGAAAAAGCAAAAAAAAAAAAAAAAATACCAAGAAGAAGGTGGCGGGGGCTCGGTGCTTCAGCTCCCCGTCTCCGGCAGTGAATCAGATTCCGTCCTGGTTCCGCCCATATCCGGTACATAAGTAGCTTGATGCTGTGCCTCGGCGGTTACCATAGTTCCGCTGATTTCTGTCGGCCACTCCCGCTCCAGGTGGGGAGACGGGATTGGCCTCCTCACCGGACACAGTAAGAGCCGAAGCGTGAAACCTGTTCTGGTGTCGAATTGTCGTGTGCCAGCACGGCAGACATGTCCCACAGCCATAAAGCGATTCGAGCGGAGGACTTCAGGGTAGACACACGCGGAAGCGTTCAGCTGGACCCGAACGCCCCCAAATCCCAAGTCCGTGAAGGGAATAGTGTTGGAATGAGAGGAGATAGTCAGGTGGCCATTGTTTCTTCAGGAACCAGGGCCGGCTAGTCTTCCATGTGAGGCCCTGGTTCCTGGCTTAACCAGGCCGCCGGGCCACCAGTGGCGAATACAACCGGGCTCTCACGTCAAAGGCATCTCCGGCGGAGGCAGAACAAGCCATACCCATACGCCCATCAGGGTCCGACCCAGTACGCAGAAGCGAGGCGGGCTTCTGAGAACTGGGCATCGACGATGCCCGTGGCAACAGCAAGTTTCTTCAGCCACTGCAGGGGTGATGAGGCCGACCTGGAACAAGAGGTCTCAGAATTCAATCTCGGGCCTGATGAACAAAACAGTAAAAGCAAGAGGCTCAAGGCTGAGCGGTACGTGAGGGAGGGCGCAGTCTTGAGTCTGGCTTCTTTGTGTACCGCACCAGCAGTGGGGAAAGGCTTTTCGTCTCTTGGCTCCATCCCCAGTACCGGCCTCACGCCCTCCCCTTCTGCCGTCCGTCTCAGGGAGCGTCTAGTGCAGCATGATTGGATCCGGTTGCTTGGTACGAGACATCATCAGCGGGCAGCCCACCCCTGCATGCCCTGTCGATCCATGAATCAAGCGCAACCCTCGCCAGCCATTGGCGATCCCATGGCGACGGCATTGGGTTTGATTGGTACTGAGCCATGTAACCTTCGTTGACACTAGGCGTAATGGGGAATCAAGTGCTGTTTTGCTGCTGCCTTGGGAATGGATCACGTCAAGTATGGATACGAGAGAGGATGTAACATGGCCGAGACGGAGTCTGGCAACAGCCCGCGATGACATCTTGGGCCCGTCTGAGCAATTTCGCTCTAATTGATCGCTTGCTGGCGTCTGTCCCGTGACAGCCCCGTGATGCCAATCAATCACCTGGCACAGTTCCGGACGGTGGTACAGGTGGGCTCTTGGGCATGCGTGCAAAGAGACCATGGCCGCTCCCCCGGGCTCAAGTCCCTCTCTTTCTCCTTTGCTTCCATTTCACTCTCCGTCTTTCCGCCTGACCGGGCTCCTTGTTTAAGCTTGTGCTGGGATTAGAATAACAATGTAGAAGGTGTTGGACTGGCGACGGGCCGCGCGCCGCCGAATGACAACCAGGGCAGCTGTCAGGGCGTTAACCTCGGGTGAGCGACTGCGACCGATGGAAGAATTTCCCTCTGCAGAAGGTTCAGACCTTCGCCTGCGCATGTCAACAGAAAGAATACCCTGTCTCGGCCCCTCTCCGAGACAGGACAGGCCTCAGTACCGGCTGCTGTCCCCCAGGTCCATGCCCCATGTCTCTGGCAGCCCCTCTTTGATACTTGACACAGCCTGGGCGTGACCTGGGCCGGGCCATCTTCGCCTTCGTCGTCCAAGGCTCGGAGGAGAGGGGAGGGGAGGAAGGCAGTCAAGCATTTACTGTTGCACAAGACGAGGGCCCTTGTTCTGCACGCACGGAATGTCACGTATGGATGTATGTATGTGCGTATCATTGTATGTATGCATGCACACGTGCATGAGCAAGGTGGGCATCCATGGGGATCTTCCTTGATCATCGAGCATTTCACTTTACCATTGAGGCATTCGAGCGCGCACCGCCCTTGGGTCATCCCTTCTCCTTAAGCGCGCGCGTTGGAACATCTGCCTTGACACATACAGCAGTTGAGCGGTACACGAGCAGCCCCCAAATCTATCTGTCATCGGTCGGTCCCGCCCTTCTCGTCATTTAGGCGAGTTTAGGGCAAGCCCATTACTCGTGCGTGCGTTATATGGATGTGTAGATGGCGATATGCGATCGTGATACAACCGTGCACAGTACATAGCGCCCAGGGCGGCCTGAATACATTCTGCTACATAAGCCCATTTCCGGTGCAGATCGCAGACGTTTGATTGTCCATGCGTAATATCGACAATCCCGGAAACATATAGCTCTCCAAGGTAGGCATGTGCGTGCATGCATACGTACGTATGTAAGAGACGCAAGCGAGATGCGGGGGCACATCGATGACTACACCTAATACATTTGTGTTACATATGGAAACAGGGTCAAATCTGGCCGGTTTGAATCATGGCAGCGGCATCCAGGCAGCTCTTATCACCGGGGGTGAGTTCCCTGATAGGAGATGGCCGCTTCGATGATACGGAAGATATGGCTGATATGAGGATAGAAGGGGATTTGTTTCGTAATGGGATAAACGAAAGATCCAGCACCACGTAGCCTTGTGAGGCAGCCCAAAAACATTATCAGTTGTGGGGAGGTGGATGGATAGAGCATAGTCCAGAAGGCTGACAGAAGCAGACCAGAAGGACCAGCCCTGGTCAAACAACAGCCAAGGCGCACCGAAACAGGCATCTCCCAAGCTGAAGATGGCGATTGTGTCGGTGTCATACCAATTACTGGTGCTCCAGTGACCGTCTGTCTCGTATCTCTCCCAACCCCTCGCCATTCCCCCGTCCTGTCACCCAATCCCAAGTCCCGGGACCCTTGCACTTGCATTCTGACCGGTTTCTGCATTTGGAATGCGGGAGCGCGGGAGAGGAAGCATGTTGGTCGCTGGCTGCTCTGCTGACAGCGGCACTTAGCGGCCAAAGAGACACATTCGCACGTGGTTCGCCAAAAATACCCTGAGGGATGATGACTGAGAGGGAAATCCGTATTATGAATTGCTGATATTATTGCTGTTGGCTAGATAGGCAGCTGGGGCGCCAGATGACGAGCGCATACTAATGTAGGTCTGGAGATATAGATCGATGCGATAGGCGGGAGCCTGCCCATTATGCGTCCACGCAACAGCAAATAAGGGCATCCCAGACTCGAATATAACGGAGGCTGCGATATGGGTCAGAAACAACGTTTTTAATCGTCAAGGGCTGACTGCCATGTGCTCGGCGACACGAAATGGAATTTCCACCAGCGAGGCGGTCAGCGTCTGTCTGCTCCGCTCTGTGTTGCGTGTCGAATCACTACGGATGAAGCATTCTGAAGCTTATGCAAAAAAGGCCCCTTAGGTGCGTGCGTGCATACGAACTCACCAGACCATCTCGTTTTAGACTGAGACGGCCGGCAATTTAACCCACGTGTGTGTGGATCAGACCTAAGCGTCCCAAAGATAGGCTCATTTAGTGTAGACACACCTTCCACCGCATCGTCGAGAAAGTAAAACCAAGAGGCGGTCGCTTATCTCCATTGCGTGGGAGAAGCGGAATATGTGCGGCGCTCAGATGGATGACCCGTGCTGCGAGTTGATGGCACTCTGACCTGGCTGGATATGGCCGGACACGCGATCAACATGGAGGTCAGATAATTATTGGCAATGAGTGCTTTAATCTGTCGATGAATCAGGTCCTCTTTTGTCGTCTCCCTCTCTCATCATTCTCTCACACACCACCAGGCTCTCGGTGGCATGTACATGCGCGCGGCCAGTCTTTCTTTCGCTCTCGCACCTTCATCTCTCCGCCAGTCCAGTCTCTCTGCCTAAGGAGGCCGGATAAGCGTGGCTTCTCTGTAATCGGGTGCAACCGAATGGCGTCAGTCTTGTGCGTCACAGGGGTTTATGACCACCCATCCACTCACCCATGTCCTGTTGTCTGGGCACGTACTGTATCATAGCACCTACCTTCATGCGACATTCTCATGTTGTATCTCTGTAATGCTTATATTCTGCAGGGTCAGAGTCCACAGACCATCAGCCAGGTGACAGCTTGGACCATACTATTACAAACACAAACGCCGAGCACTGCATGAAGCACACTGCATTAACCACTGAGACGAGCGCACTGGGCCTTTGTGTCTGCACCGCAATCCTTGGTGTTGTGACTTGAAGCACGGAATCCACACGTACTAAATGAACTCAACCGCCTGGTGGTGGTGGTCTTGGTGGTGGTGTGGAGATGAGCGATTCTTCATCCTGTCTCGTTGGTCGAAACGGCCCGTGTTAGGAAGCTGAGTGTTGCTTGGATGAGCATCACGCGCAGGTCCATCTGAGGCTCCGAGGGCCGAAAAAGCATATGACTACAGACCGCAGTCTTCCTAATGCTCAAGTAGGATGTCTTGTCCGGGTCGGTGGCCCTGGCTGGCCTGTTACGGTGAGTTTTGCATCTGGGTGGCTTTGTGCGTGCCCTTCACGTCTGATGGCTGTCCACGCCTTCCTTAATTCCTGGTTAACTTCAACTATCATGGCACGGCACGTGTCCCGTAGCGGCCGGGACCCATTAGCACTGACTCGCCCTGGTACTGTCCGTCACCGCAGTTTGTCTTATGTGGGCGTCTTGGACCGTTGAGAAGTTCCTCCGGGGCACAAATGGAACAAAAATTCTTTGCCCGTTTGGACTAAGCCCGGCCTTATTTCTCCTTTTTTGGGGCTGGGAGGGGTGGCTAGGGTTCTCCAATTGAGGCGGTTTGACATTGCCGGACAGGGCCCTATGACGACCGAATTTCCTTGTTTGGGCATGCTGCGTCAGTGTGTTTACATCTGTGGAAGCTGGATACCATCTCCATTGCATTGCCGTGGTTTGACTATGTGTAAGAGATTCGCATGCCTGCGACTAGCCACGCAAGGTGGATGCAGCACGTGAATTATGTAGGACATTCATTCACCACCCCTTCTTAGCCGACCGATTCCTTGAGGGATGTGACATTCTGTCAAACAGGGGTTCAGGGTAAGGGTTTTAGCTAGGCAAGCCTGGAGGAGATTGAAAGGAGCCAAAATCAAGCATCGGGGCTGGCTGGAGGAATGAGTATCTCTGCAGACGACTTGCTCCACGTGGTATCGAGGACCAGCAGGTCGGTTCATGGAAGCTTCGGACAAGGCTTCCATGACTGGCCTGCCCGCCTGAACCCTGGGGGTCGCGACCGCTAATGAGCATCATTTGGCAAGGCTCAAACCAATGCCTGGCCAGACGCAGCAGGTGAGGCGGGGGGATCTGTGGCGTAGCGTCTTGTCTAACGTAGTTTGATGAGGACCTCATTTCCAATTCAAATCTTTTTGGCTTCCACTGGCTGGCTGGACTGGATAAAAATAAATTTTCTGTCCCCGTCATTAGAAGGGTACCATGCTGGGCGGCCTCGGAAATTTCCTGTGGCCAGCCAGCGACCATCCGAGCCAGGGGTCAACTCTCACTCTCTAGTGCAGGATGAAAATTTGGCCTTTTTGCTCGTCTGTCTCTGCATTAGCAGTACCGAAGCTGTTCTCATGGACATTGTCTAACGGTCCAGCAGTAGCCACCGAGCTCGGAGGGTCCATTGTCTGGCTGACGAACGACGCTGCCCAACGAGCCCACCTCTTGTTCAGGCCTAATAAAGGGTCGGGGAATCAGGCGCAGTGCTGGTGCGGGCGGTGCCTGGCGACTAGTGTGTAGCACTTCAGAACCATTTGCTTGACCATCCATCCGTCTCGTCCTAGGTACGTAAAGGAGCGTAGGCTGGGCGGGATCTGTTATTTTCGTCGGTTGAGCCGACCGACTTGCAGTGGCACTGCCTGGAATTTTCGTGCGCACTGTCGTCGGTGTGAGAATCGAGACAAGCATCGCCCTGTCAGGCCGGGGTACAAACACCTCGTGGCAAGACCCCGCTCATGGGAAGTCGTTATGGCGGTAGGGACCGGTAGTCGCACATTTTATATAGGCAGGTATGTAGAACGGGACATGTATCGATTATTGCAAGGGAAGTTCCGTCATTGATTGCTAAGAAAGACTACGTATCTGCGCCTGATAGAGGAGGCTGTTCTTGCGGAGAGTTGGAGCCTCCAAGCCGAGAGGGTGGGTAGGTCCGAATAGCGTACCGATGGAAAAAGTGGTAGGGACCCATAGGTGCAGAGCAGAGAAGGAGGCGGCGCCAGCGTGTACAAACTATAGTAGAGGCATGTGTGGGATGGATGGATGGATGGATGGATTGCAGGATGGGATGGATGGAGAAGTAGGTGAATTGCAAAGGGCATGGAGGTTTGTCACTGCGGGAGGTAGTGGATGGCTGCGTGCATTGGCAGGTGCAGCTGGGCTCTGCACCTGCGGGCACGATACAACACAGCGCACGTAAGACCGTACCTGGACAATGGAACCAGCTTGAGCTTATTCAGTTAACAGTGCTACCCTGGCACCTCAGCACAACGCACAACCAGAGCCACTGGACCTATCTCGCAGCATAGCATGGGCCACTCAGCACAGCACAGCACAGCACAGCACAGCACAGCGCACCGAACCAGCCCGCAGCGCACCGCACCGCAACACTGGGCCGTCAGTGCGCCCAACCATCAAGGTTCAACTCAAGCCCGCCATTCCCATAGCACACAACCCCAGCCCTGTCCCTCACACGCCCTCACAGGCTAGTGGGCTCCCTACACGCCCACCACCCCCCTCCCCTTCGCTGGAGACGTTCAGACCAGACCGCGCGAAACACCCCCAGCACACCCGGCAAAGACCCTCCACCCCCCTCCCAGAGCCATTTCTCATGTGTATTGTACTGTACCGAGTGTATTTCGCTGCCCCCCTTCGGTCCCCCCTGGGCCCTGCTGGCCCGCTGGGGATTCTCTGGGTCCGACTATGGTTGACTCGTTCCAGGGTCATAGATGTACAGTACGTATTCCAGCCAGAGAAGTCTGGTCTCGGCATGAAACCTTTGTCATGGGATGCTTGGTGCTGGGGTCCCGCTGCTAGACTGGACCGTTCTCTGCCGTCGCAGCCAAATTCTTAAATATAGAGGCACCTCCCACCAACCCACACACAGCCGTCTAGATGAACAAGCAAACAACCGACCTCAAGCTCTAACCTCTGTTCTGGCCAAGCCGACGAACTGTACATCCATCCGCTCAACCATACATCAACGGCATTCTCTCTTCCTCCCCATTGCTTGTCTCGTCCTAGACTGGCAAGCCCAAAGCCCTTGGGCTCATCTACAACGACAATCTCCATATATTACACTCCAAACATCAGCAGAACATCATCATCCAGCATGTGCAACTACATTTATGTGGGTCTCAATGTTTTCTACCCAAGGCACAATGACTAACATGGCAATGCCTCTGTAGAAGGAGCTGAGCTGTCAGCATCACTACCACCTGGTAGAGTCATGGTGCCCCAAGTACATCGAGACTCAGCAACGATGCACACCCAAAATTGTGAGCAAGCAGTACTGGTAAGTTGCCTTACAGCCGGATATATCATATCAACACGAGCAAAGTCTAACATTTCTTTCTAGGGGTGATGATATTTGTGGTATGCACTTCCGATCCTCGGAGCTCCCCAGAGCACTGGAGGCGTGCGGATGAGTTGGAACAACAGACTGACATGATTTCTAGCTGCATGCCGAGAACGACAACAGCCTTCCCAACACCCCTGGGCCAAGATGATCAAGCGTCCCGCGTCGCCTCGAGTTCCTTCATTCTCCCAGGACGTTTACGCCCGATGAACGCCTCTTCCAATCTCTCGAACGGACCGTTCCATTTTCGCAGCCCCCCTCCACCTGTAACCTTAACAACAACAAACAACAATCGGTTGGAATACAACCGGATCGAACCAGAGTCGGCGTCTGCACTGCCTACCGACACGATTGTTTCTTCCATATCTGATTATTTTTTCTCTTTTCCATTTCTAGTCTTCTCAGCTTTGCAACATTACGGAGTTAAATAGCATCAGCGACAATGACAAGCTCAGCGAGCTTCGTCATAGTATTGGATTTTTCAACACACCTCCACCGGTGTAAACAGCATACAAAAGGCGAACCAGGGAAAATCAACAAACAGCTCCAGCCAACCGGCATAAGTGAGCTCCTCTCAAACAAAACACATGTACTTGTTCTTTTCTTTTTTCGCCTTGCTCTGCTGAGCAAGGCGAGGAAAAGCAATAATTTCCGGGCATCACTACGGGCGTTTGCCTCCTTTTTTTGCTCTTTACCTCAATTTCTTTTTATCTGCTTCTTTTTGGATGGTCATGGGCCGGTGTTTATTCTGGTCTCAAGGAAAGCTTTTGCATGGAATAGGATGGGGTTTCTTTGATTTTTAAGTATTGAATTTTTGGGAGGAAATAGCACGGCATGGGACGGAAAGGAAGCACTGGGCTGGACTTCAACTTCCCGCATCATCATTTTTTTTTATTGAACTAGAAAAGGCAAACTCTGTTATTACTGCAGGACGGGGGGGCGCGAGGCAACGGAGCCATACGACACACTTAGAATAACCACTTCTTCAGAGACAAATCAAAAATCACCAAATTCCTCACATGAGCTTTTTTCCCGACCGTTTATCTTTTCCATGACTGTGCAGAAATATTCCCCGACAATCACACCCCACCCGCAGCTATCTCACACACACGGCTGGGGCGTCTCACATCATACCACTGCTGTTTATCTGGGCAGAGAGAGACAGAGAGAGGGCATATTTCTTTCCCGATGGTTATTAGTCACTGCCGCCCCCGCGTGTGCTGCCAGCAACTTTGGCTTTTCCCTGTCACTGTCTTTTTCCTTATCGCGCCAAATTTTCCCCACTCTCGCCCTGGCGGGAAGAGTGCTCTCTCTTGTTTCCAAAATATACGTGTGCGGGTGGTGGTATGGTGTGCGCGACCGGGCGTGCGCGCCCATGACGCTGGCAAATCATCGTCGAACCACACCCCCACGTTGCTCATCCGGGGCGGCATATCTGCCCTTGGAAAGCAGCATGTACGTACGAGATAACAGATGATCGAGCCTATCCCCCACTCTCCCTCCCTGGTAAAAGATAATCTCTGACATACTGGCTGCCCGAATGAGCAGAATCTCATGAATTTGGGAAGCAGCTTATGTTGGCCAAATCTGAGAGCCTGGGTTGCAGAGAGAGACAGACAGCAGTGACGCCCATGTCCGTTCACCGCCCGGGGGCCAACATATGCTGCACATTGCACACCATCACTGCGCGTTGCGGTTGGGGGCCATGGGCGTCCGAGGAGCCTGTTTCGTCTTGTGGCTTTTGCCTGAACGGGTAACTCACCTTCTGAAGGGCACATGCATTCGTCCATTCGTAATGCGGAAATGGAGAATCCAGTTGCGCAAGGGGGGGGGACTACGATGGGAGGAGGGGGTGGGTGCGGAAATAGCATGCATGAGTGCCCTATGCCACCATCCATCGCCTATAGTCTGCCGTGCTTGTCGGAATCGTCCAGACGACTGTCCGCTCCTGTAGCGAAGCGGCAACGCGGAAAGGGTTGAGAGGAGGAGATGAGGCCTTTGGGTGGTGCATGAGTGAGTGACATGCCTTCCTGGCAGCTGGGTTTCACTTTCGTCGACCATGCACACGCCCTCGTCAATTCATTCCCTCCATTCACCCATTCACTCGCTCATTCATCTTATCACAGCAGCTACGCATCATCAAACCTTAAACTCGAAAAAAGCCTTGGTCACACGGCCAAGTGTAGCATTGCGCGCGCTACGGGTAATGAGGGAAACAAAAGAAAAGAAAGAGTCAAGCATGTAATGTACCTAACTAACGTAACGGAACGGCTCGTAGCACCTGCGGCTACTGGCTTACAGTCAGAACCTACCAGCCAAGCCCAAGGTACAGCGGCCTCGTATTGGTGTTCATTCTCTCCCTCGTGAGCGTGAGGGATCTCGCGAGAGGTAGAGATTAGATGATGGCCCCCCCTGCGACTCATTCCTGGCCGGCCTAGCCGCGAATAGGTTCTTGTGTCATCCCAAACGTATGAGAAGCCCATGGCCTGGGACGTGGTTTAGTGCGCGTTAACTGACGCTACTGCACCTCCCCGCTGGTGCACTCCCCTGCTGCCTTTGCCTTAGTCCTCCACACAGCTCACTCCATGTGTGCTTGCGTGTTGAGAAGGTAGAGCTCGTTTGTGAGAGAGGCGAGGACGTAGCAGCTGAGAGCTTACGGCCGCCAAGGGTGATGTGGTGGTGGGGATTCCGGAGGTATTGAGATCAGGCTCCAGAGTTGGAGATGGGCTCTGGAGTCTCCTCTCTGCATACCGACGTGTTTGGCGATCATGGCAGGTGGGGCGAGGGCCCTGTCTGTCATGTTAACGCAAAGAGGGCCAGATCGGAGGCGGCCAAGCGGTTGTATGCTATGTATGTACGTATGATCGACACGCGCTTGTTGGGTGCGTGCTTCCATGCTCAAGCTCAAACGAGCGAGCTCCCTCTATCGTGGGGCCTGAACCGCCACATCGGGGTACAATGCAAATCAGCTTAGCCTGCAACAAGCCATCCATTGCCCGTCTGAAATTCTGCTGGTCCAGTTCGAGCTATTGCATCACATCATCATGCTAGCGGTCAACCACTAGCCTAGTTTCGTCGAAGCCTCACGGGAAAGGGGTTGCAGTTGGGTAGCTGCCAGGAGCTCTGCAGGTGCTTTAGCTTGGTCTTGGGGGGGACCGGGATTGGTGTCAGGTGCTCTCCATGTGCTATTTCTCGCTGTCCAGGCCCGTGCTTGGGAGCCTAATCCTCTGGGCGGGAAGAGGAAACAACGCCTATGGCCCAGTGACCGTCTGCACCTACAGGAGGTACCTACAGCGCTGCATAGCACAACGCAGCACTGCGGTGCACAACAGTCCGGCAAGGCAGAGCACAACACGACACAGCACAGGACAACACATCACAGCGCTGGTCACCAGGACGATGCGCGGCACCCAAAGCACGACACCCCGCGGCACAGCATGGCAGCGTCTTACGCCATACCGTCTGCCCTGAATGGTTGAGTTCCTGTAGTCTGCCGTTAGTCAGCCGGCCAGACCAAATCGAGTGGGCGAGTGCGAGCGGCACACTCAGATGGCGGCCTGATTCTCACCTTTGGACATCATGATCAACGCCCTCTCTCCATATTTGTCTCCTGAGTCAGTGGGCAAGTGATGAACTGCCGCAAACCCCTCGCGGTCGAGGCTGGTCTTCGACGATCAGCTCCAATAGTGGAATAACGTCTCGGCAGTAGGTTTACCAGGGCTTGAGCCTCGAGCGGTCAGGTCCCAGCAAGCAGTATGGAGTCCTTGCCCCCTCCCTAGGCTGTTTCTCTCGCTAGCTATCTCAGCAGAGCTCCTGGCTATTAGGAAACGCGCCTTCAGCTCGAAAACAAGGCAAAAGGCACGGGTCCCGAGCGAGTGGTACGAGGGGGAAAAAACTCTCTGGCGGGTTATTCCGACCAAAAGTGAAATCTGCACTTCCTCTTTGTCACCCAATTGGGCGTTGAGCGAATATGGTTTATGCCGAGTTCTAAGTTTACGGTTGGCCCCGAGGCGAACATGATGGCTCCGTTTTCTCCCTTCTCTTGCCCCCCTCCGAAGGTGTTTGTCCATCAACCATGGGACCGGTCCGGTGCACTAACAGCTAATGGCATCAATCATATTTGCAGGTTGACTTTCCATGCAGCAACGGGGCCATGAAGCTCCGCATCATATGATTTGAAGTAGATGCGCAAGCCATGTAACCAGATCCACTTTGCCAATGTGATATGCGAGGCGCAAGGACCGTCGTTTGGTGTACCAGATGCCTGGAACGACCTTGTCGGTGTAATGTGGGAATCCGTTCCACTTCTGCCATCATGACCTGGCGGAGGGACAGGGGAGGAAATTTTTCTTCAAGAAAGTTTCTTCAGGACCCTTGGACGGCGAGATGCGAGGCTGGCTAGCAGCAGAGTGACATGCCTGCCTTATCAAATTGCGTGGTCCCAGAATCAGGCCGACGGCTCAATCCAGAGTTGAGATACGAGACAATATGATGGATCAAGCTTCACGGTGAGTCCAATTGGGCTCTCTGACTGCCATCTCTCTGGGCGGCCCTGGTTGGTTAGTTGGCCTCCCCAACCAACAAAGAATCCCTACCGTTCATTAATTTTGAGTTTGAATACGCCTTGCCTACTATTTGTCAAGGGCCCAAGACCCCGAATTTCCGAAAGTGGTGAAAGGAATTGATTCACCATTCTTCGTTCTCGCTTGCTGTTATTGTCCATTGTCAGGGGTCGATTCCATGTATAGTAACGTTCTCTCTGGAGCTCAAATGTCCAGGGGTTTGTTTAGGTACCGAGGATCCCGCCGTCCACCGATATTGCAAGGAGAGGCAGCTGAGTGGTTACCGGTCCCGGTGACAGCCGACTCGGCTAGTACTGGAGAGGAGTGTGCGCGTTGAGGAGAAAAGTTTCGGCTTCTGTCTTGGGGAAAATGACAAGGTTATTGCGACAGGTTGGAACAGAAAAATGAAACTTGAAAGTTTCCGGAGTCTTGCAAGTCAGAATTGGAAAGAGATGTTATCTATCATTTCATGACACCATCCACACACATAATATGCAAACTTACGCAATACACCGAGCTCCCGATCTCGGTGAGGCGTAGAAAAGGAACAATTAGCCAACAAAATCACGGCCCAAACCGATCATCGGAGGAATCTTGCCAAGCCGGCGCATGTGGTTGCCTGGCGTGTTTTTTTGGCGGGTAAAACAATCCGTCCAGGGCTCGCATCCTACCCAATTCCATTATCAAGGGAATCCCAGGGGAGTGGCTTGTCAGGCGATCTTTTCTGGGAAATCCTCGAGGAATATGCTTGCTTCTCTCACCCGGCGGCAAGGTTCGGCTATTGATCGAGAAGCTTTCCCAGTTCCGCGTCAGCAATTGCCAGGGATGACATGCATCACCCATCAGGTCTTCCTTTGGGTGCTGAACCCTGGCTTTGGCTCCCTGTGACCCTGACCTTTTCCTTGATGCCCTTTGGTGGACCTTTTGTCCTGCCTTCTGGCACCTGTCAAAGGCTACCAGCCCCCCTGCTCCCCCCCTCTTGCATCCCTTACCCCAGACAGCCCGAGAGTCTGTTTTGCCTGAGGAGAAACGTCGAACTAACCCGCAAATCGATGGATAAACGTACATCCATCGAGATGTCCAATGCATAAAACCTCCACTCGTATAGACACCTGCATCATCCTCGTCCGTCGTTGGGGAAATGCAACGTTGATCATTGTTTGTGAAACGAGACAACCAGGCTTGGCCAAGATGGATCCCTCTATTTGACCATTTGCGAAGGAACGTCCAGCTGGTCTCCTCGCGCTCGCTGTCCAGTCATCGCCTACCGATCTGGTGAATTGAGCCTCTTTCCCATGATCGGTCACTCCTCTAAGCCTACATGCAAGGATACGTGCGCCCGGGCGTGTGGCGCCAAGAGGTCGGTCACTGTACATAGGTCTGCCTTGAGCCGCCTCATCATCTCTCTCCCATGGCCTGTCTCGCCCTGCTCTCCGGGTCGCCACCAGCCTGTGGTGCGGGCTCGCCTGTACCACCGCACGTGGAGGCGACAACGTCCCGGACCTTCCCTCTATTCACGAGCCAAATTTCACACACACGGAGAATTCTAGGGCCTCTAGTTCCGGCGTGAGAGTCTGGGAGATACCTATTCCCGAGCTGCCCAATCCGGGGCTGGGCAGATGACAAAACCTTGGGAGCTGAAGGTGACTGATCGCATTCTTGGTGGCATCAGAGATAGGTGACTATCACAGCTGCTACCACCCAGGCTCGCGTCATCCACGCCCCTACTCCCTTCCCTGTCCCTTTCCAAAGGAATCATTGGCACGAGTAATGAGGAACATGCCGCCAATATGAGTACCAAAAGTACACAATGTGGTACGTTGCGTAGGGGGTGAACGGATCCTTCCCGTGCCGTGTCTACAGGTCAGGCATATGCTGGAAGCGCAATTTCGTCACGCGGAATTTTTTTCTTTTGTTTAAAAAAGAAACCAGACGGGGCTGCCCTGCGTGTGATATCGGACGGCGGTGGAGGGTTGCCATCGATCAGGGACTTCTGCTCGGCGGAACGTCACTTTTTGCTTCCGTGCCATTGGTTCTTTTAGGCCTCCAAAGAATTTCCTTTTGCCTGCGTTAACCGGGCGCAATTAGTGACACAATAGATACTGGTCGTTTCCTGGTCAATACAGCTCACTCGTCTAGTACTGCACCAGTCCATAATCTGAGACCAGCATGCGAAAAGTGACAGAGGCACGGATGTGTAAATATACACAGACGGGCAGGGTGGCAAGTGAAAGTAGGAACTTATCCTAATGTAGTGATGATCGCGAGAGATACAAAAGTTGACTGAGGTTGCACATAATACCGACCCTCCTTCATGCCTACCTGGACATCAACTAGCCGTCCGCAATGGTCTTAGTCCTCTATTGCGAGCTCGCAAGAGACTGTCGTCCAAGAAACCTAGCGAGGCAACCCGATAGTCTGGGTAGGAGTTAAACTAGTTGAGTGAATAGAGCACCGCCAACTCAATAAGGTTGCCCGGCTTGTTGGTCGGGTTGTGATCGGCGTTGAGAGGCTTGCAGCTAGTTGCTACTATCTCTTCTTTTGTCGGAGGCTGCAGAGAATGTGTGCGTGACTATCGCCGGCCGCTGCCTTGAATGGGGGTGTGATCGGTTGGTTGATCGGACACGCCTCCAACACGACAGTGTCCGTATCCAACCCGAGCTAGTCTATTGTTTCATTCATTTTTCCTTCGCGTGGGCTTCAAATGATCCAGCGATTATTGTGCCGTCGGGCAAGATGCGTTCCGCCCCCCTCACATAAGCCAAGGCAAAGGGGTAAGCAATGTCACACAGCAGCGACGTGCCAATGATGATGCCTGAAACAGGATGGAAGATGAAGCCATGGGCTTCGGGCCAGTACCACCACAGAAGACCGCATGCAAGAGGGAGTCCCATCTGCGATCCAACAAACCGGCAGAACCTAGACGCACACCTGTTAGCCCGATCACTATCCGAGACAACCATGGTCACGAGCCGCTCATTTTAAATCGTGATTTCCTGTTGGCCGCTCGTGCTGAGTGGCTGGCTTAGCTGCCATGGCCCGAGGCGACAGGACTGACCGGTCTTTCAGCTGCCAACAACAATGACAATGGAACGAGACCAACACACGGCGAAGGCATCGGGCGTCCCCGTGGTTATCAGCGATCCGATAATTCTCGGCCGCCGCCATACATCCTACAGTGTGTGCGGACACGTTGTGGAGGATGTACATAATTTGTTGGTGATAGTGACGGGGTGAAAGGGTAGATGCATGAGCTGAGCGCCTAAAGCGGAACAAACGTACCAGATTGCATAACTCTGGCCACCCGAATGGCCGCGCTGGAGTACCATTGCCAAAGAACCAACACTGAAGGCCATCTGCGCCGTGCCGGCCGCCCACCAGGACAGCTCGGTTGTGTCGCGTGCTTCCTGGCCGAACCAGGTCTTCCCCCATTTGATGCCGTACCCCCGATGCGGTTCCTTGAGCCACCACCACGCAAAGGACGCGTTGGCCGCGACACCCCACAGGAACACAAGGAACAGGATGAGCGAGAAGCGCCGAGCGATGAGCGGATGCGACCTGAGGGAGCGCGGCGCAGCGCGAAGCGTCGCGTAGAGCACTGGGACGTCGAAGAGGAGCCACAGGGCGAAGCCAAGCTTCTCGAGGATGGAGTCGGCGACATAGACTACCCAGACGACCTCCCAGGCGAGGTTCACACCGAGCGCGATCAGGGGCATGGGCGTGTCTCTTGTCTGGAGCGAGCGCTGGACCATGAGAACATACGCCGCCAGCCAGAAGAAGACGCCCAGGCCCAGGCAGACGGTTGAGGCTGGAATGAGCCAGTCCGGCGCTGAAGGAGGCGGGATATCCGAGGAGCCCATGATTTAATATTCCCAAACTTCCCCAATCTAGGATATGTTCGACTTGACGATCGTGATGATGTGCAACCAAGTTCCCTCAATCCATGGCGTATTTTTGAGGAAGTGCTGACCTAATCCACCTCACCGCTCCTGCCTCGTGTTGCTTCCTTCCGCCAGTGCTGAAATGCCTAAGTATTGGAGAGGGGTCTTTTTATTGACCTTGTTTTCATGACATTAGGTGCTTAAATCTTTTTTGGACTGATTTTATGACTTTGTTCGTGGGTGATTACGTAGAGTGACTACCTACCGTAGCATCGTTAAGCTTCCATTAAGTTTCACGAATAACTGAATTGGGCGCTTTGGTGAGAATAAGTTTTCTAATCGATGGCCTGAAGTGTGAGTCTGATGCTTCTTTTGAAATTTACACATCATACCGGTGGGTTGATCTCTCATTTTTGTTGTTGCCATATCATGTAAATGTTTGGATTTTCCCGTTTAGATCGGTTGTATATGTACTCCCCAGTTAGAATTAGCAGATTTAATGACAAATGTTCATGTTCCTGCCTCTAGCATCACAGTCTTATTCGTCTCCTGCTCTTTACGTGACGTTCCTGAGATATGAAGGTCGATAAATGGAGGAGGAGGATCATTTTGTATTTCTTAGATCATGCTGGAAACACCTTTTTCAGCCCAACGACATTTTAAATTCACCCCCCATCTCCAAAGTTTCAAACAGATTGCTGTAACGTGGACATCCATTACTTATGACTGCTGAAGCTCAAGATGGAACGACCGAAGGATACTGTCCGTATCATCAATGGCAAGGGGTCTGATATCGGCCATCTGCTTGATCTTGGCGGTCCTGTTTTCGCTCCTGTCAGCTTCTGTGCGTCAACGTAGTTTCAACGCTCGAACTCACACTTCCTTGACCTGCTCATCAGTCATACTGAGTCCCAACTGCTCAGCTCTCGAGCGGACGGCATTCCAACCGGTTCTGGCCAACGTCAGTTTCTAATCACACCTCGGTGAACTTTAAGTGCTGCTTACATGCGGCTGTTGATCGACACGTAGCGAGAGAGACCGAAGATCTCGGGATCAAGGATCTCATATGTCTCGAGGAAAGTCAGCTAAATTGGGCATTATGTACCTTCGTATAGAAAGATTCTTACCGAAGGGTTGGCGAGGATAGCCTTGGCGTGGATGCCAGCCTTGTGTGTAAATGCGCAAAAGCCCCTGCTACGATATTAGTCTCGGGCAAACCATTGTAGCTTGGGAGGAGCAGTGACTGACGTGACTGGGTTGTTAAACGGGATATTGATCTCTACTGCATCGGCTACTAAAGTCTCAAGAGCCTTCAGCTCCTTGAGATTGTACTTGGACTTTGTGTACTCGGGGGCGGTGACAACCATTCTTGCCATGAAAGCACCTTTCTCGGATCAGTAAGGGTTGGATGCTAGTTTCGAGATTGGCATACCTAGTGGCGTAATACCGTTTCGCTCGCCTAGCCAATGCATGTTAGCTTGTGCGGAATATTTTGCGGCTTATGGATTGCTCACCAATGCCGAGGACGGATGTGTCAACATGCGTTGCGCCAGCCTCAAGTGCACAGAACGCATTTCTTATTATGAAGTATCAGTACCAGTGCCCAAAATCACATAAAGAGCCAGGCAATAAAACTTACGCCTATGATCATAAAGCATTGACGTCAGCATATGAAAGGGCGTACATAAAGAATGTGTGAGGACTTACCACTGAGCAGCCAGTATCGTCATGGAACTAGTCAAAGAATTAGTGTCTTGATGAGGGCCTAGATGAGCTTCTCAAGGACCTACATGGCACTCAATATCACAGCCAACAACACCTACACGGCCAATTAATCAGTCGATTTCTTTGGCAAGTTCTAACGCAAAATGCTTACCACGAAGAGTGCGGACCACGTCATATGTCATACGAGGAGTTGCTGAAATCATTTAGTTAGAATAACCCGGAATGTCGGATCGATAATCGTGAGCGTCAATGGCAAACGAAAACAAGGAACGTAAGACATACCCCCACCGCTTCTGTTAGTTAGCAAAAGCCCACTCATTCAGTTGATGGGGAAACTAACACCGTGTCGGCAATTCCAACGCGGTGCACACCCGCTCTATCGACTGCCTTGTAGAGCGAGAGAATATCAACCAGGTCAGAACGGAAGGAGTCCTCCGAGGAGAATCGGATCTCAACATTTTGGCTGTAAACAAAGAGTCGGTCAGCCTTGATACTCGGTTACTGTTAAATTGACGTCCAGCCCTGGGAAGCTGTTCCGCCAATGGAATAGTTTTGGCAATCTCACCTCTGTAGGTATGAAATCACCTCCAACGCCGTCTTCTGTATCATCTCCATGCTCTTTCCGTGGCTATACTCTCGGAGATACCTCGAGGTCCCAATAACCAAATCTACACCATCTACTCCTGCCTCGACGGCCCTCTTGGCGTCGCCCATGTGACACCGGACATGGGTAAGGATCTTGGCCTTGAGGCCGAGGCTAGAGATGGTCTTGCAATCCTGGAACGATTGTTCCGAGCTGCAAGGATTCGTAAGTTCGATATAATCGACGCCGAATGAGTCGAGCGCCTTGGCACTGCACTGCCATGTTAGCATCGAAACGCAGCCGTGTAACGATATAGAGAAACACCGGGAGCAGCCCTTACATCTTGACCTTGGTCTCTGTGTCAAAGAAACTATTAGCGAACTGCTCACCTTCGCGGAGAGTGCTCTCGATAATCTTGTAGCTGTTGACATTAGAGATGTAGTCCTGGACGGCCTGGTAGGGCGTGGCCGGGGGAGCCCGCTGGCTGGGCGCAGTGCTGTTAGATTCCCCGTTCCCGCACATTGTTTCAATATATCGAAAAGTGGTTTAATTTCTTGTTGGGGGAAAATTTAAGGGTTTCGGCAAGGAATAGCTGAAATCAGATGGTGGATGAGTTTCAACTCTACTTTTTTGACTGAGCAGAACTTCAACTGGAAGGATGACCAAGTTTATATATTTCACTTGTACCTGAGCTATTGTCCTTAGAGTTTTTATACCCACCGGCTCCCGTAAACTATGTGGGAATCCGGGGCCGGCATGATGGATCGTGGAGGGGCCGAAAACCAGTCATCCATGCCGATGGCGGCGGATTTTGGTGCTTCGGCGGACATCCGACGAAGTGACTCAAGTACGTGCGAGCCCGGGGATATCTCAAGACCTGTGAATGACTCATTTCCTATATGTCTAAGTCAATTTTGAAAACATTTGCAGTCTGTTGGCATTCACTAATATGCGCGTCGGATTGGCTCCTCCGTGCGACGCTCAATTTGTCTTCTCAAGGGTCCCATACCACCGAACCAGCGATCACTCACGTTAATCAGAGTATCAAATTCAGACCATGCCCATGACACAGTGTGTGCTATCTCCTTGTCGAACATAGCGTAATATTTGGTGATTCTAAAAGTCAATTGAACACCAATTTTCGGGATGGTGCGAAGAAACTGGCGCAACTTGAAATATGACTGGTAAAGAAGTGTTCACAGATGAAGGAGAGACATCATTGAAGAATCAGTTCTATCCTCACAGAACACAATCCAAACAAATGAATATCTTTATGACAAGAGCATACCGGGGACAAATTCTGAACAAATTATATCTTGCGTTCAAACAATATACCTAAGCACATAGAACATCATGTATCCTTGTAAGCCTCAAAGACCATATGCTAGTCGCTTTCCATCAACTCTGCCGCCCCTAAAACATCATCTCGTGAAATCAATGCACATTTCCATCCAACACGACCAACCTGCCAATAATCTTTCGTGGGTATCACTCGATAAAACGTCTCGTTATTAGATATTCAAGCCTTCCCAATCATAAACCATCATTCATCCCTCCGTTTCTCCTTGGAGTCGAACCTAGTTATCAGCCTTAGGCTTAGGTGCGTCAGGGTCAGCTTCTTGGCTAGGCGTGGCAGAAAATTCTTCACCCTCCTTGCCATTGTCCTTCTTGGTAGACCCATTCTCCTTGACTTCCTTCTTCGTATCTTCAAGCTCTTGGATCTTCTTTTCCATGGCAGCTATCTTGTCAAGCGCGCCTTTCTTCTCATCCTCTACTGTTGATAGATTGATCTGGGCCTCCTGAAGCTTCGACATGATTTCGGTTTCAAGCCCTTTGGCGGTCTTGACCTCATCTTCAGCAGTTTCCAGCTTCTTTTGGGCCTCCTGAAGCTGGGCTTTCAGCTCAGCGTCCTCTTTTTGGGACTGGAGAGCTTCCGAATCGAGCTGAGAAATCTTGGCTTCAAGTCCAGCCTTTTCCTGTTGATTGGTCAGTTGCGACACTTAGAAGTCTTTTAGATCTTATTACATACCTTCGCTTGAGACTCAATCTCTTCTTCTGCTTTCGCGGCCTTTCCCTCGGCTGCTTCGAGTTGAGAAGTTAGCTCCAACAGTTTTGCAGTCTGCTCTTCGTGCTTCTTCTCCAATTGTTCATGCTCATCTTCAATAGTCTTCACCTTCTCACTGCCTGCCTCGTGCTCTTTGAGACTAGCCTCCAGTTTCTCGACATGCGACTCATGCTCCTTCTTTAAAGATTCATGATCTTCAGACAATGCTTTGAGCTTCGCCTCGAATGCTTCGGCTGCCTCCTTTGCATTGTTCAGTTCAGAGTTCTTCTCAGTCAGGCTGGCTTGATTCTTTTCTTCGATCTCTTTGAGCTGGTTCGTTGCCGTCTGAGCCTCTCCCGTAAGAGTTTCATGCTGAGTTTGGAGAGAGGCGTGCTTCTCTTTCCACTCATCGAGCTCTTTCTTTGCTGCTTCGAGTTCTGAGGACCTTTCATTCTTGAGCTTCTCGTTGGCATTCTCGGCTTCGGATAAGCTAGCTTGGAGCGCTTGGTGTTTGTTTTCTGCTTCAGCCAACTCCGTAGCCAGTGATTCCGACTTGTTACTTGCCTCCTCTTGAGCAAGCTGAAGGGCGTTATGCTTTTCCTTCCATTCTTCTACTTCCTTGCGAGCAGCCTCGAGGTCAGCAGAGCCTCCAGACTGGAGTTCCTCGTTGGTCCTCTTGACTTCCAATATTTCAGCTTGGAGAGCCTCATGTTTCTCCTTCATCTCAGCTAACTCCTTGGAAGCAGCCTCTGAAGCTGTGGTCAGGCTATTTTGTGCCGCTTGCAAGGCCTCATAGTTCTCCTTGACCTCAGCAAGTTCCTTCGCTGTAGCCTCTGAATTTTTACTCAAAGTCGACTGTGTGGCCTCAAGAGCACCGTGCTTTTCCTTCCACTCCTCAACTTCCTTCTTGGCGGCCTCAAGGTCAGCAGCGACTCCAGACTGGAGCTCTTCATTGAGCTTCTTGGTCTCCAAGATCTCCGTCTGCAGAGCCTCGTGCTTCTCCTTGGTCTCGGCAAGCTCCTTTGCCGTGGCTTCCGACGTCTCGCTTAATGTCGACTGCGTTGCCTCGAGAGCACTATGCTTCTCCTTCCATTCTTCGACTTCTTTCTTGGCCGCCTCTAGATCAGCAGAGCCTCCGGATTTCAAATCTTCATTGAGCTTTTCTGTCTCCAGCAACCTAGACTGGATCGAATCACGAGTCTCCTTGATTTCAACCAACTCTTTGGCCGCAGCGTCAGAGGTCTTGTGCAAATCATCATAGGAAGTTTGCAGAGCATCATGCTTCTCCCGCCACTCTTCGACTTCCTTCTTAGAAGCATCGACGTCGGCAGATGAGTTGCTCTTCAGTTCCTCGATGGCTTTTTCTGCCTCTAGAAGCTTGCTTTGGGCTGCGTCCCGGTCCTCTTTTATGACATTCAATTCTTTAACGATGGCATCAGATGACTTGGACAGGTCCTCATTAGTGGCTTGGAGAGCATCATGCTTCTCCTTCCAGGCCTCCAAATCTTTCCGGGTAGCCTCGAGTTGCTCTACATCGGCCCTTGCTGATTCGTGATCCTTCTCAAGCTCTGCAAGCTTTGCCTGGACGGCTTCCTTCTCCTTATCAGCAGCATCAAGTTGCGTTTTCGTACTTTCGGCCAAGGAGTCATGGGTGGCTTGAAGAGTAGTATGCTTTTCCCTCCAATCCTCCAGCTCCTTCTTTGTAGCCTCAAGGTCCGAAGAACCACCCTCCAATGCTTCCGAAAGCTTTGCTCGAATAGACTTATTTTCTTCCTCGGCATCGGCCAGCTGCTTCTTCAAAGCTTCGAGGTCAGACAGATCACCTTTCAAAGACTCGTACGCCTTTTCCAGGTCCGATAACTTCGACTGAATCAAGACTGCCTCGCCTTGGGCGTCTGTGATTTGTTGTTTCGATGCCTCCGCATCCTTAGCCAAGGCGGTGTGGGCACTTTCAAGGGCATCATGCTTCTCTTTCCACTCCAGGGCTTCTTTCTGTGCTCCGTCAAGGTCGGTAGTCGCACCCTTCTTCAGTTCTTCGTTGATGCCTTTCAGACCAGCCAGCTTAGCATTCAGATCGCTCATCTCTGTCTTGTGTGATGACAACTCCGCCTCGGTATCTGCCTGCAATCTTTCGTAGGCCTCCTTTGATGCGTGGTGGTTCGACTCGGCATCAGCCAGGGCAACTTTCTGCTCCTCCAAAGCCTTTTCAGCAGCTGCGAGCTCACCCTCCAACCTGGCGGAAGCCTCCTGCATCGATGATTGCTTTTCTTCCGCCTCGGAAATCTGCGCTTTTAGTGCTGAGATCTCGTCCTTGAGTGAGCCCTCCAGGGCATCGCGTTCTTCCTTGACCTCGAGCAACTGTTTCTTTACCTCGGTCAATTCATCATCGACACTCTTGCGCTCTTCTTGAGCAGTCTGGAGATTTTGTTCAGACTCCGCAAGTTGTGCCTTGAGGCTTGAAATCTCATCCTGAAGCGAAGAGCCCGCAGCGTCTTGGTTTTCCTTCAGCCCAAGGAGCTCTTTGGAAGTTGCGTCGCGCTCGTCCTCGACGGCCTTGGATTTCTGCTCGACATCGGCCAATTGAGCTTTGATGGTCTCTAGCTCCTCCTTCAATGCGGCGCCGGCTGTGTTGGCAGCGTCTTTGGCGTCAACCAACTGTTTGCTGAGAGAATCACGCTCCTCCTGGAGTGCTTGTAGCTTCTGTTCCGCCTCGGCTACTGAAGCTTTGAGAGTCTCGGTCTCTTCCTTTGCTATACTGCCCTGAGCTTCCACGCCTGATTTCAATTCAGTCAACTCGTTGGCCAATGTCGTTCGCTCGGCTTCGATAGTCGCCAGCTTCTGTTCAGCAGCGGTAGCCTGGAGTTCTAGCTCGGCCACCTTGTCCTTCAATGGGCCTTCTGCACCATCTCTATCGGCCTGCAGAGCGCGATAGCCATTGTCGGTCTCGGCGAGTCTGTCTTTAAGGCCGGCAATCTCTTGCTCCAGCGCGGCTTGGGCACTGTCGCGCATCTCCTTCGCTTGAGTGAGCTCGGCGCGCAGTTGGTCCCGCTCATCCTGGGCAGCTTGGAATTTCTGCTCGGCCTCGGAGACCATCAACTTCAGAGATTCGATCTTCCCATCATTATCCTGGTTTTCCTGAGCCATTTGCTCCTTCAATCGCTGCAGCTCTTCCTCGTAAGGGTTTCTCCCCTCCTGGAATGCCTGCAGCCGCTCCTCCAGCACGGTCTGCGCTTTCTTGGATTCCTCAAGCTCCTGAGTACGAGCTGCTGTGGTTTCCTCGGCCGCATCATTTTTTGCCTTGAATTCCTGCTCAAGTTCGACGAGAAGGCCAGAAATTTCATACCCGTACGCGACGCGCTGGGCTTTCAACTCCTTCAATTGCTTTTTCAACACTTCTGTGTTTTTGCTGAGCAGAGAGCACTCATTCTGTCTTTTTAGCAGGCTCTTCTCTAAAGAATCGATGGTTGACTGTCTGTCGGCCAGTTGCTTCTCGAGATCCTCCCTGGCCTCTTTCGAGATTCCTTCTGCATCATCCCGTCGGTGGGTGAGGAAACTGACTCTTCTCAACTTCCCCATATCAAGTGATGCTTGTGGTGGTGTTCTCCCGTATGCGCGGTAGTATGAAGAACTGAAATGGTGTTGGCTGTACGATGTATAGCAGCACGGGTATATAATGACACTTAGGTCCCTTGTCAACAAGCAAACCCGAGCGACCAAGCGGATGACAAAACAAAATAAGAAGAACAGACGTCAGTGTGTGAAACAAATTCTAAATGGTTAAACTGGAAGGGTTGCATCACGCATACACGGAAAGCTCTCATCGCCTTATTATGGCCCGAACTGGGCTGCAGCCACTATTACATCGTTGGGCTCCGCTCGCTCACCTAAACCGCCCCGGTGGAGAACTCAAGTGTACTGGCATAACGCACATCCTATCAATTGCGGTCCTGCAGTTCGTGGAAATCCCTTGGACAAGGATGGCAGTCCTTGATTCATTTTCTGATGTGGTCCCTCCCAGAAATTCGGTGTCTAGGACGCATTCCCAGAGGCCCATGCTGCCCAAAATGAGCTGCATAAACGCGGGAGATGCGATGTGATAAGCACACGAGCAAAATGCAGGGAAGTACCCAGGCGGACAAGGAGGCACTGGCAGAAAGATGATCGCTATTACATGCCACTAATCCGGGGCATTGGTCCCAAGCCTTTCATTTCGATCAAGGTTGACAGTGTGGTATAGTTCTCAATGCCGTCGCCCGAGCGTTCATAACAGCATTTGAAACCATCAGTTAGGACGGCCAGGCGAAAACGCTCGGCCACGATATGGCGGTAAACTCATAATTGACGCAGCTGAGTTGTCTCTGATTCATGTTCAATCCGAAACACTAGCATTGAAAGGCGTTACAGCCAAAATCAACGCAGCACACTTCAAACAGCCAGCGTGCTTGCTTGCTTCGTTGCTTGCTTGCCTGGCGCCATGACTTGAAGTTGATCCCGGCAAAACGCTAGCAGAAGCGCCAACAGGGCCTGGACGGACCCCCTGACTGACGTGGCACCTGTCACCATATGCCCGGACAACACACCGCTGTCAGGTCTAGGTTTTCGAGTGATGCAACATGCTGCCCAACGACCCTGGCGGTGCTTGGTAAGATGCGATGAGCAAGGCTGTCACATGCAAGCCAGAGATGGCCAGATGGAAATGGGGAGAAATACTCCGTCCAAGAAGCATGCCATCAATCACATCAGTGAGTGACGAAGGGGAGAAAAAGCAAAGACCCTGCCTCTCAGCATGCATGAACGCTGACGGGAGCGGTGGGGCCACTTGCCTACCTGTGCATTGCTGCCACCGGCTGGTCTTTCCTTCCTTCCTGCAACCTCTAACAGAAAGGCATGAATTGAGTTTGGGCAGGTACTGACGTAATAAGCTGATGTGCTCACTCACCTCTTCTGCTCACCTTGAACCTTCTTTTCTCCTACCCTACGCCTCGCTCTACCTACCGGCGCACTCAGACAGACGTCAGGCACAACATGATCATCACTTAGCTTCCTGACCGACTAATAGGGTGGGGCTTAAACAATTAGTGCCTCGCTGTCGCCTAACTACCCCTTTGAGAAAGGCTAGCCTTAGGTGTCCAATGATGAGTATGTAGTAACTAAGTCGGTATGTTTCACCAGGCTCAAAGTATCAAACCACGTAGGCGCCTCACTGTTTGATTTGGCCGCCAGCTCAACAGAGGAGGTGCCTAACCATCGGAGGGAATCATCATTTGTTGAATAGTGATGGTCAGAGCGGCCTGAAAAGCCACCAAAGCTGCCCTACGCTCTCAGGTGATTTCAGTAATCCTGTCACATGAGGTCTAGCAATGAAGTCGTTTGACAAAATAGATCTTCCGTTCGGATGTATCTAGTGAAACACGAAAGGTGCGCAATGGATACTTGCCTCTTCGGCATGTTTATGTGCTTACTGAAAGACAGCGCGAAAACTCATTGACGGGCGTGGTGACCAACGAACCCAGGGACAGTATAGCTGCAATCAACTGTTGAGATTATAGATCACAGGGTAAGATAATAAGGCAAAACAAAATAACGTTCCTCATTCAAGTAGAGCAATGAAATAAGACGTGATGCGGTTGACAAGAGCATAAGCCAACAGAACACTCATCCCTCAAATATCGTTCGGGGTAAAGGGTATAAAATAAAGCAGAAAAGTTACAATAGAGCGACACCATGATAAAATTACTCCTCCGGGCTCTGAGAGACATGGATAACAATCTTACCCTTGGTATGGCCCTCCTTCAGTTTCCTGAAAGCATCGGGAACCTCCTCAAACGAAAACGTGGAATCAATTATTGCCTTGGCTTTCCCTTCAGCCATCCAATCCCCAATCGGACGGAGGAACTCGGAGCTGTTGTTCATAGTAAGAAAATTATACCGATGGCCACCGAATATCTTCGGCAGCACCTGTCTCTTCACTGTTGCAGCCATTGTGCCCATCGTCAATTGGCTACCCACGCCCACCTGGTAGTAGGCGCCATGAGGCTTGAGAATGCTGCCGCTTGCACTGTACAAGTCGGCGCTGCTCCCTACATTGTCAACGATGAGGTCAAAGACCTTGCCCCTCTTCTTCAGATCTTTAATGACGTTCGTCTTCTTGTAATCAAGGACCTCGTCTGCCCCGAGCTGCTTGCACATGTCGACATTCTCCGGTGAGCAGGTTGTGACGACGTCGGCACCAAGGATCTTGGCAAACTGGACGCTCCAGGTGCCCACGCCCCCGCTGCCGCCGTTGATGAAGATCTTGGATCCCGGCTTGAGCGACTTTGGCGTCAGCGACTGGTATGCGGACGTCGCCGCCGTACCCACCGCCGCGGCCTGGTCCGGGTCGACCCCGGAGGGCAGAGGGGAGCAACAAGCGCCGGGTATGACCGTGTACTGCGCCAATGTCCCGTTCTTCCCGGGGTTGTTGAAGCCTCCAAATACGAGCTGGCCGGTCTCGAAGGCCGTGTTGGAAGGGTGTTTGGCGATAACGCGGCCACAGAAATCCAGGCCGGGCGTCGCGGGCCGTGGGATCACCAAGCGACCCATGAGACCGGACTCGGCCAGCTTATAGTCGAGGGGATTGATGGCGGCTGAGATGACCTGGACAAGGAGCTGGTCTCCAGTCAGGGATGAGTGGGCGGGAATGGGTGCCTCGGTGATGGTAAGGTGGTCCTCAAGTTTTCCACTGAAAATCGAGTACTGCCATGATTTCATTGTGTCATTGGCCATGGTGGATTTAGATGCCGAGTAATTTGGCGTTGAAAATGGTATAGAGGATTGAGATACGATTATTTATATTGGTAATATCGCATTGGCATGGTAATCAAATGATTTAAAACACCATACCATCTACAAGGAAAAGTCAGCAACTGCTCAAATATTTAATGAACCGGTGCTCGCCACGACAGCTCGGCGGTTGATGAATTTGGAGTGTCTGGCAGATGACCTCGCAATATCAGGCCACCACGTGGACAGCGGGTGCGCTACCAGTATATTGCTACGAGGCCAGGTATGTCTTCAATGACGAGTACTGCACTGAATAGGATTTAATGATACTGAATTATTTGCTTGCTTCCTTCACCAATTCATTGGTTGGTTGCACAGATGGCTACATGATCATTTCTGTTGGGTTGCGTGGTTATGTACCTATTATGGCAATAGGGTAGGTGGGAGGAGGAAGCCGTTGAAATGGTTGACCGTTGAGACTCACCGGGACAATCCGACTTGGCAAACCTAGTTTCATAACAATGACATAGCCCGCTCCTAGGATCTTCCAGGACGACAGAAGAGCATGACCAAAGGATTTCTGATTCTTGAACAATTTTTCATTATGAAAGTGGCACAAAGTCGAGAATGGAATCGAACCGGTTTCGAGTCATGCTAGAGCCAGTGCCAGGATACTTTATCATGCTTATTCTTTAAGCTTGTTGGTCGAAGTCACCCAATACACACTAGGCAAATTATAAGCTTAGCAGAGCATCGCCTTCGACGGGTATCGAAGCAGTTAACATCTAGCTTAGAGCTAATTTGGAGTGGAAACATCATGCATTCTTTATATCCGCTGGAAGGGTACTGTTTTTGCGACGTTTCCCAGTGGCTTGTTTTGGTACAGGTATTTTGATCGGCATCCACTAGCAAGGGCACTGCGCCAGGTCGAAGACGCAGCGGACGGGCAATTATCTAAAGGCGTGACACGAAAGAAATTGATGACCACGCTTTTCAACATCGAGGAATGCCCGTATGCAAGGATCCAAAATAAAATCGCCCCAATTCCTTGGCAGATCGGTCCGTGGGTAGAAGAATTCTTCCCCTGGGACGAGATTCCATGATTCCACCATGTGTCTCGGATTGGACTGGATCTTCGGAATGGCCCAGCGAACCAACAATGGGGCGTCGTGTCCCGCCCTCAAACAAAAGGTCGCAGCGTGTCTTGCCCGCTTTGGGAGGTAGCTGGCGTGTTCCCCCGCAGAGAGAGGGGAGCTCAGATGAATGCCGTGCTTCTGCCTGGCATTCCGCCGCCCAGCTCTGTTTTCCAGCTGCCGTATTCATCTAGCTCCTGGCGCGACTGGCCAATCCTTCGATAGCTCACTGCTGATCAGCCTGCCCGAATCGAAATTCCTCACACGACATATCGGCATCGGATCCCTGCCTTTCTCTATGGGATTGTTGAACCATTGATTAAGGCGATGGCGCAATCCAGTGCTACCTTCAGATAGGCAAGATAGGTAGATAGAAGATTAGATATATACACAATGGGTCGTGATGCATTCCTCTGGTTCACACCTCCCCGTCGCGTCCTCCCTCCCTTTATCTCCAAGGAGTCAATTGGTCAACCACGCAGCAGCGGCGGCACATCCTCTGAGCATCATTCATTCCCATCGAGGCCGGCCTGCGCGTTCCGCAGACTACATTAGCCATCATGGTCCAACTCCGGTCGGGTTTCGTCCCTCTGCTGCTGTCCCTCCTCAATTCCCTGCCTTCTTCCAATGCGGCGCCAACGCTACGTTCGGCTGGGGCCCGCCTCGGGGCTGTCGCTTCGGAGGTCGATGTCTGCAGTGATGTCGGTACTACACTACTCAAGCATGGTGGCAATGCCGCAGATGCCCTCGTTGGCACCGTCTTCTGCGTTGGTGTCATTGGCATGTACCACAGCGGAATCGGAGGAGGAGGATTCCTGCTTGTGAGGTCGAGCAACGGAACATACGAATTTGTCGACTTCCGCGAGACGGCTCCCGCGGCCGCCTATGAGGACATGTTCAAGGCCGACCCGAGCCAGAGTATTACGGGAGGATTGGCGAGGTGAGTTGATGCCATTGTCTCAGTCAATGGCTTGCAAGTAGTCCGCTCCAGTGACATATGCTAACTCGCGATAGTGGTGTCCCAGGCGAAGTACGTGGGCTTGAGTACGTCCACAACAAGTACGGCAAGTTGCCCTGGGCAGACGTGCTTGCGCCCGCCATCAACTTGGCTCGTTTCGGTTTCGAGGTCAACGCCGACATCGTTAGGTACATGGACAGCGTGAGCGGCAACAGCTTTCTCACAGACAACCCTACCTGGGCCCTTGATTTCGCTCCTCATGGTCAGCGCGTGAAGCTGGGCGAGACCATGACCCGTAAGCGCTATGCTGACACGCTCGAGACTATTGCGCAGGAGGGACCGGATGCATTCTACACTGGTGCCATAGCCAACACGACCATTACCGCCCTCCGAGCTGCCAACGGCACGATGACACTGGAGGATCTCGCAAACTACACTGTTGCTCTGCGCGAGCCCGTGTCGATTAACTACCGCGGTCGCAAGCTCACGAGCACCAACGCCCCATCCAGTGGTGTTGTTGCCTTGAGCGCCCTCAACACAGTGAGTGGCTATGATGGGTTTGACGACCCATCTCAGCTGAACCTCTCAACCCACCGTCTCGATGAAGCCATTCGGTTCGCATATGGCCAGCGCACCAAGTTAGGCGACCCTTCTTTCGTTGATGGCTTGGACGAGTACACACGGGATATGGTTTCCCCCGAGGCCGGTGAAGAGATCCGCTCAAAGATCTCTGATTTCCGCACCCAAAACGTGTCCTGGTACAACCCCGACGGACTTGAGTCCATCGAGACTCCTGGCACATCCCACGTCGTGGCTGCCGACGCCAGCGGCCTAGCCTTCTCGCTCACCACCACCGTTAACCTGCTCTTCGGCTCTAAGCTCATGGTTCCCGAGACGGGTATCATCATGAACAACGAGATGAACGACTTTAGTATCCCCGGCGTTGATAATGCGTTTGGTTACATCCCCAGCCCCGCCAACTACGTCCGTCCAGGCAAGCGCCCCCTCTCCTCCATCTCCCCCATCATTTCCGAGCACCCAGACGGACGTCTTCACTTGGCCGTCGGCGCTGCTGGCGGTAGTCGTATCACGACCTCCACCATTCAAAACGTCATTCACGTGCTCGATGAGGGCTTGACAATCAAGGACGCATTGGCTCGACCCCGTTTGCATGACCAGTTGTCGCCGGACCTGGTGTCGTTTGAGTATAGCTACAACAACGAAACCGTGTCTTTCTTGAAGTCTCTTGGCCACAACGTAACGTGGGTAGCTCCCGGCCAGAGCTCGGCACAGGGACTTGTGAGACTCAAGTGCGGAACATTCGAGGCCGCAGGAGAGCCCAGGCAGAAGAATTCCGGAGGTTCTGTTGCTTAATTTAGCGTGGCATCTCATGATGCTGTTCGTTCATATTGTACACTGTTAGCATATACACCATTAATCTGCATTGTCGTCTCACTCAGTAACGGCCGAATTGATAGAGTCAAATAATAAGCCGAACATAGAGATCTGGGAATAATTAGAAATTGCCTCTGTAGAGTAATCAACGAGAGCTGCGAGTTAGCCTAAAAACATATTGCATGAAGTGAAGACATCTATAGACTGTAGAGATAGCCGAGTACAATGTTTGCACAGGTCCTATCTGCCAAGGGCATGAGCGGTCAAGAGAATAATTGAAAAACGGGTGTGATTCCACGACCATCGGCATTTTGGTAATAATAATTATTCATCCGTCCTTGTGAGTAACTTCTCGTGTCGTGCTCAATATAACTTTTGAGCCAGGGCTCAGATCCAAGGCCCAATATCTCTCCGTCCAGGTATCTTCGAAACCATCTGATTGATGGTGATGATTCTTCATTTGCCGAGCAGATCAATCTTTGTGGTGATGCTGGGGTAAGCGGTGAGAGCTCTCTGTCAGTAGACAATAGCGTCCTCCCGAAATTGAGCATCAAATGCGGCTCAATTACATTCCATTTTCCCAAACCAATCATGGCTCACCCCTCACGCCTGATTCTGATTTGACGCGCTGCTCTAGCCTGACATGGTGGCATCATTTGGCTCTCCCTCACCAGCACCACGCACCCATAACACGTTGTTGCATCTACGCCGTGGTTGGTTAGCAGTTACGTTGGAAGACGAAGCGATTAGAGTGAGATACAATCAACATACCGAATCAATACTTGGCCCAGTGAGCCTGTGAGCTTGCTTGAGACGTACTCCTCCGTACCTGACAGCTGCAGGTTCATGTAGCTGTCCACCGCAACTAGGGTGCCTTTGTACTCGGTCTCGCCCCACTTCAGTCGAACAAGAATGGTCTTGTTGACGAGTTCTTGCAGCATGGGCCGCGGGTTGACGGGGACGAAGCTCATCTTGATCGCTTGGTTGTTGTGTGTGGATGAATTTGGCGACGATAGTGAGTGAGCCTCGATCTTGTGCTGCAAGAACTGCCTGCCTCCGTGGCGCGTGCGCCGAGATTTTAGCGTGGCTGAGGTAATGGGAAAAATAATGGCGGCAGTGGGGGGGGGCAATTTGAGTCACGTGATCTATCACATGAACGCGGACGAAGACCAGCATGAACGATATATCGTTCATGCTAGTGTGAATAGTGGGCAACCGCGGGTAATGGTGTCGGGGGAAAACACACAGTGATCGAAGGACTGCCAAAATGAGATGCAGTGTAAGGCAAGATTCGTTGAGGTCTGTTGTGCCAGCGTCTCAGCGAGTGCTTTGGGATGCATAGTGCTTGATGGTTGCACATCGCCGGACTCGTGCATGGAACCTATGGCGCGAAGCTTTGGTTGATTGGCCACGGTGACGATGACTTAGATCAGCAGGCGCACTGGCGAGCCAAACCGGGGTAGGGGTGCAACTACTAACAACTTAACACGGAACTTTATTACATGTAATTATGTGCAGCCAGCGGATTGTGGAGGACAGCTCCAGGCCCCCGGTCTATCTTTAGCTCTGGTCCAGAGGTTGGTAGCCGGGCGACTCCCACACGAGCACAGGCAAATATGCAAGCGCGCGTAATGAGCTTTGTCGGCCCAGATTTTATTGCCAGGTGAGGACTGTTAGATCGGAAATTGAGTTTTCCCTTTCATTTCCCAAATCCCCAGTTCCCTTATTGCGCATCCGCCAAGATCCCCAAGCCTCCCACCAGTGACCAGCTCGAGACGACATCGACGCACTCGCCACACTCAACTACCTACCACGGGCGGTGACCGAGTGCAGTATTCTTTTTGTCTGCCGGGCCGGGCGAAAATCACAAGAATTGCGGCTCACACCTGCTAACACCGCTTCCATCCCACCCAAACTACTGAGACCCGACAGCACAGCGGGTCTCGTACGTTCGTCGTTGGAGCAGCTTTGCTTGTGCGCGTGCTTTGCAGGTTGCACACCTGGAGCCCGAGCTGCGAACCTCCTCGAACGTGGTGCTCGCCAAACACCGACAGCCATTTGCAGCCAGGCCACAGCTGCGCCAGGCCCGCCTCAGATAGTCAGCGCTCATGATCGCTCGTGCCTGGCGGTCTGGGACCTTCACTCCGAACGCAGCGTGATCCGTCCTTTTCCATCTGCAATTTTTTTTTGGGGGACCCCAGCATCTCGCTCTCCCTCTGCCTGACCGCCTTCTACGTTGGGTGGGACGTTGTGGCCCGAGCGCCACGCGTAACCAACTTGTCTCTCGCGGTGCCACACGCTAGGCTAGGTACCTTGTAGTACCTGCGGGCTGGCCCATCGTGCGCCACCGCTTCCCGTAGAGCACGGGTACACTGTTTCTCAGGCTCAGGCAGCTCATCGGTCTCAGCTGGCTGGGTGTTGTGCCTGGATCAGAACTGGCCCGTCCTGACAGGCCCTGCGAGTCCCCGGCCCATCAGAAATTCTGCCGCTAAGCTGGAAAATCCGGATCGCCAATTATGGGGACCAGGCAATCGCCTTCACCCTACCACAACATTCCCCATCCTCCCTTTGGCCCAGCTCCAACTCCAACACCGACCTCGCATCACCACCCGTCGCATCCTCCGCACGCGACGTACGCCCACGGGAGCCACAGCCCTGTGTATGCGCCTCATACTCGGACCCCGTCGGATGCACCGCCCTATCTGCCTCCGGGAGCCACAAACCCACGATCGTATTCATCCGAACCGCAGGGGCCAGCGCATCATTCGCGTGCGCTGAGCTCCTCTTCCTTGCCCTCAGGCAGAGAACTCGGTCGCGCGATGCCACCCCCCAACTCTCCTCCTCAACAGGGGGTTTCGCATCACCAGCAGCACCCGATGGCACAACAACCGCCACCCCAAGCGCACGGTATGGGCGGTTTTGGTCCTGGACCACCACCGCCTCGGGCGCCGCTCGTCGCCCTCGGACCCCCGTCATCGTTTCCATCATCTCGAGAACTCCCTGCCCCAGGGCCGGCGTCGCGCGCAGGAAGTACGGGCAGCTCCATGTCGATATCGTCGCTCTTGGGCGGTCCGCCTCCAGCTCCTCGAGAGCCACCACCTGCAGGTCAACAACAACATTATGCTCCACACTCCGCTGGCCCCCCTGGCTCGGCCCCGAACTTTACACCATCGGTCCACGCTTCGCCGCGGATGCATTCCACCGAGTTTGTCCCTTTTCGACGACCGCAAACCCCCGACCACCACAGACCCTACGACCCGCGCGCGAATCCAGTGCAGTCACCTCGGGGTCCTGGCCCATACTCTACTACGCCTGAGGTTCAGCGATACGGTACGCCTCAAGCATATCACACCCGCCAGCCGTCAGCACCGGGCGATCCTTCGCGAGATCCCGGAAGAATGCCTCCCGCCGCCGCGCCTCCTCCTCGCCCGAGCAGCCAACCGAAAGCCTTTCCTGGCATGCGATCACGGCCGATGGACTCGAGAGAGCCTGGACCGGAGGAGCGATATGCTCGTCGAGACGAGTTAGGTAGGCCGGTGCCTGGACCAGAGTATAATCCTGAGCGGACAGGATTGCGACCTTATAGTTATGATGAGCGATATCGGCCGGATCGAGAGCGTCAGGGTGAAATGGAACAGCGCGAGCAACAGCAGCGCGAGCGTGCATTTTCAGGTGGTGACATTGGACGACAGCACATGCATCCACACGAACCCCCGCGAAATCAACCGCCTCAGCAACAGTATGGGCGACCGCCTCCCGACTCTAGAGAAGCCAGAGATCCCCATTGGGGCCGACAACCACCAGAGTCGAGTTACCGGGCGCCGATGGAACACCAGAGACAACACCCAGAATATCCACACTACCCGCAACAGCAGCAGCAAGGTCCGCCATATCAGGGGCCGCCTCATCCAGATCGATATCCTCCCACTTCGCACCCGGCCCCCCAACGACCACATTCGACAGCACCGATCCCCCCATACGACTCGCCTGAGCGATCGAGGGCGAGCATGCTGCCTCCACAACCACATCACGAGCAGCAACAGCATGCTCAGCGAGGCAAACCCGTAGATAATCAACCTCCCCCGGGCTCAGTGCCACCTGCTTCATATAACAACACTCCCGGCACATCTCACTTCGACGCTTCCCGACACCGCCCTAACGAGGACCCAGGTGCGATAGGACACCAGCGTAACTTGCTCAATGTGCTCCACGAAAACCGCAAAGGACGTATCTCTCCTCTCCCCCAGGCCGTCCAAGGCGCCCAGCCTCAGCAACCGGGACATGCCGCCGAACCAGGCATTAAGAGCGAATTCGGCCGAATGTTTTCCGGAATTGGCAGTGGTATTGGCGGCCTTGGTGTTTCCAGCACTATCGCGTCTTCTACGGTCCCATTTACGACTGCATCCTTGGCTAAGCGAGAGGATAACGTCGAGGCACCTGAACCGGCGGATGTGCCTAGCAAGGGAGCCAAGGGTAGGAGAAGGAAGCTGAAGGAAGAAGACAGCCGTGATGACGATAGTTCGGATCGTCTGACCCCGAGCAAGGCCAAGCGTGCTAAGGGTCACCCCCATCATCATCATCAGTGAGTCAACCCCCCCCCCCGGCAAATGGTCTATCTCCGTGTCTCGCTTAATATGTAACTCATTGCTGACGATTCCTTCCCAGCCATCATCACCACCACCACCATCGCTTGGGCGAGGAGCTGATTCCAGGTACCCCGCCGTTTAAAAATGTGAAGGGTGGTGCAAACTCAGCTCTGACCCCGGGCGACAAAATTCCAGCTCCAGCTCATCATCATCACCACCATCATGGACCACGACCAGCCCAGCCTGCTCAGAATATGCCAGCGAAACCGGCCGCGAATCCTGTTCCTGCTATCCCGCCTCGAATAAAGACGTCGATCTCATCACAAGCTGTTTTGGACGCGGTCGCGAAGTATCCCCGACACCACCTCGGAGACTTCATCTACGAAGCCGGTTTGAAAACGGGTCGCCTCGTACCGAAGACCCCCGCCCACAGAGGATTCTCATCCAATCCCAAACCACTTCCGCTGGAGATGATTAAAGGGAAGTTGAACTGCGTCTTGACGGTTAAGGTGCCGCGTATTCATCTTTCCCCGCTGGCCCGCGAGGAGATCACTTCCCGCGGCTATCTCTGGGGCACTGACGTCTATACTGATGACTCAGATGTGGTCGCGGCCTGCATCCATGGTGGGTGGATCAAGGGTGAATGGAGCGAGGAGGTGGATGTTCACATGCTGGACCTGGATTCGGTCGCTGAGAAGAAACGGAAGGGAAAGGAAGAAGTGGTCAACGATTCTACAGATCTCGACTCGGAGAATCTCATCTCGGCCCCGCCGGCGTCCGGCCCGATGCGCATTCCTGAGGATCGTGATTTGCATGTAAACGTGCTCATCCTGCCAAGACTGTCCAAGTACGCGGCCACGACCCGCCACGGAATCTCGAGCCGTGAGTTTGGAGGCGAGTTCGGTGCGCGACAGTCTGTCCACGATGGGTTAAGTTACAAGGTTCTCGGTCTACGCTGGGTCGAGAACGGAGCTCAGCCTCAAGCGAGGTTACGAGGCAGAGCGAGGCGGGAACGAATGCGAAAGGCAATGCAGGAGGTCAAGGGTACCTTCCCTAACACGAACGGGTTTGACAAGGAGCAAGAGAAGCGGCTGATGGGCGAAGTTTCAGGAAACTGGTGGAAGAACAGTAACAATGGGGAAGAGAGGCACGTTGAGGAGGACATAAAAGACCGAAGGGTCAGCGACGGCGACGGCGACAAGGAGAACCTTGCCGAAGACAACAACGAGTCTTCAGAGAAGCCAAAGGACCCCAGCGAGGGCAAGGACATTGAGATGGCAAACACGGCCGAGGAAGCCAAGGAGGCTACTTCTGCTACTGCTGTCACGGAGGCAGAGAGGTGAACAACCATTCCCCGGGTATTTAGATGGGGCAGGATTTTTCGCCACTGGGAACGTGTTATTGGCGTTGAGGCAGGGAAATCACAAAACCGGGATTTGGTAATGATCTTTCTGCGTTATACAAGCGAGAAGGCGATCTGATGGCTACGCATTTGCTCGCGATATTTGTAATACTGGATAAATACCCCTTTGATTAATGTTACATTTATTGTACACTCTATATCCTCTTAGTCGTGTAAACGTGATATGAAAAGCTCTAGGTTGGGGAACAGAGCTCTAGTTGGAAGTCATTTGCCTGGTCTGAAGATGACTTGATCTCGGCTACACAGTGATCGTTGTGTTGGCGCAATTGTTCTTTTTAGAAGTCCGTGACTCGTCCATTGTAGCTCCAGTCGCTCTTGTCCCCCCACCTGAGAGGCTCATTCTTGGGACCTCCGACCTCGCCAGTCTTGGGGTTCTTGTCACCGTCGAACTCGGGTTTAGCACCACGCCAGAGACCCCCCTCGCCCAGTTCCTCGGCGGCGGGGTCGACTGCCTTCGCAGCGGCGGCGCTCTTGTCTGCTTCTAGGGCCTCGGGCTGGAAGGCGGGCGACACCGCAGCCTGGCGCTGGAGGCGCTCGAACTCGGCTTGTTCGTTGGCCGGCAGCTTCGGTGGGCCGGGCTGGGAGGAGAAGGGCGAGGAGGAGTAGCTGCGCGTGCTGAGCACTCTGGAGAGGGAGCACGGGGCGCCGCGGGCGAGGAGTATCCTTGACATTATGCAACTGCTGACAGGGTCGGCTGCAGATCTGGATCCTTGAGTCTGGGTTGTCGAAAGGGATTGGTGGCGGATATCAATCGCCTCTCAGTGCTCAGATTAGCACATAAAGATCCGCTGACTAAAGGGCGTCATCGGATAAACTATAGCCCTGCTCTAGGGTAGCTAGCGGGCAATTGCACGGACGTAGCACAAGCAGATTCGCTGCGGCTTGATGATGGCCCTGCCGTCTCAAACCAGAGGTTTCAGAGCCTGTATAATGGGCCCCCATTTGCGCATGCTTTTTTACATTGCGGCATGGCTTGAGTCAAGATCGGCTATAAGTTGCCTTTTCTTCATACACAGGGCGGGATGCCGAGCTCAAGGCAGCCTTCGGGCAATCGAGTAAGAAGACCGCGGTCCTTCTAGCGTCTCGGGTGGCCAGGCACTGCCGCTTCACGATCACGAATAGTTCAGCGCCGCACAGCGCCAATACGTAATCGGTTGCGCCGTATGGAGGATACTCAGACGAAGATGCGTGGATGTGGTCTCTCGCTTCTGAAAGTTGCCAGGCGTTAAGCTAATCAACTGCCCACGTGCCTGGTCTCTGCTTCGACACCATAGAACCCGAGCGGCTTCATCCTGTCAGCATCCATCTGCCCATTCTGCCCGTGTTGGTTCGTGCTTGGCGGTTGCAGTCGTCAGCCAAGGCTGAAGAGGACATTAGGAACCAGAAGCCGTCACGGGCAGACGAGCTGGCTTCTTACTGGGCAAGCGAGCCACCAGTGCGGTGGCATCGGATGTGTGGTACAGCGGGAGGACAGCCAGAGGAAGGAGGAATGAGCCTTGAGCGTAAGATCAACATTGCGATTGGCTGGGGATTTTGCTCCAAGCAGCAGGTTAGGACGCCGCTGCCGTCGTCTGTGCTAGTAGAGATTGACGGGACGGGGGTCTGGCCGTGGATCGCTCGAGCCCGTGCTCACGTCCGGCAACGCCATTGGCCCCTCATCACGGCCGACGCATCAGCCAAACCCCGATTAATGGAGAATCCCCCAACGTTCCGCCGTCGACATGTGCAGACTTACATACACGAGTGTTCCGTCTCAGCCTCTCTGCTGGTTGGATGGCTCACGGTAGTATCCTGACGGATGTGGTGCTCATGCCAAAAATATCTCACTGTCTCAGAGTTTATGCCGATGGGATGGCCTCAACCTGGGGCTGACGGCCGAAGATAGCTGCTTCGCCTGCATCCAGCCATTGTAGAGCTGTGTTCAAGGCACCAGGCCGATCCTCGAGTGGACCACTAGGGCGTTTTGTCGGGTAGACCCTGCTGCTCCCAAGCTTGAAGGACTCGGATGTGGTGGAGCGACTATCGATCACGCCCTGCCTAGATCGTGGGACGTTGGGGTGGTCTCCTTTGCGCACCACCCTTGCCGCTTCGGCTTTTCAACTTCACATCGGGCTGACAGCCCTTTCTTTAAGGTAGTTGGCTCCCGGTTAGCTGATCTCTCACATCCCACTTCCACTATCGTGACGCTGCTACCAATTCGTCTGTCTGATATTGACCTCATGATGGACAAGGACCAGCCCTGACACTGGACCCGACTCATTGTCACCGCTCGCGCGCGCCGCATAACGAAACTCCCTGCAAGAGATACCTTGCTCTGGAACTCTATCTAGCTGGCTCTTGTCGACGGAGGAATGGGTCCGTCGAGGCTGCTACAATATGCCGACTCTCCACCAATACGATTACATTTTCGCTGTATCAACTATCTTCGCCTTCCTTGATGCCTGGAATATTGGTAAGAAGCTACTGCTGCTGAGCTGCAGGCAAGGAAACCTGACAGACCCGCAGGTGCCAACGATGTCGCCAACTCTTTTGCGACGTCGGTCTCCTCCAGATCCCTCACCTTGAAGCAGGCGATGGCAATTGCCTCGGTTTGCGAATTCAGCGGCAGCGTTGCGGTGGGGGACAGAGTAGCCTACACCATCCGGACGCAGATCATAGACCCTCACCTCTTCGACGACGCCCCGGCGGTTCTTCTCCTAGCTATGATGTGTTCGATTATCGCATCATCTCTCTTCCTCACGTTTGCGACAAGGCATGGGATGCCTATATCTACGACACATTCCATCGTCGGAGGGATTGTGGGTGCGGCCACGGCCTCGGTGGGCATCGATAAGATTCATTGGGGATGGAGGGGTGTCCCCCAGGTCTTTGCTGCCTGGGTAATTTCACCGGGTATAGCTGGATTGTTCGGAGCCTTTATGTTCTTCATGACAAAGAAGTTCGTTCTTACCACCCCAAAGGCTGTCATTAGGGCGTTTTACTCAATCCCTGCCTTCACATTCCTCACCGTCGGGTGTATCGTCAGTACGTATTCACCTCACCGTTACAATTGCTCGCTTGAGTAAGGGCTAACCAGTCGAAAGTGTTGATCGTTTGGAAGGGATCTGAGAGGGACGTAGAAACACCGACAAACATCATCCTTATTTCTATCTTCTGTGCTGCCGGAGGCGTGGCCGCATTACAAGCATGCTTTATACTACCCTACTTATGGGTGCGAATCTTCCGGGAGGATTGGACCTTGAGATGGTATCACGCCTTTCTGGGGCCGATGATCTTCAATCGCCCGCCACCGCCACCCACGCCTTTTGGTTACGTCAAACCCAAAATCAAAGACTACTATCGTGGCTACCTCACCGCCGAGGAGCTGGCGTCGCTGCGGGCCTCGCAGTCTCTCTTACAGTCTGTACAAACACCAAATGGAGAACAACCGGCCGATTTGACCAAGGACGACGGACTAGCCGAGCTGGCCCTCCCCCCGCCTGCTATTCCGGAAGACCGACCGCCTACTCCCCCGGTTGAGGTCTGCCAAAACGATACCGATAATTTCATCCCTCCGCGACCAGCTGGCCCATGGAATAGCTGGGCAGTTTTGGGATGGAGAGTTAATAGACTTTTACTTCGAGGAATCGAACAAGACGTCATTAGCATGCAGAAGCGCAACCTTGTCCTGAAGTGGGATCTGGAAGACATGCACGCCCGAGCTACTCACTATGATAATCGGGTCGAGTTCATGTACTCGGCACTCCAGATCCTGACAGCAGCTGCGGCCTCATTTACACATGGAGCCAATGATGTCGCCAACGCCATCGCGCCGTTCGCAACGGCTTATGATATTTGGCGGTCTAGCAAGGTCGATGACATGGTCAATGTGCCAATCTGGATCCTCTGCATGGGTGGCGGCGCTATCGTGCTCGGCCTGTTGACATATGGCTATCATGTCATGCGAACCCTAGGTAACCGCTTGACCCTTATTTCGCCGAGCCGCGGATTCTGCATGGAGCTGTCCAGCGCCATCACGGTCCTCATGGCGACAAGACTGTCACTACCCGTCTCGACGACCCAGTGCATCACCGGCGCTACAGTAGGCGTCGGCCTGGCGAATGGAGACTGGAAGTGTATCAATCCCAAGCTTGTAGCTTGGATCTATTTCGGCTGGATCATCACGGTCCCCGTGACGGCCCTAATATCAGGCTGTCTCATGGGCTTGATCATAAACGCACCTCGGTGGTGATCTGCATGCGCCAAACCAAATTTTCTTTTAGCTTACTACACCTTATTTACTACGATACCCCATGTTGTTACGAAACTGTATGATCTGGAGTTGGGCTGGGAGGAATGCATTCTTTTTGGGGATGCCGATATTTTCTTATGTTATTACCAACCACGGAAGGATACAAATACCTAAGAGGACCCTGCCTTCGGTTTGGAACAAGATATTCAACAAGGCTAGACATGTTGGGTTTGTTTAGGGACTTGCCTGTAGCTAAGGGTTTTTGGCTCCCACTCGGCGTTTTAGACTCCAAAATCTCTGTTGTATATAATATCTGGAGAACCCAGGCTTTGATTGTTTAGAATATAAAGTCTTTCATCCCTTGACCGGCCCGCCGAGCTCAAGTGACGACATCGACTCGAGTATATGAAATGACCTTACGCGGAACAGGACCGAATACGTTGACGAACTCTATCACGACATTCCATTGCTCGCCGTGACTACAACGGGTACCAGCACGAGCAGAGAGGCTATTATTGGGACGTTTAGGTGCGTGATCTGTGGAAGGCGAAGCACCGTGATGCGGATCCTATGAGGCCCACACGATGTTCGCCAGGGCTGATGTCTGGTGGGAAAACGCTCCAATGGAGAGGGCAAAACTTGGAATTACCCGCGTGAGGTGATGCTTGGAGATTGGGCTCGGAAATGATCGTCATGGTGGTTTAAATAAAGACGATCCGCAAACAAAGTTGAGCTCTAACACACTACCCTGAGAGCCCGGAACGCATTCAGGCTGAAGACCGAAATATCATATTAGCCTTGGAGGCGCTTCTTGGATCAAGCTTTGCTGATCTTCCCCTTCCTGGAGACAGCTACCGATGTGTCAGGTAAGATGACGACGATCGTGACCGGCTTGTACCTGAATATTCATCTGAAACACAAGAAACTGGACCACGATGCATTTAGCCTACAGTGAAATCCGGGGCTATGCGACACGGTAATAGGAACCTCGGCCCGTCACCACGTATCCGAACCTTCATTCAGGCAGCCTGAGGCCGATCAAGGGAGATCCTCCTCCACGATTCTTTAGGATATGTGAAACGGGGAATCAAGATGTATAAAGAGTCCAGGATTGACCTCTGCACAATCCCAATTGATTCTACCTTCGATAGTTCACCACACATTGGATGATCAACATGTATTCACCACGAACATTTCTCAGTCTCCTGACGGTGGCATCGGCCGCTTCAGGTCAACTTCACGACCTCGCTGTCAAGGCTGGGCTCGAGTTCTTCGGCACCGCTCTTGGAGAGAGCCACACCAATGATTCAGCATATATATCCCTTGGCACCGACAGCAGTGAATTCGGACAATTGACACCTGAAAACGGACAGAAATGGGACAGCACCGAGCCTAGTCGGGGGCAGTTCAGCTACACTTCCGGTGATATCGTTCCTGGGATTGCTGCGGCCAATAGCCAGATTCTTCGTTGCCATACTCTAACCTGGCACAGCCAGCTACCCAACTGGGGTATGTGAAGCCTTTGCCAGAAATCTACCACCAAGTGATCAAGGAGCTGACACAGCATATCAAGTCTCAAGCGGCGGGTTCTCATACAGCGACCTACAAAGCATCATCGAAACCCACATTGCCAACGTGGTCGGGCACTACGCCGGCGCCTGCCACCACTGGGACGTCGTCAACGAGGCGGCCGACGATAGCGGCAACTGGCGAAGCAGCGTCTTCTACGATACCATGGGGACCGACTTCCTCGCCATCTCCTTCAACGCCGCCAAAGCCGCGGACCCCTCCGCCAAACTGTACGCCGGTCTCTCCCTCAATGATCCCTACTTGGTAAACCTTTTGTGCTGACTTCTCTTCACCAGATATCTGAACGACTATAACCTCGAGTACAACGGCGCCAAGACAGACCGCGTCTTCGAAGCCGCCCAGATCATCCAGAACGCCGGCGCCCCCATCGACGGCGTCGGCTTCCAGGGCCACCTCATCGTCGGGTCCACCCCCTCCCGGTCCTCCCTCGCCACGGCGCTGCGCCGCTTCACGGCCCTCGGCCTCGAGGTCGCCTACACCGAGCTGGACATCCGCCACTCGTCCCTCCCGCCCTCCGACAGCGCGCTCGTGACGCAGGGCAACGACTTCGCCAACGTGGTGGGCTCGTGCCTCGACGTGGACGGCTGCGTCGGCGTCACCGTCTGGGGCGTCACGGACAAGTACAGCTGGATCCCGGATACGTTCCCCGGCCAGGGCGCCGCGCTGCTGTATGATGATAACCTGGCTAAGAAGCCGGCGTGGACGAGTGTGTCCAGCGTCTTGGCTGCTGCGACGGCTGCGCCGTAAAGGATGGGATAGTCGGATGCGTCTGTGATACGGTTTCAATTGTGGTGTAACAGCTGGCCTATTGCGTATACTTTGAGGCGTAGCCATTTATATGGCATATGTATATAAGTCTCTTCACTTCAAGATTTGGAAAGATACCAGCCACAGCGAGTTACTTCTAATGCGTGATGGTTGTCATTGTCTAAATTAACAATGCATGCACCCCGTATAGTACGATGACCTTGAGACCCGGCCTAGCTAACGCTAGAAAAGAATATATGTTTTTGTATTTCCCTTGTTCATCCCTCGTGGCATAACTATTTTACTTTATTCACTCTATTTTCCGCTTCCGGAGGGCACCTGGAACAGGATTGCCTTGCCGTTGGGGCCCTGTCCCGCGGCCTTGTCCACGCGGAAGTAGCCCTTGCGCTCGAGCTGGAGGAAATCGCCCTCCTTGAGCTCACCGACTCCAGGGTCGCAGATCGCCTCGACAACGGTAGCGGTGTTAGGGTTAAGGCAGGCCTCAAAGTCGTCGTCCTTGTCCAGGGTGTCCTTGGTGATGAGATAGTCAAAGTCCCAGAGCTCAGCCTCTACGAGCTTGCCCTCGTTCTCGGAAAGCCAGGTCATCTTCTGCTTGGTAGTCTTGAAATCACCCTCGAGATGCAACTGGAGCTGGAGCTCCTTGATCGGGGTAGTGCTCTTGTCAAGTCCCTTGACGATGGCATTACCCCATGCCATGAGAGTGAACTCCTCGCCAAGCTCTAGGGCTGCGACATCGGCCTGGTCCATCCAGACCTTGTTGGCGAACCTCACCTGCTTGTTACCGACGGCGGGGTTCTTGGGGTGCTTAGGTCGCTCCTCGTAGTAAGGAGTCTCTGGGCCACCCTCAATAGTTGCCAGAACGGCATCCTTCTTATCCACGGCATTGAAGCGTGGTACAATGGGGTCGAGCATCTTCTTGTTGAGAGTCCAGATCGTGGTCCAGTCCATTGTGACGATGTTACGGCTGGGGCCTTGCTTAAGCATAAACTCGCGGAGGGCGGGAACAGTCAAACCTCGTCGGATGATACCACGGACAGTAGGCATACGAGGGTCATCCCACCCAGAAACCTTGCCGCTATCGACAACCTTGGTCAGCTTACGCTTGGAAAGGAAGGTCTTGATGAAGTTGATACGGGCAAACTCCCACAGGTTCACTCGTCGGATATCCAGAGCGTTGAGGAACCAGTGATACTGCTCGTTTCGGTCAGCGTACTCGGTAGTACGCAGGGCATGGGTCACGCCCTCAAGACTGTCTACGACGGGGCAGGCGAAGTCGTATGTGGGGTAGATGTTCCATGTCCACCCAGTGCGGTGGTGTGGTGCAGGCTCCTTGTCCTGGAAGTTAGGGAATCGGTAAATGACAGGGTCTCGCAAAGAGCCGTTGCTGGAGTCGAAAGCGATGCGAGCTCGGATGCAATGTTTCCTTCCAAGCTCGGTTCCCTCCTTCATCTCCTTAAAGATGGCCAGGGACTCCTCCGCGGGGCGGTCTCGGCGGGCGCTAGGAAGGCGGTTCATGCGGTCCTTCTTCTGGATCTCGGGGTCAGTGTCGTCGGCGTAGGCGTTTCCGGCACGGATCATCTTCTCGGCGGTGTCGTAGAGTTCCTGGAAATAGTCACTGGTATGGGTGATGCGGTCGATCTTGATGCCGAGAAGCTTCACATCCTCTACAATTGAATCCTCGTATTCCTGCTTTTCTTTGGATGGATTTGTGTCGTCGAATCGAACGATCAGCTTTCCCTTGAAAGCCTCGTTTGCGAAATAATCGTTGAGGAGGGCAGCCTTGGCATGGCCAATGTGAAGGTAACCTCTGTGGCACATTGTTAGCCAGCTGTGAGCGAGAGCCATGGATTCTTGGGAAACTTACGAGGGCTCAGGAGGGAATCTGGTGACAACACCGCCCTCGGTGTTGGTCAGTCCAATGTTGTAGTTGGCACCGGTGTTCTTCTTGGGGCCACCGACAGCGGCCTCCTTCACCTCGGGGTGGGCAGCCTCGATGTAGTTAAACCAACGGGTGACACTGGCGAAAGTTCCCTTCCGTGCAAGGCCCATGGCCACCTTGCTCTTGCGAATTGCTGACCAGACATCCTTATCGACGGCCGACAGTTCGTATCCGTTCAGGTAGGTTCGCAGGGTCAGGTGCTTCTCGAGCTGGAGGAGGAGGGGCTCCAGGGACTTGAAGTCCGCGGCAGCAAAGGCCTCAGCAAGCTTGTCGAGCTCAACACCGCTCATGACTTCTCTAGATGGAAATTTTGGTGGGTTGATTTTTTGGTGATGCAGTGTTTTCGAGCCAAGGAGTGGCGTGAATGACTGATTGATGATTTTGGAGGGGTTGTTTTGACCCACAGCATAGGAAAACCTGTACCCCGCAGTACATCCAAGAGGTACCTCTAGAACCCACCAGGCATTTCTCCGGTTTCCGCATCACTCTTTTCTACACCAACTAAACTTGACATACCCTATGCCCATCCTTGAACAACTGCCCTTTCAGCAAGCTATTTGGTCGCAATGGGTTGATAATTACCTGAACAGGATAAGAAGATTCAAGGGCACGTTGATAAATATGGGGCTACCTCTTGAAACATTTGATTCTTCTTGGATGACCTATGTTCGGTTGCTTCACAACGTTGGGTTGGCTCTTCAACATCTCGCGCTGCTAACCTGGGTTTGATCAGACATTACTGCATGAGCGATTGGCCCCTTCTGGCATTGGATTGAATAAGATATTTTTCAATCTCGCTGAAGTTTGGTCTTAGCATTGTTTGGAGATCTTTTTTTGGGTCTGTGTAACGTCTACTGTGTCTTTACAATATGGGTAGATGCTCATGAGCTCTGTTTCAATCTGGTTATATGAGCAGGAATGCTTGGTTCATTCGCCTAAGAAAAACCGAAAGAGTGTATGAAGTCGAGACTCGTATGGAGATACGATGAGAGGAATCCATCGATAGTCCGGCTGGCAAAGCAACGGGAGCACATGCTGCGGGCATATCTCAATCTGGGATGGAGACACAGAAGTTTCTGATCACAGGCGGATGTCCGCATTGGTTATTGCACAGCTGTTACGGCAGTATGTAGGCTTGATCCCATCAGAGATCCCGATCACGCCGATTCCGGCATTCTGAAAAAGGGGGTAGAGGGTTTCACGTACTGAGAAAGACAAAGGCCACCGTCTAATCACCGCAGCTTGGTAACTTTCACGGATTTCGACCCGAAATGCATTATTGTTGCACCGTCTATGCCGTTTTGTTTCTTATTGTTGACGAAAATTTTCATTGGTGAGGGGAGGCCCATTATGAAGTCTCTGAATCATGGACAATGGGGTGAGCTCGCAGTGAATAGACATCTGGCCGAAACAACCCTGTGACTATTGAAGCGAACATCAAGTCAATGTCAGATGCTAGATCAGCGTCTTCGAATCGCCCAGAATGCAGCATATAATTCGGCTGTCGCCCTTGGATCTGTCTTCATCCAACATTGCACAACCAGACCTTCCAGACACATCTCACTCAAAGACTTCCGACACAAATCCCAACCAGCCTCATCAAGACTTCAATCCTCACTTGCCAACCATGGGCCTTACGTGGGATCAATCTCCTCCATCGGAGACGTACGCGGAAGAAGCTCTCCGCCCAAAGCCTCAGCTCGAGTATTGGCCGCTACCCAATGTCGAGCACTATCCGGGCGTAGCCCGAGTGAGCATCGGGGTCCTGCATCGAAATTTTAACAAGTCTATCAAGTTTGAAGGCCATCCAGCAGACATTATCTACGGCTCTACTGAGATTATGGGAATCAAGAAGAAGAATCACTGGGTTTTCGACATCCATGATCTTCGATTCCGTGAGGAAGCCTCAGGTGCCGTCTGGCTCCTGGGTGCTGAGCTTTTCGTTGATGGTGTGAGTGTCCACACGCTTGAATTTCCTGGAATCGCGGTTGAACCAAGTCCAAGTCGCCTTTCTACCCCCGAGATCTTTAATCTAGAGCTGGACGAGTCGCCAAATCCCGAAGACAAGAAGAAGCCCACAGGGGCCAACAACAAATCTCGACGCTTTAGCATCGATGATTATTGCACAGGTATCTAAGGGGGGCCACGCTCGACAACCCCCATGCTTATTGCAATGACCGACAACGAATGGCCTTACTTTTGCATGGCCTATGTTTTTTTTTCTAATCTCGTCTTTTGCTGTTTAAAAAAAAAGTTGTGCGAAAACTCAGAGCCAAGAGAACATGAATAACAACGAGTCTTAGGTTTCTGATACAATGGTTGTGCGGAAAGGGTTGTGACCAAGATCGGCCCGGGAATTGGCCATTTAATATATTATGGTGGCACATGATTATAGTAGGAGCTCAAAGAATCCAATCCCTATCGATTTCCCGAACTTGAAAACTGATTTTGATCCTAATAGTAAGTCGTGATGAGACTGCAGCCGATGATGACAGTAAAAAAAAAGGTAAGCCCATCCTGAACCGAATGTTTCTGGGCATTCTGGACTGGTTTCCCGGCCCCTCTTAACGCTTACATGGGTCGGTCAGTAAGCATACCATCGTGCACTGCAAATGCACGTTACACGACGCAATGCAAATGTCTGGAGCTGCTGCCTGCCTGAGCGACCTTCTCGACCCCGCATTGCCGGTGATCAAGAAAAGTTCTCCAGAAAGCCATCCCGTCGTTTGTGAATCATGGCGACCCCAAATCCCGTCCGACTCCCGCACATCCACCTGCTGTCCATGTACAGGAGGTTTGGGGATACCTTTGAGGCCGCGGCGGCGGAGAACCCCTTGCCCGACGCCGTGAACTACAGCATCCACTACTACTCGTTCGAGAAGCTCCCCGCGTCGGTCAAGTTCGACGCCGTCGTCTCCCCCGCCAACTCGTACGGGAGGCTCGACGGGGCCTTTGACGACGCCATCTCGTGTGCGTTCGCACCCGGGGACGACTACCACGCCCTGACCAGGGCGACGCAGGAGGTGCTCTACCGACGCTGGCGAGGTTTCGCTCCGCCAGGGACTTGCACGGTCGTACGCATCCCTGACGAGTTCCACTCCAGGTCCAATAACCAGTGGGATACCAAGTATGTGGCCCTGTGCCCTACCATGAGGGTCCCGATGGACGTGCGGTGGGATCGAGAGGTCGTGTACGAGTGCATCTGGAGCCTTTTATGTGCGGTGGACAATCACAACCGCGACGTTCGTGAAGGCAGAGCTGCTGCGGGAGAGACGGAGATTACGAGCCTGCTCATGACGCCGCTCGCAACAGGCTGTGGACTCGTCACCTACGAGAGATGGGCGGCCCAGTTGGTGCTGGCGCTCAAGCATTATGTGGAAGCATGCGAGAATCCGTCGGAATGGAGCTCTCTGGGGTGGGGGACAATCCTCTCTCGAGGGGCAGAAATTGATAAGACAGTAGATTCGGGGACTGTGTCCAGTTAGCTTGACACTAACAGCTAGCCTCACCGACTCTCTGATAGGCAGATCCAATTTCAATCCATGGATGTTATCCAAGAGGATATCGTGCCAAGAGAAGGTGACTGCGATGGAGGAGGAGCCTCTGGGGTCACAACTGGGCGATTTCCAGGGGTTCAATGGGCGGTTACAGTGGGCTCACAGCCTTACAGGCTCATAATTTAAAGTGAATTGACCTTTGGCCGCCCAAATGTGATCCCCAGTCACCATGCCTAGACGGCAGACTTTTTTGGTTGAAACAAGCAGCAATCCAATATAACCTTTGCCAATGCTTTTTAGAGTTAATTTCATTTAGGTTCACGATCTGAACGGCCATGCCCCTAAGAGGCCTCACAGGCTACCGTAGACTGCCGCTATTTCCTCGCTGACGCAACGGCTAAGCAAACCGACGGCTAACTACATAAGATTACCTCCTGCTTATTTCAACAAGGGCTGCGTCGCCATCTACACACGTGCTTCGATCGCCTCTATTCGCTGCTGCAGAGGGAGCTTCACACAACCAAGTGGCTCGGATATTCGGGATAATGGGAATTAGACGGTATTGCCGTCGCGGCATCGATATACTAAAGCAATATTGTCTCCTTCTGGGTTCCTTCCGACGTCGCTCCTGGTGCCCTTCTATCAATCAGTTGGTCTTACGACACATTACTGGGTTGAGGTCAGCAACAAGCAGCCGACGCGGATGTTACATTGATGAACAAGGTTGATCATACCCCCCACGTGCCCTATGGCCTACGTCTATTGTAATTAACTCATGGGCTGCATTGCGATGGATGGAAGAGAGATCGATAGGTCTTCTAGAAAAACACGTGCCTGGAGTATTGGGTCATCATTGGTTTGCCCTGTCTAGGATCACCTCGCCCTGCCGGGATATAGTGGCGGGGCGCTGGGGCGAACCCGCTGAAGGCCCTGAAGCTTGGCGGCTTGTCTCCAGTTCAATTCTCCAAATCCCCACCAGCTTCACTTGGATCCTGCTCCACCAACACTACGACTGCACACCAGCTGGGAGCCTACCACCCGTCTCGGATGCACCGTCGCAGCAACCCAGACAAGACTTCCCCGATTTAGCAATCGATAGATTGACCTGCGGGAGGATGATATGATGGAGGTCGCCCATACCAAGCATGGGCCATGCTCAATCAGGCAGCTCGATAAGTAGACAATTGCGTCTACTCTTCGCCTGTCTCATTATTTAACTGCTCAGCTGCCCTCTTCTGGACAGCTGTGTTCGAATCAAGCAGTCGCTGCTCACACGTTCTTTTGTTTCCAAATCCTTCTCGCCACTTCAAGTCCAAAGATGATTTCCGCCACCACTCTTCTGCGCCTGTTGGCAGTCGCTCCCGCTTCTGCCCTCGCCGGTCTGGTCGTCCGAAATGACACCGATTTCGACTACAGCGCAGTCTCACTACGAGAGGTTGGAGCTCGAAACACCCTTGTAAGTTGATAAATCGTAGATCTGTTTCATTCCCAAGCTCTTAGGACAAGGTGGAAATGGCGATAGGCCAAGAGCCATCTATACCAAGTAGAACCCTTCAATTGATTGACCAAACCTGCATATAGGATTGGCGTGTTTGGCTCGAGAAGGATGGCAACCCAATCTCTTTCTGGCACGATATTCCTCTCTACCCCAACTCCGAGGACAAGTCAATTATCAACTTCTATACCGAGATTCCCCGATGGACTGATGGCAAGATTGAGACTAAGCGTGATGAGCCTCTGAGTATGGTTGTCTAACGCCTTCTTGTAAGAGAGAACATCCAGCTGACTGAAAGAAAAGACCCAATCTTCCATGACGATAAGAAGAAGCAGCCTCGATTTGTCTACTCTGTCTGGCCTCACAAGACATACCCCTTCAACTATGGCTCCATTCCCCAAACGTGGGAGAGCCCCAACCACAAGCACAGCCTGACTGGCTATGTTGGTGACAATGATCCTATTGATATTTTCGAGATCAGCAGCCTCCCGTAAGAATTCGTCGCCACTTTTCAAACGCCATATGGCCCAGGAAGCTAACTAAGGGATGCCTTTGCGATAGACCTGCTGCTGTTGGAGAAATCAGACAGGTCAAGGTCCTTGGTGGACTGCCCATGATTGACGTGAGTACCGTGCGGTTTTATCTTTTATGATCGGATAGTTAATAACGTGATGTACAGGAGGAAACCACCGACTGGAAGGTCATCGCCATTGACGTTAATGACCCTCTTGCCAAGCACGTGAACAGTAAGTGTTTTCCCTCTTTGACCGCAAGGAGTAGGCAAAACTGACCTTGCTTGTAGCTGTCAACGACCTTGACAAGTACCGCCCTGGCCTGCGCCAGCAGTTCCACGAGTGGTTCATCGTAAGCTTCTCTACCAGCTCCTGATGTGACCAATGCTAACTGATACCCTCACGGGTATAAAGTACTACAAGGTTATCAAGGGCGATGGAATCAACACCATCGTGGGTGGTGAATACAAGGATGCTGCTATCATGCAAGACGTCATCGCTGAGAGTCACGGCTTCTGGCAGGATCTCGTCAAGGGCAAGGGTGAACACGAGAAGAACAAGATCGCCATCAACCAGACCTCCAACGCCCGCTACTGCAAGTCCTACATCAAGAGCAGCGAGGCCACCGAGGCTTTCAATATCCCTGCCAAGTCCAACATCCTCCCCGCCGCTGCGCGACCATCGGAGTATGACAACTGGTACTACCTGGACTCAGACTACAACCAAATTATTGTTTAGGGGAGCCTTCTCACGGGGATAATAAGAGTTGAAACCTATTGATGTCATGTCGGCACGCTCATAATGTGATATAGACCTTGCCTTTCTCCACAACTTGTTCTCGTTTATATTGAGACGCTGCGCATTGCCAAGAATAAATCATTCAAATGTCTATCAGAGAGTATGTGAACCAGCCAGCCAGGACTATAGCCGCTCCCAATTGAAGAAAATGAGTTTCTCACTTTTGCGAGTGACTCATAATGCATCACCAAGCCGCATGACAATGGAAGTGCATTCAACACAGAATAAGCCTTGTTGGCTGAGCACTTGCTTGCTAGGTTGGAGGAGAAGTTGTGGAGAGTGGGGCTTTAGCTTCAATCAAGGTTGAAATTCTGGGTGAGGCTTTGCGGCAAAGAGTCATACCGCCCGTAGCGCATTCTTGCAACACACAATCGTGCAGCATCTACCAGATGGACAGGGATAGATAAATACCGACCAAATGCTTGCGATCGTCTATATTGATCGTGCCAGCCCGTCGTGAAACCCGTATTTGGATGAACTAGCAGGACTAAAGACTGCATCATCTCGAATAGGGCTTCGTGCTCTGAAGACCATCGCCTCGAGTTTCAGCACTGATACCACTATGTCCAAACCAAAGGATAAAAAGGCTTCTTTTGCAACGCCTCTACCCCAGTCGACTCGCTCAGACGTCCTCGAGTGGCGGTTCCCCAAGCCGTTCAACCAGTACGTCCTCACAGGCCGCTCCCGCGCAGCCTGGCACACCTCCTTCGTCATCCCCCAGCTCAACCTTCTGCTCGACGCCGGCCTGGTCGTCAACCGCCATCGGCCCAAGCATGTCTTCCTCACACACGGCCACAGCGACCACACGCTGCTGTCGCCGGCCTTTGTGAAGCGGGAAGATCCACCGGACGTCTTTTGCCCGGCGGGCATGAAGAGGGTCTTTAATGACTTCATCCTCTCCAACACGATGCTCAATTTGGGAGGTCTTATCCAGACGGAGGATGCAGAGGAGTACGGGATGGAGATGAACGGGCACGCCTCGAATGTGTGTGAGCCCGACGACAGGGAGCGGACGCCGGGTGAGGCTGCCTACCTGAATACGCACCACACCCATGGAGTCCGGCACGGGGATGTCGTGCCGCTCCGGCGTCTCAAGGGAATCACCGCCACTGTGTTCGACTGCGATCACAGCGTCCCCTGCGTTGGGTATGTCTTCAATACCACGACGAACCGTCTCAAACCCGAATACGCATCCGTCGAGGGATCAGAACTCAAGAAACTGAGATTATCGGGAGTGGAGATCACCGAACCGTACACCACCCCGATGTTTGCATTCCTAGGCGACACAACGGCAGAGACTCTCGCCTCGGAGCCGGGGTGGCTGCGCGGCGGCATACCCGTGGTGATAACGGAATGCAGCTTCCTCCTCGAGGAGCACAGGGAGCAGGCCATCAAGACGAAGCACACCTACTGGCCCGACCTGGAGAAGGTTATCCGGAGATGGCCCAAGACGACGTTTGTGTTGACGCACTTTAGCCTGCGCTATAGTGAGAAGTCTATCACGGCCTTCTTCGCCGATCTACCTGACTGTCCAGAGAACATCGTGGTTTGGGCGGATGAGGAAGCTTGAGAGGTTGTGTTTTCTTGCAGGAATCGGCGTACAGGCCGGGAAAAAAGTATTGATCTTGGTTGGTCGTAGCGAATTCATTTTCTTGAGCAATAGAAGGCACTGGCGTTTCTCTATGATGAAGTAGCGGGATATAGACGGCTTGGAGAAAACATGGCCCATAGATACTAGAATAAAATCCTTTAAAGAACAGAGATTTCAAGCTGAGATCTTGTTGCGCATTTCTCGAAACTTGGGTTGCTCAGTTGCCTGATCCTTGTCGTGTGATGGCCATCTCAAATGACAATCCTCCCACAGCCAGGTTCAATTGCAAGCCACGTTGTATCAAGAAAATTATGCGCGTGGATTCTATTATGTACAGCCTGTCTTGAAAATACCCAAATTCACTATCGAACCAGCAAAAAAATAACGCTAATGCTCCATCCCAAACGCAAGCCAGAACCAAATACCTTAAGAAAGTGGCCGGGCTGTTAAACTTCCTACCGAGAAGCTGATCCAGCTATCGTCCATCTATGTAACGCCATCCCGAAATATGCGACCCGACGCTGCCAATGGAGGCTAGATGTCTTATTCTCGTAACATCAACGCAATGTGAGAAACCAAATGATTTTCCCTAACCAACATCTGGACAGGAAATGCAGAAAAAGGAAGCAGAGCAGAAGTACTCCCTCCATCTCAAGAGACTCAAGCCCTGTACGGTGCAGACCTGATCCTCTTCCCCTGACCGCTTCCAGCCATGAGCTGCTTCTCCTCCAGGAAGAAGCTGCCCTTCTCGTCCGAAAACTGCTCATGGAACAGCTCTAGGAGGTCCCCGGGAATTTGCTTCTCAACGAAGAACTTCATTCCCCGGTCCTTGCCGGTCCACAGGTGCTTGATGAACTTGCCCTGGCAGTTGGTCCGGCTCTGGGGGAATCCGTTCGCCTCCGAGCACGGGAGCTCCTTGATGTCCCCCGCGTAGTCGTAGCGGATGAAGTTGCCGAAGCCGCCCTGGTCCGTGGGGCTTCCGGGCATGTTGACGCGCCACCTGGTGCACCCCGGGTGCTCCCCTCCGTCATTCGGGCAGACATCCCAAGCCTTGAGGATCTCGTGCGTCTTCTTGTTGTTCTGGGCGACGATGAAGCCCGTGTTGAGGTAGAGCTTGCCGAACTTGTCCCTGTTGTGGCTCAGGTCCGGGTCGGATGCCATGGCGAGCGAGTTGGTCTTGGGGTGGATGTCCCAGTAGTTCATCAGCCACTCGAACGGCAGGTCGAGGCGGTCGAAGATGGCGTCCGAGTCGAGGTAGATGCATGTCTCGTGGTTTTTGAGGATTTCACTGATCACGGATGGCTTCTTCCACGATGCTCGCCGATCCTTGAATGAATCGACCTGCACGTAATAGTACTTGTAGCCGTGGATTTTTGCTAGGGCACGTCAGCATGGGATGATCAAGTCGAGGATGACCGCGAGGAAGCAAATTGTAGATCTTACCATAAAGCCAGTGGTTCAAAAACCCGACCGAGAGCCCGTGGACCTCCTTCTGATGATCCCAGCTCATCAATTTGGGGCCAAAAATCTGGTAAGGGTCGGTGAATGGGCGGTTATCAAGGTCAATAATGCATAGGTTGTTTCCCATTGCCTTGGACCATTTTGGGTCTGTGGAAAGTTTCGACTCGAATTCCCCCTTTGCATCATACTTAAGGCTGTCAACATTCATGTGAGAGCTCAAGGTTTTCTCTATGAATCCCTGCCGTTGTGCATCGCGTTCTTCTTTTGTGCCTTTTAGCACACTCTTATCCAGCGGTTTTTGTAGGTGAGTACTGTTATTGGCTTGATCAGTTTTACCATATACAATAATCACAGAGAAGAGAGGAAAACAGAAGGGCTAAATGTTGCTTGTAAATTAGGGCCGAACAAGGAGATGTGCTCGAGGCTGAAAACTGTCGGGGATGTGCCAAAGAGACTGAATTAGAAGATGTTCGTAGCGTAACGTACCTTGGGGTAGGCCGTAGGGAATCCGAGTAATTGGTATATGTGAGACCGACAACGGTAGACAGGAAGACGATCACCGCAACGAGGACAAAGGCAGGCCTGCTGGGACAGCGATTCTGGGTTCCGAGCTTCATGGCACCCTAATCCTTGGTAGGGGTATTGTATGTCCGCTGAGAGGATAGGGTCCAAGGACTGCTCAGGAGATTTCCTATGTTGTTGGAACAGGATTTCCTAGAGCTGTTCCGCTGAGAGATCGGAATTCCAGGAATGACTGCAACTACCTATCAACACCAAACATGTCAGACAAAATGGATCGATGACCGCTGGATGATCTGGACACTGAGTATGGCAAAAGAAGATTCAGTATGGAAGAAGTGGGAGCCCGCTTCAGCCACATGCATGTAGATGATACAGGAAAGCAGATTCTGGAGGCCGCCGTCCAAGATTGATTTCATCGCCCCAGTCCCACGCGAGAAACCATCCTAAAGCACATGAAAGCCAGTATCCCGGTCATGTAGTGGAGTCTTTTTGTGTCTAGCGAGCTGCATTAACACCAAAATGCAGGCTTGATGTGGGTGAGACAGGGGTAAAGAGTGGGATTGGCGGGCCGTTGCTTCGTTACCCTTCTTGGCTTTGTTTACTTGGAGACTATTGATTTCTTCCTCCCTTTCTGCGATCACTGCAAAGCGAATATCTATAAATTCCTACTAAATCTGGCCAGTGTGTAGTCGCGGAAGTTGTAGTTCAAGTATGAATTCTATCGGCACTCGAGACTTGGACAGTCTCATCAAGTGAACTTGAATGAAAGACTGCTACAACTAATGTCCTGTTGACCCCTGGCGCTTTAGGACCAGGATAGCCACTTGATTAACCCAGCAACCGTCGCTATGGCCTCTGTAGCCTTGCCTCATCATCGCTTCTCCATACCCTTCTCTTTGGGATTACGTACATAGTAGGACCATGTTTCGAAAAGATATCAATCAACTAATTCTTCATGGTGAAGGAACTATATTGTCAAAACTATCATGCGATATCTCCCTGGAGCAAGCCAGAAGTATGCGATTACTTCTAAGCGCCATTGGCGGGGTCCAAAACAAAGCGATTAATGGTGTCGCATCGCTTCGTCAGATCTGGCCCCCAGGTGGCCTCCTCAAACCGATCAGTGATGTTGAAAATGTTCTTCTCTGAGCCATACAACGGCCAAGCGACATCATTCCCGTGCACAAAGTCCAGCAACTTTGTCTGGAATTCGCGAGCGAGTCCCACTCCCTCTTCACCCAGAGGTGTTTGCTCTTCATCAACATAGAAGAAATCTAAATGTGGCAAGATGATCAGTCGTGAGCTGAATTGCAGGGAAGCTTGAAACTTACACCACAAGTCCTGGCCGTGGGTGGCTGGTGGGGTGGACATGACATATCGCCTCGACTTCCCCGGCAAGGCGTTGGCGAGGTTGTACGAGTTGCACGAGAAAATGGCATCAGTCGTCCAGTCCCAGGCAAGCTGTGCCGGTGTCTCGGGACGATAGTACAGGGCTTGAATGGTTGAGGCCACCTCGTCGCTGGCGTTCGACATGATTTGACGCACCATGGTTGGGAAGTACTCTGGCTGGTCGGTATCATGCGACGTGCCCATCCCCTCATAGGCCATGCTGCCCATGATAATCCCTTCTAGCTCTTCATGGAACTCACCGGCATGGAACTGCGCAAGAGGAAGATCGGGGATTGATTTGCCGTCTGGTGCTGGGCCATATCCGATGACAGGCCCTAGGACACCACCGCCTCCAGTGGATGGCATTTGGTTGACAAGCTTCTCGCTGGCGTCCAAGATGGCCTGTTCTGGAAGTGAACGCACACACTCTAGAGTGGCACAATCTGTCACGTTGAGCAGAAGGTCAAACTGTTCTCGCTGACGATCTGCGACCCGTCGCCGAGGAGGAGCTGCCGGTGAGGATATGAACAACTGTCGCAGTTAGCCCATCTTGTTTAAACACCTGCTCCACGGAAAAGGATCCATGCATACCTTCTGGAATGGCAATTCTCCTTTGCCTCCATCCAGAGTAGTCATGTAGTAGAGCATACCTGCGCCGGCGCTCTGGCCCGCAGCCGTGATACGCCTCCCATCCCCTCCAAACTTGTGGATGAACTTGGAGGTCCATCTCGCAGCTGCAAGGCAATCAAATAAGCCGGCGTTAGCCTCCATATCCTCCCCTTCTGAGTAGGAGAACCCAGAGACTCCCATCCTATTCGTAACGGTAAGCGTGTGCCGCACAAGCCGTCCCTCTTTTTAATTGCTCTTACCTGTAGTTATTGGCGACGAAAATAAACCTTCCTTTGTGTTGCTCAAACATGTGCTCGAACAGCCCCATTGGGCTGAAGAGAAACTCCTTGCTCCCAAAGCTGTATGCGCTCCCATAGAAGAAATGAAGGACTGGGACGTTGTCACCTGGCTTCACACCCTGCGGCACGTACACATCCAAGAAGAGGCAGTCCTCATGGCCCCACGTGGTGCCATTGATTCCAGGAAAGGGAATGTATGCTGGCGCAGAGGAGATACAGTCACGGCTGCCGGGCGGCTCATCTCCCTTTTGCACGCCGTCCACTTGGGGTAGATCCATGTTGGCCCTGCGGAAGCGCAAGTCGCCGGTAGGCGGGTTGGCGAAGCGGATGTTTTTGTAGATGGTTACATTGTGACCGGAGATGGTGGTGTTGGTGTAAGTTGGGACATGGCGGGCATACCCAAGATCGACGAGGCCGTTATGATCGCCTCGACCGTCTGGGCATACGCGAGCTACCGAGCCAACAATAGCAAGGCCTGCAACGAAAACAGTAATCAGAAGCATGGTAGCATGGGTTGGGATGTTTCGTGAATGGAAGAATGCTTATTGATACTCTACGAGGGATCACTCTCTCCAAGGTCTTTTGGCTCATCTATATAGTCTAGGGAAAATGCCAAATAAGGAAAACGAGGTCGGGCGAGGTTTGGATGGTGATCTTCAGTCATACATCTCCCCAGCTTATGTTTGACTCCATTCTCTATCGCCGTCATCTTTCGTATCGTCTTCCCTGGCAAGTAAACGAGAGCCCCAAACACGTCACTCACTCTAGGCTGCCATCATTGTGCTTAGATTGACGAGATATCTGCGCCCTGCTAGAGTCCAATATAGCTTCAAAGTGCTTGAGCTCCATATTTTCCGATGAAGCTAATGCATCTTGCTCCTCAAAATATTCCCAAAGAGGAAAACGAGACTGACGCCACAAGCCAAGGCCGATCACTCCTACTTTAAGGCTGAGCCGTATTGGCCGTAACGAGCAAGCTAAATACTCCGCGTATTCCCTTCATGGACTGGTTCGGGACGTCATCTCTACTCTACTCTTGATACTCATGAGAATTAGGATCAGGATATACCCCGTCTCGAATCCCGAACCAAAAATGGCCCGTGACTTCACCATACCAGTCTTGGGTCTTCAGGTGTTGATGCAGGATGCCGATGAGAAGTTCGAGACACGCCAGTATAAGAAGAGAAAGACACACCCCAAGTCCAGAGGTGGCTGCGGCAGCTGCAAGTTGAAACGAGTCAAGGTACTTTATATCGATCCCAGAACCCGCCCGAGACTGCTTTTCTAGCCACTATAGGCCTAAAACAGGTGTAATGCGATCAGCTAACTATGTTCTGGGACCGGAGATATAGTGTGATGAGACCAAGCCAGCATGTAAACGCTGCCTACGAACTGGTACAAAATGCATCTACAGGGACACAAATGGCACATCCTCCAAATCCATGGAAAACCAGAAACAGGATACTAGTCCTCTACCATTGCATGCTCACGGAGAACTGATACAACAAAAAGCACTTCCGACTGTAACACTAGATCTCCAAGCAGACCAGCCTGCCTCGCCCTTTGGGACGCCAAGGTTCACTCTCCTCCGTCATTTTTACCACGTCTTCGCCCAGCTAGACATGTTCGACGGAGTGGCGACAGACCCAGTCGTCTCTCTCGCCCTGTCCCGACCGCACCTGATGAACGCCATGCTCGCCGTGTCCGCGTCCCATCTCCGCTGCCACGCCACCACCCCCGTCCCCTCCCATCGCATTGCCGAGCACTACCAGCAGTCCCTCGCCGTACGGGGGTTCCAGACCGCCCTGGAGGAGTCCTGGGATCCCCTCGGCGCGGACGCCCTGGTCCTGACATCCATGCTCCTCAATCTCCTCACCTTCTCCATCGTCGAGGACGACGACCCGTGGAAGTCATGGGTGTTCAGCGACGACCGGAATCGTCTGGGCTGGCTCGGCCTCCACCTAGGCATGAAGCCCCTGCTGATCTCAACAGCAACCTATCGGAAGGAAGGCACCATGCTGCAGTGGATGTTTGACGCGTCCGACGACGACAAGCGGACATTCAACGGGACGCCGCAGCCACTGGACCGCGTCCCTCAGGCGTGGATAGAGCTCTGCGGGATCTCACCGAGTCAGGCACACCGTTCAGATCCTGATCACGTCTTCTATGAGCCTGTGAGGATCCTGGGGGAGCTTAAAGACATGGAGCCGCGGCACGAGCTCCTATTCATCTACGTTTCTTTCGTCGGCAAGCTGGACAACGAGTTTCGCCGGCTCCTGGAATCGAGCGACCCGGCAGCAATGTGGCTTTTCGGATACTGGCTCGGGCTCGTGGCCCGCTTCAATTTCTGGTGGTGCAACAACCGGGTTCGGCGGGACCATCAGGCCATCTGTATCTGGTTTGAGCTTCGGGGTTTCGCGAAGCGTGCGGGACCTCAAGGCGAGATGTGGCGAGAACTGCTCTTTGACTTGGAGAATGCACCGGTCTGGCCTTCGCCGAGCAGATCGAAAAGCCGTATCGGAATGATCGATGCGCCTAATGAGATCGGCAATGTATGTGTAGAAGTATAAAAATCTGTTCTACATTATAGAGCTGCGGATCATATATCGAACTAGATATACAAAAGCTAAGAACATCATGTACTGTCGTCTCAGCCCTGCTGAGCATGGATGTTACGACACCAAGGTCTCCCATGAGCCACTTGATATGAACACAGAGCAGGCTCCAGAACAATCCCAATAATGCCTGCAACGCAGATACCACCGCTATCACTAGCACTTGCAGCGCTGAGACTGAACTCTCTGTCTTCCGCTGGGACATTTTCCAAAATCTCAGCAAAACAATTCACATACACTGCGCCACCGAGAAGGCCTTCCCAAAAGATAATTAAAAACACGATATAGACGGAGGGCAGAAAGAAGTATAGTGCATGGAGCACCAGGAAGAGCAGGTTTCCCACCTGCAAAAACGATGGGAGATAAAGGTGGTGGATCCGAATGAATGGTGTAGAGGATCTGGATATGAAGACACCAAGTTGGTAGAGGAAGCCATAGAACGGGTAGAATCCGCGATACTCGTGGAAAGGCGACTCTTCTACTGGGAATAGAAGAGTGGGCGCAACACCTTGGTTAATTGCGTACTCGGCGACATACACAAGGAACAGCGGTACCATGTATGGGACAAAAAGGGCACCAGCACGCCGTAGGTTATGCTGAAACGAATGTGTATGCGACGAAGGTTGCCTTGCAAAGGCAGTTGATGCGCCTGGAGGTTCTGGTATCAAAAGACCAGATGAGACCTCGGGATCAGACATGTCTTCGACCTGTTCGTCCTCCAGGTCCCTATCAGGAATGGCATCATATTGCTTCGCGTGGCCCGCCTCTTGAAGCGGCCCGCGAGGCAGAATCACGAAGAAGCTTATGAACATCACCACCGGGAGGCAGGCTGAGAACAGCAGGCTGTCCCGAACATTGAATCCCCACCAGTCTGTCAGCGCAACATACAGCGCAGCACCTACCAGGCCGGCGGCGCCCGTCCCCGAACCCCAGCCAGCAAGGCTCATGTGGCCATAGTAGTGGGTAAGGCCCAAGAAGCTCAGCTCCCCACCGCCACTGCTCAGGCTTGCAAACACGACACCGATCAGCTTGACGGCAACAGACTTGCTGGGTGGCGTCAGTGCCACCATTAGCATGCCTACAGCCGACAGAGCAATGAACACAAGAACTCGTATGTTGTAAGGAACTCGGTGGATGAAGTACGGGGCGATGAGCTTCGTCAGGAAGGAAGGCAGGACATCGGCGAGAAGCACCACACCCTTGGGGAGGGTGCCAACGAGATCTTGCGCCGCGGACAGGATGATGACATAGAGGACGTTGTTGATCAACCCTAGCAAGTCTATTAGCTCCATGAGATGCTTAAAAGGAGAAGGCAGGGGAGGAGGGCCAACCCAGAAGCCAGAAGGCCACGACGACTTTCATGTCGGGGTTCTTCAACACGGCTCTGATTCGAGCAGTATACAGCGCCCAGGAGGAGGACGGGGTGCCAGGCATGGGGAGGAGCCCAGAAGCAGACGGCGAGGCGCTTGTCATCGTAGCATCGACAGGTAGAGACACATTGGCATTCTAGTCAATTGAAGCTGGCAGGGAGCGCAGCGGCCAACACGGATGATAAGCGCAACGGGAGGATGGACGACGCAAGATAACAAAGCCCACTCGTGACACAGCGATAGTGGACAGGGCGAGTTTAGGTTCGCGTGACCCGCTGAATGATGTAGCCACGGGCCATTCCCCGGGGGATCCAGCTGACCCATGCGCTGTCACCACTTCAAGAACACCACCAAGCTTCTGCACCACACCACCCAGATCAAGAACCGGTCAAGACATAAAACGTTGTTTCCGCTCCCTCGATGTACAACACCATACCAGCATGTATATGCGGTCAGTCGTACAGCATAGTAGCAATTGGCTGACAGAGGGATGGCGATCTCAGTGCCGTTGCCCCAACTTGTACTTGACAGCTCGCGGACCAAATGAAAGGAGCAGGGAAAATACAGTGACCTCTTAGGCGTCTCAGACAAGAAGTTTTGGATATTTGGGCAAGCGATCAAAAGTAGAACTATGTGAGTATCGGATTTACCACCTCTAACGTCGTGTTCCCATTGAGATTATCAGTGATAGATCCAGCCGAATGGCGGTTGCCCAAAATTATAGTCTATGTATGTGCCTTGATTATCTCCCAAGTTTCTTGTGAAAAGGGTTCTGTTCAACCTATTCTGTGGAAGCAATGCAGTTCGGACAAGAAATCATTTCGAAACCTGAATATTGAATCAGTATTACCACTTGCTTGCATTGTTGTGGAAAGTCCAGCGTCACGGTCATGTACTTCGTTGATCAACCTCGTGCCGCCCAGCGAGGCATCCTCATTCGGCTGGGTTGTGGTAAGTCTTGTTACTATCTGGAACACAGCACTGTGACATTGCCGAACATAGGTCAGATCAGCAAACCATTTATGGCGACCGAAGTTTTCATTTCGTTTTTACCCTTCATTTTCGTAGAACCAAGATCTACTAATTAACCCCCAAAGTGTTCCGAGCAATGAATAGTTAATCTTGCCCAGGCTCGCACGCAATCGATTGCGATCGGCAGATCTTCGGACCGGGGGATCTTTTTTTTTTTATCATGGAGATAACCTGCATCAACACCAACCAGAGGAAGCAGATTTCAGATCTCACGTAGTACTAGTTCAAGGATCTATTCATTCCGTGTAATTTAGACCATTGAGGTCGTGTATATTTCTATCATAATCCTTTAATATCGTTTCCCTCCTTTGAACGTGTACCCCGAACCATCTTCAAAATGTCCGAAAAATCCGAATCCGCATGCCCCGTCGACCACAAAGCCCGCGAGGTCTGGCTATCACAAGCCCGCGCTGCCGAAGCCGCGAAACCCAAGAGCGCATCGCCAGCTCAATGCCCCGTCGACCACTCCGCGCGCGCCCCTCCCAAGACTTGGGGACAGACCTTCAGCTCATACATCCCGTGGGGATCGTCCGCTCCCGCACCTACACCCGCCGCAGCGCCCGGCCAAGGCTCTGGGCTTGAGACCGACAGGGTCATCTCCAGCATCCCCCGATCGGCTGGCAATGGCGACGCCTGCCCTGTAGACCACGGTGCCTCCGCGAACGCAGAGATCGAGTCTGGAGCCCACGAGTCCGGCAATTGGGTCTACCCCTCTGAGAAGATGTTCTTCGAGGCCATGAAGCGCAAAGGCTACGATGCGAGAACGGCAGACATGAAGACGGTGGTGCCAATCCACAACGCCGTAAACGAGCGAGCGTGGAAGGAAATCCTCGAGTGGGAGAAACCATATGCCGAGGCCTCGAAGTGAGTCCCTGTCTCTTCCTCCTCCCCTTCCGTTTTGAACCAGACACTAACCTTCAACTCTTCCCAAGGTGTGGTGGCCCCAAGCTCGAATCTTTTGCGAACAAGATGGACCGCATGACCCCCACGGCACGTATCAACACCGTCCTCGGATACACTGCGCCGTTCGACCGCCACGACTGGGTCATTGACCGCTGCGGTACTCGCGTCGACTACGTGATCGACTTCTACTCTGGCAGAGCTGATGGGAAGGGCGGGCCGAGCTTCTACCTCGATGTCCGACCTAAGCTGAATACATGGGAAGGAGTCAAGATGCGGGCAATGCGCTGGACGGGTATTGCCTAAGAGCAGTCATCCCTCTCGAATCAAATCGGAAAAGAAAGAGAATACACCAATTGTACAATAGCGATGATCTACACGATACCAAGGAATGGCGTTTACGGAACAGTTGTAAAATTAGACCTCACATTATAGACCAGTACCCTTCTTGTTGTTTGCGAGCCATCTGATATGACCAGGCACTATCTGTAGTCCGGGGAGCTGCCGATTGCGAGCTTTACGCCATAACATCATTAACACGGGTATCTAATCTGTACAAAGTAGACGGATGCCCTATTCGTCCTTGCGATGGGCCTGTTGGAAGCGGAGCCGGACGGGGGCCTTGGTCTCGAAAGCCTGGCTATCAAGATCCCATCCCACGCTCTGCATCTTCTCCTTGAACTCGGAATCCAGAAGGTCTGTGAGACCGCCATCGCCATCCTCGCTACTACTTTTCTTCACAAGCTGCTCCACCTCCTTCGTGAAGCCTTTGCCCTCCTCCATCACCTGCGCGATCTTCATAGCGCTGAACCATGCGTTGACCGCATACCATGGGTCAGAGCCATCCCAGAGCATGATCTTGATGCTGGCAAGCCCGTTGTGCTGGTTGCCAATGAAGAGGGAGTACTTGTGCCCGTCGAGAACCGACACGGCGCCGCAGTTTCGCTTATCCATCGCATCCCGGAAGTCCTTTGCGATGTCGATCTTAGCGACACGCTCACCGCGCTTGTTGACGATGCGAGTAGACTCGAAGAGGATGCTCTCCCGCTTCGCAACCGCCTTGGGGGAGAGGACGGTGCCGGATTTGAGGTACTCGGAGAAGAAGATGACAGCTCGCTGGCGGTTCAGGTTCGTCATATGAACACTGCAGACGCCGACGTAGTTGACAAACAGGTGGGCCATGACCAACACGATCATCAGGAACATGACGCTCCGGCTATCCTGGACCAGCTTCACCACCAAAGTCCCGACGAGGAGACCGACCAGGCCCACCGCAGTCTCCTGGCTGGCCTCCTTCGCGTTCAGCTCGGCAAGGTTGTCGTGCCTGGCGAAGTGAACACTCAGCGCGGCCTTGCTCGCCCCCGCCGCGACACCGCACAGAGCACGCAGAGCCTCGCCGACGCTCAGAGTAAGCACCTTGCCCCACGGTCCCAGGGCGGGGCTGTAGAGCTCCAGGAAGAAGGCCGTGTCGTTGAAGACGTCCGCGAGGAAACGGTACCGCTTCGCCTCGGGCTCGATGCGGAGACCCCAGCGATTGGCAAAAACGATGGTCGCGATCCGGGACATGGCGTCCGTGAGAATGGTCAGGAGCAGGGCATACGTGGCCGAGGAATTGGCATCTCCGACCCCGAGGCCCTGGAGGAGGGCTCGGTTCGCCAGCAGGGACGTGATGGTCGAGAAGAAGGCCTGGATCGAGTCGCACGCCTGGTACGCGAGGTAGTCGTCAGACACCGAGTGGGGGAAGCCCACGGGCAGGAAGCAATCGAACAGGGTCTTCCGCCATCCCCTGATGAGCTGGATGATGAAGTCATTCTTCGTGCCGGCAGGCGAGATCTGGATCTATTCAGCTGGGGGGCGTTCCGCAGGGATGCAGGGTAGCCTTGCAAGGCAGAGGAACTTACGGGAACCACGTAGCGATCTTTGGTATGCAACCACCGCTGTTGGACATTTCCGGATTTATCGCACTCTAGTATTTCAACGGGGCAACCGTCTGCAAGAAGATCAGAGAGGCCATCTGGAGACGATTTGATGAAGTCGGTGTCCTTGGTGGTTTGTTCTTTGCGTGTGGACTTGTCATCCATGGCGACGAATTAGCGGCCCAGCTAGTGGCCGAGTATCTCGTTGTAGGTTCAAAGCAATGAGTTTGCGGCTAGAAAAAAGGAAAGTAGAAGAAGAGATTGTCGTTAGAATTTAAAAGAGGGATTTGCAGTCGGTAGGTGTACGAGCCACCATTTTATGGTTGGGTGGCTGGACAATGAAGGACGAGAAGTTGTGTTCGAGGTGAGGCGGCAGTGAGATTGTTTGTTTGGCCAGGCAGCCAAACATGGGCGCAGCGACCAACGACTCAACCAACCAATTCTGATCACTCGAAAGAATGCTCCAAAAGTTGGGACGTTACGATACACAGGTACATGATCCATTTTTGAGTAACATTTATTTCATGTTCATCATCATAATAATTTTGGCTATAAGATTATCAGACATCTATCTCGCTATCCTTTCCAAGATGGTCTATCAACTCTATCGCTTAGCAGGCTGGCCATCCTCTGTGATGAGGAACTCGTCAGTCTTGACGGGACCTGATCCAACACCAGTCTGTATCACCCTGCTCACGCCATCCTTGAGGATAGCAGCAGTTTGCTCGGGGATCTTGGCGCTCGACTTCAGGGTGGCAGCCCCATCCTTCCAGCCACCAACGGCACCCAGAACCTCGTGGAACGCACCAACAACGGTCGCAGCATCTTCCTCAAGGAAGTAAATAACGCTGTTTGGCCCGGCATCATAAGTGTAGGCAGCAACAGTCTTTCCAGCCTGGGAATTGATGGCCTCGACCGCACGGATAGCTGCGCGGGAAGCATCGTTCATGTAGAAAATGGGAGGGTAGGTGTCGGCGCAGCATGCATGGAAGGAGTTGGAATCTCTCATGGTGACCTCAGCAAACTTGGCGAAATCCTTGTCGCGGACAGCCTCCTCCATAAGAGTCATGTTGGCAGGCACCACCTGGGTTATTCTCTGCTGGAAGAGTCCAGAGGTGGCGACGGTCTGTTGCATACCAGATGTCGAGGGGACATCCTTCTTGGCAGCATTGACGACAAGGATAAGAGCCCGCATCTGGGGCCAGTGCGACGCCTCAGCAACCAGCTCGGCTTTGGAGTCGAGGCCGTCATCCTGGCTGCCCATCCTCCAGGCCACATAACCACCAAACAAGCTTCGGCAAGCTGATCCAGAACCCTGTCGTGCAATGAGGGAAAGGTCGGCAGGAGACTCTGGCAGCTCGTACAAGTTGGCGATGGCCCGGACGAGGGCAGCAAAGCCAGCAGCAGAGGAGGCAAGACCAGCTGCGGTAGGGAAGTTGTTCTCGGAGACGATCTTCAGGGGCAGGGTCGAGAGCTTAGGCAGGGCGGGGTTGGCAGCCTCGACAGCTGCGCGGCGGGCTCGCAATTCGCGGAAGCAAGCCTGGGTGCGAGCACCAGAAATGTCCGACAACTCGCCATTGAGGGTGAGGCTGTCGCCGTCAAAGATAGCAGAGCAAGCTGCGGTGGTGAGAGTGCGGAGATCGTCCTGGGAGAGGGTGACGGAGAGGGAGCTGTTGGTGGGCAGGTTAAGCTTCGCATCGCGCTTTCCCCAGTACCTGTAGATTGATCATCAGCGCCGAGCATCAGAAAAGGACGCAATTGGGGAGTCGCACTTGACCACGGCGATGTTCACCGGCGCGGTGGTGCTCGCCCTGTAGACCTTGGTGTCCGCCATTGCAACGTGGGGTATTTTTGATGAGGGCGGTGGGAATGTGGAATACGAGTTTGGTCAATGGTGAGAAATTGCCTGCTTTGAGGGCCTGCCTGGAGTTCTTGTCGCTCTGCAGGATGGAAAGCAGAGGTGAGACAGAGAGATTGAGCAAGCTGCGTGTTCGGGTCGAAGAATTCAGGAAGACGGTGTGGCCTCCTCTTCATAGTGCGATAATGCGTATTGGTCCCCTAATAGCATATTTTCTGCCATTAATGAACTGCCCTAAAGCGGTTTAGTGAGGGGACCGGACGAAGTTGTAGCCCCGCAAATGCCCGTTGATCCTTGTTGGCGGGGCAATTCATCAACATGCCCAATTTCATCCTTGACGACTAGATGTATATCATTTTAGGCTTGAAGATGAAGTAGATTTCCGGTGTCTTACTACCTAAGTATTCAATTCCTAGAGTTTTCTCTCTGTGTGTTTGCTAGATCTAGTTGTGGACCACTTTCTGCGTGGGAAAATTTCGGTATAATGTCAATCACATGTGTAGCCTGACCTAGAAACTCCCTTGCTTACCTAGCTATGATAGCCAAAAGAATATGGCTAAAGGAACTACAAATAAGCCGGTTCGATTCCAGATGTGGCCGCTTTCAGCGGAAGCCAACAGACAGAACACGAGTCTAGGACAATGCTACACTACCAATATCAGAATGGATTTTACAGAGATAGAGTGTGGCTGACAGACCTAATGAGAACCTTTCAAGAAAACGATTAGGGAAACCGAGAATAGGGTCAGGAAAAGTGGTTGCCAGATCTGATAGGCTCTTGATGGCATCATGATGAGGCCGCTCTTCTTTAGGTCATCGGTATACCTACCTCAGAAACTGATTTTGGTACCAACTTGACTAATATTGCAACCAAAAAGAAGTAGCCTCGTAGAGCCTCAAATAAATTTCAACTCTTGAGAGTTGAATCTTGATTTTGGCCCAGTGTCGCCTGTGGAAAATGTAGGGTAGGCTGGCTCGTCGCAGTTGGAGGCCTGACGCTCTAATTGCGGCCACTGACGTCATGACTCTTGGAGTCGTGGCTGGTTCTGTCGTGGCGCTTTAAGACATCTAACTTCTTCATTAATTTGGAGAAGAAGAATAGAGTTGGGTTCAACTATTGTGGCGGCTGTAGACCCAATCCTTGAACCAAGCTCTAGAAAGTAATGGTGATGCACTTGGCGATAGCCCTACGGCCTGGGGCTGCCCGCTGCGTCCCAAAGGTCCTGCGCGCATGGCCAAGAAGAGCTCCCTCTTCAATACAAACCCTGTTATCGCCAAGAACTTTGCGGGCACATCTTTCATCTACTGCCCAATGCCACGAAGCTCGGCACAGAGCATCCGCCGGGAGAGACGACGCACAGAGAAAGGTAGACGACCGGCCATGGCAAAGAGCAAGCAACTTGACGCGGGAGGAGGCCGAGACCGTCAAATCCCAGCCTAGCGATGATTACCAAGGTAATATGCGAAACCCAAAGCTTGAAGTAGCTTGCTGCCAGTTACGCGTGCTAACAGAAGTTTGTTGCTGGCAGGAACCGTATTGACAACGCCGACCCGGCTCCTCAAGCTGATCATACCTATGCCGTTCCACCCAAAACAGAAAACCATCGATCCCGAGAACGATCCGAACGAAGACCAAACCATGGGCACTGACAAAGTTGAGCCACTTGCCCTTCTTGTGCACCCACAGCAACCTCTCTCCTACGTGGAAAGACTGATTCAAGCCGAAATCCCCCCCCTCATCGCTGACGGGCGAGAGAAGCTTCCTGCGATAGTATTTCGAGCCGAGGCGGAACAGGATAAGGACCAAGAAAAAGCAAATCGAAATGGAGACAATGTGGCTACTTACTCTGGCCTTGGCCACGAAGGTCCTGGTAATAAGGGTCACGTCAACTGGGTGCGGTGGAGTGGAAGCACTGAGGTGGGCGACTTTATCCGAGACGCCGCCCGTGGCCGCGAGTTCGAGATTGAGATTGAAGGGTGTCCCCAGGAGCTCAGGATCCGCGTGCCTAGCTTCAATGATCGAACTTACTATATGCGGATGAATCTGAGAAGGATGTCACGCCGGGTCGACCGTATGGCTAAGATCAAGAACGAGTGTGATCAGATAGCACACAGAAGTGCTCATCGAATAGCCCAGGGAGGGTTTGCAGCCTTGGTAGGCTGGTGGGGAGTGGTCTACTATGTGACCTTTCACACTGAGATGGGCTGGGACCTGGTTGAGCCCATTACCTACCTGGCGGGCTTGACCACCATCATGGGTGGATATCTCTGGTTTCTTTACATAAGCCGAGACCTTAGCTACAAAGCTGCCATGAATATCACGGTGTCCAGGAGGCAGCATGCTCTGTATCAAGAAAGAGGATTTGATCAACAGACTTGGGACCAACTGATACAGGAGGTCAATCTGCTTCGCAGGGAAGTCAGGATCGTTGCGAGTGAGTATGGAGTGGAGTGGGACGAGACCAAAGACCTGGGTGGCGAGGAGGTGAAGGAGGTCTTGGAGCAAGAGAAGAACAAGAATAAGAGGAGGGACGACGTAGATGAGGACGATGAGGGCGGACGTAACGACAAAGGTGATAATACCTCGGAGCAGGAAAAGTCGCCCGAAACGAAGAAGGCCGGGAATTGAAGATATTTGAAATCGAGTGGTCAGCAGAGGTTCTAGATATGGGGTCCTGCCGCCCACCCGACCAATCCCCATGTAGACATATAAGATAGTACCTAGTTAGCCTCAAAGCAAATAGAAAGGTCCATATACCGAAGGGCGATTCGCTCAAAAGAGCGCACATGCAATGAAAATTTGCAATGGGACCCAGACGGATGACACTTCCATCCGTCAACGGGGTCCACGAGTTCTGGTGATCCTTCTGGGCTCGTTGGCCTTGCCCAACAGTGAATTCGCCATTGGAGAGAGAATGTCACCACGCCTTGATTGGAGGGGAGGCTTGAGTAGACGGATGGGAGGCTGATGGTTGAGCTAGACCAAGATCATCCGCAAGGCCATCGGAAAAGGACAGTGCTATTCCACACTCTCAGACTGTGCAATGTAACCAAGCCATGCGGGCTCACACAGTGCCAATCTTAATTTCCCCGCACCTCCCATTCCGGCCCAAAACCAGGAATCATGTGGAGGGGGCGGGAGGCACAGATGAGGGGCATTTGCACTGTATCATGCTATTCTGAGCGCATCCGACTACTAACTCAAAGCTCCTAGTTCACTGGAGGTGCATAACTGTACGTACACGACTGACTCTTCTGGAGCAGACGACATTCCTATCCCATTAAATTGATGTCCTGCTCCCTCTCCTCCTCTCCTCCTCTCCCTCACCCTGTCTGTTGCTTCACGTCTTCTTCGCCCCGTCCTTCTAGCTCCCACTAGCTCAAGCCGAGACGCCGGCCTGGGTTGATCCTTGCTCCAACGATACATGACAGATGAGACAGCTCTGCAGTGTAGCTTAATTGGAGCCCCGCAATGCCACAGCAACTACTTCATTTGCCAGACGGCCAGACCTTCACGGTCACGCCTGTCTTTGGTGGTGTTGGATTCAGAAGCCATGAGATGAATGCTGCGCATTACCATGCCTTTCCCATCGGTTGGACCATCGTTCTCCAAACTGAGGCTGAGGCCGAGAGTGATGATGACGACCCTATGGACAAGGATGACCAGAATGGCCTTGATGAGCGGGATGGCATGTTGGGCGCCCTGCTCAACACGAAGCGCGCAATCCGCTCTTATACCACCCCGACTTTGGACAGAGACAGGCTCTTCATCTCGTCTATTGCTAACCCCTCCAGCAATGAATTCAAGCCAGCTGCCAGCCCTACTCGCCAGATTGCCATGATGCTCTGGGTCACTCTATACTGGTATTTCCACCAGCCCGAGCCTTCTCCGGTCCTTGAGACGGATGCCTCTAGACTCACGCCTCCCTGTGGTAAGCCCAGAGGGGATTGGAAGATCAACATCACAAGGGAGGGAGTGCTCCGGGGCCGAAATCTCATCCCAAAGCTAGAGAGGATGGGGTTGATTGCTACCTCTAATTCTTCAGTTGGTACAAGTCTGGATGACAACGGGGAGAGTTGGGCTCGCATGTTTGTATCGAGGAGGATGTTCTGGCAAATCCCCGGGCGGCTGTTCCTTTTCACCCTCCAGCCCAACAGGGGCATGTCTTCTTTCCCAGGCTCCCCAACCAACAGCCGGCCTAGCTCTCCTACTCCGACCGATTCGTCGCGCCCCCACCACCGTCATACACACTCGCAGCCGCCAAATGCATTCCACAGCCGTGGTGACAGCGACCTTCCAGGATCGCCAACACCGGTGGCTCTCGTAGGCAATCCTGGTGCCATGTCAGGGCCCTTCGCCTCATCTTCCCATCTTCCCACATACTATCCTCCTCCACCACCGCTGTACATCTCGACAAATGGTGTCCGCCATCCTCTCCGACCCAAGCCCCCACGAATGGGTGAGGTGTTCTATTCTAGGTATCTCCCTAGTGTTGGGCAATATCTGTCGTTCCGGGTGGCATCCAACTCTCCTAAGCCGGTTCCATACTTGGGCCCGGTTGGCCAAAAGGCAGCCGAGAACCAACATCTTACCACGCTGAGCGATACTTCCCTACTGCAGATGTGGATGTCTAACTCACGTGTAAGTGCGTTCTGGGGACAATATCATCAGAACTTCCTCACCGATGCCTTTCAGTCGCGCCACTCCTTCCCTGTAATTGGAATGTGGGACGGAGTTCCATTTGGTTACTTTGAGATCTACTGGGTGAAGGAAGACATTCTCGGTCGGCAGCTCGGCAACGAATCTCAAGACTGGGACAGAGGACTCCATGTGTTGGTTGGAGAAGAGTGGGCTCGGGGTCGCGTGCCCACATGGCTCAACGGATTGGTGCACTGGTGCCTTACGGCTGACTACCGCACGATGAATATTTGCTTGGAACCTAGAGTGGACAACGAAAGGTAAATACCCATAAGAGCATGAGAAGTAAGGAGAATCTGCTAACGACTACAATAGATTCATAGAGCGGCTGCAGCAAAATGGTTTCTCACGGCAGAGACAGGTCTCATTTCCACACAAGCAGTCATGGTATGTGAAGCTATCAAGAGACTCATGGGAAGGTCCTGTTTTATAGTCGTGTTGTGGACACTCTTCTTTCTTTTCTTGCGTAAATAAACGAAGCGAAATATGGGATACGGCAGATAGGAATCAAGCATGATTTTTCACGGATGCCATTCACTTGGTTTACAAAATCTTTGGGCTCTGTATCGGTACTTCCAGCGGATTGTTTTCACCACGAAGTGTGGCAAAAACTAAAGAGGATTGAGAGGTACGCAAAGTCATTGAAACTCCAACTCCCTCCCATTACTAGTCTGTATTTTAGTAGCATATTGATGACTCCTAGTGTTTGGTTGGCTTTCTTCTAGAATGCATTCTTGTGGACAAGTGAGCGATTTCTCGTGACTGCTTAGAGAGGTCCGATGACGATGACCCTGGCGATCAAAAGCCTGGATCTTGATTTCTATTGCGGGTAAGCTCAATTGGCTAAGTTTGGATAATATAACAAACAAACACTTCCCTCCCTGGCCGAAATCTCAGAAGGGCTATCTCGCGATATGATACAATCCGTCGAGCACGAGGAAACATGCCCTTTCTTGACGCAACGGATAGTCCCTGATCAGGTCTAAGCGCCAATTTACCCACCACTCTCCATCCTGTGACCAGTAGAAATCCTGCAGCGTCTATTAACAAATGAGAAAATGCCTTGCGAGGGTGTGGCGATGACGCTTTGAGGCAGGTGTGGCTGAGCCGCTGCAACCTCGCCCCGCAAGTCAGCCTCGCTCAACACCAGCAACTCATTGATATCTCTAGAGTCTGAATGATGCAGTTCTTGTGATTATCAATAATACACGGAACAAATCATCTCACGCGAATAACATGTGAGGATGGATGTCGCCTTACGAAATGCGGCGCCGTTGAGGCCCGAGATCGCGCTCGCAAAGGCCATCTCGGAATTCGAGAGCAGCCTCACCAAAGAGCACAAGTCCAACTTTCGCAGCTTCCGAACCCAAGCGCTGAGCGCACCACCTTCGGCCGAAGATGTGATGAGATTCACGGCCAGCCTCAACAGCCAGATACAGAAATCTTCCGCGGCCCATCGCTGCTTTGGCACACGCTTCACCAACATCATGCAATGCGTCCAGAAGTACGCTGCTCTGGGCGATGTGGTCGTGGGGGGGTCTCAGAACATCATTGCATGTGGAGTTTGGGCCCTGGTGAGATTGACGATCCAGGTACGAAAGAAACCTCCCCTACTTTGTGAGATCTCAGGCCGTTGACCTCTTGCAGGTATGCATTGGCTTTGGCTCGTACTTGGACAAGGTCTCACACTTCTTTATGACCGTCGGCCAATCAGCGCCGCGGTACGAATCTATGGCCTTGCTCTACCGCCGGTCAAAGCTGCTGAGCCATTATATGTCGAGTTATTTTCTGGTGATCGTACAAACCTGCCATGAGTTTATGCTCTTCAGCCGGAAGTCCTTCCTTGGTCAGCTAACAGCCTCTCTGGACGACTCGAAACTACGCGATGCCCAGTCCAGGTCAGAAAGACTGGGGGCTAAAATCAGAGAGGAGGTTTCATTTCTCACGACTCAGACGGTTGAGAGTGAGGCTAGCGAGAACAACTTGTTCCGCGCGCTGGTTGGGGGCGCCTACTCCTGGGAGACACAACAGAGGAAGCTTCGGCAACGAGCTAATCTCTTGGAGGCCCTCTCATCCTCTGATCACGAGACGCCCTTTAGGCAAGCTCGAAAATGTGGGGTTTCAACCGTATTCGAGGACGAGCCCGCATACTTGTCGTGGGAGCAGTCGACAGAATCTACAAGCTTGGTGCTTGTTGGCAAGCTGGGTTCAGGTAAATCGGTGACCATGGCCAGCATCGTCGATAATTTATACCTATCGAGTCATGATCGTGCGGTTCCTTTCTTCTTTTGCAGGCACGACAATGCGGAAGCACTCACTGCCAGAGCTGTCATCGGGTCACTGGGTCGCCAGCTGATCGACAAGTATTTCAATGACTCCCTGCTGGATAATGTTGTGGACGGCGTGACCACCATGTTTAGCTTGGGGGATGTCCTGAGACTCGTCAAAGATACTGTGCCACGCGACGCACGGGTTCATTTTGTCCTCGATGGGGTGGATGAGTGTCAAGAATACGACGCCGTTGAGATCATAAAAGCACTTGGAGAAATGCAGAAATTCATGCATCTGTCCGTCTGTGTATCGATCAGAAGCGGCACGCAAGACCACCAATCCCTTTTCAGGCCATTATTGAACATCCAAACAATGGCCATGCCTGAAAAGAACCCTGATATTGGCAAGTTCATCGAAAAGGAGCTAGAAAGAAGGATAGAAGCCAAGAAACTCGTTCTTGGCCAAGAAGGCTTGGTAGTTGAAATTCGAGATGCTCTGGTAAAAGGGGCAAATGGAATGTCAGAATGCCCCCCGTTTATACCCCTAAAATGAGTCGATGAGAATCAGACTGACATTTTTGGTGTGATTTAGGTTCTTATGGGTTGCACTGCAAATCGACTCGCTCTGTGACGAGAAATCCGATGCAGCCATACGCAGCGCCCTGCAAGACTTGCCACCTGACCTCTTCAGCACGTTTGATAGGATTCTAAAGAGGTCCAGGAAACTTGCCCACACTTACCAAACTCGGATCCTCAAGACTATTGTCGCCGCCCATCGCCCGTTAACAGTTGACGAGATTCGAGAGGTCATTAGCGTGGAGCCAGGCAATACCGACTGGAGCCCGGACATGCTGGTGAATGACATTCACGGCGTTCTGGCCTGCTGTGGAAGTTTAGTGACTGTTGATGAGGAGAATCTGTCAGTTTATCTGATTCACCAGAGCGTGATGCAATTTCTCCTTGAGAAACCAACCGCTACCAGTGGTAATCCCTATCCAGAGTCGCACTTCACCATGGAAGAAGCCCAGAAACTGCTCGGTGAGAGTGTGATTACGTATCTGAACTGCTCCCTTTTTGAAAGACAGATTTCGAAAGACGTCGCTCACGAGGTTCGAGTTGGAGAGCTTCCTTCTCGCGTCATGCAAGAGGCTTTGGCGCCTGCTGGGGTGGTTGGACAGTTGGCAATCCGGTGGTTGAAGTCGGAGTCCAACCCCAAGTTTGACGCAAAGCAGGCACTGACGGAAGTAAGAAGACGGCAAAGGAGTCGCCAGGCGACGGAATTGTTCCACTTCCTCTCATATGCCTCCAAGTACTGGCTTCAACATTCTTCGTGGATAACTAAAGAGTCGAAACTATTTGAATTATGGGTTAGGCTTCTGGAGAACCCCAGATTCGATGAGTTGACATGGACTCAGGACTTCGCATCTCGGGATGATTTGATCCTGGACACTGACACTGGCGTTCTTTGGAGCTTTTCGAAGCGCATAATGTGGGCAATCATTAACGCGCATATCCCCTTATTTCGCTACGAAATTAAAGGCAGAGATTGGTCGAAGGCTTTTGGAACTGTGATTCCATACCTGAGGAGATGCATGCAGTGCAACCCTCGACCGAGGATAGCAGCTAAGATGTGCACCCAGCTTCTCCCACTCGTCGCCCTGTTCAAGGATCATGCGGTTGTCGGTTGGCTCGTTTCAATGGGAGCCTCCCTTCCATTCGACTCGAATACCGCATTCCATAAAGACATCAGCGACTCGAACTATGCAATAGTAAAGGCAAAGTTGTCTCATGATAGATCATTCTTTTCAAAATCTCAGGTGGGACAGCTTTTGGATCTCGCTCTTTTGAAGGGAGATTCGAACATGGTTAAGCTTCTATGCCACCTCCCCGGGCTCCCTTTGAGTAATGTGCTCAGTGGCGATACATCGGATCCATTGGTGATCATGATTATTTACCACTTGCTCAAAGGGGTACCGCGGCTCTACCATTGCAACGTTGATCGGCTCTGGGTAGATATCAAGTTGATTCACCGAATGACCAGTAGTAGCTTCTTCGACATGACAAAAGCTATCTTGGAAGCTGCAAATAGATCTATGCCGAGAATGAACTTCAACGCACTTATTGAAAATGGGATGGAACGGTACTGTCTCTTAGCTGACCTCTCACTTGTCCAGGCCCTTCGCCCTTGGTTGAGGGACGACGCAAACGTTGAGGTCATTTCGTCCTTTATCCGACATGCCCTCCACGATAGATCAGTTGAGCGAAGCAAAATCGTATCAATCATCTGGAGATATATCGATAGCGCTTGGAACAAGGATTCCGGACATTATAACCAATACGTCGAGCTTGCTCGGGAAGCTCTCATACGTTGCCTGCAGCTTAGAGACTGGGACCTCGCCCGTGACATTCTCTTGCGGAACGCCTCTCAATCTTCGATACTTTCGGTAAGAGCCATAAAGATCAGCTTAAGGCATTACATCATAGAAAGTAATTTGTTGCATTACTGTGCAGATGCAGCAGACTGGGACGGCCTCACCTTTCTGACCAAGGATGTCGAGTTTCCGCTCAACAACAGCATCGCCCGCTTCTCCTCTCAGTACGACTATCAAACGCCACTAGAGATCGCGCTCGGGGATGACTTCGAAAATATCCTATCTTTTGGAAACGCGGTCCGGACGATACAAATACTTCTTGGAAGCAGATCCTATGGAAAGATGAAGAGACAGTCCTATGAGACCGAAGCCTTCGAAGCATTCGAAGACTTTGAAGGATTTGAAGCTTTTGAGTCCTTCGTAGCCTTTCTGAACAGGCTCCGTGACTTACCAGATTTTTCTCCCGGGATGACTCGACAGGTTAAGCAGATCATAGATGCTATTTTAAACGTTCCCAGAGATTCTGACAAGGACTACACGGTGCAGCTGCTGTTGTGGTGTATCCTTCAGAGCTACTCAGGGGCCTTTACTAAAAGCAATATTCAAGAGCGATATGGAGTTGTATATGCTTCCGCTCCTCATGTAGTGGAAAGGAAAGACCACTACAACCTGCTTATTGACGCAACACTGTCGTTTCGCACTACGGAAGATGCGAAGATTCTGGTCCCATCGCAGCTAGTTGATAGGATACGTCTAATCGACAGATTCCTTCCGAGAAAACTGCACAACCAAGGCTGTGTGAGATTCGAGGCCCAGATCGACGCTGTCCCTGGATGGTTGCTTCTGAATATACCCGAAGATGACTCTGAAGATGCTGCTCCAAAAGTGAGCAGCGAGAGCCTTGGACTTGGAAAACATGCGTCTCACAGCCCTGAGCGGAACTATGGCTCGGGGCTGCAGTGATTTATGTTTATATAGGGCACAAATACCGAAACCGGCGACATCAAATGTATCGCAATACGACTCTTTACACCAATTAATCAGTATATGCTTCGATAAACCTAGAAGATGATTTCGCACTGATTTTTTATTTCTTCTTTCATATTCAAAAATCCCTGATACCCGTAACTCTCCTCATAAATCCGACACGCTCGGCAAAAGATGGATGACACGTTCAACTTTGCTCTCAACACATTCTACTATGAACTCCTCCTTGCCAGACTCTCCGCCGCAGTGGAAATATTAAATCAAGCTCCCGCCTCCTACTGTTAGATGCTTCTGTATGGAGGCGTCCAACTCAACATCATTTTGAAGCTCCCACCTACGACAGAGCACGCGCGTACTGCAGCCGCGCAAATCCACAAACATGGTGCAGACGGTCCATCGAGGGAGCGAGCCGGAAGATAGACTTAGACTCCCATGCATGCTTTACCCGTTCATACACTGTTTATGGCATGTATATAATTGAGGCAGCCCTCCGTGGTGACGTGAATGTACACATATGGCATTCGGCAGTCTAGCTCTTTTGGATTCAATGAGCTGATTCTCGAGCCTTGGGAAACGGATTTACCGTTCCATACAGCTTAAGACTTAAGCCTTGACTAAATCGTTCACTCAGTGATAAGAAGTTGCGTACTTAGATTGTTGCATTTATATTGGATTTGCCCGTTGTTGGTGCATTAGTCGTACCGTGGTTAAGATGTCATGAATAAGAGGCAAATAGAATGTGTACAGTCCCATCTTTACAATCACTAACACTTACATGAGTGAATATTTCACTTAATCACACTGAACGTATCCTCATCGCTCAAATGCAACGACGCAAGATGATATTAGGTCAACGTAGTTTGGCGTGGAGTACTCATAGAGTAACAGAGGATCATGAGGGTCAAGAACGATTGAGTGCAACAAGGCCAGGCGCGATTGAGGGTCAAACAGGGCAAAGGATCACTTTCTATTCGTGAGTGACGATCCTCACAAGATTGACGTTCCGATGCCCTTCCACCCCATGTTAGAAAGCTTGGCCGGTTTGATTCAAACTTGCCCTTTACATTCAATCCCAAGATCAATGCCGTTGAACGCAGTGGTCTAGGTCATAAGGCTACGACAAGATGCATCGGATGGTGTAGCCTATCTTCGAATCAACGCCGAAAACTCATCACTCTTGTGTAACCCAGCGGCATCCGAATAACCCATGCATTCACTTGTAAAACAGTAACACGTGGTCGTCGGCCTTCGTATCGGCATGGACTCACGAACTATCATCGCCAAGATTGTCATCCTGCAATCGAGAGCAGAGACACTCAATCACATCCCACGCCCTCGTTTGCCATGCTGGGGATCTCTATATATTTGTAAACTAGAAGGGCGCTGCGGAAAGTATCTCCTCCGCCAGAGACATCCTCAGCCCTCGATGCCATACATATCACCTCGAAAAAATGAGTCCCAGCAACATCAACCCCCCCTCGTCCTCCCACCCGGGGGCGAACGCCAGAGAGCTCCTACGCACAAACACCCCCGTCGCCACCACCAATCCGTCACAAAAGATCTTCGACGCGAGGAGCCTCGCGGGGAGCAGATACGAATCATGCGACTCAGATGACTCATGCGACAGCGACGGTAAGACACCAACGCTGTTCAACACACCACCACGGCCTCCTCCAGCATCGCTGGGGGCGGCGGAGCAACCTCCCCGGTGCCCCAGCCGGCCGAGGGGCATGGTCCTGAGGGATTGGGCCATGACGAAGATCCCGGACAAGGAGATCCTGGACGTCCTCACCAGGAACGTCAAGATCGGGGCGAGGACAATCTCTATTTTCGAGGCTGCCCAGCCTCGCCTTGGCTCTTCCGCCGCTCAGCAGCCGCCCTATGATCTAGCGGTGGCACTTCACAACTCCCTAAGTGAATCAAATCTCTCCATTGAGCAAAAGAGAAATCTCTTCATCAGTCTGGATTGGAAATTTGAGTGCCTTGCATGCGGAGAGGTCAAGAAGCCCGACGCTTTCGACAAAGGGTTTCATCTTTGGGGTCCTGCGAAAGACGGGCCAAAACCCTGGCTGAGGAGCGGACCCTGTCGGAACTGCGTCAATAATATGAGAACATCCAAGAAGCCAGAAGCGCTCGTCAATTTTGATGTTTGTCTTCCTCCGGAATGTGTTAACAGGGGGCGACCGGCTGAGCAGAAGAGCTAGACACTTGTTACTGGTCTTGTGTAGATGTAGACAGAGCCTTAGAAACTAGAAACAGTGCGCAAGCAGCTAGATAATAACATAATTAATGCAATAAACTATTAGACTCACATAGATACTTCTAAAATTTCTATGACTAATTATACGCATGTGTTTTAAACAATTCCTTCCAATCATGAAACGTTTATCGTAGATATTACCAAGAGTAGAGCATGATGAATGCCGTCCCAATGAACATTGATGTCCAGGCCTAAAAAGAAGTGACATTTAGTCTTAGGTAGACTCCTGAGACTCTTCCCATAGTTTTTTGGCCAGCTCCTTCTTGACATACAGGCTGAGGCGTGAGGCAGCACCGCAGTAAACCAAGTCATCGCCAGGGCATAAGAATGAGCATTCTGAGTCTGTCACATTCTTTCCGGGCGTGGCATTCGTCTCTCCTTCCAAGTTCAATTTATTACCACACCAGCACTCCCTGCCATATTCAACACCAGCCCAGTCATACTCCCAGCAACGCTCGAGACAGGACTTGATTGTCATATTGTCACCGTTGTTGTAGATCTGATCATCCATAAGCCTTCCCGCCGATGGCTCTTCGACACAAGAGTAATATGTGAAGTTTTGGTTTCCAGGGTACACGATTGGACCCGTCGGGGTCGATGAGGCTGAGGTAGGAGTAGTTGTGGAGCTAGTGGAAGAGGTTTTTGAGGGTGTGCTTGATACCGACTCGGATTCGGAAATTGACCCAGCGGTCGAGCTCAAAGAGGAGCCGGGAGTGGAAGTCGAGCTAGGGATAGAGCTGGAGGAAGAGCTGGAGGAAGAGCTGGAGGAAGAGCCGGGGGTCGAGGTTGAGGCAGAGCTGGGGCTGGAATCGACATCATCGACCTTGGAGCTAGATGCAGAGGCCGGAGTTGTTGATGAGACTCCCGAGGTTGGGGTAGCCACTGGGGTAGACGAGGCGCCAGAATCAGCAGAAACGCCATGCTTATACAACTGTAAGCGCATGGAACCACCGCAGTATGTACTTTCATCGCCAGCGCAGGTGATAGAGCAGGTGCTAGGGTCATCGGCCTTGGTGCTGCCCTCTCGAAGCAAGTCATCACAATAACACTCTCTTCCATACTCAACACCGAAGTATGCCATTCCAGAGCAGAAATTGGCACACTTTTCTAGTGTCATGTCATCGGTGGCCTCGGTACGAGCTGACAGAACGCGCCCGTCTGCTAGCTCATTCCAACAAGCCTCGAACACCCATTCACCCACTCTTGATTTGATTGTAGGCTGAGCAGGTTCTGTTGCTGTTGCTGTCGTGGTTGTTATTGCAGAGCTGGAAACGGTCGAGACACTGGTGGGCGTAGGAGTAGTTGTGCTATTGTCGGGGTTTGTGCCATTGAATGAGGCTCCATACTTGTACAGATTTAAACGAGAGCCACCGCCGCAATATTCGGTAGAGTTTCCTTTAGGGATTCTTAGAAAAATCCGAAGACGTGAAGGAAGGGTTACACTTACCTGAACATGTCATACCGCAATCAGCATCAGGGGCTGAGAGTGATGCGCTGCTCAGTGTATCGCCACACCAACACTATAATCAATTTGTCAGTACACTGCAGGATTAACATTTCCAACACTTGGAAATTGTAAACATACCTCTGCCCCATACTCTAAACCGGCGTAGAGGTATTCTCGATCAGCGCATAGCGCAACGCACTTAGCAACGGTAGCTTCTGTAATACTAATCTGTTGGGATAAAGCGCGACCGCCCGATGCAGGCTCTGTCCAGCAGCCCAGACTGCCGTAGCCGAGCACCCCAGGGTTAACATACGGACCGCCGGGGGGAAGAGGTTCAGTTGAGTTCTCGTCCCAACGTAACGAATCGGCAAACAGCGAAATAAATATACCAGCCCCATCCACACCATCTCCACCGCAGATCTGGTTCAGGTCTCCAGAGCAGTCAAAGTTGCAGTTCTTGTCATCCACCTTCAAGTTAGGTATTGTGTTGCCGGCCCAGCATTCGCGATGATACTGGGTTCCACAGAATATATAATCTCCATTCTCGCAAGCGTTGATACACATGAAGCCTTCATTCGTGTCACTGCCATAGAGCTGAGTAGAGAGCTGCCGTCCTGGATTGTTCTCTTTGTAACAGCCGGCATATCTAAACTTGCCTTGGCCATTGTCCAGGAGAGGTGGAGCCTGTTGAGCCATGGCATCACAATCGAAATGCATGGTTTGCTTCGAAAATTCAGGGTCGTTGATGTTCATCGTCCATGGAGCAGTGCCATTATACGAGTCAACATTGATTTGCGACTTGGGAACCGCACAGGTGAGAACAGCAGTAGCACTCTCTCCGGGTGCAAGGGTGGTACCCTCAGCAAGATCAACTTGGTTGTTGGCCTGGACAATGCTGTTAATGCCGAAGGGCGGCTTTGAAACCGTAAGACTCATTTGCACACCACCCTGAGGAGCACCATTGGTGACACGGAGCTTCAATGAAAGAGCAGTGTTTTGGTAGACCTGACCGAAAGTGAAGTGTGTATTGGCATCATACTTGACCCAACCTGTGCCATCAGGAGTCTGGAATTCAACGACAGCAACAGGGGCAGGGCCAGCCGAGGCCTCGATATTGAAGGAGTCCTCGCCACCATTAGTAGTGAACTTGACATAGCCATGGAAAGTTCCACCGGTCGACGAATCAAAGAGAACAGTGACGGTCTTGCTGCTGTCCGCAGCAATAGTGGTAGGGATATCTTGAATCGTGAATTTCCCAAAAACAATGTTGCCTTGTCCATTCCAAGTCTGGAGTGTTCCGTTTGAGCTTTCGCCGTATTGCACAGATGTGACAGTGAGCAGAGACCGGCCCTCGTTGCTAACGAGTACAGTCTCCGTGACACCATTAGGGTCGTTCCCGGTAATGACCCCGTTAAATGTGACCGTTTCAGGGCTGATAGTGAGTAGAGGGCCTGCACTCTCGCCAGTGCCTGAGACACGAATAAGGGTGTTCTTGCTGTAGCCAGCCTGTGAATTGGTTGTATCGACGGCAATGTTATCGGACAGAACGCCAACTCTAGAAGGGGCGAACTTAGCCTTGGCCGTGAACTTGCTGTTAGCGGCAACCTGCAATGGAACGGTAGGCACGTTAGTGAGCTTGAAGTGGGTGCCATCTTGCAGGGCGATGTTCGAGACAGTAATGTCAATAAGAGCAGTACAAGTGATGTCCCTCTCGGAGCTCTCGGAGGAGATATCAATAGGTCCAAAGTCGAGGTTGGTGGTGCATTCAAGCGGTGAAGTCGTTGGGGATCCGAACCCGTAGAAAGTTCCTAGAGTGGTGCCCATATAAAGTCTACCATCACCAAACACTGCACGTGTGAACTTGGTGCTTCCGATGACATCGAAAGACTTGATCAGATTGAGTTTGCCATCCACTGGCACCGCGTCATATATGCGTAGATTGCCCTCCTGAACATCACAGTTCCAAAGGAGGCCAGTTCCCTCCTTTCCGTCCAGTGTCGTGACTGTGCCGTGGCTCACGCCTAGAGTGTAAGCATTGACATTAGGCGAATCCGCAACCTTGGTAAAAGAAGGAACACCATCACTACAGGAGAACTTGAAGACATGGGTGGGGTATTGGATGACTGTTCAAAAAGTTAGCCAAATCGCCATTCTGATTTACGCAGTGGCATACGCAGACGACTTACCATTCACATATATGTAACCCCCTTCCAACGGATAAACACCAGCGCCAGCATACACGGAGTTCTCGTTCTGGTACATTTGGATTACATCATCCAAAGTCGCTCCTTTGCCGTTCCTGTATCCTCCAAGGTCATCCATATTGAGCCAGTATGTCTTACCACTCTTTCCAGTAATAACACCCATGCGTCTTACATCGCCGCAGGAGAACTCTGAAGGAAGGAGTTGGAGAGGGCTTGTTCCGAGATCTTTGTCTGCACCATCGAGTGCCTGCTTCTCCCAAGGCATGAAGAAGTTGACAATAGACAATGTTCCGTCCGCGTTTTGAGTCATACGAACGGCAGCCTCCTCCATAGCAGTGGGCGGATCGAAGCCATTCACGGGGATAGTGGCAAGCTGAGAGGCATAGCCGTTCCCAGTACCAAACCAGATGGATCCTGCGTCATCAGAGGCCAAACCACCTCCAGACATCCAAATACCGGCACCTCGGGTCGTTTCAGGGACATCAGGGCCCTGGGTTACCCATTTCTCAACAATGTTGCCAGATTTGTCCCAGCCAATGACCCAGCCTGAGAAATCGTACTGAACACAGTGAGATCCGAATCCGGCATAGAAAAAGCCTCCAGTATGCAGAAGGCCAGGTCGTTGAAGCAGAATGCCGCCGTTAAATTTTCGCACCTGGCTATTGCGAGACACAATGCCCTCGAGATTGATCGGGAAATTTGGCCTGTCGCTCAAATCATTGACGTCAATAGCAAAGATAAAATAACGACCGGCCGGACGACCCTGAGGTTCTTGACTCTCTTGGTTCTCGTAGGTCTTGACGATTACATAGTAGGTTCCGTCATCGGGGTCAATAACACCAGTACCAATTGCACCGACCGTAGGGTTGATGTCAACGCAGCCATCGAGATCCGCAGTCAAGAATGGAATTTTTAGGTTACGCGAAGCGATAATGGCGCCCGTCTTGGAATCAAGCTTATAGACGTTGTTTTGGGTAGTGGTCACGTATACGTATTGAGTGTCACCCCCCGAAGGCGTATAGACAAGAGGCTGAGAGTAAATGACTTCTTTGTAGCCTTTATAGTTTCCAGGAAGGTCGGTTTTAAACAATTGACCCCATTCAGAGCTGCGAACGACAGCTGGGTCCATGTTATGATTTCTAGCTCAGAGCACCCGCAATGTCAGACCTTGGGCCTTTTTCGTGCCAATTGGTGGTTTCCAATTGAGATCACGAAGGTGAAGATTTAGTAAACTCACGTTTGGTACCCAGCACGAGTATTGTCACCTCCCCAGGTAATGGTATCGGTTGAGGCCAGGCCATTAGCCAGGCCGACCAACACCGACGCGAGCAAGGCCGCGAAACCCATGGTTTCCGACAAGAGGGCAAAGGTCTAGAACGAGCGACGTGCCACGCTCAATGGGGAGCACATGGGAATGGAGAAAGGGAACGATCCCCAAAGCACGGTGTGGGAAACGCCTCCATCTTATCTGTGGCTTATACCTTCGGTGCACAGCTAGCCGAGCGGAGAAGAGTTAGATTGGGCTCAGCTGCGCAAGTGAGCGTTGTTGAGTGCAGAGTAGTATTGAGGGAAATGCCAAGTTACCAGGATGTGAAGAAATACCCAGGTCCCAGCCAGCAATACCCCTGTTTGCTGTTTTTCCGTCCCTGCATGTAAGCGGACAAGAACAGCCATGGATTCAACGTCCACACGTTTTTGGAAGATTGCGTGGAGGTGGACCAGGAGCTCTATCCCCGGCATCTGTTGAGGCTTTGATCATAACGAATGATCATAACGAACAGCATCTCATCGGGCCTGCTACCGAATCGGCGTAGGCAAGGGAACACAGGAGTGAGAACCGACAGAACGTTAAAAGAAAATGGCTTCATATTGATATCACCAAGGTAATAATGTATGCCATAATGTCCACAATTTACGGCTGGTATGCGCCTGTATGCAGTAAATAGGTGAGCAGAAGAATTTCCTCGAGATACGAGACGCATGCCAAGATGCTAGAACTTGTGATGGATGGATCCCGCCACCACGATTCCAGAAGGCGGCAAACAGGGGAGGGATGGAGGGCTCATGGATCGTTATCATTTAGCCGCCCCACCGTTTCCTCAGTCCACTTCTGCGAGGTACGCAGAATCCGGGCTGTCCTCATTCGAAAAGTTCGTTGGGAACCGGGAGGTGCGTGTGGTTCGCGCGACGATCCCAGGGCAGCCGTTGTAAGAGACAGCCTGGCGTGCGTTGCTTTGTCGTATCCAGCTGCGGGATGGAGTCGACAAGGGGCAGTATGCAACCACCACGCACCCGCGGGTGGCACCTTATTCACGGTGTAAAAGGCCCGGCGCGACCGGTAAAGGGCACGCGATGGAAAGATACAATCTTGGCGTCGAGTCAGGCAACGAGCGTGAGGTTGAAGGGATCTCGGCCTAGGCAAAATGAGGCAGATGCAAATGGCAGACGGAGATGTCTAAAAAGGTACATGCACCGCCCAGACCAGGGCCTGTCACCGTCCAAGATGCCTTTGCATTCGTGCCTGCCGCCATTTCTCTTCCAGGCGCACTGGCCGAGTGTTTTGGCGCCATCGATCGCTCCTTCTCATCCAGGTCAAGCCCAAAGATGGGCTGAGGCAAGTACAGCCAACAGCCACAAGCGCCAGAAGATGCTGAACAGGCCATTCCTTACCTTACATGGATGTAGGGTACCCAATTAGTAGGTAGGTAGAGGCACCTAGAAAGTTTGAACTGGCCTATCTATCCGCGCGGCCTTGGCTCACATACCGTTTCTTGGGCTGCCTCAGCTTACAGGTATCCTCCTAGCCAGCCATAACAGCCCTCGTATTGGCATGCAGCTCTGCATATGTACAATCTATCTTATGCAGGTATACGTTACAATCAACACCGTCTTTTGAAAGAATCTTTTCCAGCTCAGCTCTCTCAGGGAATTCCTGAGCCCACAGTATGGGGTGACTTGAACGCGGCTGCCATGCACGCGCTTGTGAGCCTCGCTGCACTCCTGCATGGCCATGCGTCTTGGGTTCTCTCACGACTTACCATGTAGGCAAGCAATTGGTTGATACCTGAGATGAGTATCAAACAAAAAAGACGCCGCGCTGGTCCGTCTCTGCCCGTCGCACTGCCATCAGCTCAACAATCAAATATTTCTACTCCAATGGAAAACCCTGGCGCACCCATGCTGCGGCTGGCCGATTGAGCCCAGACCTGCTGAACTCCAGCTGATAATTGATGGCCAGCCTTACCCTCCTCCTTACGTAGCATGCGGATTGTCCCCCCGTCTTACCGGGCGGCAATGGAGGGATAGCTCAGGGCCCGTACACTCGTGGAGCCATCTATGTCCACATTCACAAGCCAAGTTTTTCAATTGGCTATTTTCAGGCAGCTTCAACCTCAATCGCTGGACACGTTTGCTTGTAGGGTGAGAAGGCGGTTGATGAGTGTCTTAGCTGGAAGCAGAAGACAGACTGAAGCATCAATCGTAGCGATCCGGTGTTTCAAACCTACATAGACAACTATCGATGAATACCCCTTACTATCTTCCCCGGCTGTTCAAATCGAGATGCCAGGGCAAACAACAGCCCAAACAGCCCAACAACGGCTGTGGAGCACTCCCGGGCCATTCCGACTACAGTCTCCCTGAGCCCATATCTTCTTATATCCTGGTTACTTTGCCCCGCACCCGCAGCTTTAGACATACGATTGTCGCAATCCATCAGCCGAATATTGTCTTGGGACGCTCTAAAGGCTCTCCATCTAGACTTATATCGACCTTCTCGTTATAGAAGCACACCATCCCAGCAACAGCCGCACTCTCGTGTGTCGGTAGTCGATAATACCAGACAAGGTTCTGCTGCTCATTTCCATTTATAACAATGTGGTAGTATTCTGCTTCACCTTTGTAGGGGCACTTGGTGACCAGCTGGCTCTTGCGAAGGACAGATTGGTCCACAGCTGAGAGAGGGAGATAATATCTCGTGGGCAGCCCAGTTTCGAATAGGTGCATTGCAAAATTGGACTTGGCAACGGTCTGCCCTGACACCTTGACCTCAATTGGTCGCTGCGACGGCAAAATGTCGATGCGCTTGAAAGGGTCCTTGGCGTGGACGTAGATAGGCTGATCTTCTTCAAGCCATTTATCTGTGTGGCAATCGTTTTGGGTCAGTCTCGCGATGATATCTCAGCAGCCATCTATCACCTACCCATACTGCCGAACTCAAGACGGACCATTTGCGTTGCAGAGTCCAAGCTTCCGATCCCTTCAAAGCAAACAACGCGGTCTGTTGTAGCGGTATCGGCTTCACCCTCCCCTGCTGCAACTGTGAGTGTGGCTACCGAAGCCTTTGTGTGTCCATCAATCTGGATTTTCTGCGTTTCCTTGAGGTCGCCCTGCAGATCCTTCAACGGAACGTAGTATTGCGGAAAGTAATCATGTTCCCAAACCAAGGTTGCAGCTGTCGTATCGACAATTATTTTGCGATTAAACACAACCCGGACTCTCCGTGACGTCCCAAGTACCTTGCGAGTGCCGTTCTTGACCAGGTGCTCGGCCAATTCCGCGAGACTAGAATGTATTAGCAACGCTTGCCTCTGCGGCTTGTTTGGAAGGCCTACTCGGTTCCAGAAGCGCCCACTTTCGCCATTTTATGTGTAATTTAATCAATAGACAGAATATTTGGGTATGGTCAGTGATGAAGAGAAGATTTCTTTTATGTTCACCTCGGAAGCTCCGGTGCTCAGATTGATAATGGCATTACCCCGCATGAACGTAGATGACATAACAGATGCAACATTTCAATAGGCCATCTCTAGAAACCTAAATCTTTTGGGTTGTTTGATTTCTAATATTCGCTTTAAAGCACATTATTGGTGACCCGAGGCGTTCGGGTTTGACTCTACGCACATACATTACTTGAACATCTAGGTAAGCAGTATTCTTTATTCAGGCCGTTAAATGTAGCACCTATACTAAAAAGGAAGAAGATTAACAGTGATGCTCCTATTCCATCCCCTCTTCTTGATTTCATCAATAGCACATGAAGGATTTCTCGGCGAAGTGTGGTGTTTTCTTTCCCACCCCTTCCACGCACAGACGAGTCCCTGATCAAACCTTCTGGTCTGCGCCAGGGGATCTCAGAACTCCCTCATTGTGATAAGCCGTAGGCTTCTCGTTTACATCATTATACTCCGTAGCGAAGTCGTACAGAGGAGGAAAGTGATCAACATCAGCGCGGAAGACCTTCTTCTTGAGATACCAGGGCAGCTTCTTGGTGTAGTAGCTAGCATGATCCCTGTTTCTGACCTCAAAGACGTTGTCCAGCTCCTCGAGCGTGAGGCCCTTGGTCTCGGGCAGCATGAAGTAGGTGAAGGTGAAGCCAATCAAGTTCCACACCGCGTACCAGCAGAATGCCCCGGTGTTACCGAATCCGACGACCATGCTCGGCCAGCTGAACGAGATGATGAAGTTGAACCCCCAGCAGATGGCCGTCGAAGAAGACATGCCAATGTCACGGAAGTGCAGCGGGAACGCCTCCGCACTGTATGTGAAGGGCACGGGGCCTTCGCTTGGGGAGTATGCCGCCATGAATAGATACAGGCCGGTGACGACGCACCCCATTCGTGCTTGTTCGTTCGGAATCAGGAATGAAAACCCGGTGAAGAAAAGACAGGCCGACATGATCGGGAAACCGACGAGAAGCAGGTTCCGGCGCCCAAAGGTGTCGATGGTGTACACGGCGGGGATCGCAAAAAGCCAGTTTATCAACCCACCACCCATCGATGCAAGAAGTGCTTGCGTCTGCGAGAAGCCAGAGTCTTTAAACATCTTCGTAGAGTAGTAAGCTATCACGTTAACTCCGCATAGCTGCTGCATCAGCCTAGTACGAATTAGTATTTGCACTGTGTATTACACACTGTATGTATGAAACATGGTGATGGTTGGCTCGTGGTGTTTTGGTGTTTTGGGGATATAACATACATGCAGAACCAGGCTGACTGCGCGGCACGACGGTTTCGACGAACCGTGAAGAACTCAGTCCACGAGTGGTTGGCACGGTTTGCCCGCTCAACCTCCAGAAGCTTGTGGGCGTAGTACATGTCCCGGGTTGCCTGGACGGGGAGACGGCGGAGACGGCAGACGGATCTGTAAGCCTTGTCGTAGCGGCCCTTCTCCATGTACCACCGCGGAGACTCGGGGCAGAAGTAGACCTGTATCATCACAAGCAGCGGGGGCACAGAGGTGGAAGCGAGCATCCATCGCCACTGGGTGTTCTCGCCGAGGAAGTCGACCTTCTCGAAGGCAACTGACACGACGAACCCGAGGCAGATTCCGAAGGCGGTCCACATCTGCCACATCATGGTGAGGGCACCGCGGATGTTCTTGGGTGTCGATTCGGCCGAGTACACGGGAGTGGTCGAAGATTTTGCGCCGACTGCGAAACCAAGTGCGAATCGAGCAATCAAGAGGTTGGCAAAGCTATCAAAATACCCGTTAGATTGCTTCCAAAACGCATAGGATCGGGCGTACAGCCAATTCTTTACTTACTTGTTGGCAGCCGCCATCCAGAAACCGGTGACGACAGAAATAAAACAGGAGATGAAGATGGTAAATCGGCGACCACCAATCTTGTTCAGGAAGGGATTGGTCCAGCAACCAATGAGTGCGGAACACAGATACGGGGCTCCGTTGAGAAGACCCTGCAGGTTGGCGTTCTCGTCGCCCTCAATATTGAAGGTCTTGTAGTAGAACTCTTGCGCGCCGTTGACGGCTGTCTGGTCCATGCCCTGAACAACAGCCGATCCTGCACAAAGAATACAAAGGAAGTAGAGCATGAAGGGTTGATCCCACTTGTGAGTCTCCTCGCGACGCAGAACGACCTTCTCCTCCTCCGAAATAGTCTCGATGTGCTCGAAAGCTTGTGGGGTGTTGCTGACCTGGGCTAGGAGAGCGCCCTTGCGGAATTCGTCATGGTGCTCCTGGAGGCCATTCTCCTCGATGAATGAGTCCACGTCTTTGAGAATCTCCTCCGTGGTCAGGCCAGCGAGAGGGTTACGCAGAAGGGCTGCAGTTGAAGCTCGCCGGTTGTCCAAGACGGAATCCTTTCGGCCAGGCTCCTTTTCCGTAGCGCCGTTGCTGCTCGAGTTGTAGCCCGACCCTTCACGGGCCTCGGCTTCATGGTGGGGTGCCATAGTCTTTAGAACAGCAGGTAGTAGTGTATACTGCTTCGGGTGTTATTAAGTGGAATTGATAAGTCCCGTAGCCGAGCGAATCTTCACACTAGGTGTTTTCTCATAAGGACTCTAAGCGTTTGTATCCTCCTGTGCAAAATTATCGGAGATGGGTAGACTCAAGACGTCAGTAGGAAGTTGGGGAGGGAGATCGACCCATATATACACGTTTAAAGTATCTAAATGAGAAAACCTGGAGACCAATTGTTTTCTCCAGGTCGGGCCCAACAACGGTCAAGGCGTGGAGGGCGGAGAAGCGGAGTGGTGCCCTGCCTGTCACAAGTGAACGCACACTGTGATTCATGTGCTGATCAACGTGGTGGTTAGCATAAGACTAGCCTTGGAGGCTCGGCTGATACTACTACACGGTCTGTGTCTTGATACCTTTTGGGATGCGATGCGTCATGGGTGGTGGATACCGTGCCCTTGTCGTAGGATTGGCGCCGATTAATCGTCTCCCATTACGTATATTACGCCAATATCTATTGATTACAATAAAGCCTTATCATCACATCACACTTCATGTCCATTTGAAAAGCTGCAACTCATCCTGTCGATGTATTGTCGCATCTCAACTGATAGAATGAGGTATTACTTGAGAGACCTGAGATTAGTCTCTGGCATGATTCGAGAGGCAAGCTCAAATGTAGTACAGTTACGGTTTATACACTGTGTCACAAGAAGCTCTGGGCCAAGACATGCAAGTGATAGCGCCGGCAAGGGGGAGAATTGCCCGCTTAGATACCCATTGCCGCGATATCTCTGTCTTTACGTTGATGCCTGGAGTCTTGGCACTGTATCATTGGCGTTGCCCAGTCTGTTCTCCAGATTAAAATCTCTGATAAAGAGAGAGGCTTGCGTATCAACTGAAAATTCGGTATGTCCGTGCGATGACATGACGCTATTGTGCAGTTCAAAGTCCCCCCCAATGTCGATCAACAGGCCAGAGCCCGCTTTTTAATTAGACGAACGCGTTGAATGCTGGTAAAGGGATTCTGAGTAAACGCAATCGACTAGGATGAGCGAGAAGTCTGTTCCTGCTGATTGCTCGCCCGACCGACGACTATCCAGTCCCAGCTCCCGCCCAGCACAGAGGCAATCTCACAGTCACTTGGAAGCCTCATTGTCACAATTGAGATTCATCCGGTGGGATAGAGGCCGCTCACCTCATCAGAGGGGGCAAAGTGCAATGAAGCCCCCACCACAACCTACGTCACGTTTGTCTGTTTAACCTCAACCTCGGACACCTTTCTTTCCTGCCCCTGTCTCGTCGAGGGCTGAGAGGTAAACTTCATAGTAAGCTTAATTTACGCGCTACACCAACTGTATTTTCGCCTATCAATTGTCCCACCTGGTCTGAGATGGTGGGTGCATCCGCTGCTTGGCGCATCTTGGCAGACACTGGTTTCTTTCCTACACAATGAACAGTGGATAAGAGACTTATGAAAGGCTCGGGTGACGTCAAAGACTTCCTCTAGTGGACCGGGCAATTGCTGCAAACAGAGATGGCTGGTGTTGATCAAGACCGCGAGCCCCGCCGTTCTCCAGTATTCTTCTTTGATTCTGACGGCTTGGCAGAGCCTCTGATGCAACGCACCTCCGTCATCCAAGACAGAGAGAATTTGCACTATCAATTGGGGTTGAGAGAATGTCAGGATTTGAATTGTATCCGAGCTGCCAAGTTCTCCTCTTTGATCGTGTGCCATATGAACGAGTATGAAAGCTCATTCAAAGTACGTCAGAGCAGTCGACGCCAAGCCTTCAGAGAAACTCGCGTGACTTCGAGAAGCAACCTTCTTTATCACAGATGGTATGATTACTCTTGCCATGTATTTTCAATGCTGGATGAAATCTTCATTGCTTCTTTTGGGATGATCACTTCGTACCAATCTCTCATCCACTTGGCACTAATAACAAACAATAAATTATTACGCTTTTGGCTTGATATTGTGTTCATTACTAGGTTGATCGTTTTGATATTGTGCCAAAATTCATGCATTATGTCAGTCGCTTGGCACTGAAACACTGTGATAAGCCCTATGCGGGTTTTCAGGATGTTAGATCCTGTGAAAACTGAATTGCTAGAAGATCATCGAGAAACTTGGTAGCAAAACCCGCCGAGTTCTTGGATTCCCCGTTTAATTTAGGCACCGAAATTTCCATTGGGATTAAGACATTTCCGAGGCAAATTGCCCCAGAAAATAAAGAAATGGTCTCCATACAGTGCTTAACTTTATTATTATGCATGTTCCAGATGTATCAGTCGGTAAGCAAAGTCGGGGGATGGGAGCGGCCTATCAAGTTGGATGGCAAAGCTATGCTAACTGGAATTCCAAGATAGAGGCTACGAGGCAACAGTTGACATCTGGTCATTATGGAATTCTCCCCTGCTGAGAATACCGGCGAGACAAGGCTAGACAGCTACTTTAGCCTGCACAGGATAAGCTGGCAAGTGGGCGTCAGAATAACAAGGACTGGAAAGGTCTCTCAATCCCAACTTCCAACACAGGCCACGATATTGACAGACAATAGTTGATAATAATAATTATTGAGAAACTATTGGGCAATATTATCTACCTAATATGACACAACAGGAAGCATTATTATGTGACTGACTGCCGCAATGATTCTGTCGAGGTGACTTTTGGAGCACAGCCAGAACAGTCGGTATGTGCCCGAGAAGATCACCAACGCCTTGGAACCTCCACAATACAAGTAATGTATTGGTCGCAAAAACCGCTTAACGGACGCCCACCGTCTCAAAATGCTGCTGCCTGCTCAGCCGTTTTTAGAACTAAGTGCACAAATGGATCTAAACTAATCTGACCCAACTACCCGGACACTCGTGGGCATAGAAGCCGGGCGGAAGGGCCTTGATGGGCTGTCTGCTTCGCCGATCATCTTAAACAAGACTTCCATTTTCAAAAATAAAGACAGAATTACGCTTAAATTGTATTATTTTATACAAGCTAACCCGCTGGCAAGAGTCTAGCATCGACTTGATGAAGACCGAGCCAAGAGAAAAAGAATTCGTGACTTTCCCAGAAATTTGATATTCAAAANAAAAAAAAAAAAAAAAAAAAAAAAAAAACGCCATGCGAAGCAATCCCTTGAGCCGTGACTATCTTTCCCGTGCCCTAAACCCTAAACCGATGTTCCCCCAAGAATCACGTCCCGTTCCTCGCGCCCCCAAACTTCCTCAGGGTAAGCTACAGCTTGATTTCATTCAGCTTGGTAAGAATCTGCTTGATGAAGCGGAAGCCGATGGTAGACCCATCCTCCTCGTCATCATACTCCTCGTCGTCACCTGCCAGGTCCCCAAAGCTGTCGTTGCCTTCGTCCAGGCAGGTGAGGCACGACAGGACGACCTGCGTGTATCTCTCGCCCATCTTCTTGGGGAGCCGCGTCTTGGCGTACTGGACCAGGAACTCCTTGAACTTGGGGCCGGCGGTGTGGAACTGGTAGGCGTTGGAAAGCTCCCTGCCGGTGCTCTTGGTGTACCATGCCAGGAACTCCTGGATGATGGGGCCAAACTCGGGCTTCAGCGGTCCCTGGACGTCGGCGAATGTCAGGAGGGACTCGCACAGCCCAATCTCGAACAGGCAGACTCCCAAGCTGTAGATGTCGTGCTGCATTCTGTACTTCTCTGTGACGTTGAACCCCTGGCGCGAGGGGTGGCGGTAAATGTTCCGCTCCCATGCCGTGTCGCTCCTCATGACAGTGTTGCCATCCGAGGATCGGAAACACTCAAAACCGACGAGGAAGGTAGACCTTCGGCGTCTCGAGGTCAAGGCATCGTCGTTATCAACAACGAGCACGGATTCCGGGCAGATGTTCTTGTGCACAAAGTCAAAGGTATGGACGTAGTTGACGGCCTGCGTCAACTCCTTTGCGACCTGCACACGCCGCGTCAAGGTCAGCTCCTCGCCTGCCTGGTTCGCCTTGACCAGAAGCTCTCGGAGACTGTGCATTTGGCGAGCATCCGTGTTCTTGGGGGTCTCGAAGACGATGTCGATCCCCGTAAGCCACTTCTCCCGCCTCTCGGGCGATCTGTGGAATATCTTGATCGCACCCGTGCACTTGAGCAGACCAAAGGCGTACGGGTTGGCGTTCTTCAACCTGCGGGCCAGGTCCCGCACGTCCTCGGTCTTGTCGGCCTTGCTCACACCGTTGGAAATGTCGACCTTGACCAGAATCATTGACATACCGCTCCTCGACGTGGGGAATTTGGCGAGCTTTGCTGAACTGTATGGAATAGATAGCGTTTCCATTTCTCTCTCGGCGAGAAACACCGAGGCGTTGGTGCTGTCCTTGGGGCGTACGGCTTCTCGAATACCGCCAGCCAGCGCCAACGGGGTCGGCACGTCCCAGCTCAGGTTCCTCTGCAAACCCCGAGGGGAGGGAGTTTCCGATGAGTAGCTGGGCGGCGGTGTCCGAGTAGGCGACGGCGGGAACGAGCCATCTCTCGAGTCAATCCCTCTGGAGGCACTGCGGGCATGGTGAGCTTGGTGGCTGGCTTGTAGGCCAGCCTTGCGCAACTCCTCGTCGATTTTGGGATTCGCATTCAGCATCGTTAAATACCACGTCGGGTCGAAACGGTCGCGCCAATCATCTAGATCCGTGATGATCTCGTCCAAAGTCTCCTTCTCCCAGGCGAACTTGCCCTTCCTGGCCCACCGCTGGAACTGGAAGATCTTCTTCTTGCCACCCGGGCCCAGGGCGATCTCGTGCTGCTGCACGGCCTGGATGTTGGCATTGGCGACGGACAACTTCCTCTCCAGGACCTTCAGGCTCTCCTTGAAGTCATACCTTAGCTCGGGCTTCATCACGGGCTCGATGCGCTCCATGAACTGGGCCTGCTCCTTCATCCTGATCCAGACGCTCTCCACCTTCCGCGCCCTGTCGGCGAGCTCTTCATCTGCATGTTTGCACGATTCACAGAATACGACAATCCACTCCCCGTATCTGGAAGTTGTTAGAACATGTTCCACCTTGTGGATGACCTGGAGGTTTCTACCCCGCAATCGACCTAGGGAAAATACGTCCACTTACTTGTAGCAGTTCTCGAGGATCGCGAACACGGCGATTGGATCCATGATGGAAATGAGGCGCCTGCGAGGATCTCTTATCTGGCTCTTCTGTCCGCTTCAACTTTTTCTACCGGCCGGCGAATCTGGGGCACGGGAGGTCTGGGGCAGGCGGTTGGGCTTTATGCAGCTCGTCCATCGACAATGCTACCGCCCATCTAACCCAAAGTATCCAGATTAAATAATCAGCTCCCACAAATGCGCTTCCAGCCGCCGCCACTCGAGGGGCCTAAGCGTCTAGCCGCCAGTCGAGTCCCGGTCTCGATGCAGAGCTGATGCGATGGGTGACACACAGCCACCCCACCGCCTCACTGGGCGTTTTTGCGATCCCTCAACACTACTATGGCTATCTCTTTCCATCAACTATTTATTTAAATATTTAGGTGTCATTTAGGTGTATATTTGGGTGCATGTTTGGGTGTATATTGGGTGTATATTTGGGTGTTTTATTCCCGTGTCTCCATTTCCATGTCTAGCTCCTGCTTGCTTCACTGATTTTCTTCTATTTATCACATTTGTGGGAGAGTATGTCAGATAATGATATCATTCTAAATATCACTTGACCGTCCACTCCAGACACAACCACATCAATTCGATTAAGATGCTTAGAAATAATCGAATTTTAATATTTATCATAAAATTCACTATTCCGTCATATCTCGTGTCGCCGACGCAGGCCCATTGACAGGACGGGTTCCAGGAGGTTGTGCCCAAAAATAGGTCTTTGATACGTGACGGTTGTAGGGAGCATGAAAGGCGTTTCAGCGGCGTCGCAAATCATCTGCAGCGCTTCAGCTTGTCACGGATTCCGCTAACTGCACCTGCATTCAATTACAGCAATAAATACCTAGGGTTTACTCAAGGAACTGCTCTGCGTTTCCTGAACAGATTGAGGTGGATGGAAATCTCATAATCACCAAGGCTCCAATCTTCTCTTCTTCAGGCTTTTACCTTCGCCCCTCTTCTCGTGCAGTAGATAACCAACAAGCGCTTTCTTGGTCGCCAATAGAGTCATTATCACCAACCTTAAGATCCGTCATGTCCGAAGCAGCTTTATATGATATCCTATTCATAGACCGGTCTCAGAACTGTCCTACTCCGCTGCCGACTCCAAATGACATAGACGGCTCTGAAGTCTTACCCAATAGACCTGGCAGCGCTCGCCTCGTCAGAATACAGCAGAGGTTCATTGTGAAGTTCGGTGCCCATGTGCGACCTATAGAGGCCCAGAACATGCTATACGTGGCAAAGTCTACCACTGTGCCAGTCCCCAAGGTCTACGCCATCTACCAACGCCGAGAGAAGCAGAGCACAGTCACATATATTGTCACGCAATATGTGCAGGGCACAACACTCATGGACTTGTGGGGTAGCCTCGACCGAGCTCGTAAAACCTCCATCGCCAAGACGCTTCGGACATACTTTGACCAGCTTCGGCAGCTAGAGCACCCGGGCTATTTCGGCAACATCAACGGCGGACCGCCACTCGACGATATATTTTCGGCGACACAGGGTGCCAACGAGATCAAGGGATCGTTCGCTACCGAGGACGAGCTGACGGACTGGATCATTCGAATCTACTCTCTCGAGATCGGCGAATGTGCGGACTCCAAGACTCGGTATTACCAACATGTCCTGCCAAACGTCCTTCGCACCGATGGCACTCCTATCTTCACCCACAATGACTTCCAGAGGAAGAATGTCATTGTGCAGGATGACGGAGCTCTAGTCATTGTCGACTGGGAGTTTTCATCCTGGTATTCTGCCTACTGGGATACTCGACGGCAATGTTTGCTAACGGCTGTTGGAACGATGACTGGCATGAATACGTCCGCATCGCCTTGGATGAATATCCAAATCAGTCTCTTTGGTTGTCAACTTTAAAGCTGGAAATGTGGTCTTAGTATATATACTGTAGATAGTTCTATCTGGATTTGCTCTCGACGGTTTCTTCATTACCGCGATCAAAATATATCGTGCCTTGTTATCCCGTCGCCGCTGAAACGGTGGTGGCCTTCGCTGGTGGATGGACCCCAGGTGGGTGTGGCTGTTTCGCAGCCTTTGCTCCTGGTCTTGACCGCGAGTTTGGTAGGGAAATCGCTGGGGTTTGTCCAGCGTCATGGGCTGCCATTCTCAAGCTTATAACGCGGGGTTCTCAGAGTAGACGGCGAGTGCCACACCACTGGGCAAGAGAATGAACATTCTTCGAGTGGTCAAGTCCTTACTCGGGGTGACGTGATTCAGCCTCAAGCTCTGCGCATACAAACAATATTCGTAGCATTGTAAATACTGTGAACATCTCGGAACCATTCAATTTTACACCAACTCTACTTCAAATCCTGCCTGGGCACGGATATCATCCAGGATCCATTCGATCGGCGTAGCATACGTGACATCGTTGACACCTCGATTCGCCGGCCCACCCGTCAAGATATCAGCAATACGTCCCAACATATCCCAAATTCACGACCATGAGTCACCACTTGCAGAAAAGCCCAACATTTCTGTCTCAGTCTGTTTTCGTCCCACAATACACCATTCTTCTCTAATGACCAATTGCCCAGTAATCACTTAGATCTTGTGATATCAGGCTCTTTGATTTCGCAGTGCACGTCATGAATACCATATTGCTGCAAGATTCCTCTGCAACGTATAGCTACTAGGTACCCTTGGTCCCATGTTGTGCTGTTGGGAGCGACAGAAACGAGAAGCACATGATGTTCTTCAGGGTCTGGATCCTCAGGGCGTTGCCAACTGGGATCCAGGCCTATCTTAAGAATATCGACCGCTGTCCAATCAAGGCCATTAAGACCATTGACGATCTCTTGGCGCAAAGTCCCGCCCCAAAGAGATGCGATCGGGTGAGTTGGTGATGCCGTGGAAAGATGTTTTTTAACACCCCGGTTGAGGCCGCCATTCCCACGTTCAAACTTGATGTCAAGGGAGTTGGAGCGCGCAACAAGCTTGGGGTTGCTAGGAAGGGCCATCAAAGTATAAATACTGCTCTTCAGTGCTTGTTGCGACTGAAGTTGGCTCTTGCTCTTCAGTGCTAAATGTTGGCTCTTGCATCTTGAATCGATTCTTGAAACAAGTCAAAGGTTTGGTGTTCGGTAGACTGGCCACGGCATGCGATATGGTCGACTGGCGGAGCGGGGATTCGCGAGCGAATTGTCGATTGCGGATGGACTTGAGCTGTGCGGTTCAGTCAGGTATGTTCGCAGCGGTCGGGGATGACGGCCTTCAAATAGATGGAAAGCAGCATTTTGAGGTTCATGAAAGGAGTCATACCAACGAAAGAGTCATTGCAGGGCACAGCCATTGTTGGTGGTGAACCTTGTGTACGGCCGGGCGTAAGCCTCGCAGCCGGGCAAAAAGGCTAAAGTTCAATGTGTTGTGATACCGGGTATGGTGTCAAGTTATTGAATTCTTGGTGTTTGGGAATTTCCCCCTTTTTTTTCTCAGCAGCTGCCGCATAACTGTATAGCTCTCTCACATACTCCTCACTTACTACGTACTATCTTTTGTAGCTAGCTATAGAATTACTAAAGATTAAAGGAAGAGAATACCCAGGTCTAAATATTGATATTCTCTAATCTCTGTTTAGAATAAACTGCTTATTTAGATATTTAGATACTTATTTGGGTAATTATTTAGGTGGTTATTTGGGTCTTCATTTCTTGTGTCACCTACTTGACATACTTCTAGACCTGCAAAGTTTGTTAGCCTTGGCCAAAGTCTCATACCAAAGCGGTAATCTCAAGATAATATGCGTACAGCTTGACAGAGATGCTGATCAGCAACAAGTTGACGAAAAGAAGAAATGCTACCGTTTGCCGTGAAATAGTGAGTGCGATCAATGATGTGGCTGTAAGCCGGTAAATCAGACCTCTTACGTCCACTCCAGGCACAATCACATCCTTTAATCAAGGTTTTAGAAATAATCAAGTTTTAATATTCATCATAAAATTCGTTATTTTGTCTCTTCCTGTTGTGAAAATCACTGAGACACTATCGAAGATCCAAGAACCTAATCATTGAAGTCTTCATCCAATTCACCTAAAGCCCATTTCGAGGCTAATCCATTCATTCCCTCATGTCATTCAAACATTTGCAGGTCGCTTCTCCTCAATCTGGGTGGTCTGCCCATACTGCTCCTCAGCAGTCCTCTGCTTCTCAGTAAAAGCAACCTCCTTCTCATCGGCATCCTTATTACCATACAGACCAATTCTGTACCAGGGCAGCTCAAAGAGAGCATCCATGCTCTCGAGGGAACGGCCGCTAGTCTCAGGCACGGAGAGGAAGACCCAGATACCACCCACAATGGTGACGGCGGCGAAGCACCAGAAGGTTCCCTTGGGGGTGATACCTCCGTCGGTAGTGGAGAGAAGCATGTTTGGCACAGCACGCGAGTTTCCATACTGGTTGGCAAAGTGCAGGGTCATGGCCCACGAGGTGGCGAGGGCACGGATTCGGAGAGGGAACAGCTCAGCAGTGAGCAGGTACTGCATAGAGTTCCAGCCCAGTGCCCAACCGAATCCAGAGACGTAGATCATGGCAATAGCACCTCGGCTGGCAGCCTTGTCCTTGTCGGGGAGGACGAAACCATCGACAATTCCCAGTTCGGGGACCGAAGTCAGGAAAGCCGCCACATAAATCATGGAGATGGCTTGGAGGGTGATACCAGTGAGCAGTGCGCGCTTGCGACCAATCACATCGACAAGGAAGAGGGCGCATCCAATGGCGGCGATGAGCTTGACAATACCAAAGATGGCGGTAACAAGTAGACCCTCCTCGCTACCGGTAATACCAATAAGCTTAAACAAGTCGGGAGCATAGAGGGTGATCTGTACAATATTACACATTAGCCCAATTCACCAAGCAATTACATATGAGGTCAACTTACAGATCCAGCACCACTCCACTGACTGAGGAATTGGACCATGGTCGAGAGGTACAGACGGTACAGGTTACCCTTGTCCAGGAACATCTCCTTCAGCTTGCCAAGAACACCAACGCCCTGGGAGGCCTCAAGCTCATGCTCATGGGCAGCCTGGATGGCGGCGATGTTGTTCGTGATGTAGTCGCTGTTGGGGTCTTGTTTTCGGATTTTGGCCAAGACCTCTGTAGCCTCCTCGACCTTGCCCTGCTTGATGAGGAAACGCGGCGATTCAAACTGGAAAAATGTCAAGATGAAGGCAATTCCAGAGAACATGATGTGCAAGCTGGTGGGGACAAGCCATTGGTTGTGGCTGTGGCTGTCGATGTTGATGTGGGCGCCGTAGTTGGTGAAGTAGGCGAGCACAATACCAATATACACCGCTCCAGTGAAGAAACATGTGCAAAGACCACGAATAGCAGCCGGTGCGATCTCAGCGATATACACAGGCCTAATTGGAGGTCAAGGGTTAGCGAGAACGACTCAAGGGGGCAAGTATTCCAATGGGAACATACCCAACGACGGGTGTTTGTCCAACACCTAGACCGGCGATGAAACGTCCAGCGTAGATGGCTCCAAGACTTCCGTTAATACCTCCAACCATGAAGATAATGATACCAATGGCCCAGAGGGTACAGAGAAATCGAGTGGCCCAGATACGACCAATTCTGTCGCAGACCACGAAAGCGCTGAGAGACATGTTAGCAACGAATTTCTGAGAAATTTCGACAACTTGTCATCATACATGAGGGCACCAGCGACGGAGCCGATTTGAACCATGGCGGAGACATTGGCCTTGATGTTGGCCTTGTCAACGTCGTTGTATGAGTTGTAATCGATGGCTTCCTTGAAATCAGAAGAGTTGAAAGCACCGGAGATGAGGCCTTCATCAACACCACGGGCCGCACCCAAGAGGCCGAAGGAAATGACGGCGAACCATAGTCTCCAATTGAAGACTCCCTCGGGCTCGCCGAGGTCTTTCAACTTAAAGACGTTGACGGGCTTCTTGACACCACCAGCCATGATGGGAGATCAAGGACGAGGATCTATACCGCCGCTGAAGAGACTGGGTTTTTGAGACAGAGATTCTCCCTGGTGGTAGAAATGAGGGGAGGTGAGGGGAAATGCGGAGTCGTGAGGGGAAGAAGGGTGAATGAGACGAGCAAAACGGTGATCTTGGGTCACGGATCGTGTGCCATTTATACTTTGAGAAAGAGAATGGTTGGGGAAGTTGACCCCCACCCCTCCCTGTCTAACTCACAACCCAAATCCATTCGTGTCTTGGAAGGTGCGGTGATTGTAACCGGACGTGGGATCATCAAACTCAGGAGTCTACTTCTCCACGGGGGGACTCTCGGAAAACCCCAGTAATCTGCGAAATCCTCCAGAAGGCGGGCCAATCAACGCAGCCGTGACTCAGATCCAGACCTCCCCGGAGCGGTTGTTTCCCCAAAGTCTAGGCGGGGTTGAAAACAGCTAATTTCGTGGGTCTCGGAGGCCAAAAAAATTGTCTTGAATCAGACGGTTTGCTCCACTTAGAGGCAACCAAATCAGAGTCTTCGCATTGAAATGCACTGGGGAACTGAGGGGTTTCGGTCAACGTCCGTTGGGGTCGATGTCAACCCGTCAGCGTTAAGTTTAATTGCTTAGATTGCTGCTGGGATAACGGGCACTAATGGCGAAGGCCTTGAACATGTCGAGCACGCGTCCGCCGCTCACGAGAGCTCATCAACGTCCAAGACACTCTCGGATCCGAAGGGCGAGGGAAGAGAATTCGCCTTCTCTTCCACCACAGGTATTACTGCTGACCAGTGTCTTTGAAATTGGGGGTAACACGGGTGGGCATCTAGCGGAGAAAGCCCGCAGGACTGATGGGGTCACCGAAAAGCCATTGGTAATAAGCTTGATGCCAGGCCTTGCTCGCTTGCGCTGATCTGAAGAAGATCTGCTGGCGAATGACCCTTTCCGGCATGATCATAACACCCACCACGAGAATTCGCCAGCGAGAGAAATTCTCGCAGACGCATTCTCTCCACAAACTGTGCTGTTGAACTGAGCTTTTTCCCATGTCGTTCGGAAAGTCGGCACTTAGACAGGCGCCAAGGCCGGGGATCCCCTGCCGGGACCCATAAATTCAGCTCCGTCCAGCGTCACTTCGGAGAAACAGTCTGAATCATGTGTGCATCAGGAATAACTAGAATATTGAAAAAAAAGAGGAGGGGTGGCAAGAAGAGGAGGGCAAGGAGAGTTCAGTTTTCTATTATGGCCGTGGGTTGTTCATAGGTTTCCTGTTGCGATGGTTGATGATACTCGTTATGATCGAGATGTGGTCCGAGTTCGACCTCCAGCTTCATGGGTACCGGTAGTGGAGCAGTCGTGTCGGGAGAGGCTCTCTCTCCCTCCCACGCGACAGACCTTGTCGGGCTACCGCCGCTCACACACATGAGAACCACCGAAAAGCACCGAATGAGTAGAGATCTCCGACGAACACCGAGCGTAATACCGACACACGCGACACGAGGTCGTTGGCGGCCTCAAGGCCAATGGAGTAGAGTTGCATCCAACCACTCGAATGTTAGGCATTATGCATCATGCCGCGCAAGCTATCCTCTCTAGTCCGTGTTAATGGATCTCATCTCGAAATAGAAAGTAATCTAACGGTGCTTTCCGGTCTTGAATATGTGGTCCAAGCTATTAAAGTCTCATCCTTGGTGGGAGATTCATCTCAGATCCAATATTTGGCCCATATTTCAAAGTCTTGCCTCTCTCCACGAAACGTGAAGTCGACTTCGATCACATCTTGGAAGCCCTCCTTTACTTGCGGAGGCTTGTGGCGCGAAGAAAAGCCAGTGAATGCGAGTTTCGGTAGCACTTCCCTTTGCTCGGGGTTCAGCGAAGTATTCAGTGACCGCACGGCGTCATTGTGTTCACAAACCACGAGCGGAGTCTTGAAATAAACACACCGAATGGGCAGTTTGAACCCTCGAGCTAGGTCCACCCACACCGCGCGCGTGTCAGGGTCGGCATTAGTATTGTCTAGTCCGAGCAGTTAGAAATAAGCAGCAAAGGAATTAGCGGGGAAAGTCCGTCCTACCTATAACGACAGAGGTGCCACTGTTCAAGTGCTCCTTTGCCGCTTTGACGCACTTGTCACGAGACTTGAGAAGATCCTGGTTAATTCGCTCGTACCCCAAGGGCTTCAAGACATTCCAATAAAACGTGCTTTTCCCAGCACCCGGGGGGCCACAAAACATCACAATGTCCTGCTTGTTTGTCTTTTCAAACAAGACTTCAGATGCCCCGTCAGCCTTGGTTTCTTGAAAGGGGTATCTCGCAAGATCGAAATCGCGAATGAAGTCCCTCGGTTTCTCGCCAAGGAAATATTCTTCTGGGGTCTTGAAGTCGACGCCTGCATTGTGTGCAAAGTTTCGGTCTGAGCAACTGAAATCTTTGGACACGGCTGCCACACCGCCTGACCCTTTGCCCATGGACGCAATTCTTCCGCCAGCATCCCCCACGAAGAAGCTATTCTTCAAGTCGATATCTGCTTCTGAGATATCATAATCTTCGCAAAGCTCTTTCCACATTCCAATCCTCGGCTTGCGATATATATCTCTCTCCGTAGCTGCGTACAGGGTGACTGGCAAATCAAGATTGCTCAGAATCGCACTGCATTTCTGCTTGAACTCGCCAACGCGCTTCTGTGCGTTTGCCTTTGGGCCCTTATATTTGGCGTCAAAGTGCAATGTCAACCCTGCCTGGTTGGAAAGAATCACCACTCTGTAGCCCTCCTCATTGTATAGTTGTCGTAGTTTTTGAGGAACTTGACTGTCCCACCACTTCCAATCACTAGCACTTCCCGCGTGCTTCTTCCCCGAAGATGTCCTTACAAGAGTCGAATCGAGGTCGAAGGCAGCAATCTTGTGTCTCGTTTTGGATTTGTCCTCGGCCTTCTCCGGCTCATAACGACCGACTAAAAGCGTAGCGGGGCTATCGTCATTGGGGCCTCGTTCCGACCACGTTACTCGATCTTTGGGCTTTTGTGAAGTAGGCTTGAAGAAATTTGCGACGGCGTTCTCTGGAGCGGTGTCAGCGCAAGACATACTGCTCCATGATCGGGTCCGGAGGCTCACTGGTCGTCCCGCTTTGGATCTTTCGCTTGATCTGGGGAGGTGATATCGGCGCGTCAGCTTTTCGCTTATTTGGCGGACTTGGAGAACCCATGATGTACGTAGAGCACGAGTACTAAGGAGCGTGATGTTGGGCATTTGGGGGCGTGTTCGCGTCGATGTCGGTGGACGAAATGGCCTCTTGTCACGACCTCCACTATTCTCGACGCGGGGTCACGTGGCCTAGCCATCATCCGCTTAGCGATGAGCTTCGGGAAGCACCAGTTCACTGCACTCAAACCTCCTACGATAATATAGAACTAGAATCTCTACACAGGTGGCACGTTATTCCCGAACTCTAAAAGGCTACTCTAAAGATCTGTGCTCGCAATTTCATTCCCTCAAGAAACCAGGGCCAAGAAAAAGCTCCGCATTTTCACTTCGCAACCGATCAGCGAAAACCCAGGCCTACAGCTACTTATCCTCAGGCGATGTACGAGCTCTTCCTCACCTCGTTTATCGAGGATGGCGACCTCGAATCAGCTTGTTCCATCCTAGGGGGACTGTGTGGCATGGCTCCCTGGAAGACAGTCCACCGGGTCCTCTATTTCCAAGGACCACCCAAGCCATCTGGCCTATCAAACCAAAGCTCCTTTGAGAAGCCAACCAGGAAAGACGTTGGCTTCATGTGGAAGGAGTTGCACCAAAATCTCAGCCGGCAGTCGTTTATTCTCCAGGGCCGGTATGAGGTCGCAAAGGACCGCGATTTCGGCAACCCGTCTGCCTTGTCAAATCTGGACATGATGAATGGCGTGTTGCGATGGACTGACTTCCCCGACCCTCCCCATAGCCGGCCACAAATTACACAGCGCAAGAAGGTAGAGCTTTGGGAGCAGAAGAAGTTGCCCTCAATCATGCGCGACAATCTTTACCAGTGAGTCCATATGTTATTAACCAGGTGAGCCCAGACGCTAAGGCGAGATAGGTTGAAAACAGAGACAGTAGAGGAGATCTACCAATTTTACCAAGAGGACATTGAATTTTGTCTCACTCGTCACTACTTTTTAAAGTCAATTGGAGATTACACACCTCTGGAAACCAGAAATGAGCCATTAGACGGGCCGATTACGGCCCTGCCACCGTGGGAATCGTTGACCCGGGTTGATGCCCAAGGTCGATGGGTACTTCAAGTGAAGGCACACGTGCTGCAGGATAATAAGCCAGACGAAATCAGGAAAGCTCAGGATAGACTCATGGCTATTCGTGGGGAGCTTGATGGCGTATTTGAATTCAAGGCTATTGACCGAAAGGTTCACGACACCAGAGTCGCTCTGCAGCAACCAGGCGTGAGAGTGTTGCCCCAGAAGGTAAAGCTAGGAAAGTAACCAAATTATTCCCTTTCGGTCACGGAAAAGCGTCTCTAAAAGCAGTTGAGGGTCATAGCTCACTCGTCTCATCAGTGAGCATCATGTAATTATGTAGTGGGAGGGCTAGTGGATGCGTATCAAAGAGAACAATTGATGAATTGATGACACATATTTCCTACTCTACGTTTCCTCCTAGCCATCTCCTAGTAAAAGTCATGTTTTACGAGCTCATACACATCCTATGCCATTGACCCAGGTCGTTCAATCGATATGACCCTTCAATTGCATTCCAGTCGTGGATGGGCGCGTATCAGCATGTAATGTCGGAAGTAGTTCCAGGGAGTTTTGAGATCATATCTCTAAAGTTTTCACGTCAGCTTCGCTGCCACTACATCACTTAATCCATCAAGAGGTATGGCGGGACATTTCAGAATACCTAATCAACGAACGGTAACTTCGGTGCTTGAATCTAGCAGTCCTTGCCTCTCATCAACTCAGTCCAACCACCAAATGAAGACACAAATTCTTCGAAATTCTTCGATAATTGTATTAACACAGTGATGCTATGCTGTCAATATACAAGTTACAAGAAATCATTTGATACTCACGCCTACTCTAAGGCCAAATAAGCTTGACGAATCTCTGGACACTCGCATGTCGGACTAGCGCAATGCTCCCATCATCAAATTTAGTGAAAAACGAGAAAGAAGTATGTTCTCTCCTTAGCCTTCATACCACGCTATCCTCCCATCATTCAAGGCATTCTTGGTATTCTTGAGTGTCGTGTCACGATCAAGCGCAAGATGGCACGGAGCATCTTGGCAATCGTTGTTGGCGTACTCTAACTCTTCTTGTTGGCTCCTTATGTCTAAGCGAGATGTCTAGTTTATCGCCAGGTCTTTTCTATTCTTAACCAAGACTAACACTGGAGCTTACCTATGAACGTATAGTTTCCAATACTTGAAGCGCGACTAAAAACTCATTGATGGTTGAGACTTTAGGCGAAGGCACTCGAGCCTTAGCTTTCACACAGTCGCGAGCCACAGGCTACTTCGGACAGCGTTTTCTTTTAAACTCTCTGAAGAGAAGACAGCAGAGGGGCAATAAACCAAGCCAATTGAAAGAAATGCAGGGTTTCCCATTTTCCGTCATGTACAAGACAGCTTCACTGGCAAATACCTTAACCTACTATAGCCTCCTACACAAACAGCGACTGACATAGAACATGACACACCTAGAACCTCACGCGTTAAATTCAACACAAAATTAATATAATTCATGAAAAAATAAACGCACTATCAAGCAAACTGTTTAGAATACTAATTGTTTTCTTATTATTATATTTAATATTTTTTTAATAAGCAAACGAGGTCCTTGCCTTACCTGAAAAGAGCCATGGTGTGCCATATTTTACGTCAGTCACTTGATGATTACAGAACAAGCAAGAGACTTATTCAGGGTTTGTTTACTACACACTTAACCCATATTGATGCTGAAACCAAAATAGCTATCGCCATAGCAAATGCCTCTCTAAATGTGTTGTGTACTCCTGCCAAGTACATGAGAGAGTGTGGTTTTCTTCCTCACAGCCAGCTGCAAGCGCTTGAGGATGGGCTTCCCCGACACCAACCTCCCCCGGCCAGGCATAAACCACCTTTTTCATTCAAAGCCTTACCATTGAGAACACATCAGTCAATATCTTACTCTAACCGCCAAGAAACTGAATAGCGGACTGCATACTGGGTCAACTCTTACTTCATGATACTTGAGGCCCACCGCAAGAGCGTAATACATTATGTTCTATTCCCGGCCATCTACACCCCTCAGTGGCCCATGCTTGGGGAGTGCCATCTCTAAGAACGCATCAATATACTTCAAGTAGACACATCACCTTCCGCAAGCAAACAACCGTCAGTTTATTTAAAGGAGTTGTCTAAATTGTTATTTTAAGCGCATCATGTTCTCCGCTCGATGCCAAGAACGTGGAGCACAAGAACAAGAACAGGCGAAGTATTACGCTTACTGCAGAACCACCAGGCGGCAACAACCGTCAGTCCACTATTACAAGTTCACGGCGCAGTTGGTAAGTCCACTCGACGGTTCGCCGGCTCACCAACAGTCCAGCGTGGGGGCAGAAATTGGCACAGCACGAGGCCAACCGCCCAGCAGCCCGGTGGAGAGAATGGCCAACATTAGAAGCAGGCAAGAGTTTGGATCCTTCTATAGCGCTGCGGGTGCATATTCTTACGATATCGTCAAAAGCCCTGTTCGGGACAAGGTTTAGAAGGAAAACGTCATCTATTCCCTCCAATTCGGCATGGCCCGCCATCCAGTCGACTCTAAACGGGACTGGCGGTCCCTCGGTCGTTCCCAATCAAGGCGTATTAGATAAGATCGCCAGGGAAGTCCACGTGGTTTTTCTTTCCTCTGCCGTCCGAATGATCTGTTGGGCCAGCGATCCTAGCTATTCATAGAACTGGCGCTTGAACTATCGGCGGTAGAGCGGCAGCAGACCGCCGCTCAACACCCACTCCAGATGGAGACGTTTGTCCCATGTTCGTTGACTCATTGTAGAGCAGTTCACCGCAAAGCCTCTTTTCCTACACAGGAAAGTCCATCTATCTTTGTTCGACAGGCCGCTCCAGATGGCGTCGTCTGCTCGATGCCCCGCCTTCCTTCAGGGCTGTCCAAACAGGTTTCCACCGCCCGACGCCATGTTTGACTTGCTCGGACACCACCTCGAACCCAGCCTGGTGTCTTTTTCCGGCTGGCGCTTGGCATTGGTGAGGCAGAACGTCCCGCCCAGGATGTGCCACAAGAAGCCTTTCCAAGTCGACCTTCCGAAACACCATTAGATCGAGAGTCGCAGCGAATCCACCGTCCCCTCCACCCTCCTCATCCTCAGTCACCGGAGTAAAAAAAAATTGCCTACCAGCCTGTGCTGTCAACACCCCGTGCAGGGCCAACACCCATTCCCAGAGCGCCAAGTGCGAATCCCACCCCGCCCACCACCGGACACCTGCAACCTTGGCCATGCCAGCCCAACAGCGCCAATGACGACATCACCACCGGAACCTGCTGCTGCACTGGAGCAAGCCACACCACCACCTTCATCACATCACACCAGAAGTGCCGCCCGCACCAACCACAACAAAGCCGACCAACGGAAAACAATGACGCCTCACCTTTTTCTGTTTTTGAGTTTTCCTCCCTTCCCACTTCCCTCCCCCCTCCCCTCCCTTCTTCTCTCTCCCTAGCCTAAGAGCATGCAGGCTCCCGCAGCCACCCACTCCCCCTTCTCTGGCCCCCCGCCCAACCAAACCCAACCACACTCATTCGCTCATGCACAAGATCTCGTACCGCCCTTCTGCCTAACCAAACTCAACCTTCAACCCGCTACCACTCCAGCCCATCACACCGGCTCGTTGGCATTCCCCGAGAATCACAGCACCCGCATATGTCCCTACGCGCTCGCTACCCCTCCTCTTCGCCTTGGTTCCGTTTCTCGTGTTGAGAAGGGAGGAGGGGGGGGGGGATGACACGCTCCAGCCCTCCACACCGGTCGGTACGTGTTCGCCTGTCGAGCATCGCCAAACCCATGTGAAGTGCCAGCCATCTTAGTGCTACTACCCCTCCCTCCGCTATGTACATCGTCCCCACGGTGGTCACAGCGTCACCCAAAACCCACACATACCCGCGCTGAACACCAGAAACGCAAGAACATACGTAGATACGTAGATGACTCTCCCACCCATAGACAGCGAGGTCTGGGCCTCCCCTTCCCTGCTTGCATTGTACTCGCACAATCCTCCCTCTCCCTAGGATCCTATCGTTGGAGAATATCCGAGACAATGTCAAACATCAAGTACATGCACATATCCGAATGAGGAAACATCAAGTAGATAAAAATGCTTTTTATTCTTTTTTTTCTGTTGTCTTCTCCTCCTTCGTCATTTTGACGAGGATCCCGATGTAACTGAGACACGGACAAATGTTTGTTTTTGTTTTTCTTGGTTTTCTCCTCGTCACCCTGGTGGTCACCAATGACAACCAAGGCCGGAGAGCTGTGTTATCCCCAACACCCACAGCAGACGTGCTTCCTCCACCGCCCTTCCCTTCGCACGTCGAACCCGTGCGAAGCTATTCCTCATGCAAACAGTAAACAATAGAGCCGAGGGGAACCTTGTAGTCGATCTCAACAATGGTCCACCCACCCATAAAAGAAGAGAGAGTTCACTGCACAAGTGTAAAGCGGCCTTGTCTCTTGATCCAAAAATGGACATCCCTTTGCTCGATTAGCTATTAAGCGTCTCGCCCTACTGCCATTGGCACATCGACGGCCATGTCAACCCCACCCATAATAAAAATAAACAACAAGAATTACCAGATGGAGGCGCAATGGTCGCCTAAACAAATTGATACAACACTTTTTGTTCCCGAGCCCTGTCGGCTTTCTATTCCAACGCCGCTGCTTCTATGTACAAGCAATCCAATTCCAAATATGTAACAAGAAAATAGTAGTCCGTAAGCTGTAATGGTATCCAGTTCGTCTATTCAACATTCGTCGTTTCGCGTAAGGAGTGATTTGTTCATCAAGTATGATAGTAAGTTGGAAGGCAGGCTTTACTTGCGCAGGCCGACCCTTCCAGCCAGGTTCTTCCAGAATCTGGCGCCGTATTTTTCTTCGCTGTGCGCGCGAGACATGGGCTCGGCGCGGTGCATGGGGCCCACAATGTCTTCGTCGCCTCGTGCAGGGAACTTGCCGTCGCCATCCATCATATGCGGAATGGCGCTGGAAAGGCCGTCCTCGACGCGGCGCCACTCAGCCTCTGCGAAAAGGTCATCCTGAGCAGGACGGCCCCAGAGGACAGCCCCTGCGCTGTCAGATCGACCTCTTCCCCTAGTTCGGCCCCGGCTTCGGCTCCTAGCTGAGGTTGAGGACCGGTTCGCGCGGTGTCCTGGGGTTGGTCCCATGAACTGCTTCATGGCAGCCTCGTAGGTCGTCCGCCATTGCGACTCGATCTCGGCCCATTTGCGCTCTGTAAGGCCGTAAATAGTGCTCGTCTCCCCGTAGTTCTCACCGGTGCGGACGATGTGTTTTGTGTAGTTGACTCGAGCAGCGTCCCAATCCTTGCGGAATTGCGTCAAGGTATCGCTATCCACAAGCTCCAGCTCATAAGGCTTGGGGTTAATGGTAAAGTTTGCGTGACCCAATCTATCTGACCACTCATCATACTCCTGCAACAGGGCAGGTAGAGTAGCAGGTGTCTCGACTGGGAGAAGTCGCAAAGATGTGACTGAAGGCTTTGCGCTGAGCGAGGGTCGTGAGAAGTTGGTGGTGCATGAGGGTGGTGAGTGAATCTCAGGTGAGAAGGTTGAAGGAGCAATTGTAGGTGATTGTAAAGGAGATTCCTTAGGAGGGGATGCGAAGGGTCCATTGAGTAGTGGTGGGAGGAGGGGGGTTGTCGCCTTTGCGCGATCACGCTCAAGCGTAAGCCGTTGATCCAGCTCCTCATCTTCCTCCTCTTCGTATCGGGCAGACTCGCCAACGAGGCTCTCTCGGCTCTCGTAGCAAGATCCAGGATAAGTCGTCAGCTTGGGCAAGTCTTGGAGACGGTCTGACATTTGAGGGCGGGGAGAAGAAATCGAAGAAGATCGGCTCGATGTCGCTCTTGACAGGGCAGTCTCAAGGCTGATCTCGGTTGTGGCAGCCGATCGTAGCGTCCCTCTCTTGTTCAGTGTCCACCGATTCTGCGACTGCAACTTAGAGCTGAGGCGAGATGTAAGTCCAATAAAGGGCAGCTCAGTGCCGCTTCGGCTCTTTGAGTTGCTCGATAGGTTTACTGATAATGCACCGTCACTGAGGCAATCCCAATCGTGATCGAACTCGTAGTCAGTGACAATGTCGCCAGGAAAGGTGTGTTCAGAGCTGCTGCGATGCTCGCATGGTTCGTCGCCTGTTTACACTGTTAGTCTTACTTGCGTGGGCACCATAACGTGGTATTTCTTACAGAGACAGCTGTATAATCCAAAGCTGTCATTGAAATCACCCATAACGTCCTCTCTCTCGAATGGCTCCTCCTTCACATCGGGCAGTGGTCGTGCACCGGTCTGCTTCGGTGCTTGTGATGGTACCGGCGATGCAGGGCTCTCGAGGCATTGTAGGTAGGCTAGGTCGATGGATGAAGTTGAGCTGGAGGTGCGGTAGTGTCCCCTTGAGGAAAAGGTAGGCGTGAGAGGCGTCGCGATGTCCGAGGAAGAGGAATTGGTGGTATGGTAGGTGTAGGCGAGCTCTTCTTCTGAGCACGTGTGGTGGTGGACCTCGAGCTTCTTGCGTTCCTCCACCAGCTGCGGTAGCAGCAAAGGCTTCAAGTTCGACGACATGACGGGCAACTGGCTATTGAGCACAGTGCTGCTTCGGCAGCGGGAGCAGTCGAAAGCAAGCAGTAATATGCTTGATCGGTGTGCAGTGTGCAGGCGAGTAGCGGCGAGAGATGAAGGTGGTGCTGGAAAGGAAAAAGCACCTGGGCAGGACCAAAAGAAGTAGTAGCGATCGGCCGTGTGGCCCGGGAGCTAAGGTAGGATGCGATGCCCACAAGTGCGCTTTGGCTTCGCCCCAACTCGAGTTGGTGCACCGGGTTGGTACAGAGGTACCTACAGGGCAGGGAGGGAAAAGTTGGTGACCGGGGGGGTGGGGAGGAAAGTACAATGTCGATGTGGGGTCGTCAATGCCCACCTAAAAAAACCATGCGGTGGCTAGAGTCCAGGATGGGCCAGCTCCCCTTCCAGGTCTGTCTCGGTTCCAGTTGTCTGGCTGGCGTTGACTGATGAATTTAGCACGCGCGGACCGGGTCCCCGGCCATTCCTAGGCTGTTGGACCCAAGAGGGATTGCGGCGAGCAGACCGTCTGGTGCTGATGTCTGGGCTGGATTCTGCGACTGGACTGACCAGGCGGAGAGTCAGGTAAATTTGAGAGGCAAGAAAATCTAGGCGCGGAGTATCCGTTTGCGCGGATCAAGTGAACTCAGTGTTGCGCGCGAACTGTGTGAACTGCCACAGGTGGCTGAGGCCTTCGCAGAATTGTGGGTGAGGTGGTGAGGTGTTAAAGATGATGACTGATGACGACTTTAGTCCGAAAACACAATTGATGAGATGCAATGGAGGCGAGTATCCGCGGCAATGATCAAGACTTATTCAATGCGGTCGGCATCGACATTTACATGTGCTGCACTGGATACCTAGGACGAGAGATGGTGTTGTCCGTCCACGTGTTGTGCGGTTGGGCGCAGGTGCGTACCGTAGGTTGGTAGGGGCCTGGGGTGTGTTGTTTGTTGATGCTGGTCAACGCCAATCACATACAGGCCTGGTTCTGGCCCAGCGAAGGTCTGGTCTCGTGCGTCCAGGAAGTAAAGTCGGTGACTGGAACCTGTACGTGACGTGGGAGAAACGGTGAATGGCCGGCAATCGTCAGAAATGAAGGGTTGGGACGAAAAATGCCACAATCGCGTCGCGAATGGGAGCCAGGCCTGTCTGTGCTGATCTTGGGCTGGTGCCAATGGCTGGGCTGGCTGGGTGTTCTCACGTCGGTCGCTTCGGGCCTCTGGGAGTGTGTGCGTTGGCGGCGTAAGAGCGAGAAAAGGAACAAGCCGTTTGAGCCACCCCGAACGGCAATGCCTGGAACGGCTAGCTTCAGTGAGAGTCGTGGTTGTAGGCTAGACCCCGCTGAGTCAAGCAGATACAGAGGCCGTTGAGTCAGTCTAGCAAAAGAAATATCATCCCTAGCCGATGATGAGACAATTGCAGAGGGCAGATGGCGGAGAAGACATGGCAGCCCCAATTGGCGTGTGATTCTCGACCTCCATGTTTATAATTCCAGCCAACCGACCTACATGGACCAGAAGTCGAGCCACCAGCTGTTGCACACCTCCCACCCACTCACTGGTGGTTTACAACAGCTCACCGTGTACGTAAGTACCCAGTAAGCCCTCTGGGTCGTATTCCTCCACCTGACGGGCTCTCAAAATACTTTCTTACGTTGTAGGCGCACCGCTACAGTTCTAGCCCAGCCTTCTCGCCCAACCCGGAGGCAGGCTCCCGTTCCGAGTCCCACCCCGCGGAAAGACTGCCAAAGAAGAGAGAAGAATCAGAGAGAGTCCCACCCACACATTCTCGATCCCACCATTCACAGTGCGACATGGTATTTTAGTCTTTGCCAGGTCGCAGGGGTCCCCAAGAGGACGCTTCCTAAGCCAACAGCCAGGCAGAGACCGCCGTATTCGAGGGTACGTACAACGGCGGATACTTTGCCCGAGCAGATACAAGGGTAACCAGGCCACTGCTCTGTACTAAGCCTGGCCACATGTGCGGCGAGTGGAAAGTGCTGGGATATCTCGAGAGGTTGCTTTTGCGAAGTGATGCTAGCCATCACGTAGCTCTCGGGTGCATCTCGCAGCCAGTAGAAATGGCCTCCATTGCACCTGCAGCGGAGCTGGAATGCGGCCTCAGGCCCCAAATCCGATCAGTCTCTCTCTCCCTCGTCGCTCGCTTTGCTTTGCACGACCAGGCTGCCAGCCACGTCTGAAATGCAGGCCGATGTGCGCAGGGCCGTCCCTCGGCATTCTCTTCGCTGGCAAAAGATCAGGATATGGCTGCATTGGTATGACCTGCGATCTTCTCGGTGGAACGTGCCAATGGATCGTTAGCACCTGACGATGTTGCTAAGAATGGTCTCATCTGCCCACACTCCCAAACAGTATCATCTAGTCAGAGGCATCGGAAGCCAAAAACAAGAATGGGGAGACCCATCCCATCCCATTCCCCATAGGACCGACCTGGGCGAGGCACGGTAATGTAACGCAGAAACACACATGGCTTTCCCAACGGTAATGCGTTGTTAGCAGCAATGCAGTTCGGAAGCCAACATGAATAAAGTCCTGGCTTGCATTGGAAACTGCATGGCCAACAGTCTCAGCTGGCTCCGCATCACCTCGCACCTTGTCTGCTCGCCGCCCCAGAAGTCCCTCGATTTTTCCCCGTCCTCCAGAATAGAAGCAGTCTAGGCCAGCAGGATTTGCAGAGCTCGCTCGTGCTACCCCCTCCTCCTCGTTCGCATCTTGCGCCACCTGCCAGGACGAATTGGGTGATGTATTATTGTCCCCCCAGTCACTGATATCTTGGTCAACCTGTGGTGGCCTGCATCAAGGCCAGATGCCGTTCCGCGTCCACCCGCACCGCTACGAATAACTCGTCTGAGGTGTGGAAAAGGACCGAGAGGGACATGAGATCTTGGGGAATGGGAGAATCGCCTTGGCTTGCTTTCTTCTTTCGATGTGGCATCCTTAATACATTGGGCCTTGCTATGACATACATACACGAGCATTTGCAACCATATAGCACTACCCACCAATCGCAACAGCTTCGAGCTCCATTTTTCCCTATTCCCATTGAGATGCGCCATTGGCCCGTGCAAAGAAATTCGTGTGGGTTTCGCGGATGTCCGCGATGGGCTTCTCTTTAACTGTAAACGGTCAGTTTTACAAGGCATTTGACAGCGATCGTCTCTCGTGTCCCGGAGGAGCGGGTCAATTCATGAATCATCGAGATTCCATCGTCGGGATGCATGGGGCAAGGTAGCAGTAAAACGAGCTAGCAGGACTGCTGTGCACATCGATACACAACTGCTGTCCCATGCATAATTCGCCCGCCCAATTCGCTTGTGCGCGTTGTGTCCTCGACCTACCTCATGCACAAAGGCGTGGGCAACCCATCGCCAACGGTGTAAAGCAGCTCAGGACCCTGGCTGCTTTACACGCAGTATTGAATTCTATCCGCACAATTGGCCTCTCTGGGTTGCTACGATGCCAACTCAACACTTCTGGCAAGGTCAACACCCCAGCCAGGCCGCGTCCTGTCATTACAGATCCCCAAAAGAATCAAATCAGACACGTCGACTGCCACCCTCTAAGTTCCATGGCATGCTGTAAGGTACAAACTTTCGTCTTGCACCTCAGCCGGCCCAGAAGGCCAGCCGGTGAGACTAGGAGGGTATGATGTGACCCGCGCTGTCGTTTTTAGAGTTCAGCAGTGCGTTGCCGCCCTTGTAACTTGCTGGTAGTGCCGTTTCTCGTCTCCCCTAGGCCCATTGTCCATTTCCTCATTCTCAGCAGGCACTTAAAAGGCTTGCAGCACAGGGCGGAACAGCGCGCCCCGCATGACGTGCCATTGTCCATTGACAATAGCCACTAACAGGCATCTAGCTAGAAGAAGCATAAATAAATATCCACCACAGGCACAAACCACCGCCCGTTGTCTTGTGAATGGGTTGCTGGTCGGCGCTGGTGTTTGTTTGTTTATCCGTGTGGCATTGTGCAACAGGTGCTTACTGCTTCTGGATGGGTGTGTTTCCCTATGCTGCCCGCTCGTACACTCCATTAGGCCCATTACAAGACAATAAACACGTTTGGGGTGTTGGCTGGGCAGAGGCCGTTGCGACGCTTCAGGTCGATACTACCGTCGCAGAGACAAGTATTGCATTCAATGGCATGCGCCTGACAACTTCGTTGGTCCTGCATTGCAGCCCTTGTGAATGCCAGCTATGCAATGCTCCGCGCACAACTGCCTCGCGTGCGTGCAGGCAAAAACTCTGTTCCATGCCTGCTCCTTGTCACCATCGAATCGAACCCGTGCCGTGGGGCTGGGCCTTGGGCTCGCGCTTCCGTAGCTGCCCATCCCACCCTCCATGTTATGTTGCTGGGGGCCAAGGCAGGCTGACGAGTAATGGCGAGCCTGTGCCCCCGCCGGGATGGATCTTGCTGGGCCTGGCCTTGCCTTGCCTCGAGTCTTTCGCCTCCAGCCCTCGCTGCCGATTTCAATGCGAAATGGCGAGACCTCTGGATCGTCATGCGAACCATCGGTCTGGAGTGCATCCGTACACATCACCCCTCTCGGCTGCCACAGCGTCTTCAATCGCATGGCATCGCCAAGCTGTGCGTGCTGAAGCGACTAGCCATGCATAAATCTACCTTCGCTCCACCTGTCAGGGCAGAGTGACAGATACCGATCGGAAGTTTGCCCACCACACCAACTGACTACGGGTGATGAGCTTGGTCGGAACAAGCACTGCGACTTCGGGCTGGTGCCCCGAAGCCAGCCAATGGCGTTTCTGGATGCCACGCTAGAAGTCAGCGCCAGGGCCCTTCCCACGGTTCTAGCCTGTATGTACCTGCTTTTGCACCACACCCTCCGTCCCTCTGTGCCGGCGCGAAAGGATGACGCCTCGTCGACTTGGAAAAAGTGACATGTCTCCTGCACCATCTTATGCCGTCTCCTCATTTTGAACAGAACTTGCGTGCACACTTGTCTCTCGGAGCCCAGTTTTTGTTCCTTGCAGAATTGGGGAGCTCTTCCGACCCGGAGGAGCACCATCTGACGGACGAGCTTCGAAGAATTGCACTTGGCTCGAACTGGTCACCATAGCCTAATGCTCTGCCTCCGACCCAACCACCACAACGCGCATTACAGAGGTACCTCGGGGAAAAGTCGCAACAGAGTCCAAGGATGACCCTTGGCCACTGCGTTGAGCGCACAGTTCCCATGTTTTCCCACGCTCGTGCGCAGCTCAGCTGCTGCCATAGCGTTCAGTGCGCACAGGGCAGCTGACTCCAACCTCCAGTGAAGGGAGCTCCCTGCTAGGAAACGTCCAATTGCCATGGTCCCAACGGTTTCCCCGGCCCTGGAACTTGGCTTATTAACGTTAAGCTGGGAGATAATATACCACGTACGGAGCCCTCATTCGGCCATCAACTGGAGAGATTACCTGGCCCAGTGCTATTGGCCTGGGTACAGGGGAGTGAACATGGGCCTGGGAGCAGCGGCAGCTATCCGCGGGAGACGGCTTTTGTCCTCTCCCCTTGCAGTAGTACGTTTCCCCGAGATGACCGTCGTCCAGCCTCTTCGATGAATGCAATCTGCCCGCTCGATCCGCAACGGTGATAAGCCTCGGCCGGAAGGTCATTGCACTCAGCTCGAGGTAGGGTCGCATATGAATAGGGTGATTTACGGCGACCGGTCAGCAGCTGTGCCATTCGGTTGCTTCTGGTCACATAATGAGGTGTGGTGGGGGGTTTTCTCATGACAGACGACACACACAAAAAGCACTTTTTGACGAGAGAATTTTTCTCAATTGTGGGAAAAAGCAATGCGGCATTGGGGTGTGTTACCAGAGACAGGTTTGTTTTCATCCACTTCCTCCTGCACATGCCCTATGGTACTACAGCTGCGACAAGGCCATGTGGAGGACGGCCCATCAAACGGAGGGGGCAGAGCCACGTTCACAAGGAACGGTAACCTTACCATCCCAGCTCTGGGTGCCTGACGATCGTTGTGTGATCTCAGATGTGAAAGGGGGGGGAAGCCTCCTTTCGCACTGATGCTCTCATTCGGAGAGATTCAGGGGCGTGGAAAAAGCATTAGCCGCATCGGGCTTGCAGATCCTCAAACCGTTTTCCCCCATCTTTCGAGAATGAGCTTCAGTTTGAGATGAAGTGTTTTCGCGTACTGTTCTCTTTTTTTTCGCCTTCTCGGGGCTCCCAGTGGCAAAGCATACTGGACGACGGGCGGAAGCATGAATCCGATTGAAGCCCGTGTGCCTCTCTTGGGCATCAGACCTGCCAGCCGCACCCTTCCGGCAGGCAAAGAAGCCCGAAGCTGGAGCTGAGATGAAAAACGCCACCGGTGTCACTGGCAGTGTACAGGTCATAGGCGGGTCACACCTCCACTGGCCAGTCAGCAATCGCAAATTTTGCTAGCACCGGAGCATCATCGGATACCTCACTGCCTTAGGAGTCACACACCATTACAATCCACTACTCAATCGCTAAGAAGACCGGCGGGACGTTTAGCGTATCTGACTGCGAGGTACCCGCGAAGACGCCATCGCACTGGGGCCCCCATCGGGTTCCCACTGCAGAAATCAAGGAAGTCCTTTGAAAAGAAAGCAAGAGAGGGCTGTTCTGTGGATTGGGATGACAAAACAAACATGTCGGAGTTAAGGGCAACGGGTGAGGCGGGCGAAGCCAGGCAGGGCAGCCCTCACCAATGACATCGAGGCGCCCATGCAGGTCAGGTCGTCGGCATAGCACAGTCACATAAGGATGTGGCAGGCCTTGATTCGCCGATCACAGCATCTCGTCTAGCATCAGGCCGTGAACGATTGGGAAAAGCAAACATGGAAAAGGGACCAGGCGGGGGGGGACAGCATCATCATCAGCCCAGAACGCACGCAGCTGGCTCTACAGTGCATCACCAGGTCACAAGTCCCATTCCACCCGGCTCTCTGTTGGATGCATTGTGTAAGCCGCCAGCAGCAGCCATGATACCATTTTCTTGTAGGCCAGCTCAACTCCAAGCCTGCACCACGTAGACGTCAATGTATGTGTGCGTGTGTTTACTCAATTGGAGAGGGATTTCTATAGGCTGGGCCAAGGCACGCTGCTCTGCTGTATCACCTCAGCACGTTCCTAGATCAGCACCTTTTTCTCACGCTCCTCCTCGATGGCACGCGTTGTTTAACACAGCCTCTTCTGGGCGCCGAACATGTTCGTAGCTCTTTGAGTGCCTGGGTGCTTGTTTTACGGGTCGCCCTCCAATGAGCAGCGCTTGGGAAGATGGAGTGCCACTCAGAAAGGCCAATTGCATTGTTGGATGATCTGAATGAGTGTCGATCTCCTCCATTGTACTCCGTACAGGACCAACCGATCGTACGGGGAACAAAGTACATTTCTCGCTTTCTGAAACAACTGCCCACACTCAATTAATCAAATCTGCATTATCACCTCGCAGCCGTCTTTTCTTTTGCCTACCTACATTGCAATTGAGAAAGTCCGCAACTGCGCCCGATCCTCCCCCTCCATACTACCCCGCTTCCCTCTGATGTCGTTGGTCCAACTGCATGAGGCGGCGTTTACGATCATGAAAGCGACCGCTGCTCGCCCGCACATGCATGACCAGCTCCGACCGCCTCGGAGCCCAGTCGCGTTCTATTTTCTGATGTCCCGGCGTAATATCTGAGCTATATTTTGGCCCGCTCAGGATCATATCCGCGATCTGTGGTATTGCGGCAGCGGTTCGTAGAGCCACTACGCCCGATCCTTTCTTACGTGTGCCTGCAGGGTGTGTCAAAAATAACCAACCGCTCTGTTGATCAACATGTGGCAGCCCAGAGCCTCCCGTGCCGTCCGACGACGTTTGCGTTTCAGGCCACTAACTGGAAAGTGTTATCCCATCTGACATTCCGGACTAAGTCTAATGGTTTCGATGCCGTTGTCTTTGTCGAGGGCTCGTCGAGCCGGATCGGCAGGTCCCAAGGGTCACGCACGTGGTGTCAGGTTTGTGTCTGGGGGCCCTGGCCTGCCTCAGATCCCTTCGGCGGTGCGAACCGTCTTGTCTCGCCAATACGTCTTCTGCTTCAGGTGGCGATCCTATGCTTCCTCGACGGGTGAACTGCCTTCTGCCTGCGATTGTAACTTCCGTAGAGTCGGCGTCAAGGGTGAGGCTTGAGGCCAAACCATGTGTATCTGTTATCGCATTTCACCTTCCGGATCAATGTGTTAGACGCTCGTGGGATCTCCCCGCGAATGTAACCTTGATCGGTCCTGGGCTGAGCTATTTTAGAACCATGTCGCCGACCTCGATCCATCCGCTAGGTTCGGTCCCTTCGGTCAATAGGTCTGTTGGAAGGGTTTAATTATAACTCATGGTCACAATCGTCATGGAGGCCAAAAGCTCGTCTCGGCTCGGAATGAAACCCATCCTTTTCAAACAGCTGGGGAGAATTCTCACTGGAAAGGACTTCACATGACCAATGTCAAGAACCCGCGTTAGCAGCTTTCGATTGGGACGTTATTCAAAATAGCATTTTTGAGACGTTGCATGGTGAGTTTGTCTCCGGTTTGGGCCCTTACAAACCGACGTGGCAGGCACCTGGTCTTCAGCGAGAACCCTGGATTCTTTCTTGGACATATATGGAAAAGGACTGTACATTGCTCCCTAGATACTTATCTAGTCACTACTACTGCATTTCCCTGCCTACGGGCGAAATTTAGTGATGTCCCTCTCAGTATTGTAGTAGTCATCAAAGTGAAATGGTCAAACCAGAGAGGGAAAACATTGTGCAAGTGCTTTACGAAAATAGCGACAGACACGCGAATAAGAACTGATTTGTTACCTCATGAAATTGCTTCCTCTTTGTATAAGCTGCGACTATCCTCTATGTATTCTTATCGGTGCTGTAGCGGTTGGGCACTTTTCCAGGATTCAAGCAACCTCAGTTACAAGAGAGGGCTGGATGCAAATCTGAAATCAGGTTTTCCATAAGTACAAAGCTTCGATCCCAGATCAAACCCTTAGATCTCTGCGCCGCGCTAATTTTTAGACCGATAAATAGATGCATCTGGAGGGCTTCAATGATGTCGGCAGGAGGGGCAAGATAGGGTAGTCCATGATGCTTGCGCAACTCATGTGCAGGTTTGTTGGATTAATTGGTTGTTTTCGGGATCTCAAGGCAATGGAACGCGCAGTCTCACCTTGATAACAGTGACCGTCATTGCCTGGTAAAACCATAGATCGTTCAAGAAGTGAGTCCGGTGGTGGTCTAAATTCCAAGGCGGTCCATGACGTCAAGATACTGTCTTAGTCTGCGATGACGATCTTGCACGAGCTTGAGCCACGCACTTTCCACGCAGGAGATGGTGACTTCTTTGTTATGTTCGCTTGGCCCCAGGCACTTGTATTTGACGTAGGCGGCAAGAGAGGCTTGAGACTCTCCAGTAGAGGCACCAGAAGCCAATTTGTGACGTCTTTTCCGTAGCGCGGCTACATCTACATGCCAATCCAGGCATCACATCTTATCCATATGTTCTCGACCCTCGGACCCATCAATATCTCGGTCACTCGATAAACTAATATCCATAGCCAAGCAGTACAACACCACTCATCTACACACAGAGCATTGGCGGAGATAGCATCACCAATCGCCCCCAGCCATGTCTGCGCCGGACAGCAACGACACGGGAGGAAACTCCTCGGTGGCCCGACCGCCGCGAGTCCCAGCATCTGATAGCGAGCCCGAAATAGTACATAGTTTCGATGAATCGAAGCCAACAGAAAGCCATGCGCTTGCTGAGGACAGCCAAACCGGAGAGGTTGACCAGAAGGGGAGTTGCCAGCTCGATCACAACGACACAGAAGTGAAGAACCTGGGATGGAACGACGACGTTGACAAAATTCCGCAACCCTTGGTCGGCGGAATTGAAAATGAAAACCTTTGGACGCTGATTCGAAGATTCAACAAACAAATATTCGTCGTCAAAAGCATCGACCAACCCCCACTGGCCAATCTTGACCTAAACATCGCCGATGAGGAGGAGTTCTCCCCAGAAAAGCTACGTGCTCAGTTGGAGAGACTCTACATGGTTGTGATATTGAGTCTCTTGGGTGGTTGGAAACATGTTGTTCGACTTCGGTCATGGAAAGAACATCAGCGCACTTCTTCCTTCCTCGCTGTCTACTCCATAGCCTGGCTTCTGGACTTACTCATGCCGGTTGCTTTCTTGTTTTTGATCACTTTGGTTCTCTCACCAGAGTCGCGTGAATTCTGCTTCCCACCTGCTCCAATAGCCCTAATTGATGAAGCCACAGGAGGTGTTAAAAAACCTCCAGCTGGTGTTCTTGGGTCCGATGATACATTCACTGGTGCACCTGAAAAGCACCGTGGAGAGGCTGTCGAGAAAGAAGCTCATAGCTTCGTCAACAGTATATCATCGGTATGTTCTGGCGTAAGGCGCTCAACCGGTTCTTTCATGCTCGTATGGAACACTAATTGGTCTTTAGCTGGTGGTCAGTACAGCTGCGGGCAAACATCCTCAAGGCGATCCCCACGAAGGCGATTCAGCGCCAGACCCAACTGAGATGACCATGGAAATTACACACGCCAAAGATGCAGGGGAGGGCGAGATACCAACACATGAGCATGATAGGACAAAGGCTCCGGTTTCTCACGCTGTCTGGGATCGAGCGCGCCCACTCATGCACGCAGTTGCAGATGTAGTTGATACATGGGAGAGGTTCGGGAATGCTCTAAACCCAACAGTGCCGTTTCCCAAGAATAGGACTAGGTTGAGGCTTGCGGCCTGTTTGGTGCCCATGTTTCTTGGATCGTACTTGACGAGCTCCTACATGCTCGTCAAGGGGATCGGCTTCGCCGTAGGGTTTGGTTTCTTTGGTTCGCCCATTATGGAGCCTGCCCTCGACTACCTCAACACAAATTATCCTCGTTGGCAGGAGCATTTACAGCTTCGACACAGTATTCTTAGAGGTGTTCCGACCAACGCACAGCTCACTATCACATTGCTTCGTGTGGGAGAGAAGAACCACGCTCCCATTCCTCCGCCCCCACGATCAGATACCCCACCCCCAGTTAAACCCCATGAGAGCGCTGGAGAGAATCTGGATCATCTAGGTAAGTACTAATCATAAAGTCGGCAGTCAATCAGCTGAACTTACAGTGCCAGAAGGTGCAACAGATGGAGAGATACAGGAAGCCATCCAGCCCGACGAAGAACTACTCCAGGAAAAGCACGAGCCTGGGGTATCAAAACCGAAAACAGCTCGACGAATCCTAAACCTCATCAAAGGTACTGCCAAGGGAGGCGTGGAAACAGCTCTGGCTGCGGACAAAGCAAAAGCTACGGCTGGAGCTCGACAGGCTCGTAATCGACTGGGGGTCGTACGCAAGAGCAAAGAGATTCCAGCGCGAGGGCCCGTTTCGTTCCCAGCCCGATTCAAGGGTAAGAAGGGTCACGTTTATGTGACAACCAAGGCCACGACACCCGCGGTGAGCTGGACTAGCGATCTCGGGGATATGAATCCCGCCTGGACGGTTGCAATTGGTGATATATTAGAATTGAGGAAGGTTGGGGGCCTGGGCTGGAAGAGCAAGCTTATCGTTGGGTGGGCTCTAGGAAGCGAAGTTGTTGACGGGATAATAGTGAAGACCCGGGGCGGTGATGAGTTACATCTCACGGCGATCAGCACCCGCGACGATCTCTTTAATCGCCTTATTTCTATGGGCGGGCAGATGTGGGAGGTCTGGTAAGTTTCGAGACCGTCGGGAGGTACTTGGCACTGGCACGAACAAATTGCTGAGGATGGCTGTGAACGCGGGTTGTTTTGTATCAGGTCTATTCAGGAAATGTGAAACTACATTTAGCTGCTGTCATCATCGTCTATGGAAACTAATGTCGTGACTCCTCGCCCTCTTAAAGCCATGCAAGCTTCCCCCTGCCATGGATGCTCCTTGTGTAAGACAGTGAACCCGTGTGGAGTCTCCGAACCGGCGATCCGCAGATCGGCCCGCTGAATTCACATTGTATTTGGAATTACGTGTAGAAGGCTAGCTGAAAAAAAATGTGTCGTGCGCTGAAAGAGATCGCCGAGAGCGAGGGGAGGAAACCTTATTAAGCAGCATCTATTTGTCATGGGCTGCCAGCAAACATGGCCCCGCACGAAGCACGACGGATACGAAGACACTTCAGCTTCATCTAGCGGGAGGGCATTACAAGGTAGTACTCGTATGTCAACCCACTCTCGCGTAAGTGGGGGTAGCTCGATATAAAGCTCGTTCGAAAGACTGATAGAAAGCCTCTTCGCAGCCAGACACCCAAGACTCATCAGTTCTTTCTCATCAGATACCACGATCACCATGAGCTTCACGTTGGAACCGTACGACGCGGCCACTTCAGAAACGTGGATAGTGTGCCGGACTTGCGGGACCCAATTCCCAACTTCGGACCGCCAGGTTGTCACGACCTGCCACATCTGCGATGATCCCAGGCAGTACGTACCGCCCTCTGGGCAGTCGTTCACCACCCACAAGGAGGTGGCGGCGACGCACCGGAACGAGTTCATCCCCTACGAGGCGGACCCGCGGCTCACCTCCATCGTGACGACGCCCAAGTTCGGCATCGGCCAGCGCGCCATCCTCGTGCGCACGCCGGGGGGCAACATCCTCTGGGACTGCATCACGCTCCTCGACGAGGAGACCGTCGCCCGCATCGCCTCCCTCGGCGGGCTGGCGGCCATCGTCATCAGCCACCCGCACTACTACTCGACCCACGTGCAGTGGGCGCGCGCCTTCGCCTGCCCCGTGTACGTCTCCTCCGAGGACGCGTCGTGGGTGACGATGCCGTCGGCGCACCGGCAGCTGCTGACGGGGACGGAGACGGAGATCGTGCCGGGGTCCGGGGTCAAGGCCGTCAAGCTGGGCGGGCACTTCCCGGGTTCCCTGGTGGCGCTGTTCGAGGGCCGGCTGCTCATCGCCGACACCATCGTCACGACGCCGGCGGGGCTGGGGAGGTGGGAGGTGGACGGGAACGGGGTCGCGAGGGCGAGGCCGGGCGGTCTGAACTCGTTCACGTTCCAGTGGAGCATACCGAACATGATTCCCCTGGGACCGGACGAGCTGGCGAGGATGTGGGGGGTGCTGGGGGGTTATGAGTTCCGGTCTACGCACGGGGCGTTCCTTGGGTTCGATGTTGAGGATGAGGGGGTCAAGGGGCGGGTGTTGGAGAGCATGCAGATCCAGACGAGGTTTATGGGGTGGCCTGACCACCCGTTGATGGGGATGAAGCTATAACGGGGAGGTGTTTGTTTGTAAATGTACTGTGATGAGAATATGTCTGGCTTTATGAAGGGGTTGAAGGTAACTTGGGTGGGAAGAGCGAGTGAATAGTCGTGTTTGAGTATCGTTATTGAATTTGTTTTGTATTAAATTGACCAATATAAGATATCTTATAATGAGTGAATAGTCTCATCCTATCCATGTCCATGACAATGTAAATCTGGTTATCCAAATGAGCGTCCTAATAGGTATTATGTATTTGATATTTTCAGTTTCCCATCCCGCCAAAGAGTCCAATTTGAGGATCTAGCAGTATAGATCCTTTCCCAACTCCATGCTTGTAGAAACGCTGTAAATCACAATAGGGTAGAAAAGGTAGATGACGAAAGCAAAGGTATAGTGGTTGCGGGAGGGCGATGCCCTTTTTTTTTTTTTGGTTCAAATGAAACCGTGCTGCTTATCACGGGGAGAAGCATCACGCCATGGCACTCCTCTTCAAGAAGTTGGGCCTATGCGACCTCTTGGCAGGAGGAGAGGGCGGCCCATCATGACAGAGGAAGCGGTTGAGCTTTTCCAGGCCGTCCTGGGGCAGATGCTCCAGGACAGAGCTGTTGAGGGTATCAATGATGAAGCGGTTGGCTATGGAGGACGAGGTTAGGATCAGTAGTCAATGAGGTGGCGAGGTGCCATTGGGATGTGGGGTGACTCACGCATCAGGTTCACGCCTTGCTCGCCGGCTTCCATTGCGACGTCGATTCTGGCCGACGTGTAGCACCCGTAGAGGCCCTGGAGCTCCAGCATGCACCTCCACAGCTCCCGCGTGTCCTCTGCCGTCAGGCCCTCGCAGCTTCTCTCGGAGGCGTCTGAGATGGATCTGCGGTTCATCTTTTGCGAGCTCTGGGGGTAGCAGTAAATGGATGGTCTGGTGGCGGCCGATGTGGTGGTGGAGGTGGTGTTGGTGGGATGATCCGGGTGTGCGAAGGCGGATGAGGAGGTTTTTGAAGTATACGCGTGAGCATCAGTGACAAGGGTGTGCTCTGAGCTGCATGCCGAATCTGCGGAAGAGGCGGAGGAGCGACGGGAATTGTGGTGGAAATGGTGATACATCATGTGTGATTTGGGAGGATGTAAGTGTAAGCGGGAGGGGGGGGTTGTTGTTGAAAAATTTTCGTGTTAAAATTTGGCAAATTTTTCTCTTCTCTCGATGCAAATGTTGAGAGGTATTTTGCAAATTCGTCGGAAGAGGTAATGGAGCGTGTTTAGGATTGTTTTGGCGTGGGTTTCTGTCAATGCGATGGTTCGGTAGTGTAGAGTTAATGAGGCGATGGGACAAGGGAACAAGTAGGCAGCGCCGAGAAGCCGCTTTCGAAGGTCTTATACTGGAATTCTCGGTGAGGCTTAGTGGCAGGGGCAGGAATAATTGCTCGCCCTGGAATTTGCTTTTTTCTGATCGGGTCGGCCCCTGGCTCTGGCTCCTTTCTTTGGTGCCTTAGTCTGTTTGTTGATGTGGTTTGGCGATTATTACGGCCTCGACGATGCGTTGTCTTATTACTACGGGGTGGGTCGTTTATGGGCAATGCTTCACGGAGATGCGAAACGAAACCAGGCCACTCCCTGTCGTATTGAAGAGACGGTGACTGGAGCTCGCAGAAACGTGGAGCCAATCAGGGCCTTGGCTGGCGGTCGTCATCAAATATCAAGGACCCAACGAGCGGTTCGATGAATGCCCAACGAGCACGGACGGACAAGAGCGAGCGCTTGGGATGAATAGGAGCAGCTGGCTGATGTTTATTGAAACTCGCTGAGACGGGGCGGGGAAGGGGACAGGAGGCGGCCAAAGCAGCCGAGCAAGAACTAATAGTTTGAAGAGGTATGTATGGATGTATGTAGGCGTTTGCAGCTTGGGAAATATGAGATGTGAGATGGCCACTTATTATGCACAAGGAGCGGGCTGGGTCCACCCTCCATTTGTATGCCGATGGATGGGATGGATGGATGGATGGCATTGGCATTCGACATACCGCATGTACATACATGGCACGAAGATTAGACTGTGCCGAACAGGCGGGCAGCCCAGGCCTGGCCAGACCGTCACATCGCAGGGCGGCAGAGGCAGCCGTCACATGCGGTTGGATAGGGTTGGATTGGCCGCAGATGATTGCATTGCGCATACTCGAGCAGGTATGGTGCACTATCTGTCCCCCTCTCGCCCCCTCTTGTGGCGTGAATCAGAAGGCGTCTACATTTGCTTGGCCCTTCGCTGATGGGTCGCAGCTAGCGATTGGCAGTGGCAGTGGCTTGCTTGGAGCCATCACCGTGCATAACCTTAACACAGGAATGCCTGCGTCTGGACCGGGGAGAGGGAAGAAGGAGGGCTTCACAGCCTTCACAGGTGACGCAAAAGACGGCACTTAACATGGCTGATAAGGCTGGGCGTCGGATTGGGCAGGCAGCTAGCCGGGATATGATCCTGCAAGCCAGGCGATCAATGCATGAGAATGAAGAGCTGGTTGGATTACCTGGAACCCAACGAACATGGGGTTGGTTCTGTTTCGTGCGTCCAAGCGCCCTGTCTCGACGTAATCGCTCAATGCCTTGCTCGATCGAGAGTGCTGTACAATCATCCAGAGGATCGAGGAGCCGGAGCGGCAGGAAACAATAAGATGAAACGCACAGGGGGATGCAGCACGACGACGGCTATGCCCGATGACAATAGGTGGGACCCCATTCCTGCTTGTCGTCACTTGCGCGATGGACGAATCTAGCGGGCGGGCGCGCAAACAAGAGGCAAGGAAATTGGTAGAGGCTGAACATGCAGCTGGAGGATGATAAGGAGGTTAAACGCCTCTATCGACGGCATTGCTCTTGAATCGAATGACCACCAGATTGCGTGGCTTAAGCCACTAGCCCGCCAAACGACGCTGATCAGGGTCAGCAGACCAATCGTGGTGATTTGGGTTTGCGCAACCACCAACCTTATCAGCATCGTGCATGCGGAAACGCTCTTGGCGGGTGGTCGCGTGTGGTCATCGGGGCAGTGCAGCTGCGCATCTGTGCTCATGGCGACCTTGGCCAGGAGGGCGAGGGGACATGAACAGTGTGAATTGGCTGATGGGCCGTGATGGCCTCCTCCTGACCATGATGGTGGCCTCCAAGCGAGGATTAAGCTCAGCGTGGTGGTGTATAGCAAACAGGACTAAGAGGCTTGTTCGCTGGTCATCTGCCCCCCTGTTCGCTTGTCCGTCTGTCCAATGCCAGCCAGCCTTGTTCATCTCTTTCTCTTGGCCAACTTGGCGGAATGCTCGAGACCCCATGTGTGAGCTACCCTATACACATAGCTCAACACATACCAACACCACCTCCTACACTTTCCCCTATCCTGATGTTGGGACAGACCATCCCAATCACAGAAAAGTCTAGAGCCCTGTGGAATGCTGGGCCGTTCTATGGCCCCTGAGTGCGATCGGCAGGGCAGGACAATGCAATCAAGGTTCATGCGCGATATAATGCCTTTCATCAGGTTGCTTCCCTCTCATTGCTTCTCAAGACTCGGTGAGAAAAAAAAAGGTGAGAAAGAATTTTTACAATGCAAAAACACCTCATCCGCCTTTGCTTCCGGCAAAAAACTGTTAATTCAGCTGGTACTTCAGCGTTGAGGCTTCTGGTCATGCCATTCGACAGACATTTGCTTGACCGCTTCCTTCTCGGAACGAGCGGACGAAAACAGGGCGATACTTTACGCATCACACGATATCGTATTGGAGTGGCCCGGGAATGACGGATTCAACCTCGACACGTTTCATACAATGCGTCATTGAGACCTCTTCTCCAAATGTCGGATCGCGTGGAAGTGCGGCTGTGAGAACTCCCTGCGCAAGTTGTTTTCGCCCGAGTTATTATCTTGGGGTTCACACATCCCTCGGCCCCGTCACAACAGCTTAACCTCGCCTGCACCGAGGGGAGAACCATGTGAATGCCGTGAGGCTTTTTCCACTTGGACAATGATCGACAGCCGGATCAAGCTCAACCTTTCATGTGTCGATTCGGTGCTGGCCCTTACCAAGGATAAGCAACAGCTTTCCCTTCACTCACCGAGAGAAACCCGGACAATTGATCTTCCATTGTGTTCGCAAGTTTCGGTTTCAATCTGCTACAGCATAATTGTCCATTTCGGAGCCTGTTGAGACGGAGAAAATGGTAGACCTAAGGAGACGGCCCGAAGGACGCTTGCGGCCGGATGCGAGAAAAAGAACGCCCGTCCCGGAGAGAAAGCTAACTTCCCGCGTCTCAACACAAATGAAAAAGATTTCCTGAGTTTTGATTTGCCAAGGAAATATCTCTATCCCTTCAAGCGAAGCTTATACTGCAGTCTGGTCTTGCTTCGCCGGATCCGTCATGGTTGCCGTGCCACTTCGATTTTCGCACGTGAAGGCACGGCAGATTCTGGAAAGTAAGTCCGAGATCAGAAAATTTCGACAGGAAATTCTGCCATTCCGTTTTGTTTTGGCCTCAAGCTTAACAGAAGCCTGCCGGGAGACTGAAGAGGCTCTGCCATTACTGTGTTTGAGGGCCGCTCATCACCAACTTACCCTATAGCATAACCATGCAATAAACTCCACGTGGTGTATCCCATCATGGGTTGACGGCCACTAATTCTTATGTTTCCAAATGAAGACCTCGGCTTCTTTGGCTGACCTCGATTGACACAAGACAAAGCTTCCAAGCTGAGGAGAGTAAGTGCATCGGTTTAGTGTGATCTTGTACGAGCATCATCAACAGAAGTTAACAGAAGACATGATCGAGTTGGAGGCTAAACATTGATAGTCCATATAAGAGGAAGAATAAATGGGAAATTTTCGATTGATGAACGCTATAACTAAGACAATATACTCCTTCTGTACTCTAATCAATTGCGCCCCTTTTCATCAGCGTCCGAATCTTGACCTTTTTCCCCGTTTTCATTTTCCTGGCCTTTCCCCTGACTGTCCACGTCCTTCTTTCCCTCTTTGTTCTGGCCCTGGCTCTGGGTTTCCTGGCCACCGTCCTGATCCTCCTCCTCTGGTTCTATATAAGGCACCTCGTAGTCCCCATCAAAGTCAGCCCCCCGCTTGTACCACGGGAACAGGGCCCGGAGCTTCTTCAGCTTGCCCATGCGGGCGGTCGAGTCGTAGCACTCGGGCTTGTCCTTCCAGCCGTCGAAGATGGACAGGAAGCCGTTGACGTGGGACTTGCAGCCGGCCTTGACCTTCTCCCCGAGGTCGTTGGGCAGGCCGGTCCTGTGCCCCGTGGGGTCGACGTGGTTGCCCTCGAGCGAGCAAATCTCACTGCCGCGGACGCCGCGGCCGTAGTACTTGCCCCAGTCCTTGATGACGCGCTTCCCCGGCTTGCCGGGCCCGCACTTGGCGTCGATGTCGTCCATGGCTTGCATGAACTCGAGGAGGCTGCCGGTGTTGACGCCGGTGGGGTTGCATATGTAGACGACGGAGTCGCCGTAGAGGGCGTAGCGGACGGTGTTCTTGGGGATGAAGAACTGGGGGGCGTCAAAGAGGAGGCTGATGGCGGCGTGGTAGTCGGACGTCGGGGGCACCCAGTCCGGCTTGTGGCAGAAGATGCGGCCCGAGGGGATGGGCGTCTTCTCCGTGAGCGCGAACTCTCCTCTAGTGAGGAGGCTTGCCGTGGACGAGTTGGTGGCCTGGGATGAGTTGATGGCTTGGGATGAGTTGATGACTTGGGGTGATTTGATGGCTTGGGGTAATCTGAAGGCTTTGGGTGATTTGAAGACCTGGGACGAGTTGGAGCTATTGGCTGGATATATTGCGTGGATCTCATAAGGGGGTATTCCGGCGGCCTGGGCGAGGGCCGATGTGGATAGGAGGAGGAGGGTTGTCAGCTTCATCTTGAGTATGGTGGCGTTGGTTGGCTGTGGGTTTCTCCTTCTCCTTCTCCTTCTCCTTCCTCCTCTTCTTCTTCTTCCTTTCCTTTTTTTCCCAACTGGATCACTTGGTGTAGGTATTCAAGAATCTGGATGAGTTGTGAAGAGATCAAGGGGGAGAAGATGAATGGAACTGAAACTCATGGCAAACGCGCTGTATTAATAGTTGGATCGTGAAAGTTTTAATAGTCTACTGGAAAATAAACTCAGAGTCTCGTATTGAGAGGCTGAACTGTCGAAGTTGTTTACCAAATGAAATTCCTTCTAAGTTCAAAAAGCTGCAGACTAGAATTCAGGAACCTTGCCACCAGAATTCGGGAAGCTGTAAGCTAAATGGTCACACGTCTCGAAGCTTAGGAATAGACTTTAGGCTGTGAGAAGAAATAAAAAAAAGAATTGCTACGACTCCTGAAACTCAGAAACATTCTTCAAGACGAAGAAGAGGGACCCGAATGCCACGGTTCTTGAATTCAGGCTGTGAGATGAAGAATTTTATTATCCTATGACTACTGAGGCTCAGAAACATTCACCAGGCTGCAGAAGAGCGGAAAAAATGCCACGGTTCTTGAAGCTTGGGAATAGGATTCAACCTGCGAGCAAACTTTGCTGGGCATATGCTCCCCCACGATGAAAGTTTTTTAATCTGGGCGCATCTGTCTTTGGATCTAGTTGCCCGCGGAGACGACGGAAGATAGATGGCTTGTTACACAATCGCACCGTCTTATCTACCTCCAGTACTTGACAATATCACTTGACCGCATGGCTGAGGGTGAGTGGGATGCAGACATGGGCACGAGGCGTCGTCGGGCTAGAGTCTTGTGACTAAGTAGGTTGCATTATATTTTGGGTAGCCTAGTGGATGATAAGGACATAGTTAGACTTCCGCCAGTTAGTCGAGATGAGTGAGGCAGGGCGAGGCGACGAGAATAAGAGGCGGAAACAGCTTGTGGTTAACATTTATGAGTCCCATTGTTGGATATCTCGCTGAAGCTGTTCTGCTCGCCCGGAATACTTGATTTTCGTGATGCTAAAATTAAGTATGATGTACCACCATTTGCCCCCACGTCGGCGATGTTACGCAGAGGCAGATCACTGGGGTCCTGAGGAGTTGCAGATCATCTGTCAGGTCTGCGCTTGGAAATGAGCTGCGTGGAACAGAGACGCTCATTGCCCTTGCGGTAATGTCGTATTTCCAGGGTTCATCTATATTTCTTTTCAGTATTCCGCCAGTACGTTCAATCACAGCTTGAGTTTAGGGTTAAGAGGGCAAATATATTTTCGCACAAACCATATATGTTGGACACTCACAGTTTTATATCAGCACTTGAATACAATACATTTTATTCATCAACGGGACATATATGATTAAGACAGGGATTTGACATGTACATTGGGTAGTCTCGGAATGCTTGTGGGAGAATTCGGGTCTTCAACCCGAGTCATCCGTGCCACCATCCCATCGGGGCCGGGGCTCTGTCTTTTCTGCACAATGCCGTCTGACTTGAGCGTGATTAAGCATGCCACCCATATGGTGAAGCCTTGGTGGTAGACCCTTGGATACCAAACTTCCAAGTCAGTAAGAGCAAGGCGAGAAAGGCAACAAGTTGGGCGTTGCGAGTATTTGTGGTATTTCCTGCTGCAACGGCCCTCTCCTTCGGGATGCCTCTTTCATCAGGAAGGCGGACACTAAATTGGACCCTGCGTCTATCATTTCCCGGGGTGCATTTCGTCATCGCCAGGGCACCCCTTTTCTGGCATGGCGCCGTATCTGTGCGTCCGACGCCCGAAGCCCGGTGGACGGCGACGGGCGAGGTGAAGATGTTGACAGCGAGTTAGCCTTGAATGCAGTCATGGCATGAAGCGAGGGAATCGGGATGTCGAGCTATATTCCGATACACATCTGCTGTTGCCTCCCGCGCCCTTCTCATGAATTTACACATTGCACGCCCCTCCCGCCGCGTCGAAAGAGTGACATCATGAAGGGCAGCTTAGGGCCATCGTGCAAGTATCAGGTGCCTGTTGCAGCAGGCTAACTGCGAAAACGAGAGCGAAGGTTTCCGAAGGGGGAGGAGCAGCCTGTATTGTGCCCGGATTGCGGTAGCACATGGCGAGTAGGTTAAAGGTAATAGAGCGAGCGCTAGGAGCTTACGCAACGGCCATTGCAGATGGGCAGCGAGGCCACTAACAGCCCTACGAAGTACTGATCACCAGGTCTCTGTGCTGCGTCAGCAGATGGGCGACTCTTCCAGGTGCTGGTGCAGCAGACGTAACCTTGGTCTGGAGGGACCCATGGATGGAAATAGACATCTGCATCATGATTAGATCAATTGGGAGAGGCGGTGTCATTGATTACATGTGTTTACAAATGTCCAGTCCCAGCTGTGGCGGAGCTGGACGTCGCCGAACTGAGAGCGGCGACATGCGTCATCAGCTGAGTGAGAGTCAGAGGATAAGGTTGCTTCCAGCTTTCCAGCTCCCAGGCAGCGCTCTCGCCGCCGAAATGCCTGCACCTCACATACCGCATGTGGAAGATGCAGCGGTGTTGGAGAAGCTGGGCGCGCAATACGATTATGCACTGCCTGCGACGCACCGGATCGAGGCAATAAATGATAATATTCCTCGCCTGGGGTGGCCGGACAGATGGAATCTACAGTGCGGCCGGAGATGCGTTCAGCTGCTTGCTTGCTCGTGTCTTGATGGATTCATCCAGACTCAGCTTCGTCCCCGAGCGCACATGTTAGCCGTCCAGGCAGCCCGGCAGGCCGGTGCAAGGATCTCCTCACCCCGTCCGAGGTAAGGAGGACGAGAGGGCGGCTACGATGGATTGTTACCTGCCCACATATTTTGCCTCGACCCCGCGATGCCAAGGGACGAGCTCCGCAAGATGAGGGGCAGCATTGGGATTTGCATGATGGAGATCCTGATGGGATGGCCCAGCCTGCCATTTTCCTTCCCTATCCAGCCTGATCCCCCCCGTAAGTCTCTCGTGTACCGGTACCAGACACTCCATCCTACCTTATCTTCTGCAGCGAGAGAGCCGCGTCCCCAACACATTGGTGCAGGGGCCGTCTGCTTTGACTGCCCTCTTGGCTGCCTGTATGCTTGCTTGCCTTCCAGGCCTCCGCTCCTCATTTGACATACGGCATTATTGAACGGATAGTCTGGTCCTTTTGCGCCGGCTGGCCTGTCTTATCCACACACTCTCCAAGACCAAGGCACACGGGTCGCGGGAAATGATTGAAATCAAACAGCATCGAGAATCAAGGTCTCACAGCAGCTTCTGTCTCTGACAGCTGCCATGCCAGCAGCTGTGGGGGTCTAGACTAAACCCGCTGATGAGTCCAGATGACAATAGCCAGAGCGCCGGACTCACACGCCCCTCCAGAGATTGGGGCTAGACGGTCTTACTTTGCTCTCTACCTCCATTCCAACCATCGTGCAATTTTTCACTATTGCTCACAATCCACCAATACGAGGCCAGATTCGCTTCCCGGCTCCGGGTTATTCCACGCACAGATGGATCTTGGGGCTGGGCCATGCACGCGGCTCTTCTTCTAGCCTCCCAGCCCGACCCAGAGCTCCCTCCTCCTATGCCATGCATGGAGCTCTCTCGGTATGTATCCTGCTTGCGCTCGCCGAACGTCAGCTTACCCACGCGACGGTGGCTGCGGGTTTCGCCGTCGCAGCCGCCCGCCTCTTTCATATCGGCCGGGCACTGGAATGTTGCGTGCCTTGGGACGTGCCCAAGACGAGGTAAACTACTTGACTACTGCCCCGTAGGTGTGGCAGGCTGATCACAGTGGTAATCATATTTCAAATGAATTATGCTGCTGCCCATCGCATCAGCGGGCCTTGGCGGTGTGTGTTCGTTGCGCGTGTTGCGCGAAAAGCTGTAAGTGTGTCCTGCACGCATGTGATTGACGCCTTGAGACGTGACGGCCGATCGGCATCGAAATCATGGGAATCTGCCCAAAGCCCGACTGCGAGTGCGGCAGCAACATACATCTTACTCGAGATGTCGATCCGGCAGATGACCCCTCTCATTGGGAGAAACGGGATTTCCTCCTGTCGAGTCTAGCCAATTACACTGATCTCCCCCTCCCACAGCCGGTCGCTTGGAACCCAGCTTAGGAACCGAGCTGTGTGGCTGACGGCCGTAGAGACACCGAGATAGGCAGGTTTTCGACACGAGAGATGCGCATTCCTATGTCATTCAATCCGGTATCGAGTTAGCTTCATGTCATGATGAACGGCGCATGATGGTTGCTTGATGACAGCGACGGAGGTGTTGAATTCAATGGTGGTCGTTTACCGAGATTAATAGCATGTGCAATAATAACAGCTGGACTGGAACACACAAAAAAAAGTCAGACAGATGGGCTCCAGCCACGATTGGGCTTCTTGTGATGACTATTATCCTTCTCGGATTCGACAGTTTCTTGCATATTTTAGGTGCTATGGGCTTTGGCACAGCAAAATGGAGTGGCTGGCGAGAGCTCGTACACGTACACGCCCCCTCCAGATCATCAAATCCCTCCACCCCCCTTTCGACAGCGCGGCCACTAGCTTCCACTCGTACGAGTACCGGCCTTCTCAATCGGTTCATTTAATCACAATCGTACCGGTACACGAAAATTAAGGATTTCGTGTCTATCGCAGTCGTAGCCCAACCGTCAGCTTCCCCTTTCAGGGTCCGCCCTTTTCGGAGTTTCCCTGGGACTTCTGCTCTGGGCCAGCTGCTTCTATTGCTGACGGCAAGCTAAGTCAGGCTGATATCAACTATCGAGGAGGCGCGGGCTGATAATCCAGACGTGATGCGTGCATGGGCCTGGCTGTGTCTTTGCCTGCCTGCTAGGCTACTACCTTAAACACTATCCCGTTCCTTGTGTCCCACTCTGGTCGATAGTCTGTCCGCGTTCGTATTATTATCGACACAGCTGAGCGAGCACACAAATGCCACACCGCAGCTGAAGTCTCGGAGGCTGCCTGAAGGTGCCTAAAGGACAATTGGGAGATTGCAAATGTGACACCTGTGCTGGGCTCAACTAGGTAGGTATGCAAGTAGGAAGGTTAGCTGGATCTGGGAGGCCTTGGGTTGTTGCTTGGCTGAGGTCCAAGATGCAGGGCTGCCCATTGAGGACAGAGTTTTGGTGCTGTGATGGCTGGGCCAAAAAGGCGGCCGACTGATCGATGGATGGATCCTTGTGACAGACGCGGGACCGCATGGCATCACACTGATGTCCGCGATCCGTCGCGAATTCGGCGATTCTCCGTCGCTGCTACACATGCATAGGGGTATATCTGCGCGGTTTAATTGATACCTTCTTGCCATATCCATGACTCTTGCTGTTTGTTGTAGTTGCCGCGGGATCCTCTGCGATGCGATGCCTGAGTCAAGCACATAGCAGATACAAGCGCTACGATGCCAACACGGGTCATGATACGCGGGAGCAGTAACCCACCTGCGGGCTCCCACACGCCCCCGGTCCCTGTCCGACGATGGAGAAGCTCCAACTCAGTGGCGGCCCCCCAAGCAGACCCCCAAAGCACGGCCAAACAGATGGCCAGACCACGAGCGATTTCCTCGTGCTCTGCGCCCTACTGGTACGTGACATCTTGGCTGGGCACGTTTTTAGCACATCCAAAAGCCCGCAATGGTGGTATGCTTTTCTCGTCAGCCTACTGCGCAGTTGGACGATGTAAAAATGACATGACGTGTTGCGAGGCGGAGCGGGCGGACGTGTTCTGCACAGAAGCGACGAGAACAGCGGAGGATCTCGTTAGAAAGGGCCGCGGTGCATTCTGGATGCGAGATGGTCTCGTCTAATGGACAAGCACGCATCCAGGCCACGCGAGGGAAACGAAGGGGCCTGGGAGGCGAGCCATACAGCGGCCTGAGATCGGTCGCGCCGGCGTTCCGCCCGTCTAGATTGCAGATAGACAGCAGGTACCCATCACATCCACAGGCGCCTCGCAAGCGGGTTACAGGCGGGTACCCCCTACCTGGGTATGATTACAGGGCACGCTGCAGCGGTGTCAGCGCTGCACTGCACCGCGCTTTGCTGCAGACTGAGGCAAGGGACCGGCCTAGGGACACGCCCCCTCCACTGGCTCTGGGCCTCCCAGTGGCCTCTTGGACCGCCCATCTGCGTCAAACCCCCCGGCCATCCCCAGCTTTTTTGCCCTTAGTACCTCAGCTTTGTCTAGGTCCAAGCCCAAGGCAGCAGACGGCCTCCCAGTTTCGATTTCCCCATAAATCTACGTTGCGTGGACCCCGGCCCACGGCCCAGGGTGAATCCGGACACATTCAAAAGCCGAAGCAATCCTCTTCTTCTCCTGCTCGCCTTGCCACGCCGTCTCTTCCTCTTCATAATTTTCAACCACCTCACCGTCGAATTCGACCATAATATATCGGGTCTCATATACAGAGTCGACCCTGATCCACATCACACGACAAACAGTAACAACGCCTGGGGCTGTTTTTTTTGCTTTGGACACCACCATCACCCCTTTTAACCGCCAACCCCTAGTTGACAGCCTGTTTTTCCCGCCCAGCGCGTACCTACAGGCGACCTCGCTGCTGCATTACCCCTTCTTCCCCCACACCACCACCGAGCTCTTTTTGGGGTAACACCTACCAGCGCGTCAACACAACATCAACATCAACATTCAATCCCATCCAATCCATCTAGCGCATCCAACCGCGACGCGCTACCAACCGACCACTGCTTTATTCATCCAACCTCTCCGGCTCGGACCCCACACAGATTCTTCAACCACCATGTCGTCGTCACCTGAAACCGCCTACTACCTGGTCCCCAATCTGCAGGCGCTGGATCCATCAGCACGCGAACTCGATGCAAGCTCAACGACGTGGGTACAACCTACCATCATCGAGGATGAGGACCTGACGTTTGGCGGCAAGAGCCTGAGCGCCTGGTACGAGGAGGACCGCAGGCGGTTTAGCCACAGCGACGAGGAGGAGGAGCGCAGGGGCCGCGAGCGAGTCAGGAGACAATACCCCGAGAAGAAGCATGGGAAGAACTAAAGCAATCGACACAAAACTTGTCGATTAGTACATGAGACGGGAACTGGCGGAGACGCCGACGTCAAGCTACAGCATCAGATTTGGATACAACGACAGCAACACATCATCATGATACCCATCCCATCATGAGCGTGCCATTCTTATAGACACGCTGGGATTTGTCCCTCTTGGACACAGACGTCCCGAGGTGTTTCTTGGCCTTTCTGGCAAAGGCCAGTATAACGAGGAATTTTCTTGGAAGCAACATCATATCGCATCATTCTGACGGCAGCAGCGAGGTCCGGCGAGACCTCGGCAAGGCCCTCACACATCTCTATATATATCCACGGCGGGCTGCCAGGCATGTGGGAAGACATGCTGGCTGGATCGAGAAACCTGGACAATACCGACTTGCATTTTAGACTTGCACGCATCTTTGGATTTTGAAACTGCGCATACACACACACACACATCACGACACGGCGTTTTCTGTTTATTACACAAGGTTGACACACGATCGGGGGGCACGCACTCTACTCTGCGTGCCTGCTGTTGGCTCTTTGCATTTGTTTTTGCATTTATTTGCGTGGGGATGTGTTGTGTCTCACACTGACAATATCCATCCCCTTCTCATGACCTGGCGCATATCAGGGCATTGGTACTCTGGCTGATTTTCTTGTTTAACCCTCCACCACCATAATCGCATGCATGGCTAGGAGCCGGGACTGTGACCGGGGGCCATCTCGCTCGAGGCGAGGAGAGCCCGGAGCTACTGGGCAGTGGGATTAGATAGCTCCAACTGAATGGCAGGAATACCATAAAACATTTACTCCCCAGACTGTTGTTCTCTTGATGGAAACCGATGACGTGCATGCCTGCTCCTTGCAGTGGTGATGAGTGCTTCTTCCCCAGCCACAGGGGCACAGCTGGCCTTGGCGTGGCCTCGGCATTCCTCTGCCCAGACCAAATCTCATCATACATACAATACATACAGATTCCTTATCAAGATCGAGTACATAAGAGAGTCGTGGAGTTGCCGGGCGCAGGGGGCGGAGCTCTCTCGCCCACTAGTTGCGGCAAGTAAACACGATGCGGCAAGAAAAACCAAGAACCGGGTCCATCATGATGTCATCACCCCAACATACGCCCTCTTTTTCCCCTTTGCTTTTTCTCTTCTCCTCTTGGGATAGACTCCATTCGGCTGGTAGATGACGAAACCCCGCTGCAAGAATGAAACTCAATGCCCTCATAGCAATTCGTCGAGATCATGGGATTGTTCATATGGGGGATGGGTTTCTTCTGTGTGTGTGTGGCGATTGCGATGATGCGACTGTTACACGAGCAAGCAGCAAAAACACACCTGATTACGTTACGCCATGACATCGTTTCTCATCATTCCGCCAGGGCAGTGGTGTCAGTCAGCGCTTTAAAATTCCCCGGGGCAATTGGCTCGAGCGAAAGAAGGAGGATGCCGGACACTGGCGTGGGGCAAAAAGAACGGCGCCGAGAACGGGGGGAAGGGCGGCAACCGAAATCGCTGCAGCGACGAAACATAAGACGTCATCAGTGACTCTCCCAGCGATCCGGATTCCCAGGTGAGGGGATCTGCATCTGGTTTTTTCACTCCCCCCCGGGGATTTCGGCCGGCAGCCTTGTATTTTGTTTCTTTTTTCCCGGTTGGGATTCGAATCTTAAAATCTCGCTTGTATGTGTTTTCTCACGCCCTTTCTTTTGTGGTTAGTCTTGGCGAACCCCGGGACATGGCCCAAGAACGCGTGGCGACTCTGTCAACGATCGTGATCTGGTCAAATGTGATGTTTTATATGTGCCTGCTTGTATAGATACTTTGGAGACGGGGACTGGCGTAACTCTTGAGGGTGGGTAGCCAGGGCCGGTTTGTATCCCCCCCTTGGTTTCATGCTCACTTTCCCATGGCAAATGTGCATTTGTTTGCTAGCCCACGTCTGATGGTACTTTGATCAAGACCACCTTCACTTGGGAGGTGTAAACCTTCCTGCATGCATTCTTCACGTGAAGCGATATTGTTTATTAGTGCTAAATTGCTTGGCCGGAAATATCTCCTGCTTATGCTGCTGGGGGTTGCTAGTGCTTTGGAGGTCACATGTCTGGCAAGTTGTCTCGAGACGTATTGTGCATTTCGTTTGGACCTTACTCCTACAGCCTCGTACATTTCGGGCTGGTTCACGGTTTTGTGCTGCATTGGCCTTTTACTTGCCAGGTCCAGGTTCAACTGCTGTTCTCGTTGAGTGTCATTTGGCTGAGTTGATCAAGCTTCTTATCATGGCATGCATCATATTCTGCACTTTGAAAGGTCATGGCCAAAGGGAATGACTGAAGCTAGATGCCCTTTTACATGCATCCACACTCTCCTTGCGGTGATACCAAAACAACTCCCATGTTCCAGCTTTCTTGTTGTTCACTGCTTGCGCTGGGGGTTGTAGCCAGAGTTGATAAATGTCTAGCAACCCCGGACATGTTGGCTTATTCTCTAAAAAAAAAATTGTTCTTACTGTTTATTGTGTATTATTTACTATTAGGACTTGAAATTCAGATCAATTTATGAAAATGGTTCTTATTCCACCAACCCCTTCAACTATTCCTACACCAAAGACTGCTCGCGGGGGATTTGATTGGTTGAGATTAGCCGAGAAAAGGTTGAGAGAAGGGACAGTGATGAATTCAAACAGGAACGAGCAGGAGGGACCTGTTCGAATAAATAGAGATAGCTAAGGTAGTTCTGAGAGGGTGGGATATTTCTTCCCCCTTCATCATCGCGATCCAAAAAAAAGCCTATTTCAATTCGTACGTTTCTTTGCAAATCTCTCCCAGTCTATTATCCGTGCTGTATCACCTGAGATAGCCACTATTAAGACATCACGCCTTCCAACCCGTCGACCCCAATGATCAATACTATGCTCAGCAGCTTCATCCCCGCCAGCCACCTGTTCCCGGCCAGATGCCATGGACAGTACACCGTCCCAGCTCAGCGGCCCCAATACGAAATCTTACCATTATACGTATCTGAAGCAAGGATAGACTGAGGTCATCGTGACCCGGGAGGAAGTTGTGGAAAACTACGCCGAACTGCTTGACAAGGTCAGGAACATTAACTTCCCGGATTCCCAAGGGGAACCAAAACTGTCTCATAGGGACGCAGCGAAAATTCAGCCCAGTACAGATACTGCAAGGGCCGTTATGGGGAGCACCAGCAAGACAGCCAGGGCGATCCATAACGATGTAGCCATTTGATGTCTTGATGAGAATGCACAACATGCACTACTCGTGTGCATTCTCAATAACGATGGAATGCAAACCTTTATCTAAAAGAAAGGTAATAGTAACACCCCCAGTTCAGTCTGGGGAGGAATGGTAGGGTTGCTCATCGGATGGAGCCTCACTGGATGAAGCAGGAGCTATCATGGCCTCATCATGAGGCTGTATGTCGCCATTACTGGCCGTCTCCATGTCATCATGAGGCTCCGTGATTCTGATAGAAGATGGCTCGACAGATGAGGAGGGGGTGCTCCTCAACCGGAGCAGGAGGTACTGAACTGCCAGCATCAGAGGGGCTACCATCTGTATCCGAGCCAGCAGACTCCCAGCTGATGCGGCTATCCTGAACGTGCGATCTGTCCGATCCGTGCCCAATTGAACAAGCTGGACGCGCCAGTTGCTCCATGCATCGATAGCTTCTCGACCAAGGAGGTCATCCCTGGCCTCGTCGCGATGCTTCTGGAGTTGTTGCCACATGGAGAACCTCTCCCTGGTGCAGCCGACATGCACCAACGATACACTATATGTGTCTCTGTCGGAGTTCTCCCACAGGGCAGTTATATCAGTAAGATCGATCACATCAGTTATGGGAACCGAATCAACCAGAGCGGAGGTAGTAGCCTCTGCCTCAGCACTATCACGTCTGGCTTGCAGGTCTGCCGAGGATACGTAACCTTTGGAAAAGTCACCAAATACACCGAGACACCAGTGCAAAAGATATCGTGGGATGCCTTCTATTGATTACTTTGGCAATGCAGAAACTCCATTTCTTTATCAACCATATATTAATACAAACACAGCGCAAACAGAAACACTCTGGTATCTTGTGAAAAGCAATCCCAAACTCCTGCTATGATGGTGCAAATCTCAAAACACTCATGCATTCATTCATGCTGGCCGCCTCAAATCAAACTTTCTTCCCACTCCCAAACTCCAAAAAAAAAACAAAAATTCAAACAAAAATTCATTACACGTTATCTTTTATCGATCAATTTTGGCTTCGAGTCCGGGCGCGGGTCATCCGCTTGGCGGGGGTGCCATTCCCCGCCATGCCCAGACTCTGGGCCGCCACTTTGGAAATGCGAGGCTTCTGGGGTGTCGCCTTGGGCTTTGACACCCCAGCCTCGCCCTGCGTGGCCTTCTTCTTGCCAAGTGTGCCGGCAGGACGGCCACGCTTGGTCTTCTCACCTTGGTGAGACTCGAGGGGCGTTCTCCAGGTGACGTTCTTAGCCTTCTTCCTGGTTGACCCGTCGCTTGCTGAGTCGTTCGACTCGCCTTCGGAAAGCTCCTCCGAGACTCTAGCCAGGATTTGCTGTACCGATTCGGCCTTGCCCTTGTTCCTCTTGGTGTTCAAATTCGTCTGGCGCGTGAGCTCTGCTTGCTCATTTCGCACCGCCGAGTTCAACTTTCCTTGAACAGGATCCCGCCCAGCAGTAGGTCGGCCTAGTTTGATAGACGTCGGGATGGAGGACTTCTTCTCCTGGGTATTCAGACGGCTCGAGCGACGGCATGGTTCTTCCTCCGATGCCACCTCCTTCTGTTCCTGCTTGCGGGGACTAGGCACGTTGTCTTGCTCAACCGCGGATTTCTGAGCACTTGGCTTTGCCTTACGCTTTGGTCCTAATTCTTCTGTCTTCTCCTTCGACAAATTGCCCAAGCGGCGGATTCGCTTCACAGCAGGCTCCTCGGACTTCTTCGCTGGCGAATCCTCACTGTCGCCTTCAACGCCTTGCTTGCGCTTCAACTTTTTAGGGCTGTCGTTTCCGGCATTAGGGCTCTTAGCCTCCAACGGGACACGGGCCGGGGAATGTGCGATGGGTGAGCCAGTTTCGGTTGTAGACAATCGCTTGGGCTTCATATTCCTAATAAAAGCCCGCATGTATTCTCGACCAGGGCTATCAAGATTCTGTTCGGTAGTCTTCTTGCTTGCGTTCTCCTTTGTGATGGGCTGCTTAGGCGCAACAGGCTCTTCAGCTCCAATTTGGCAATCTTCCTTAGAAGGAGTTGGCGCGCGTAGTGAACGAAGTCCGCTCGTGGGCACAGCTCCAGAATTACGGGGAGAGTTCTTGTTGACGGGAGTGAACGATGTAGCTAATGGTGTACCTCCTGGGCTTGTCTTCACCTGAGCTTCGGCAGAGATATCCCGGTCAGGCGAAACTGATGGTGTCTTGACCTTTGGTTCAGAAGGAGTATTCCGGCGGGAGGAAGCTGATGGCTGCTTAGATGGTGTTGCCTTGGATAGTGTCGCCTTGCACGGTGTTGCTTTGGAATCTCCAGGCAGAGCCGGTGAAAAGTCAATGTTGGCAAATGTAGGAGTCTGAAACGACGGCTCAATTGATAGATCGCTGATCAGCCCTGAGCTCGGGGCCTGCGCATCAAGATTCTGACTTGGCCGAGCAGGTGTCTTGATTTCTGAAGACTGGAAGACAGGTGAAACGTTTGACCTCAATGGTGTTCCATCCATGTATGGTTCCATGTCAAAGTCACCTACGACAAGCGTCTGGTCATTCGAGTCTTCGTTCGCTGGACTGCTGGGGAATTGGACTTTCTTGAGGGGCGAAGATGTTCCCACAAGATTACCTGGAGTGAATGCGCTATCCATGATGCCAAGGCCGGTACGGCTTATATGTTTGTGCGGTGAGGGCGTGGGAGTATTGTTTGATGATGTCTTGTCAACAGCCTGATGGATATTCCGTGAGATTTCAGCAGCGGTGTGTGGAGAAGAAACTGATTCCAAATGCGGCTCATCAGCAACTTGGCTCTGAGGAAATAGAGAGGCATATTTGGTCGGCAACTTAAACCGAACAACAAGCTTTCCGCTAGACTGGGTAACCACAACATTGGCATACCCGTCGCAGCTTTCTCCAGCCAAGTCTGCCAGCTTCTCTACTGCAGGGGCAATGACAACTCGAGAATTAAAGATGTCGGGATTCTGCCGCATGTCGATGCTATAAATTCCGTTGCGATCCGAGCGTGTTCCGGCTGGTCGTACAACTGACAAGGGCTGCCTTTCAAGGAAGTACTTTGAGAATGGTGTGATCGGTCCGGCGCTGCCAACTCTCGATGACGCTGTTAGAGACTCGTTTCCAGGTTCTTGCTGGTGTGTAGGTGTTGATACATCCGTTTCGTGAGAAGCGGGCAGAGCAGCCTGGGTCTCGAATATTTGCAGACCTGGGCTTTGTTGAGTGACATCATCGTGATCGTCTGTGAGAGATGATAGGATTTGATGCATATCTGATTGGCGGCGCGAGGCCCCAAGCTTCTTCAAATGCCTATTCAGGATAGGCTCACTCTTCCGTCTTCGGCTCTTATTCACGATCTGAGTTCGGGTTGCTTCCTTAGACTCAGACGCATCGTTTCGAAGCCAGTCGATTCTAGGGCTCATTTGTATGTCACTGATTTCTCCAAAATCAAACATCTCCGGATTACTCTCCCAAGTAGGAGGAACGCCATCAAGATTGGGAGTAGAAGGACAGATAGAATTAACGATGCCCAGAGGTCTGAGCGGAGTAGTTCTCTGTTGCGTGGCGGGCGTGCCGAAATTAGGGGTGGCAAGCGGAGATCGGGACCAGCGAGAAGGCGTGGGTGCTCCAGGACGTTTGGTAGGGGACGAGACATGCTGGGGCGTCATAGGGCTCGATGTGCGACCTTCTTTAATGGTGGTGGGTGCAGAATAAAGCGATGGCTTGAAGCCCTTGGCTGGCCCATGTGGAGGAAGGTTCATGGCGAGTTGTGGAAGCTTCGGTTCCAAAGTGATATTCTCATTCAAGCTGATGGCAGATGACACAGCTGGAGCAACTCGAGGTGGTGAAGTCTGAGACTTGATAGGCGATGTCAGAATCGAGGCTGGCGTAATACCAGGGTTTAATTTAACCAATGTCGAGCCCAATCCAAGGTTGGTACGACTATAATTATCAAGTCTGGCCTTGCGCTTGGCGGGTGAGGTTGCGGCAGCTGAGGCGGGTTGGGGCATTGGCCGTGTCTGCGAAATCTCGGATTCGGATTCATCGTCGGCAATTATTGAAAGATCTGGGACGCCACACGCAGCTGGATAGGTACGGATATCCCGATATTCCTCTTCGTCAGACTGTTGAGGGAGGAGGCCAAGATCTGTCCAAGACTCTTTCAGCGCATCCATGTGTTCCAGGTGCACTTTCCATCCTTGGCCACCAGTAACTGTCTCTCCATCGACGTTGCGCTTGACGCCTCGGCAGTTGGCGGGTCGCGTATACCGGTTGTCGTGGAACTTGTTTAAAGTAGGGTGATTCGAAATGTGCGAGATCACGTCCGCTTCCGAAACATTAGCAAAACCCAAATACCATGCAGGGAAGGCTGCGGCTTACTCTTTGCTTGGTTTAAAATTAACTCGGTAGACATAGGCGGAATTTCTTGGAAGGACGCCTCCCCTAACACCAATTTATCATCCAGCTTGCGTCTTCGTGCAAAACGGTCATTGTCCGGTTCCTCGGTAGCATCACTCGTGGCGGGAGCGATCAGAGGTCGAGCGCGAGGGCGACAGGGGATGCCGACCCTCTTCATGATTGTTTTCAAGGAGCAGTGCGCGCGTGAAGATGGTGCGGTCGCGACGCGACACCAGGCAGGCAATCGGTTCTGGGGAATTTGCACAGCAAGGTGAGAAGCCCAATTGCTAACAGAAGCATGTCAGTGAACGGAGGACTATAACATGATCGAGAGTAGACGATGTTTACCTAGTCACTAGCTGGCCGCCAGAGCCATTGTGTGGTTGGGGTGGCACCAGGCTTGTTGGGTATTCCTTTGTGGGAAAATATGTCACGAATGACGGGGGAAGTGGGTTTCTACTGGTGTGTTAGGACGCGTCTCAGAACTGACGACCAAGACAATGAATATCTCACAATTCCACTGATACGAGTCCGTCCAGGGGACTTGATTCGGAGCGGGAAAGGGCCATGTTCATGGTGGGCAAATCGCCTGGGACGGAACGCTGCTCGCGTGGTGAGAGCACCATCGCGAGAGTGGCCCAAGTATGGTGGGATGGGAAGGCCGAAGCAGCAGCAAGCTCAAGAACACTTGAACAGGAGAGTGGGAAATGTTTCGGTGAAAATTCAACCGTACGCCGGAATGCGAAAAAAGAAGTATCGTCGACGGCAAGACCGTGAGGTTATAAAAAGAAGGAATGCAGAATGGAGAATGCAGAAGAAGCTTGGGAAATGAAACTATCATCTGCCTGCTTGAAGAAACGACTTTCCTTTGTTTACATGCCCACCGAATTTAGATGGGTGTGGTGGGGCTGTGCTGGATCAGGACTAGCGGCTTGGCCGTCTGCAGATGCACGCCGCCAAACGGCTGCTGGCCACTCAAAAATCACCCCTGGACCCTTAATGGACACCGCCCAGGTTAATCGCGACGACGTGACTCTCGTGATTGCCGTCGCGTGTACCACTTATGCCTCGTTCCATGGGGTGACCTCAAACATGCTCCCGCTAGAAAATGCATGCATGCCGCGCGCACCGTGTTGAACACACATTTACGCGTCCTCGTAGTTTGGTTTGGTATGGTTTCTCTCTTGTTGGTCTTACAAGACGGTATTACCTGCAAGTCTTGCCAAACTCTAAGACTTAGCTTGCCTTCTACAATTGAGCCAGCAATCATGATATATCAAACGAAAAGATGTGACATGCATAGACAATCACTAGTTCATTGATGGAAATTCATTACCCCTATATCCATATTCTCTCAGTATGTACCAAAATCTAGGTAGGCAAGTAAGGTAGGTAGACAAAATGTGAGGTGGTGATCAGCATAAAGTGCTTGCTGACTCATCCGTGCAGCCTCTATAGCTTTAGGGTAGGTACTTTTTCTTGAAGGGCAGAGAGGCACGAAGCAAATTGCCCTCCACCTGACAATTGGGTACCAGTCCCGCAGTGAGGCTCGTCTACTAACTATATGGGATTTGGCACGTCTATCTGGTTGGGTGGCGAGCCAGCCAATACGGTAAAGAAATCGAGGTTGTCTTGGTTTAAAAACTCTGCGGTACTTAGACCGAAGGGGGACAAGTCAAAGGTAGATGCCGTCGACATGTTCATGAGCCCATTCAATTGCGAGTCGGACTCATCTGAACCGAGCATATTGGACCAGCTGTCCTGCAGTGGAGGGCTCAGCAGGCCTGGGACTTGAGATATCAGCTCCGTCTGCCGAAAACATGGATGGGTGAGACTAACCGGTTACTGCCGTTGTCCGCACGAGAACTGCCAAAAATTTGCAACACCTCCTAGAGAGCCTCGCGCCATTCCCAAGTTTCCGGAGAGCTTGTGCAGCCAGTTGTAGGCTGGCACGGAGGTCTGTGGTGCGGATGTCACTCTGAGACAGCCATGACTTTTCGTTGGCATGAATGAGCAGTGCCGAGAAGATAATCAGTGCTGCGTTGAAAGCTAGAAAACAGGTTCGTTAGACTTAGCGAGCCCAAAGGAGTATCCGTGCTCACTGTAATAGGTGGAAAACCACCAAGCTCCGAGCGTCGATGGTGTATCACTGAGGTTGTGGGCGATGGTGATGATTTCCGAGGCGGATTCAATACACGCCTCGAGATATGGCTGCCCAAAGCGCTGCATCCACAACATCTCATTTTGGTCTGGACCATCAGGTCGCAGCTGCTCCAGATACCTCGCGAGGACCGGCCGATGGAGCAGAGTGCGGATGTTGAGATACCTCAGCTCGAGAATGACGGACAATTTGTCAAAAACAACGTCAGCTCCAGAGTCCCCTGACTTCACATCCCACGGCCTTCGGCTAAGAGTGTCAGGCAGGCCGCGTTTCCACGCTAGAAGCTGGCCCTCCAATCTGATTGTATTTTCCAACAAGCATGATAGGGAGGTATTGGTCGAAGTCCCAATGTTCTGGTCGTACTGATTTGCAATGATATCGCCAAGAATTTGGTACAGGGTGCTATTGCAAATCAATATATATAATCGAACGGCGTTTCTGGATTCCTCACATGGTGGCAACAAAGAACGCGGCTGTAGAAGTACCACCTCCATCTTCGGGCTGGAATCCGTCCCCAGAGGTCAATGACCCAAGATCAGCGCTTACGGGCAACTCCATCCGGACGTATTGGGTCGGAATGGCCGGGGGCCGCCCAAAGGTCATGCTCATTGTCCTGTGCAAGTTTTAGTGCCGGCGTGACAGAGCGATGGTGCTTCGGGGGGGACTGACCTGTCCAAAATGATGCATCCGAACCAGGTACGCTTCCGGACCTCTCTCTCGACAGCATTGAACCCAGGCGAGGCATTCTCAACATGGAGCCCCAGCTGCAGCGCAGCTTTGACTGTCAACCCGTGAACATTCCACGTCTGGGCCGAGCGCTGCGTTCCCTGCAGGTACTGGGTCATCAGAAGCAGATACTGGACTGCACAAAAACTCTTTAGCAAGCACGGGAAACCGGGAGAGGGCAGGCTGTTCTTACCAATCTCTATGTTGACATTCTTGAAGGTCAGGTTTCCAGAGAGTTTCTGAGCCCGCTTGAAGTAGACATTTGAGTCGGCCGCGCTTTGTTCCACAGGTTGGTTAGGTTGGGTACTGATGCAGGTCACGAACGCCAAAATCATATTGAGCAGGCACAGCCACGAGCGTCGAGCCGAGCCAAAGCCGCCTCTCTTCACAGCTTTGACTCCGTCGAGTGCTGACTGCTCGTGAATGTATGGGAACAGCATGCCGGTGTCCCTGAAAAACAAGCTTACGAGATGGAGCGTCTCTGCCTCTGGGGGCAAGATGTACACATCGACAATGTCTGATGCGCCGTTGAAGACCTGGGGGTTAGTTACGGGCGATGCAGGTCTAGAAACGCGTAGCAGCTCGCCGTTGACTCGGCTCTCGGAAGGGAGGACGTGATCTTCAGGTCCTGGGCCTGAGGCAACAGAAGATGCAGTAGCAACTGCACCGGCAATCTGCTTTATAAAGGCCACGGTGGACGACGGCCCTTGACAACCCAAATAATCATCAACACCATACTACTAGCAGAGAAGAATTCGGATTCTGGGTCAAACACTAACCAAAGAAGCCAGACTCTTGCTCATCCGCAAATTTTATGGCCCCCATGCCATCAACAGTGTCATCTTCTGGGATATTGGCGACGGAATTCCCGTAATGAGACGCAGCCGCTGCGTCTCCTTCCTGAGCCTGGGAAGTTGCATATGTACCGCACTGGGAGTCAATGGACGAAAAGTCAGCCACCCCCGAGGCAGCTTGTTGTCTATTCCTCTGCCGGTTCTCCTCCAAAAGAAGCTGCAGCGTTTGCTCTATGGAGGTCAGTCTAGCCTCGTGCCCATCAGACACTCTGAGTTGGACACGTGAAAAGTCAGTAAGAAATTGGAATCTGATGACAACACGCCAAAAAGGGGGGGGAATGACATGATGAGAGGGTAGGATTGTTGAAATTGAAAATGTCATACTCTTTGCGTCGGTATCCTGGCTGTTGGTAAACGCAATCCAGGCCCATCTCCACGCACATGGCACATTGTGGGCGCGTGCCGTTGCACTATCATGTCAATTAGCTGCTTGAAGCCATACAGGAGTAAGTTTCCATCAGATACCCGTGATTTGCGATTCCTGCAACCCATACATGGTCAGTGATATGGCATGGGAGCTGCGGCAGGGGGGCCTATGGCCCCACCAGAATTCAGAAGAGAGTAGAGCAGTTTGTCTAACTGCTCGTATCATACCGACAACTGTTACAAGCCAGAGCAGTTCTCTGACGTTTGAATGACGGCTGCGAATAGCCCGGGTCATCTATGCCGGCGGGCCGCCGCGGGTCTGAACGGGAGCTGTTGTCACTGGCCATGATTCCGTGGGCTTCCAGGTCTAGTCGCCCCGGATATTCGGGTCTGTATTGAGTACTGACTTGGTACGCTGATAATCAAAGGCGACGGGAAAGATTGGCAGCTTCAGTTTGTCACGAATGAGCGGTGCGTCCCAGCCGATATATCCCCCGCCCCGGAGATAAGAACATGCCGTCAACATAACCTTAACCTGTGCTTATTCCGACCCCCGCATACCTCATAATAAGAAATCCGGGGAAATAACGGTAGCGAAAGGCGAAAGGCGAGTAGCGAGAAGCGAGAAGCAACATTGAAGCCAAGTCACCACGATTCCGGTGGGGCTATATATCACAATTGGATCGTTGTGCCGTCCATTAGGATAGATAAAAGCACAATAAAGCACGGCTCATGATGCGACTTGCTGATACCTGAAATACCACAAACGCTCTGCCGTCTAGGTCGTGCCAACTTGAAATCAATCTTGGTCATCATGCCTGTTTTAGATCCTTCAAGTGTCTTGCCTAAGAGGTTGGATCTGTTCTACGGCGGAACGTGGCATCCAGTCCAAGATGGAGAATATCGACCCGTCTTCAGTCCGGGGAACGGCCGTTCGATCGCCAGTGTGGCCTTCGCAGGCCGTCAAGACACTATAGCGGCCATCGAGGCCGCTCACGCCGCCTTCCCCAAGTGGCGAGCTGTTCCAGCCCTTGAAAGAGGTAGAATTCTGCGCAAGGTGGCTCAGAAGGTCCGTGATAATGCCAGCGATCTGGCTCTGCTAGACGCCTTCAACTCGGGCAATCCCGTCTCCATCATGACACAAGATGCCCATTCGGCCGCCGACCACATTGACTTCTTCGCGGGCCTGATCCCCGCCGTTCAGGGGGAGACGACGCATCTAGATGATTCGGCGCTCAACTACACGGTTCGGGAGCCACTCGGTGTCGTGGCCCGTATCATCGCCTCCAACCACCCGCTCATGTTTGCCGCTATTCGCCTTGCAGCTCCGCTGGCCATGGGCAACACGGTTGTCCTCAAGACCCCGGAGCAAGCTCCCCTTTCGGCCCTTCGCCTAGCGGAGATAATCGGCGACGAGTTCCCGCCTGGCGTTCTCAATATCCTGTCCGGCGGCGTGGAGTGTGGGCAGGTTCTCTCAACCCACCCACTCGTCAGCAAAGTCACCCTGACCGGGAGTGTCCCCACGGGCAAGGCGATCCAGAAGGCAGCCGCCGACAGCTTGAAGCTGACAACATTCGAGCTCGGTGGCAAGAATGCTCTGATCGCCTTCCCCGACGCGGATCTCGATGCCCTGGTAGATGGCATTGTGGGAGGCATGAACTGGGGCTGGTGCGGACAGTCATGCGGGTCGACCTCGAGGGTCTTCCTGCACGAATCGATCCACGACAAAGTCCTGCCCGTCGTGGCGGAGAGAGTAGCCAAGTTGTTTAGGCCCGGCAACCCCGTCGACACCGACACGACCATGGGCGCCCTCGTCAGCAAGGCGGGCCAGCAGCGGGTTCTAGGCTACGTCGACATTGCTCTGAAAGAAGGCGCTCGGCTGGTGATGGGCGGCAAAATCCCCACCACGCCCGACACTGAAGGAGGCTTCTTTGTGGAACCGACTATAGTGGCAAATGTGAAGCAGAGCATGCGCATCGCCAACGAGGAAGTGTTTGGCCCCATCATGTCCGTTCTGTCGTGGTCCGACGAGGAGGCACTCATCAGGGACGTCAACGCGGTGGACTACGGCTTGACTGGATCAGTGTTCACCTCAGATATTAAAACGATGCAGAGAGCCGTGAGGCAAATCCAGGCCGGCACAGTTTGGGTCAACACAACCAGCAAGCACTACTTTGGAATGCCATATGGAGGATATAAGCAGTCCGGTATCGGGAGGGAGGATTGCTTCGAGGAAATGCGGGAGATGACCCAGACGAAGGCTGTGCACGTCAAGCTTTAGTATCTGTAGTTCCGGATGCTCAAAGTCAATGCCACCTGCAAAGACACCTCACTAGATCATGCTCATAGTGAATCTATCTACCGAGTGTCAAAGATTTGATGATCACGAAAAGACAGCATTAACGTATGTGGTGTTAAATAACATAGACCGATCATACTCACATCATCATCTCATCACATCGGCTCAATTACTCGGCCCAGAGCGCGATACTTAGTCGCTCCAATACTGTGTCTCGTGCTAGCTCCTGTCAACAGCTCCATCGCTGTGGCCGTAGATCCGTGAGTTCGCTCCCCCAACGTTGTGCATTTTACTCTTTTCTCGTCTGGCAGAAGTGATTTCATGAAGGGAGACCGTGGTGGGCTTGAAAATATAACCAGAGCGCATTCGAATGTCTTATTGTATTTCCTTGAGGCTAAATCCACACTCTGGAGAAGAAGAAAAGGAGTTCCATTCAGCTATCACTTTTCACTACGAACTTCGGCTGACATCAGACTGCAATCGTTTCCTGACAAGATGATATACTAGATTCGCGGCGTATCCACCGCTAACCTGCTTCCACTTCCTTGTTCTTTGATAACGCTTCCATACATACGAGATTTAGTCGCAAAATTAGAGTAGCGAAGAGACGTTAGACTTCAAGGACAAGGTTAATAATGCTGTGCCCTTTTTCAGCCCTCTTCGAACATGAGGTAATAATATTAGCATTGATTGATCGTGACACTTCTGGTCGGTCAAGGATTTGAAGACGTGGGATAGACCCCTGGAACTCAATGGCAGGTGGTTAACATGCTCCTTGGGAATTTTCCATGTGAAATCCTGCTAGATAGCGGATCTTGTTGACCCCCTGAAAGCATCGCCAACCTGCTTCCACTTCCTTGTTCTTTGATGTCGAGTCGACGATGCGCCCTCCTCCGTGTGGTGATAACGCACAACTGCTCGCGATTCATCCCCCGGTAAGACTAGCAGACTAGGCCAGATTTGATCTTGGTTCTCCATCTTGAGCTTCCCCGTGGGGAAGATATACCCCATCCGCATATCCCCCCGGAGGCACGACCGTCTGTTACCCGATGGTCGGGGAACGCCCGGCACACTTACAATAGATGAGAATAGCCTCCCTGCTCGCTGATTCGTAGCCTGGGCGCCGTGAGTACTTAGCTATCGCAAATTAATTTCGTATGCTTATGAGCTGTTTCAACCTTTTCAACCCCTAGATGAAATCTGGTTCATACATAATTCTTATCCAAAAATTTTACTTTGCAGAACGACCGAAGACACCCACTATAATGGATGGAAAGGTCCCCGAAGTCAGCACGGAGTCTGACAAGCAGCAGGAAATCCGAGTCGAGAACGCACTGCGGCCTGAGCATATTGCAACGTCCAGGTATATTGATCATAGCCGCTGCTCCTCCATGCCTTCTCAGCTAGAGACAGAGAGACTGATTCATTGATACAGGCACGACGCAGAGCGCGAGGCTGCTGAGACACGGCTGCGTCACAAGATCGATCGATATGTGGCTCCAAATATTGCCATAATTTACCTTCTCTGCTTTCTGGACCGCATCAACATCGGTATGGAAGCTGTTGACAGGTTGTCGTGAGGTCCACTTTGGCCAAAACTGACCTTCAATAGGCAACGCGAGAATCAGCACTCTTGAGGAGGATCTCGACATGCACGGCTACGACTACAACAAGCTTCTCGCCGTCTTCTATGTAGCCTACATCGTTGCGGAAATGCCCTGCACGTTTGCTTGCAAGCTCATCGGGCCCGGCTGGTTCTTGCCAGGCGCAACCGCCGCCTTCGGCCTGCTGACTCTGTGCATGGCCTTTGTCCAGAGCCTGGGTGCAGCCTATGCCGTCAGATTCCTCCTCGGGATCGCCGAGGCTGGAGTGTTGCCCGGCATCGCCTACTATCTTTCCCGCTGGTATCGACGAAGCGAGCTCACCTTCCGCGTTGCCGTATGCATGGTCATGGCCCCCCTCTCAGGAGCATTCGGAGGGCTTCTCGCCTCTGGACTTCTTTCACTCGAGTCCGTCGGCAGCCTGAGAACGTGGAGAATCATCTTTCTTGTCGAGGGTATCATCACCTTTGGGTTGGGTGTCATTGCCTTTTTCACGATGACTGACAGCCCTCAGTCGGCGAAATGGCTCACAGAAGAGGAGAGAGAGCTGGCCATGACTCGCCTCATGGTAGAGCGCCAGGGGACTATTGAACTCGTCGACAAGTGGAACTTGAAAAAGCTGAAACTCGGTGTCCTCTCGCCCTCTACGCTGACCACGTTCTTCAACTTTCTGTTGATTGGCGTCATCGTTCAAAGCTTCAGCATCTTCCTCCCTACCATCGTCAGGACCATTTATCCCGATGAGTCAATCATCACGCAACAGCTCCGTTCCGCGCCACCTTATATATTGGGTGCTTTCTTCGCCATATCCTTGCCGTGGTTGAGCTCTCGAATCGACCGGAGACAAATCTTCCTCATTGCAGGATCTCCCTTTATCATTGCCGGCTACTCGATGTTCCTGGGCACAGACTCGTCGCAGTCCGTGGTTCGCTATGCCGGGACGTTCCTCATTGCCATGGGATCCTTCAACCAGGGCACCTTCAACAACGCGCAAGCCGCCGCCAACTGCCGGTCGGATTCGTCTCGCAACGTCGCCATCGGACTGGCCAACCTCGGGTCCAATGTCGGAGGCCTGGTCGCCACTTGGACGTATCTTCCTTCGGGCGCACCCAACTTTCGTCTCGGTAACGGCATCTGCGTTGGGTGTGGCTCCGGGATTCTCCTTCTGTCCATCGGCTTGTTGCTCTTTATGAAATGGGACAACGCGCGCAGGGAGCGCCGCGACGCCGCGGCCGAGCTGAGCGGCCTGTCAGAGCAGAGCATTGACGATCTTGAATGGAAGCATCCTGAATTCCGGTGGAGGCCTTGAAAGCTTTCCTGCTCTGGGGGAGAAGCTCGTAGAGAGCACGAAGGGTGGTCTTGTAGATTTAGAGCCTATCTATTCACTAGGGGAGGAATCCCATTAGCTAGTTTGTCGAGGCTGAATAAGAACACATATCTCTACACACATTTTGATCCCTCGGAACCATCGACCACTTGATAGGGTGCCGTTGTTCTCGGGTGCCGCTGCCCCTCCCACGCATCGTTTGCCATAGCTCCGAACTGAAATTGCGGGCGGGACGAACTCTCCCGTAGTAATAACCAGCGAGAACAAAAAGGGTACTTCCATGGGTCAGTTGCTTACGGCGCTGGTGGATGGCGTTTCGCGTTTGGGGGTAAATCGGCTCGTTGTCCCGGCTTACACCAGTCCAAAAGCCTGGTGCCTGCTCTCATTTCCGGCGCAGAATGAGTGAGCGCTTCATCCTTGTGTAGGCTGCATGTTACATAACTTGGATTGCTAGACGATCAGCTCCAAAATGGCCACTCCCCTCAAACAGGTAAGGACAAGCTTTCGACTTGTGGACCGTTGACCTGTTAGTGACCTCAAGCTGACCGGGTGCCTACGATAGCTTCTAAGCGATCTCATTGTCGCAAACCACATCATTTACTCCAAAGGTGTGGTGGATGCGTTCGGCCACATCTCGGTGCGGCATCCCCATGATCATGATACATTCATCATGTCGGCAAACATGGCACCTGCGTTGGTGAGCTCTGAAGCCGACTTTATACACTATCGTGTATCTGATGGGTCCCCGGTGCAAGAAACATCCTCAAAGCACTTTATTGAGCGATTCATCCACTCTGAAATATTCAAGAGATACAACGAGGTCAACTGCGTGGTGCATAGTCACGCTGAAGAGGTGCTGCCGTACGCCATCACCGACGTGAAACTTCGGCCGGTCTTCCACATGACAGGATTTCTCGGTACAGCCCCGTGTTCTGCCCGTCACTGCGTAAGACTTTACTGATGCTGGGGGGTTAACAGGCAGAGAGACACCAATCTTTGACATTGAGGCTTCTTACCAGACCGGGGAGCTGCACGATTTGTTGGTCAAGGATATCCGGCATGGGGCGGCTTTGGCTTCGTGTTTCTCAACCCATGACTCAACGTCTGGCAGCGCTACTCCTTTACCCGATCACAATGTCGTACTCATGCGACGCCATGGCTTCACAGTGCTCGGCAGGAACATCAAGGAGGCTGTGTTTCGGGCCGTCTTCACTCTCAAGAATGCCAAAATCCAGACAACCTCCCACATGCTCCAACTCGCGGCTCGCCCGAACAATGCAAGTTTGCAAGAGGCTGTGAACGGGCTATCGGTGCAGCAGATTACCGATAGCTCGGCTACGACACAGGGTGTATATGATAGACCGTGGGATCTTTGGGTGGTGGAAACTCGCGCACAGGGTTTATTTAAGAACAAGATGCTCGAATAGGACAGGTTGAGGCGGACAGGTCGAGGCGGACAGGTCGAGGCTGGGTCGCAGTGGTTTAGTTAAGCGAAGCTGCGGACCTGTCCGGCCTGCCTTCCGTCAAGATGAGTGAGCTTCGCTTACCTTAGGACAGCTTCGCAGGCGTTGACTTGTAACACTCAATGAGAAACCAAGCAACAAGCTTTTATCCCGTCCACTCACCAACTGATTTGCACACGCTGGGCATCAACAAACGGCCCATCGAGTTGACTTCCAAACTCTTAATAACTCCACGAAACCTTCAATCGTCGATGGAACAAAGAGCAGCTATAAAATCGGTGTTTTGACTCATGGTACAGGTCCGCTATCAAGAGTACAGGCAATATTCAACTCGCATGGTAAGATGCAGGTACAGTTGAGCATAATAAATACAGTAAGATACTATGCAAGCTTCAGAGCCAGTAATAAGCTTTCCAGCGCCGAGGAGGTAGGGCTTAATCTCTTCATACTTCCAGACATGAGGGATGGCGGCTGGGTTGGGAGCCGGAGGGTTGAGCTTGGTCATCTGTTCCCGGGGGTAAGGTGTGCGTTGACTGGAGCTCCGAGAGCAACTCCTTAGTTTATTTTTCTCTATTTTCTGCCTAGGTAGCCATTTTATTCATGATTGGTAATGAGCATGGAATCTTGGAGTAGCGTTTGTGGGCTGTTTCTTGCTCGGATACCAGGATATTAGCCTGCTGGCGTGTGAAAAGGCCTTGGTCTCAACGTAGCCCTCTGTAATGTTCGTAAACAAGGCTCTAAAGATATAATAATCTTTGCTCCTACAGTATTCTAGGCTTTGGCATCACGAACGGCCCGATATACCCCCCTAGGCTTCTTAATAGTACCTCGGGGGTAGATCGGAACAGTCTCATAGCTGACAAAATAGTTGTTATCCCGAGCGACACAGAGTAGCCAACTTTAATTAAGGGCAAAGATATCTCGGGTTTAAACTATCAAGCTCTCGCCATCTATTGGGTAGTGAGCTAATACCTTGCATATTCTCTTCTCCATTACTGCGAACAAGCCAAGATTCAAAGATGGCTCTCAGCGCACTTCCGGCCATCACTTCCCCGCGATTCGAACCCGAGCCGCGAAAGGGCTCTACTCCCGCCATAGTCACCTCGATCAAAGTAAGTTACCATGATGCATGCAGAGCTCTCATTGCTAACAGACCTCTAGCGAGCCTCATACCCTACACGCAGCCTCGAATTCCTCCGAAAATTGGAAGCAAAGTCCCCAGGTGCCTGCTCAAACGTCGAAAGCGTACGCAACGATCGAAAACTACAGCTTCAAGTGACTGTTGTCGGAGCCGGCATTGGCGGGCTTGCGACTTCGATTGCCCTTGCTCGGGAGGGCCACGCTGTCACAGTTTTAGAGCAAGCGTCAGCCCTTGCTGAGGTTTGTCCATCCCGTTCCAATCAAACCCTCAGTTCCAGGTTTCTAAAACTCGTTTCCTAGGTTGGCGCGGGTATTCAGATTCCTCCCAACTCCTCCAAGCTACTCCTGAAATGGGGCCTAGGCCCATTATTCGAGGGCAAGGCGGTTGAGCCACGAGGAATAACTTTTCGCAGATGGGAAACTGGGAACGCTATTGGGTATACCAGGCTTATACCAGACTTCCGAAGCTCCTTTGAGGCACCATACTATGTGATCCATCGGGCCCATCTGCATGAAGCCTTGCACGAAACTGCCGTCAAGCTTGGAGTCACAGTAAAGCTAAATAGTAAAGTTACCGAGTATAACGAGATGGTACCTTCTATCAAGATGCAAGATGGAGTGATCTTGAAATCGGACTTGATCGTTGCAGCCGATGGTATGGATTTTCACCCCCTCTCCGCGTGTAACTTGGTGATGGTCTGACTAGTAAACAGGGGTTAAGTCGACTGCCCGCAAGCTTATCCTGGGCAAAGATAATAAGGACCCTATCCGGACTGGGTTTGCAGTATATCGGTCGACAATAGACGTGCAAAAGATGAGGGATGACCCTGAAACAGCTACGCTTCTACGTGAGCCGGCCCTCAACGTTTGGATCGGGCCGCAGCGCCACGTAATGTCATACACAATCGCTGCAGGAAAGTCATTCAACCTGGTTCTCTCTCATGTAGATGATACCGATCCCGCCACCTGGCGCGCGGAAGATTCACTGGATAACATGAGAGCCCAATTCGAGGGTTGGGACCCAGTGTATGGAGCCTATTCTACCATCCTTATATATGCTCGCCCGCTAATCAGCCGCTTGCAGACTCACAAAGATCATTGCAATGATTGACAAGACAATCAAGTGGCCTCTCCTCTCAGGCGATCCCTCTATTCCTAGTTGGATATCTCAATCCGGCAAAGTCATCATGTTGGGAGACGCAGCCCACGCCATGGTCCCCTATATGTCTCAAGGCGCGGCCATGGCCGTGGAAGATGGTGCAGCACTGGCAGCGGCCCTGTCCCACGTGTGCACCATTTCTGACCTCCCCAGAGCCCTATCTGTCTTCGACATTGTGAGGAGAAGGCGGGCCGGCCAGATGCAGGAAGCTAGTCTCGTCAATGGCAAAATCTGGCACTTTGATGACGGACCTGAACAGGCCGCAAGAGACGAAGCTATGGAGCCGGAGATCAAGGGGCTTCCTATATCGGAGAGCCCAAATCAGTGGACTGACCCTGTTACACAAGCGTGGGCGTACGGGTATAGCGCAGAAGATGATATTCATTTGTCTTGGAACCAGTTCAAATCAAGGCTATTCTGATACTTGAAAGGGCCAGTCGCTAGAGTCTGACAGCTTGATAATATGTACATTAGCGGGCCAAGTAGGGAAGCTTTCAATTGAATTCAGTGAAGCCATCGTTGCTCAATGCCTTCTAACCGTATGACAGGTCAATGCCTGCGAAAGCAGCCCTAAGGTAAGCGAAGTTGCTGTGACCGTCTTGACGCAGACAGCTAGGTCAGCTTCGTAGCAATTACTGGTCGCGTTGGAAGACAGGCAGTTCAGGCCGCAGCAACTGCTCGTCTTGACGGCAGACAGCTAGCTCAGCTATCGCATTAAATAGTTAATTGCTGCGAGCCGGGGCTAGCAGTCGTCATCAACAGCTGAATTGGATGTGGCTCATGACAGCCATCTGCTGCGGGCCTGAACTAGCCGTCGCGATGAACAGCTGAATTAGCTGTTGCATTGGACAGCTATTTGCTATAGGCCCAACCTTGGGTAGGCAGGTAGATAAATATAGGTGGTGATCTGTGTAAAGTGCTTGCTGACTCATCCATACAGCCTCTATAACTTTAGGTTAGGTACTTTACATTCGGGGCACAGAGGCACGAGGCAAATTGCCCCTCCACCTGACGCTTGGGTACCAGTCCCGCATTGAGCCTCGTCTGCCTTCAACGTCATACCTCAACGACCACCCATCCTCACCCCGGCGATAACCCAGCTTCAACCCCTACGAGCCCGCGCATATCAACCCATCAACGCCGCCCTCAGACTCCTCTCCCCCCAGAACGGCACGCAAAGCGGCACGCTGCGCAAACATGAATCGCCTCTTCGGCTCCAAGCCCTCGGGGCCCAAACCCACCCTCAACAGCGCCATCTCCAACAACGACACCCGCATCGCCGCCATCGACACCAAGCTCAAGGCCATAAACGGCGAGCTGGCCGCCTACCAGCAGAAGCTCTCGCAGATGCGCGAGGGCCCCGGGAAGCAGGCCATCAAGCAAAAGGCCCGCAAGGTCCTGCAGAAGCGCAACGCGTACGAGGCCCAGAAGGACCAGCTCGAGAGCCAGGTCTGGAACCTGGAGCAGGCGCAGAACATGCAGGACAACCTCAAGAACGTCATGACGCAGGTCGACGCCATGAAGACCACCAACAAGGAGCTGAGGAAGCAGTACGGGAAGATCGACATTGACAAGATCGAGAGGTTGCAGGATGAGATGGCCGACTTGATGGACGCCGGCAACGAGATACAAGACAGCTTAGCCCGCGGCTACGATATTCCCGACGAGGTCAGCGAAAGCGAACTTGATGCCGAGCTCGAAGCATTGGGCTTAGAGCAGGAGCTGGAACAGGAGATGGGTGGGGGAGTTCCAAGCTTTTTACAGGATGAGGTAGTACCTGAGTTTGTAGACGACGCTCCTCAGACAGAAGACAAGGTGAAACAGGCCGCTGGATAGTCATCGAAAACCTCAGCACACAGCGATTGGGGAGTTGAAGCAGGTCATATCAGAAACAGGTCATTTTGGGTGTTCTAGCAAATTGTGGCGTTTGAATTAGTTGTATTTAATGTATCGTTTCTTAGCATCCTCCTAGCCAGGAGTATCATGAAAGGAACTGTCGTTCATCAACACAGGGTCTCTAGGCTTCATCGCCAAAAGACACAGTATACATGAAATCATATACACCCCTTCCATCGTTTCCATCAAGCTTAATCATATTCATGACTTATCAGTGTGATGAACCCGGGAGAAGACTGGGAAGCATGACCACGCTCCTTCGGCAATAATTATTAAAATAGAATCCTCCCCTCAGCTTAACGCCCTTATTGATGCAATGCTTCGTTCCGTACCTCCAATTCCGCTTTCAAATGCTCCGATACTCTATGCATGAATGAATACTCCTTCTGCCTACTGCTCAATCAATAGTCGCAAAGAAGCGACTGGCCTCTTCCAATTCAGGATCACCGTTGCAAAAATCCCATCCAACGATCACAGGTGCTTGACTACAGCAGACAATCTTCCGAGCATCGAACTGGAGCTTGAACACACGAGCCGCACCGTTTTCCGGGGCCACAATATGAGGGTGGTGTACTCCCGCAGCAGGTTGGGCCTCATTTTCTGCGGGCAAAGCATCTTGAGGAGGCCCCGCCGTGGGGTGTGGCGGTAGGGCTGGGGCCGTGTGTGGCAGGGCAGTTTGCTGAGCTTGGCCCATGTGTGGCGTCTGCGTTGGTAGGCCAGGGCCTGTAGCCGTGGTGTGGTCTAGCTGTGGCATCGATGCATCAAATTGGGGAATCTGCGGTGTAGGCAGAGCGCTTGAAGAAGCTGAGGGATCAGATGAACCTGCTACCGCTGCCGTGGAACTGCCACCAGTCTGCTGGTGTAGCTCTGTGCCATTCTCCTGGGTGAGGGAAGCAACACTGGCACGTTGCTGAGACAACTGCGCATCTACAACAACCTGCACGAGTTGCGCTCGGACAAAGGGCGACGGCTCTTTCTCAATCGTAACTTGCAGGTAGTTGTGATGCGAAAGTATTCCGGGCAATGTTGTGAGAACTTGGTGCAGGATTGCAGGGCCGGCAGGGACAGCCTGGTCGATGAGAGCCGTGTAGACTGCTGGCGATACATGAGCAAGAGCATTGTGAGCGCGAGAAAATGGTGAGTTAGCCGTGTTGCCGGCGCTTGAATGCTGTGAGCCCAGTGGAGGAACTGGCGATCGAGAGAGCGGGCGAATCGAGGGGTGCAACAAAATTGACTCAATGCCAGCCAAAGTCGACTCAGGCACAACCGATTCTCTCTGCTGGGCCGCCGCCGCCGCCTCTTCTTGTCGCAAATGATGAGCGGGCTTCCATACACCCTCCTTGTCGCGTCTCCAGATGATAATGCTGCAATCATAAGAACCGGAAATTATTCGCCCGTACTTTCTTCCTCCACCCCCGCCTGGGGGTAACTTTGCACCGTAGGCGACAATGTCCGTTGGCCGGGAACTGCCTGCATTCGTCCTACGTTCGCGGCGCCTTGACTGCGCAGAATTGTGTTCCACGAGGCCGGCTTCGACAGCCTTGAAGTACTCAGCATCCACCCTCCTGGCTTCAAGCTCATCCTCAATCTTACTATAGGGGTAGTCGCCAAAGCCAGCTTGTACCGTCCGGACAAGTTGTGAATGACCACGGAGTTGCGCAACTTTAACTCCAGTTGGAGCATCGAAAATGCAGACCTCGTGATCGCTACTACCGCTCACAACTCTCCGTCCGTCAAACTCAACACAGGCTATTCCTTTGTCATGGGCAGAAATAGTCTGAGTGCATACTCGTTGAGGCCAATTCCAGATTTTGATATGCCGATCGCCTGATACCGAGACCACCACGTCGCCACGAACCTGGATGGCATTTACAGCGGCACTGTGCCCCTCAAGGCTCCCAATCATAGTGAACGAAGGGATGACCGGGAGCTCATGACCCAAATCTGGATCAAACCCATATCTTTTGATATTGGTTGCCACTGGACTGACAACTTCGTCGACCCTGTAACCCGTATCACCGTATTTGAGAGGTTTACGGTTGAAAATCTTGATGCTCTTGTCTTTGGATGAAGTGACCAAGATACGGCTATCAAAACGAACATTGAGCACGGACTCACGGTGAGCCCTGGTTAGCCGCTGGAGAATCTCCCCGGTGGAGAATCTCCAAATAATGATGTTAGAATCACTGCTTCCGGAGACAAGCAAGTCTTCGTCGGGGCTTGCATCAAACTGAAGGCACAGCACTGAACCCCGGTGGCCCACCAATGGCGCACGAATAAGGCGCCGCGTTTGAAGATTCCAGATCCTCATGGTCCGGTCCCTACTCCCGCTCACCAAGTAGTTGGAGTCAAACTGTAGCGAGTATATACATTCCTGGTGTCCCTCTGTAGGGTGATTTGGATGAGGAAGCTGAAAGGGTACCGCCTTGCACAGTTCCCAATTTGACTCGAGTCGCCGGCGCATATTATACAGATACTTCCAGTTGATGCGGTAGCGGGAATGATTCATATCCCACATCCACAATGTGGAACGTCTCAAGGCGCGAGGGTCCTTGGGCGGGAGAATCGGAGGCAGTGATACCTCTGGAGTCATATTCAACTCCTTTGCTCTGTCTCGGGAGCCAGAATACGACCCAAAACTTCTATCGACTGACTTGCCCCGCATGCCAGCGACGTCCAATTCAGCGTCGCCCATAAAACCTGCATTAGGCCTGTTGCTTGAAAATGACGAAGTGGGTGAGCCAAAGATGCTTTGAGATATGACACCGTCGCTACCGCCAACTCTATCGCTATCAGATGTGGTCATGAACGTGTCCTCATCATCGTTCAAAATTGCCCGGATCTTGCTCGTGTGACCTTCGGAGTTCTGGATTCGATGCAAGTGGCTGATGGAGTCGTTGAGCCCAACATTAATCTTCGTTTCCCAAGTTTCTATTTCGCTTCGGATGACTTTCCAGCCTTCAAGGTGATATATCCGTTCCCATAGCTTCGAGTCCAACCCGATATCGCACCAAGCCCGACATGTCTGGATAACACTGACGAGAGAATTGGGGTCGAGGTAAGACAGGATCTTGAGGCAGATTTCGACTGGCAAGTATTGTATGAAATCAATGTACAGTCTAGGGTTCAGCTTTTGGACAATCTCTGAGATGGTTGATGTTGGTAGTTCGCTCAAGAGCGCCATTGTTAGCTCTATGTGGAGTTAGCAAACTGATAACGTCGAGTACAACGAAATACCTTTCGCAGGAGGACCTACCCTTTTTGAGCGATATGGGGAGATGCGCTGCATTCGCAGATATCCAGGCTGGCAGTTCTGCCGCAGATCTCAAGGATGCGAGCGATAACCTGAGATCCTTCTGGATGGTTGAGTCGAGAGGGTCCTCCGAGTAGCCCTCGTCAGGCTGGTGTGATGGAGAAAACGTATCCATGTGTGAGAGCCAGTCCTTGTTAGACATGGTCATATGTGACCCACGAGTAGTTGATTTGCATAAGATTGTGGCTGTTGATTTGGAGGCGCGGGGGGGCAATAGGCGAACAGGTGGTGGGCAAACGGCTGGCGGGTTTGGCAATGGCTTGGGAGGCGGTCGGGTGCGACTTACGCGCTCATCGACAGCGCGCGAATAGGTTAGCCAGGACTTTTCGATATCCCCATGGAGCACAACGTTTAGGAGGAGCGATATCCGGGCCAATAATTACAAGCGGCGATGCCTGTCGGGATTGACGTTGCTTCGCGCTCTGGCAATGTCGTAAGTTGAGGCACAGGGCTGGGTGGAGTTTTGATGATGAAGTCAGCAAGAGTAGGTAGGTAGGCACTTGCCTGCCTGCCTACCTACTAGGTGGAGTGCCGCCTTGCCCGTCTGAAGTCCGGGGGAAGGAGCCCCCCAAGCCAAAAATCTCCCGTTGTCGGTCTTTACAGAAGGAAGGCCCCACTTCGTTTGTTTACATGGCAGGTGGATGCATCTACCCGGTAGCCATCACTTTGGTTGCTCCTATCACAGGTAAGATACTAGCCCTCACATGGTCGGAACATTACGAAGGCAGGTTAGACTCAGGTTGAGAGCTAATGCATACTACCTACTGAGGAAGGAACCTATTCTGTTATTGATTATTGATTTTTTCTAGCTCTAGTTCATTGGCGCACTTCGAGGTGATTTTACAACAACATGGAGCACCTAGACCGAGATGCATTTCTACAACAATAACAACAACATCGAGGCAACGTAAGGTAGGAACGAGAACTGGTGACCACATCTAGCAAACCAAAAAAGCGCAGATCACGATGTTTCCAACGCCAGGAGGCAAGCCTCGTGTGCTTTAGGTGGGACTTTATTACATATAGGTAGGTGTTAGGGACCGGTAACCATTTAGCAGTGACAGCTTACAAGCATAACTTGAATTGAGGTCTGCTACAACATCTTTGAGGCGCATGGCTAATTTCGAGCCCGAGCTCAAGCTGATCGACACCAAAACGCTTCCCATATATCCCTATCTTGGATATCTCATGGCATCTGCGTAGAAGGGCCTAGAAAAGTGTGAGAGAGGAATAGGAGCGCTATGATAGTAAGCCCCCGAAAGTCACCGATCCATCTCATCTAACATCTGACGAAAAGAAGTCACAATACGTAATTCTTTATTATTGGTAGCCGCGTCGGAGAATTTTACTTATAGTGATTCCACGAGAAGGTAAACTCGGGATGTTTCACAACTGAATTCCTGGTTCCGAATGAGAGCCACTTGCATCAACAGTAGGGAGGAGGACTTGGTATTCACCGGAAAAACGCCATTGCCATGGGGTTTCCGAAAAGTCCATGTAGATCCGCCCGGCGCTGATCGCATCACATGGCCTGACAACTTTCAGGCGATGGCCGGAAGAAGCAAGTAGCATGAATCAGTCAGTGACAGCAGTTTGGCTAATGTTGCCTCCTGAAATAAATGGGTAGAGTAATACGAATCACACACAAGTGTGGCGACTATGATCTGACGGCAGGCTCGGCGGCGGAGGATCCTGCACTGCACAGAAGGTCTGTTGGATCTATCCAAGAGGAATGCGCATGTCAATCGTCTTTCAGCAGCCAGCACAGGAAGCCGGGCAATCATCTTGGTGGCGCATCCTCGTTGCTTTTTTGTAGGACCAGCCGACCATCCAGTGTCCCTCTGAAGCGGGAGCCTTGACTGTCCTGGAACTAGCGCCGAGCAGGGGCGATATCACTCGTGCTCTTCCTCCGGAGCTGTGGTATCACACAATCGGTACGTGGTAGCCAGGCAGGTAGATCTCAACCCAAGGCGGTAGCGTGCGCCTAGCCAAGGCTGAGCAATGAGGAGCTAGAGAGGGACTTGGCGCTGGAGATATCGTTTGAATACCAGGCACACCTAGCGTCCCGGGTAGGATATTTGAAACGAGCTGGCCCGGTCCAGAGAGCTGTTGGTGTCTCCAATCATGCCCAACCAGCCCCTCACCCCCTCCCTGGTCCTATCGTGTGTCTTCGGATGGGTCCTCTCTGTTCATGCTTCGTAGACGGCATGCTGGTACTCGGTGAGCATGAGGCATGGAGGTTCCAGCAGCCTCTCGCAGATGTTGCCTGGGCCTCTCTTCTCCGACCTGCATACCGCCTGCAGAGGTGTAGAATGCATGGGATGGGTTTGGCTAGGGGTGCCGGCATTTGGGCCAACCAACACGACAATCCAAGCTAGGTGATCCACGGCCCGTTGCTTGTGCTGCATGCTCCCATCCACACAGTATGGCGGTGTCCAAGTGAAGAACGGGCTGACGGGAGCGTTTGCTGAGCAAATCCAACCCCTTCTGGGTGGGTAATACCGCAGGGCCTGGAGGCAAGGTACCTCCCACACACGCAAGCCCCCGACGTGGTTCCTGTTCCATTCGGGTGGCCTGCCTCGATTCCGCTCGTACATCGACAGCTTGCAAGAAACAGCCGCCCGTATTCTGGCAGCCGGCTTGGTCTAGTGGCGAGCACTGTAAGGCAATCAGCGGCCCCTACGACCCACCAAAGTAGGTCCCTACCTGGCAGGCTGGGTCCCTACTGCAACCACTAAAGGATTAGAGAAACACCACCATCCCATTCTGGTCACGGCCACTCCCCTCCCTATTTCCCCCCTCCTCCCCCTTTCTCTCTGTTCCGCCCGACCCACGTGTTCCGTCACTCACCAGCCACCACAACCGAAATTGTTGTCTGTTGCTTCTACTATCCAGCGACGTACCCGGCAGCAGAGTTCAGCCTGGTCAGCCAACAGCGTCACCGGGCGTCGAATCCGCATATCAGCCCTGGCATAATAAACCAATTTGAGGCACTTCCCGGCCTGCCCATCCAGCCTGCGACCACCCTTATCCGCTCCTCAACCCCTCGGTACCTGTGCAGACGGTACAAGCCCCTCAGCCAACGGCGTCCACACCGGCTCCCCTTCGACCAAACGACGACAACGGCGCCAGCCACCCAGAACGACTCAGGAGACCTCCACGCTGAGCCGACCACGACCACCAACCGATTGTCCTTCTCTGCTGTCTGCGCAGCCCGACAGACGACTGCAGCGATTATCCTCGACTTCTCGACGGCAGCTTGTTGTGTCGCCGTGCCCTGACGGATAGCTGCATCAGCCCCCATTCGATTCTCGCATGTGGAAAGAGGAGGGAAACCAAGGGCACACGACAACGACGTAGCGACACCCCGTCCGACCCGATCGGTGTATTGAGTTTCTCCCCTCGAATCGCTGCGCCCACGAATCGAAGAAGAGAGATCGTGGTTTGCTGTCGGAGAGACGAACCCCCCTCAACACGCGGACCCCTATAGCCCAGGTTGCGCATTCCGACGAATGGAGTAAAGGGTTATGGCTCAGGCCTCACTACTCAAATTTGACTCTGGCCTCATCAAAACATCGTCTCACATTAAAAGAATGAGCTTTGCGTCCCGTACCAGTCAGTTGTCCGGCTCAACGGCTTACGGTGGCTCGTCAGCCTCGCTCAGCTCAATGTCGAGCGGGGCTACCGTGGTTCCCACGGCCAACATTATCAACCAGAAAGCAGACGCCTCTAGGTCGCTGTACCAAATATGTGTCACATTAAAGAACCGCCTTTCCCAGGTACCGGATTTCGAGCCTTACTTGCAGCAGCTTGATCCTACCGACCCGGTCGATCCACTATGGGCCCTCCTCCGATCTGGACACCCACTTCTCACCATCTATAATTCTCTACAGCCTGAGGTCCCTCTTGTAGTGGAGGAAAATGTTCCTAACGAGGAAAAGCGATCCAAAATCGCCATCTTCAAGTTCGTAAAGGCTTGTATGGATGAGCTCAAAGTGTCTCCCCAAGACAGCTTTGTTATTGCTGATTTAACGGGAAATGACACTAGTGGCTTTGTAAAGGTTGGTTTGTACACCTGCTCAAGACAGACGCTCTATTGCTCGCAGCTATTTCTCCTTGACCTGGGCTAATCTGTTTTCCAACCTAGGTTACTCAAGTGGTCAATCATGTACTGGATCTCGCCCAGCAGCGGGGTCTCCTGCTCCAGCTGGACTCTCACTTTGTTGAAGATCCGAGCAGAGATAACCCGACAATGAAGATGACATATCGCGACCACATCGTGAAAGAACTTGTGGACACAGAGCGCAAGTATGTGCAGGATCTGGAGAACCTTCACGACTTAAAGACAACCCTGGAACAGAGAGGCGCCATTCCCGGTGATATTGTTCACTCTATATTCCTCAATATCAACGCCATCCTGGACTTCCAACGCCGCTTTCTCATCCGCGTTGAGACAACGAACTCAATGGCAACAGAGTTTCAAAAATGGGGCACCCCTTTCGTTATGTACGAGGCCGCTTTCGACATCTATCAACCGTTTATCGCCAACCAAAGAAAAGCAGCTCAGGTCGCGAATCAAGTATTCGATAAAATTCAGCAAGTCAATCATCCTGTGGCAGCTGATTTCAACACACTGGATGGATTTCTCCTCAAACCAATGCAGCGATTGGTTAAATATCCGCTTTTGTTGAAGGTATTGTTGACCCCTACCATGTTGAAATGCACCGCGCTAACGCCAGGCAAAGGATCTAAATAAAAAGACTGAAGAAGAGGATACCAAGAGGGACCTGATGGATGGTTGCGAAGCAGCCGAACGGGTTCTGAAGAAGGCCAACGAGGCGGTCAACCGAGATCTCTTAGACGAAGCCCTCGAAGAGCTGATAAGCAGAGTCGACGATTGGAAAAATCACAAAGTCGAGCAATTTGGAAAGCTCCTGATGCACGGTGTCTACCCTGTGATTACGGGCAAGACGGACCAAGAGAAGGATGTAGGTTACTCTGCATTGCTTCTCAATGCTTCCCAAGTTTAAGTGTTGTGTGTTTGATTGCTGACCTACTTCCTAGTATGAAATCTATCTGTTTGAGTGCATTCTGCTCTGCTGCAAAGAAGTGGCCCCGAGCAAAAGCAAAGATAAGAAGGATAAGACGAGGTCTTCGGGGCCCAAGATTAGAAACCGGAATGCGAAGCTCCATCTGAAAGGAAGGATTTTCATGAATAACGTCAATGACGTTATTACTCTTTCTAAGCCAAGTGCGTTCACCAAAGCGAAAACTGTTGACATATGCTAACCGGGGATTCCAGGTTCAGGTTCGCATAGTGTGCAAATCTGGTGGAAGGGAGACCCGGGCATTGAGAACTTCACCATCAAGTTCCCTAACGAAGAGTTGATGAAGAAATGGGCCGACGGTCTCGGCACCCAGCGCATAGAGAAGGGTCGAGCACAAAGTGGCGTAGATCCCACCAATTTCATTTGGAACAAGGATAACCTCCCCGAAAATCCATATCTTAACAAAGAAGACGACGACGATGAAGAAGACGACCTCCCACCAGCATCAGCACCAGCACGATTTGGGGGCAATGTTCCCCGCACATCCTCAAATTCAAGTTTACGAGGACGGTCAGGCACCAACGAAAGCTCACAGTCCTTGTCCAGCATGACAAGGACATCTAATCCCAGATATCCCATGCCTGGACAACCCCCCGCTCCCCTGAATCTCAGTACACATACGCCAGGTGCTGTTTCTCCAGGTACACGGGGCGGCGACAGTTATTTTTCTCCCGTGGAGCCATCACAATCACCAGCCTCCTCCAGAGCTAGCACAGCCAGCAATATGACGCCGATTTACAAGCCCGGTACTCCCCAGGCTGTCTGGGACGAACCGCAACGACACACAGCTCCGGCAATGCCGCGGGCACCATCTCGTGATGGATCGTCTTCTAACCAACATGGCGTCAATGGTAGGGGTAATCGCGGACCCTCACTACCAGCCATGGCAACTCATAATAGCGCCGCACAGCAACAACGGGTTAGGTCATACAGTACGCCCGATATAAATGGCCAGGGTGGTACGCGCCAGCGGGCGCCTAGCCAGAGCAATGTACCTGCTGTCCCTGGTATTCCTCACCATCTTTCTGGCCACGACGGCAGCGTTCCCCGGTCACAGACTGGATCTCCCAGAAATGATCTCCCAGTTCGAGCGAACACGCAAAGTCCTGGTGCCCAGCGGGAGCGAATGCATCAGCATTCCGGTAGCCTTGGAGGCGGTGTCGGCCATTACCCCGGGCACCCAGTTTATGGGTCCCGTACAACAACACCCAACCCTCAGGGTGGAAGCTCTCTTCGAGTTGAGGGAGGCGGTGCAAATGCACGCGCCGTGTCACCATCAGTGAATACGGGTTCATTTGCACCACCTGGGGGTGGCGAGATGCCTTTCCCGACTTCGCTGAAGGTCAAAGTCAACTGTGACAGTGGTAATTATGTTACTCTTGTCGTAGGATATAACACTGCCTACCAATCTCTCATCGACCGTATTGATGCGAAACTGGCGCGATTCACCACTAGTAGCATTGGTCAAGGCATCCTGAAGCTAAAGTACCGTGATGAGGACGGTGATCTTATCACGATTTCGAGTGACGACGACATACAGCTCGCATTCGGAGAATTCCGCGAGATGCATGCGGGCGGCGTTGGCGAAATCGAACTGTTTTGCGTTGGTGATGCTGAAAACTAGTGAGCTTAGCGATCGATCTTCAATTTGCTGGAAGGGAATTTTGTGCGGGAAGCATGGGGTTGAAACTCTTAGGATACCATTAGGAGGAACGGCACTTCAGGCGCTTGGGACATTTGATATTCTCGATTATTGCACTCTTATCTAACATGGGAGATGGTGAGTGAAGCGCGAGGAGGAGGACAGAGCGCATCTCAAGGGGCTGAGGACATACATATAGATACGGCATCGTAGCGAAGTACATCTATTATTGGTTTTATTCTTCCATCTCAAGGATTGGTAAATTTACATTGTTTCAGGTTGACAAATTTCCATCTCTTTAATATTGACTCAATTTTCACTCTGATCCGAACCTGACCTGGGCTATGTCGCTTCGGAGGGATGGGTGCATGCCACTCACTCAGCCTTCATTTCAACATGAAACGCGGCACAAGTGGTTCCGCCGAAGTTTTGAAATTTGTTCATTGATATAGTACATTCTAAACAGCGGTCTCGAGCTCTTGTCCCAGACCTTTTTTTTAGTTACAAGTACAGTTGTTATCGGATATTCTGTGTAGCCCAACGCCAGGAAATGCCAATCCAGCACCTCATCAATTCGCCCGCAGGCAGGACCTCTGGCTCGACGTGAGTGCCCCTCGTTATACAACAAATGCTCCCATGTGTAGACCCCGATCGAGTCCACCGCATGCACGCTTGGGAACTCCCCGCGATATATAATGGATTTGTCCTCCACAAGCGCTTCGGCAAAGAGCTCTTTTTCTTTTCTTTTGTTTTGTTTTCTTTGATCCGAGAGGAGGTACTTTTTTACTTTCGCTTCGGCTTGCTTGTGACGTCTTTTTGCATGCGAGTAAGATGGTAGTTGATCGTGTTTGGCTTCGAGCCGGGGGGTTTGGCGCCGTCCATGCATGATCGGAGCTGGTTCTCAACGGCGAGACAGCCTGCGGCATTGTAACCGGCAGAGGCCCAGCAGGCTACAAAGAAGATTGGGCGGTTAGCTTTATGAACTACTCGTGGTAAACGGACCCTTGAATTAATCGAATTCGCATTCCGGGCTTCGATCGGGGAGGTGTAGACATACCCAGTACTGTGGACATGACGGCGATGCATGGGTTCTCGGGGACTCGCTGGGGGTTGTGGACGCGGAGGGTCTTCAGCGGGGGAAGACGGATTGCCTTGTGCCCGGCCATTATGTGAGGATCTGTTGGAGAAGCGGCAGGGCCTGGCGCAAGAGACAATTGGGCTGGTATCACGGTCGTTTGATATGGGTTAAGCCGTCTTGCTCTGCGGGAGCTTGGGGAAATTTTGAGATCACGTGCGCAGTGCAGCTGCACGTGACACCCTCCACCGCCAACAGAGTGTATCCCGCAATCAGCGTATAAGACCGACTGCATGAAAAGCTATCATTTTAGTCCTATCAAATTAGTAAGTATGATTGATTGAGGACTTATATCATAATGAGTGAGACCGTGTATTTATGAATCATGATTTAATCTATCTATAGCTATTTCTAAGTCAACAACCTCGATTGAGGTTCTTTGTAATTTCTTTCCCGGGGGTATGATAAGTCGCAACATTCTAACTATCCGTAATTGGAGGATCGCCTTCCAGCATCTTCGGACACCCTCTTTCTTTCTTTCCTCTTTCCACCTTTTCATTTCTGCCATCACCGTACTTAGCCGGACCTTTGTTGGTACCGTTAATGTTTCGCTCCGAATATGACCCTTTTTCGGTTTCCTCGCCAGAGAGCCCCGTTCTTGGAGTAGTGTAGACGGGGGCTGGAGCTTGAATCCTAGATGACTCTCTTATTTGTCGTTTTGGCACAACTTTTGGCGTGGCACCTTTCCGCAATTTCCCCCATGCTGATTTTGGCGGACGCCAGGGCGCATTACGTTCCTTTCTCCGGCGATAGAGAATGTAGCCAGTCAGAATGAGGAGGATTGGCCCTCCGACACTAAGCACAACGATCAGGGCGGTCCTGTTTGGGGTGTCGCGACTTAGCAAATCGTTCAACGAGCTGCCTCCTGGGATATATCGAGACGTCAGGCTTCCCCGGGGAATGAGCTGACGCTCGTTTCTGTATGCCTGATAACGATCGGATTGACTTCAATTAGCGTTCGGAGAGCTTAGAATACTGCCGATGTGCATACGGCTGCTCACAATATCAAGTCACTAGGGCAGGAAACAACGCTTCAGAAGCCCTCTAGACACCTGAGCCAGGGATTGCAACGTGGGAGTTAAAATGAAGGAAAAGACATGGCGTGGCAGCACTTCATGGAAATCCTTGTGACAAAATTCCCTATGACTTGACAGTCCAAATCCGCAGTTTCGAAAGTCCAAACCAGGAAAGATGTTTTGCACATCACTCAAACCACAGCCACGAAAGTGATGACGGCCTAAGCTTGGCTTTCATCATCACAAACGTCTGGAAGCTTGGCAACGACTAAGTCAATACATTTAAACAGTGCATTCCTTCCGAGCATGGGAATCAACAGAGAATATATCTATAGAAAGCTTCTTTACAGCAAATATTACCCAGACATCGGAGATTTTTTAAACGCAAAGATTACGTTGAATATGAGAATACCGCTTGCCAGTCACCCAGTCAGTTGACCCAACTCTCAAAAAGCATATAATGAGATTGATACTGACCAGTTTATATATAATAGAAACCTTGAAGGGGTAGTGGTAGTTTCCTGGATGCAACTATTTGATTCGAACAGACAGGTACAGCGGTCTCTACAAGAGCCACCGAAAGATTAAGTTGTAAAACCTCGTTCGAGAAACAGATGACCTAGCGATATTCTCCCATTGACGTACCAGAAGGTCCCCAACATCTCTAGGATTTCTTCACACTTGTATGAACTGAGTGATATGATGAGCCTCATTCGGGGTTAAAATACATGGAGGACCAGCCGCCGGAGTTTATTCATTTTGTAGACTTTTCGGTATTAGATAGTAGATCCCACAACTCCAGAACGATTCCCATCATCAGATAACATCAAACTTTTCATCGTCCACGCTCTGGGAGGGGGCTTGGTTCTTGCTAATAGTAGCCCAGCCTCGACGAACGGGCATGGCAGCGGGTTCGGATTTCACAGCCACTTTCTTTGGCGCTGCCTCCTTCTTTGGCGCTGCCTCCTTCTTTGGCGCTGCCTCCTTCTTTGGCGCTGCCTCCTTCTTTGGAGCTGCCTCCTTCTTTGGCGCTACCTCCTTCTTTGGCGAGGCTTCCTTCTTTGGAGCAGCAGCCCTCCGGGCCGGCTTCTTGACTGGAGGGGGTTCTTCCTTAATCGGTTCTTCCTTGACCACCTCCTCCTCTTCGACTTCCTCCTCCTCAACCTCATTGTCGTCGTCTTCGTCATCATCATCGTCATCATCATCATCGTCTTCGTCGCTAGAGTCACCAGATCCTTCGCTATCGCCCTCACTCCCAGGATCGTAGTCTTCCTCATCCTCATCCTCATCATCTTGCAGCAGCTGCTCAGCCTCAGCCTGGGCGCGCTCCAGCTCAGTCGTGCCATTGGGAGCTGCGTTGGCATCCGTCATTGTGGCGTCTCCATTCTCGCCCTCGCCGTCCTCCTTCTTCGGCCGGTTCTCCGCGAGCTGGAGCTTGGCCTTCCTCTGCTCCGCCATGCTGCGATCCTGCAGGCGGTTCGTCTTGATGTAGTCGTCGATGCCGCCATAGTCCTGCTGGTCCAGCATGCCAAACTCAAACTCCTCCACCGAGTCGGAGCCCAGGAGGACCTCGACGACGATGTTGAAGGTCATCTGGAGAATGTTGGTGTAGCTGATGGCCTGGATCCGGTTCAGGGGGATGAATATCAGAGGCTTCTTGAACCCCCACAGGATGCCGTTCTCGAGGAAGAAGAGGAAGCCGTCCTTGGAGCCCCTGTACCCGCCGACATGGACGGCCGTCTCCTTGGGCCTGTGCGACTGGCGGATCACGCTCCGGAACTGGCTGGGGTCCGCGGACACGATCTTGACGTCGTTCCCGGCCAGCTTCAGACGGCTGCCGATCGCCCAGTGGAATAGATCCTTGTATGTGTCGGAGACGCTGGCCGCCGACGCAGCGTCCTTGCCGCCAATCGTGCCCTGCTTCGGTGCCGTGGCGGGAACTGTGAAGACGAGCGGTTCGGCGGGCGCCTGCTCCGTCTTGGAAGGGAGGTACGAGCCCCGGGGGAAGAGGACGTAGTTGTGTTGGACCTGGGCTTTCTCAGGAACGGGCAGATAGAAGATATATTCTTAAAACACAAACAGAGTTAGCAAGGAGGCCTGGATCAAATATGATAGGTATGGGGTGCAAACACCGTACCAATGTCTGTCCATGCGTATGTGATGGCCGGGATTGGGGCGGTTGTGCCTGGGGCTCGGGCGTAGATGTGGCCCTCGGTGAAGCAGAGCTCGAACTTCTTGCGCTGGGGCACAGAAACAGATATCTCCTTGACTTCGAGCAGGACAGGCTCCTCAGCCGCGTTCGCTCCGCCCGTGGACGTTCCATTCACATTCCCAGAGTCGATCTTCCTCTTCTTGTTGGCCGGCTCGGCATTCGTCGACGCCTGGTCGCTCAGATGGGCGGCGATTTCGTTGAAGAGGGCAATCCTCCCCGGAGAGTCTGTATCGACGTGATTGATTAGCATGCGATGATATTTGCTGGCCACATATCGCGTGGCCGATGGCCAGACACGGGATCCGTCATCGACTCGACCTACCGGCAGCTGTCTGAATCCCGGCCATAATATCTGGCCGAGTCCCAAAAATGGCCGTCAACCTCTGGGTATCCAAAGATTGACTCATGCTTTCGACGGTATCTCTAGAGCCTCTAGAGTGCAATAGAGAGAATTCGAGGCTATGAATGGGTGTCGGTTTTTTTTTGTTTATCTCTACCAACTCTGGAGTGACGAAGCGCCTGCTTAGTCATGCAGATGGTCAATAGCATTCACGCCTGGTCGCCCCACGGCCCAAGAGCTTCATATTGATAGTGTTTATTGGACTTTGAGCAGAGCTTCCTTACTTCGGGGTGAACTTGTGTCTCGTTTATTTTCCTAGTTAGAGGATTTCGCCTGAGTCTATTGCCCGTGGGAGCGGGCTCCTCTTACGAGATGGCAACGCCGTTTCCCAACATCTACACCCATCGGAAGGTCGCTGAGACGGCTTCCAAGGCTTGCGATGTCTGCTACAAGCCCAGCACATCCGTACTAATAACCCCAGATAAGAAGGTACGGAGATGAAATGCTAAGCCAAGAAGATGAATGAGCCGATGGACGGTATAGGTGAAACGGTGCAAAGGTCTTCTAACCCACGCCACTAACAGGACTTCTTCTACATCTGCCCAGTCCATCTGAAGGACCGCAACTTTGCTACTCCCAAGATTGATGAGGAAGCTGCCAAAGCCAAGCGGGAAAAAGAACTCGCTGAAGAAAAAGAAAAGCTGATGAAGGAGTACGAGGAACGGCAAAAGAAGAAGAAGGAAAAGGAAAAGGAGAAGGAGAAGGAGAAAGACAAGGACGGCAAAGATAAGGCTAAGGATAAAGATGAAGAGAAGAAGAAAGACGAAGACAAGGACAAGGATAAAGACAAGGCGGCAAGTTCATATCCCTAGGATATCTGTGTATACTTCATGGGAGCACTGACAAGCGGAATAGAAAGCGGACGACGAGAATGACACTCCCACGGAAGAGGAGCCTCGGGTTTTCGAGCTCAAACAGTAAGTCATCTTTATATACTTCTTGGCCTAGACTCTTTTCACAGATACTGACTGTCTATTCTCAGCGTGTTCTATCAACAGAGGATTCAGAAAAAGAGGCAGGCAGAAGCTGCCAAACGGGATCGCGAGAGGGCGTCACAGCCTGGTTATTTCCCGTCTGTCCCTTCAGATCTTCCCAGTAGGTGATGTCTAGAACATGAAGTCAAAGTGCTTGGTGGGTTTAATGCATAGGAATTGTGAGGAGAACACTTGCACCAGATCCGACTACTGTTCCACGGCGAAGGCACTCATGCCGTATGACGGAGACGGGCGGCTGGCAATCATGGACGGATGCTTATCGGCCTCCAGTCTCTACATTCAGAACTCGCGGAGCGAATTCCGTTTAGCTTACACATGGTCCAGAACTCCAGGCAGGACGTGATGCAGGATTGAGCGGGCGTCCGCGGCTGGTGGGAAGCAGTTATCTTGGCCCCATCAATCTCTACT